ACGATGCTATGCTCACGATGCTATGCTCACGATGCTATGCTCACGATGCTATGCTCACGATGCTATGCTCACGATGCTATGCTCACGATGCTCTGCTCACGATGCTCTGCTCACGATGCTTTGCTCATGATGCTCTGCTCACGATGCTATGCTCACGATGCTATGCTCACGATGCTATGCTCACGATGCTCTGCTCACGATGCTCTGCTCACGATGCTCTGCTCACGATCATCTGCTGACGATGCTCTGCTCACGATGCTCTGCTCACGATGCTCTGCTCACGATGCACTGCTCTCGATGCTCTGCTCACGATGCTCTGCTCACGATGCTCTGCTCACGATGCTCTGCTCACGATGCTATGCTCACGATGCTATGCTCACGATGCTCTGCTCACGATGCTCTGCTCACGATGCTCTGCTCACGATGCTCTGCTCACGATCCTCTCCTCACAATGCTCTGCTCACGATGCTCTGCTCACGATGCTATGCTCACGATGCTATGCTCACGATGCTCTGCTCACGATGCTATGCTCACGATGCTATGCTCACGATGCTCTGCTCACGATGCTCTGCTCACGATGCTATGCTCACGATGCTCTGCTCACGATGCTATGCTCACGATGCTATGCTCACGATGCTATGCTCACGATGCTCTGCTCACGATGCTCTGCTCACGATGCTATGCTCACGATGCTATGCTCACGATGCTAAGCTCACGATGCCATGCCACTGCCATGCCATGCCATGCCATGCCATGCCACTGCCATGCCATGCCATGCCATGTGCCATGCCATGCCACTGCACTGCCATGCCATGCCATGCCATGCCACTGCCATGCCATGCCATGCCATGCCATGCCATGCCACTGCCATGCCATGCCATGCCACTGCCATGCCATGCCATGCCACTGCCATGCCATGCCATGCCATGCCATGTCATGCCATGCCATGCCATGCCATGCCACTGCCATGCCATGCCATGCCATGCCACTGCCATGCCATGCCATGCCATGCCACTGCCATGCCATGCCATGCCATGCCACTGCCATGCCATGCCATGCCATGCCATGCCATGCCACTGCCATGCCATGCCATGCCATGCCATGCCATGCCACTGCCATGCCATGCCATGCCATGCCATGCCATGCCATGCCACTGCCATGCCATGCCATGCCATGCCATGCCATGCCACTGCCATGCCATGCCATGCCATGCCACTGCCATGCCATGCCATGCCATGCCATGCCATGCCATGCCATGCCATGCCATGCCATGCCTTGCCATGCCATGCCATGCCATGCCATGCCATGCCATGCCATGCCACTGCCATGCCATGCCATGCCATGCCACTGCCATGCCATGCCATGCCATGCCATGCCATTCCATGCCATGCCATGCCATGCCATGCCATGCCACTGCCATGCCATTCCATGCCATGCCATGCCATGCCATGCCATGCCATGCCACTACCATGCCATGCCATGCCATGCCATGCCATGCCACTGCCATGTCATGCCATGCCACTGCCATGCCATTCCATGCCATGCCATGTCATGCCATGCCATGCCATGCCATACCATGCCATGCCATGCCATGCCATGCCATGCCACTGCCATGCCATGCCATGCCATGCCATGCCATGCCATGCCACTGCCATGCCATGCCATGCCATGCCATGCCACTGCCATGCCATGCCATGCCATGCCACTGCCATGCCATGCCATGCCATGCCATGCCATGCCACTGCCATGCCATGCCATGCCACTGCCATGCAATGCCATGCCATGCCATGCCATGCCATGCCATTCCATGCCATGCCATGCCATGCCATGCCACTGCCATGCCATGCCATGCCATGCCATGCCATGCCATGCCATGCCATGCCTTGCCATGCCATGCCATGCCATGCCATGCCATGCTACTGCCATTCCATGCCATGCCATGCCATGCCATGCCACTGCCATGCCATGCCATGCCATGCCACTGCCATGCCATGCCATGCCATGCCACTGCCATGCCATGCCATGCCATGCCACTGCCATGCCATGCCATGCCATGCCATGCCATGCCATGCCACTGCCATGCCATGCCATGCCATGCCACTGCCATGCCATGCCATGCCATGCCATGCCATGCCACTGCCATGCCATGCCATGCCATGCCATGCCACTGCCATGCCATGCCATGCCATGCCATGCCACTGCCATGCCATGCCATGCCATGCCATGCCATGCCACTGCCATGCCATGCCATGCCACTGCCATGCCATGCCATGCCATGCCATGCCATGCCATGCCTTGCCATGCCATGCCATGCCATGCCATGCCATGCCATGCCACTGCCATGCCATGCCATGCCATGCCACTGCCATGCCATGCCATGCCATGCCATGCCATGCCATGCCTTGCCATGCCATGCCATGCCATGCCATGCCATGCCTCTTCCATGCCATGCCATGCCATGCCATGCCATGCCACTGCCATGCCATGCCATGCCATGCCATGCCACTACCATGCCACTGCCATGCCATGCCATGCCACTGCCATGCCATTCCATGCCATACCACTGCCATGCGATGCCACTACCATGCCATGCCATGCCATGCCATGCCATGCCACTGCCATGCCATGCCATGCCACTGCCATGCCATGCCATGCCACTGCCATGCCATGCCATGCCATGCCATGCCATGCCATGCCATGCCACTGCCTTGCCATGCCATGCCATGCCATGCCACTGCCATGCCATGCCACGCCATGCCATGCCACGCCATGCCATGCCATGCCACGCCATGCCATGCCATGCCACGCCATGCCATGCCATGCCACGCCATGCCATGCCATGCCATGCCATGCCACTGCCATGCCATGCCATGCCACTGCCATGCCATGGCCATGCCATGCCACGCCATGCCACGCCATGCCATGCCATGCCACGCCATGCCATGCCATGCCATGCCATGCCACTGCCATGCCATGCCATGCCATGCCATGCCACTACCATGCCACTGCCATGCCATGCCATGCCACTGCCATGCCATTCCATGCCATGCCATGCCATGCCATGCCACTACCATGCCATGCCATGCCATGCCATGCCATGCCATGCCACTGCCATGCCATGCCATGCCACTGCCATGCCATGCCATGCCATGCCACTGCCATGCCATGCCATGCCATGCCATGCCATGCCATGCCACTGCCATGCCATGCCATGCCATGCCACTGCCATGCCATGCCATGCCATGCCATGCCATGCCACTGCCATGCCATGCCATGCCATGCCATGCAATGCCATGCCATGCCATGCCATGCCATGCCATGCCACTGCCATGCCATGCCATGCCATGCCATGCCATGCCACTGCCATGCCATGCCATGCCACTGCCATGCCATGCCATGCCATGCCATGCCATGCCTTGCCATGCCATGCCATGCCATGCCACTACCATGCCATGCCACTGCCATGCCATGCCATGCCACTGCCATGCCATGCCGCTGCCATGCCATTCCATGCCATGCCATGCCATGCCATGCCATGCCATGCCATGCCATGCCATGCCATGCCACTGCCATGCCATGCCATGCCATGCCATGCCACTGCCATGCCATGCCACGCCATGCCATGCCACGCCATGCCATGCCATGCCACGCCATGCCATGCCATGCCATGCCATGCCATGCCACTGCCATGCCATGCCATGCCATGCCATGCCATGCCACTGCCATGCCATGCCATGCCATGCCATGCCACTGCCATGCCATGCCATGCCATGCCACTGCCATGCCATGCCATGCCACTGCCATGCCATGCCATGCCACTGCCATGCCATGCCATGCCATGCCATGACACTTCCATGCCATGCCATGCCACTGCCATGCCATGCCATGCCACTGCCATGCCATGCCATGCCATGCCATGCCACTGCCATGCCATGCCATGCCATGCCATGCCATGCCATGCCCATGCCATGCCATGCCATGCCATGCCATGCCATGCCATGACACTTCCATGCCATGCCATGCCACTGCCATGCCATGCCATGCCATTCCATGCCATGCCATGCCATGCCATGCCATGCCATGCCATGCCACTGCCATGCCATGCCATACCATACCATACCATACCATACCATACCATACCATACCATGCCATACCATACCATACCATACCATACCATACCATACCATACCATACCATACCATACCATACCATACCATACAACACAATACCATACCATAAAATACCATACCATACCGTACCGTACCATGTTCTACCATGCCATCCCCTTTTCTATACCAGGTGATGCGGCAGCGGCGCATAGACAGGGGAGCGCTCACGCTGGCATCACCGGAAGTCAAGTTTGAGATCGACACCGAGACACACGACCCACTTGACGTCGGTACGACCCTCTCTGCCTCTCTGCACCTCAACACCACATGATAGGGGAGTTCGTACTGCAATGGAGGCTCGTTAGTAGTGATTCTCGTGCTCTGTGCTCCATCATCCCTGCGAGCTGCGCACAGAGCACAGATAGAGGTTACGGGCAAAACTCGCAAACCCCTCACCTGCTCTGCTCCCCTCGCTCCTCCCTCTCACCTTCTCTCCCATACTCAGGCGGCACCCCACCCCATCGCCCAACATGTTTGAGCCGCTGCTGCGCACAGCACAGGCAGTGGGGATCGCCATTGACACGTCCTCCTCCAAGAATCTCGCTGATTCGCTTGACCGCGCTGTGGTGAGTTGACCAGGGTGCAGTCCCGTTGACTCTTGTTGACTTTCCTGACATGCTTCATTATCTAGAGTTCTTCCTGATATCCTTCCCATGGCTGGCTTCCCACTTCCATTATTGTCACCATCTCCGGTGCGCCTCTTCCATTCTCCACGATGCTATGCTCACAATGCTATGCTCACGATGCTATGCTCACGATGCTCTGCTCACGATGCTCTGCTCACGATGCTATGCTCACGATGTCACGATGCTCACGATGCTATGCTCACAATGCTATGCTCACGATGCTATGCTCACGATGCTATGCTCACGATGTCACGATGCTCACGATGCTATGCTCACAATGCTATGCTCACGATGTCACGATGCTCACGATGCTCTGCTCACGATGCTATGCTCACGATGCTCTGCTCACGATGCTCTGCTCACGATGCTCTGCTCACGATGCTATGCTCACGATGTCACGATGCTCAGGATGCTATGCCACGATGCTCTGCTCACGATGCTCTGCTCACGATGCTATGCTCACGATGCTATGCTCACGATGCTATGCTCACGATGCTATGCTCACGATGCTATGCTCACGATGCTCTGCTCACGATGCTATGCTCACGATGCTCTGCTCACGATGCTCTGCTCACGATGCTATGCTCACGATGCTATGCTCACGATGCTATGCTCACGATGCTATGCTCACGATGCTATGCTCACGATGCTATGCTCACGATGCTCTGCTCACGATGCTCTGCTCACGATGCTCTGCTCACGATGCTATGCTCACGATGTCACGATGCTCACGATGCTATGCCACGATGCTCTGCTCACGATGCTCTGCTCACGATGCTATGCTCACGATGCCAATCACGATGCTCACGATTCTCTGCTCACGATGCTATGCCACGATTCTCTGCTCACGATGCTCTGCTCACGATGCTCTGCTCACGATGCTCTGCTCACGATGCTCTGCTCACGATGCTATGCTCACGATGCTATGCTCACGATGCTATGCTCACGATGCTCTGCTCACGATGCTATGCTCACGATGCTCTGCTCACGATGCTCTGCTCACGATGCTATGCTCACGATGCTATGCTCACGATGCTATGCTCACGATGCTATGCTCACGATGCTATGCTCACGATGCTATGCTCACGATGCTCTGCTCACGATGCTATGCTCACGATGCTATGCTCACGATGCTATGCTCACGATGCTATGCTCACGATGCTCTGCTCACGATGCTCTGCTCACGATGCTCTGCTCACGATGCTATGCTCACGATGTCACGATGCTCACGATGCTATGCCACGATGCTCTGCTCACGATGCTCTGCTCACGATGCTATGCTCACGATGCTATGCTCACGATGCTATGCTCACGATGCTATGCTCACAATGTTATGCTCACGATGCTCTGCTCACGATGCTATGCTCACGATGCTCTGCTCACGATGCTCTGCTCACGATGCTATGCTCACGATGCTATGCTCACGATGCTATGCTCACGATGCTATGCTCACGATGCTCTGCTCACGATGCTATGCTCACGATGCTATGCTCACGATGCTATGCTCACGATGCTATGCTCACGATGCTATGCTCACGATGCTATGCTCACGATGCTATGCTCACGATGCTATGCTCACGATGCTATGCTCACGATGCTCTGCTCACGATGCTATGCTCACGATGCTCTGCTCACGATGCTCTGCTCACGATGCTCTGCTCACGATGCTATGCTCACGATGCTATGCTCACGATGCTCTGCTCACGATGCTATGCTCACGATGCTATGCTCACGATGCTCTGCTCACGATGCTCTGCTCACGATGCTCTGCTCACGATGCTCTGCTCACGATGCTATGCTCACGATGCTCTGCTCACGATGCTCTGCTCACGATGCTATGCTCACGATGCTATGCTCACGATGCTCTGCTCACGATGCTCTGCTCACGATGCTATGCTCACGATGCTCTGCTCACGATGCTCTGCTCACGATGCTATGCTCACGATGCTATGCTCACGATGCTCTGCTCACGATGCTCTGCTCACGATGCTCTGCTCACGATGCTATGCTCACGATGCTCTGCTCACGATGCTCTGCTCACGATGCTATGCTCACGATGCTATGCTCACGATGCTCTGCTCACGATGCTCTGCTCACGATGCTCTGCTCACGATGCTATGCTCACGATGCTATGCTCACGATGCTATGCTCACGATGCTATGCTCACGATGCTCTGCTCACGATGCTATGCTCACGATAATATGCTCAAGATGCTATGCTCACGATGCTATAATCACGATGCTATGCTCACGATGCCATGCTCACGATGCCATGCTCACGATGCTCTGCTCACGATGCTATGCTCACGATGCTATGCTCACGATGCTATGCTCACGATGCTATGCTCACGATGCTCTGCTCACGATGCTCTGCTCACGATGCTCTGCTCACGATGCTATGCTCACGATGTCACGATGCTCACGATGCTATGCCACGATGCTCTGCTCACGATGCTCTGCTCACGATGCTATGCTCACGATGCCAATCACGATGCTCACGATTCTCTGCTCACGATGCTATGCCACGATTCTCTGCTCACGATGCTCTGCTCACGATGCTCTGCTCACGATGCTCTGCTCACGATGCTCTGCTCACGATGCTATGCTCACGATGCTATGCTCACGATGCTATGCTCACGATGCTCTGCTCACGATGCTATGCTCACGATGCTCTGCTCACGATGCTCTGCTCAAGATGATATGCTCAAGATGCTATGCTCACGATGCTATGGTCACGATGCTATGCTCACGATGCTATGCTCACGATGCTATGCTCACGATGCTCTGCTCACGATGCTATGCTCACGATGCTATGCTCACGATGCTATGCTCACGATGCTATGCTCACGATGCTCTGCTCACGATGCTCTGCTCACGATGCTCTGCTCACGATGCTATGCTCACGATGTCACGATGCTCACGATGCTATGCCACGATGCTCTGCTCACGATGCTCTGCTCACGATGCTATGCTCACGATGCTATGCTCACGATGCTATGCTCACAATGTTATGCTCACGATGCTCTGCTCACGATGCTATGCTCACGATGCTCTGCTCACGATGCTCTGCTCACGATGCTATGCTCACGATGCTATGCTCACGATGCTATGCTCACGATGCTATGCTCACGATGCTCTGCTCACGATGCTATGCTCACGATGCTATGCTCACGATGCTATGCTCACGATGCTATGCTCACGATGCTATGCTCACGATGCTATGCTCACGATGCTATGCTCACGATGCTATGCTCACGATGCTATGCTCACGATGCTCTGCTCACGATGCTATGCTCACGATGCTCTGCTCACGATGCTCTGCTCACGATGCTCTGCTCACGATGCTATGCTCACGATGCTATGCTCACGATGCTCTGCTCACGATGCTATGCTCACGATGCTATGCTCACGATGCTCTGCTCACGATGCTCTGCTCACGATGCTCTGCTCACGATGCTCTGCTCACGATGCTATGCTCACGATGCTCTGCTCACGATGCTCTGCTCACGATGCTATGCTCACGATGCTATGCTCACGATGCTCTGCTCACGATGCTCTGCTCACGATGCTATGCTCACGATGCTCTGCTCACGATGCTCTGCTCACGATGCTATGCTCACGATGCTATGCTCACGATGCTCTGCTCACGATGCTCTGCTCACGATGCTCTGCTCACGATGCTATGCTCACGATGCTCTGCTCACGATGCTCTGCTCACGATGCTATGCTCACGATGCTATGCTCACGATGCTCTGCTCACGATGCTCTGCTCACGATGCTCTGCTCACGATGCTATGCTCACGATGCTATGCTCACGATGCTATGCTCACGATGCTATGCTCACGATGCTCTGCTCACGATGCTATGCTCACGATAATATGCTCAAGATGCTATGCTCACGATGCTATAATCACGATGCTATGCTCACGATGCCATGCTCACGATGCCATGCTCACGATGCTCTGCTCACGATGCTATGCTCACGATGCTCTGCTCACGATGCTCTGCTCACGATGCTCTGCTCACGATGCTATGCTCACGATGCTCTGCTCACGATGCTATGCTCACGATGCTATGCTCACGATGCTCTGCTCACGATGCTCTGCTCACGATGCTCTGCTCACGATGCTCTGCTCACAATGATATGCTCAAGATGCTATGCTCACGATGCTATGCTCACGATGCTATGCTCACGATGCTCTGCTCACGATGCTATGCTCACGATGCTATGCTCACGATGCTATGCTCACGATGCTATGCTCACGATGCTATGCTCACGATGCTATGCTCACGATGCTATGCTCACGATGCTATGCTCACGATGCTATGCTCACGATGCTATGCTCACGATGCTATGCTCACGATGCTATGCTCACGATGCTCTGCTCACGATGCTATGCTCACGATGCTCTGCTCACGATGCTCTGCTCACGATGCTATGCTCACGATGCTATGCTCACGATGCTCTGCTCACGATGCTCTGCTCACGATGCTCTGCTCACGATGCCATGATCACGATGCCATGCTCACGATGCTCAGCTCACGATGCTATGCTCACGATGCTCTGCTCACGATGCTCTGCTCACGATGCTCTGCTCACGATGCTCTGCTCACGATGCTATGCTCACGATGCTATGCTCACGATGCTATGCTCACGATGCTATGCTCACGATGCTCTGCTCACGATGCTATGCTCACGATAATATGCTCAAGATGCTATGCTCACGATGCTATGCTCACGATGCTATGCTCACGATGCTATGCTCACGATGCTATGCTCACGATGCTCTGCTCACGATGCTATGCTCACGATGCTCTGCTCACGATGCTCTGCTCACGATGCTCTGCTCACGATGCTATGCTCACGATGCTATGCTCACGATGCTCTGCTCACGATGCTATGCTCACGATGCTATGCTCACGATGCTCTGCTCACGATGCTCTGCTCACGATGCTCTGCTCACGATGCTCTGCTCACGATGCTATGCTCACGATGCTCTGCTCACGATGCTCTGCTCACGATGCTATGCTCACGATGCTATGCTCACGATGCTCTGCTCACGATAATATGCTCAAGATGCTATGCTCACGATGCTATAATCACGATGCTATGCTCACGATGCTATGCTCACGATGCTATGCTCACGATGCTCTGCTCACGATGCTATGCTCACGATGCTCTGCTCACGATGCTCTGCTCACGATGCTATGCTCACGATGCTATGCTCACGATGCTATGCTCACGATGCTCTGCTCACGATGCTCTGCTCACGATGCTCTGCTCACGATGCTCTGCTCACGATGCTCTGCTCACGATGCTATGCTCACGATGCTCTGCTCACGATGCTTTGCTTACGATGCTATGCTCACGATGCTATGCTCACGATGCTATGCTCACGATAATATGCTCAAGATGCTATGCTCACGATGCTATAATCACGATGCTATGCTCACGATGCTATGCTCACGATGCTATGCTCACGATGCTCTGCTCACGATGCTATGCTCACGATGCTCTGCTCACGATGCTCTGCTCACGATGCTCTGCTCACGATGCTATGCTCACGATGCTATGCTCACGATGCTATGCTCACGATGCTCTGCTCACGATGCTATGCTCACGATGCTCTGCTCACGATGCTCTGCTCACGATGCTCTGCTCACGATGCTATGCTCACGATGCTATGCTCACGATGCTATGCTCACGATGCTATGCTCACAATGCCATGCTCACGATGCTCTGCTCACGATGCTATGCTCACGATGCTCTGCTCACGATGCTCTGCTCACGATGCTCTGCTCACGATGCTATGCTCACGATGCTATGCTCACGATGCTATGCTCACGATGCTATGCTCACGATGCTCTGCTCACGATGCTCTGCTCACGATGCTCTGCTCACGATGCTCTGCTCACAATGATATGCTCAAGATGCTATGCTCACGATGCTATGCTCACGATGCTATGCTCACGATGCTCTGCTCACGATGCTCTGCTCACGATGCTATGCTCACGATGCTATGCTCACGATGCTATGCTCACGATGCTATGCTCACGATGCTATGCTCACGATGCTATGCTCACGATGCTATGCTCACGATGCTATGCTCACGATGCTCTGCTCACGATGCTCTGCTCACGATGCTTTGCTTACGATGCTCTGCTCACGATGCTATGCTCACGATGCTATGCTCACGATGCTATGCTCACGATGCTCTGCTCACGATGCTCTGCTCACGATGCTCTGCTCACGATCATCTGCTGACGATGCTCTGCTCACGATGCTCTGCTCACGATGCTCTGCTCACGACGCACTGCTCTCGATGCTCTGCTCACGATGCTCTGCTCACGATGCTCTGCTCACGATGCTCTGCTCACGATGCTATGCTCACGATGCTATGCTCACGATGCTCTGCTCACGATGCTCTGCTCACGATGCTCTGCTCACGATGCTCTGCTCACGATCCTCTCCTCACAATGCTCTGCTCACGATGCTCTGCTCACGATGCTATGCTCACGATGCTATGCTCACGATGCTCTGCTCACGATGCTATGCTCACGATGCTATGCTCACGATGCTCTGCTCACGATGCTCTGCTCACGATGCTATGCTCACGATGCTATGCTCACGATGCTATGCTCACGATGCTATGCTCACGATGCTCTGCTCACGATGCTCTGCTCACGATGCTCTGCTCACGATGCTCTGCTCACGATGCTATGCTCACGATGCTATGCTCACGATGCTCTGCTCACGATGCTCTGCTCACGATGCTATGCTCACGATGCTATGCTCACGATGCTCTGCTCACGATGCTCTGCTCACGATGCTCTGCTCACGATGCTATGCTCACGATGCTATGCTCACGATGCTCTGCTCACGATGCTATGCTCACGATGCTATGCTCACGATGCTATGCTCACGATGCTCTGCTCACGATGCTCTGCTCACGATGCTCTGCTCACGATGCTCTGCTCACGATGCTATGCTCACGATGCTCTGCTCACGATGCTCTGCTCACGATGCTATGCTCACGATGCTCTGCTCACGATGCTATGCTCACGATGCTATGCTCACGATGCTCTGCTCACGATGCTATGCTCACGATGCTCTGCTCACGATGCTCTGCTCACGATGCTATGCTCACGATGCTATGCTCACGATGCTATGCTCACGATGCTATGCTCACGATGCTCTGCTCACGATGCTATGCTCACGATGCTATGCTCACGATGCTCTGCTCACGATGCTCTGCTCACGATGCTCTGCTCACGATGCTCTGCTCACGATGCTATGCTCACGATGCTCTGCTCACGATGCTATGCTCACGATGCTATGCTCACGATGCTCTGCTCACGATGCTATGCTCACGATGCTCTGCTCACGATGCTCTGCTCACGATGCTATGCTCACGATGCTATGCTCACGATGCTATGCTCACGATGCTCTGCTCACGATGCTATGCTCACGATGCTCTGCTCACGATGCTCTGCTCACGATGCTCTGCTCACGATGCTCTGCTCACGATGCTATGCTCACGATGCTCTGCTCACGATGCTATGCTCACGATGCTATGCTCACGATGCTCTGCTCACGATGCTATGCTCACGATGCTCTGCTCACGATGCTCTGCTCACGATGCTATGCTCACGATACTGTGCTCACGATGCTCAACTCACGATGCTCTGCTCACAATGCTCTGCTCACGATGCTATGCTCACGATGCTCTGCTCACGATGCTCTGCTCACGATGCTATGCTCACGATGCTATGCTCACGATGCTATGCTCACGATGCTATGCTCACGATGCTATGCTCACGATGCTCTGCTCACGATGCTATGCTCACGATGCTATGCTCACGATGCTATGCTCACGATGCTCTGCTCACGATGCTCTGCTCACGATGCTCTGCTCACGATGCTACGATGTCACGATGCTCACGATGCTCCCCACTTCGAGCGTAGCATCGTGAGTCTAAGGGCGTGGGTCTCAGAGCGTGGGTCTAAGGGCATGGGTCTAAGGGCGTGGGTCTAAGGGCGTGGGTCTAAGGGCGTGGGTCTAAGAGCGTGGGTCTAAGAGCGTGGGTCTAAGGGCGTGGGTCTAAGGGCGTGGGTCTAAGAGCGTGGGTCTAAGAGCGTGGGTCTAAGAGCGTGGGTCTAAGGGCGTGGGTCTAAGAGCGTGGGTCTAAGAGCGTGGGTCTAAGAGCGTGGGTCTAAGAGCGTGGGTCTAAGAGCGTGGGTCTAAGAGCGTGGGTCTAAGAGCGTGGGTCTAAGAGCGTGGGTCTAAGAGCGTGGGTCTAAGAGCGTGGGTCTAAGAGCGTGGGTCTAAGAGCGTGGGTCTAAGAGCGTGGGTCTAAGAGCGTGGGTCTAAGGGCGTGGGTCTAAGGGCGTGGGTCGCGTGGGTCTAAGAGCGTGGGTCTAAGAGCGTGGGTCTAAGAGCGTGGGTCTAAGAGCGTGGGTCTAAGAGCGTGGGTCTAAGAGCGTGGGTCTAAGAGCGTGGGTCTAAGAGCGTGGGTCTAAGGGCGTGGGTCTAAGAGCGTGGGTCTAAGAGCGTGGGTCTAAGGGCGTGGGTCTAAGAGCGTGGGTCTAAGAGCGTGGGTCTAAGAGCGTGGGTCTAAGAGCGTGGGTCTAAGAGCGTGGGTCTAAGAGCGTGGGTCTAAGAGCGTGGGTCTAAGAGCGTGGGTCTAAGAGCGTGGGTCTAAGAGCGTGGGTCTAAGAGCGTGGGTCTAAGGGCGTGGGTCTAAGAGCGTGGGTCTAAGAGCGTGGGTCTAAGAGCGTGGGTCTAAGAGCGTGGGTCTAAGAGCGTGGGTCTAAGAGCGTGGGTCTAAGAGCGTGGGTCTAAGAGCGTGGGTCTAAGGGCGTGGGTCTAAGAGCGTGGGTCTAAGAGCAGAGCCTGCCAGAGGGCGGAGGCAAGGGGGTGGTGCGGGCACTAGCAGAGAAGTACATATGTGCGCGAGCCCACGTGTTCTATGGCACGGTTTACTCGACGTTCTCCATGGATATCATCAGGATTCGGGCGGCAGAAGGGGTGGCGAACTGCATGGATGGGAACGTGGAGGAGTAGGGTTAGTGGTGGTTTGGATGATCATGGTTCTTTGTCAGTTGTTGGAACTGCTTCTGTTATGCAGATATGGTAACACCGTCCACATGCAGGCAAGAATGTATGTATCGTAAGATTGGGTGTGCATCCGCTCGTGCATGCATGGGCTCCGTTGCATTCAGTTAGAGATTTCTCTCCCACCCCAAAGTAGGGTACCTGAGCCAGAAAGGCAGGACTGAGCGGACTCAACTCAACCCGCTATATATCCGCAATGAAAAAAAAAATCTTCTAACTTTACAATCTGCTCACAGCACTGTACTGTGAGGAAACCCCTTGCTGTTGCACAGCTTGTAATTATTCTGCTAGAGCCGATTGGAAGGCTACGGTACTTTGTTGCTTCTGCGAGCACCCAACACGCGCATGCCGGGCTGTGGTTACTTCTTCCTGCTGCCAGCACCCACCACGTGTCAGTTGCTACTTTGTTGCTTCTGCAAGCACCCAACACGCGCCTGCCGGGCTGTGGTTACTTGCCGGGCCGAGGCTACTTCTCAGCTGCCTTGCCAACCACCTTGGGCATCTTGTGTGTGCCAGCTGGATCCACACAGAGAGGAGCGATGGAGTGGGGAGATTGAAAAGTCCAGAGGGAATGGGAACACAGGGGAAAGGGAAAACGGGTGGAGATGAGATGAGCAAATGAGACGAGGAAATGGGAATGCGCTGGCCCTTGCAAGTTGCAACCATGCAACCAAACTCACACACACATCCCTCCTACCACACACAGATGCACTCACAGTCTTCAACATCCTTCAGCTTGTAGTAGTGCGGTGCGATTTCAACCAGCCACTCAGGCTTAATCTCCACCACCTGTCGCATAAACTCCTTGCTCGTGTAGACCAGCTCGTGGTATACCACCCACCGCGGCAGCACCTGCGCCAGCCCTGAGCTCGGGTGGATGTGCACCGTCTGGGGGTTCTTGACTGTCCGATACGTGCGGTTCTTTTGGAGACGAGCTGTGTGGTAGAAGTAGCCTGCACAGGGGAAAGGAGTGAGAAGGGGAAGAACTTGAGCGGATGTGCACGGTTTGAGAGTCCTTGACTGTCGTTGTGTGCAATTCTTTTGCAGGCGAGCCGTATGGTAGACGTAACATGCACGGATTGACGTGGCGGAACAAGGGAAGAAAGAAAGTCGGGCTCGGGTGGATGTGCACTGTTTGAATGTGAGGGTCTTCACTGCTTCATCGCCATCTTGCTTGCTTCGAACAGTGAACAGTGAATGTGCACTGCACATTTTTATGAAGCGGATGAGGCAGAATTGGAAATGCATCAGTGCTGCTGTTTGGAGAATCACTGTGCCATCAACAAGGAAAAAAACAAAGGCGAGCTCATGTGGATGTGCACTGTTTGGAGGCTCTCACCAGCAGTGATGGCCTTTTTGATTGCATCCAAATCGCCAGTGCTACTACTCGGTTCGATCTCCACTCGTTCCAGCAGCCCCATCAGCTGATCGCGCACATCCCGCGCCATCTTCATACTTCGCACCTGATGATGGGTGGAGAGGAGAGCAGATATGTGGGGAATGCAGGAGAAAAGTGTGGATGGCAGGGGTAGGAAGCGCCCCGTTCACGTGCAACAGCCCCATCAATCGGTCCCGCACGCACGTCCCATGCCAACTTCATGCTTCGTACCAGAAGGGATGGGAGAAAGATGAGGGTTATGAATGAAGAGAATGGAAAGCAGAGGAGAGGGAAGGTGTGGTTCTCATGCATCACGCTCACCTGAATGTAGTTCTCGTAGCAGAATTGAGACGAGAAGCTTGTCTCAGCCCACTGCTCGTAGACACGGAGCAGAGCTATATGGTCGCCCACGTTGCCCGTGTGGAAGTTCATGCGCGCGTTGTCTGCATGCACCACCATGGCCATACCCCACTCACTTGGATATAATTCTCGTAGCAGAATTGAGAGGAGAAGCTGGTTTCAGCCCACTGCTCATACACGCGTAAGAGAGCTATATGGTCGCCGACGTTGCCCGTGTGGAAGTTCATGCGCGCGTTGTCTGCATGCACCTGCTTGTGAGGTTGCTGCTTGCTGCTTGCACCAATAAGACCATACCCCACCCACCTGAATGTAGTTCTCATAGCAGAACTGGGAGGAAAAACTTGTCTCGGCCCACTGCTCGTAGACTCTTAGCAGCGCGATGTGGTCGCCGACGTTGCCTGTGTGGAAGTTCATGCGCGCGTTGTCTGCATGCACCTGCTTGTCCTTTGGCCGGTAGAACACGGCATTGCCCACCGATAGCATGGCGCATATGGTGGCCGCTTCTTCAGAGCAACTGGGGGAGGGAAATGGGGATGGGTGTTACGAAGGTAACAGAAGATGCAGTTGTGTGTGTGGACCCATGGGCGGTAGAACATGGCATTGCCGACTGATAGCATGGCGCAGATGGTGGCTGCTTCCTCAGAGCAGCTGGGGGAGGGAGTGAGGGATGGGAGACGAAGGATGGGGGATGAGCGATGGGGGATGAGAGATTGGACGGAGAGGGGACAGCGGGGAACAGAAGGGGCAAGTGGAGAAGGGTTGGATACACTCGAGCATTGGTTGGAGTTTTCAGATCAGACACCCCGAACTCAGACTCACAGGTATTTATCAGAAGCTACAAGCATCTTCGACATCTGAGGGTCGAGAGGGAATTCAGCCATCTTCCTGCCCAGCTTGGTCAACTCGCCCCGGTCGTTCAGTGCCCCCAGCGCATACAGCATCTCCAGCGCCCGCAGCAGCGTCTCCGCAGGGGGCGGATCCATAAAATCAAAATTCAGCAAGTCGTTAATCCCCAGGGACTTGAGCATCAGCACGACATTCCCAAGGTTCGTCCGCTGAATCTCCGGCACGGTATTATCCTCCAACTCATTCGCATACGACCACGCTGTGTACAGCCGGAAGCATTTCCCAGGTGACGTTCTCCCGGCTCTCCCCGCGCGCTGATTCGCCTGTGCCTTCGACACGGGAGTGACTATCAAAGACTCCATGCCGGTGCGTGGGTTGTAGCTCTTCTGCTTCACAAACCCCGGGTCGATCACGTATTTAATCCCATCGATCGTGAGAGAAGTTTCCGCGATGTTTGTCGCCAGAACCACCTTCCGGGCCCCCTCGGGCGTCTTCTCGAAAATTTTCGCCTGCATGTCGGTGGGCAGGTTCGCGTAAATCGGGCAGATGATCATTTCTGCAATTTTTGTCCCCAGCCCCTTAGTTCTATGCCTGAGAATCTCCTCAGCCGCCTCAATCTCCTCCTGCCCAGTCAGGAACACCAGCACGTCTCCCGGCGGCTGCGTTACATGAATCTGTAACACGGTTACCACCGCGGCATCCAAATAATCCGCCTCAGGCGCCTTCGTGTAGTGTATATCCACGGGATACCTCCTCCCGGGAATCCGGAAGATCGGCGCGAAATCAAAATACTCGCTGAACTTTTCCGCGTCAAGCGTGGCGCTCGATATCAGCAGCTTCAGATCCGGCCGGAACCGTGCAATGTCCTTCACAAGCCCGAACAGCACATCGGTATGAAGCGTCCGCTCGTGCGCTTCGTCCACCATCATGACAGAGTAGCTTGCGAGGTCTGGTTCGCTGAGGAATTCCCGGAGAAGCATGCCGTCGGTCATGTATTTGAGGACGGTCTTGTCGGACGTGCAGTCCTCGAAGCGAATGGAGTAGCCCACCTCGTGCCCCAGCTTGCACCCCACCTCCTGGGCTACTCGCGCTGCTACGCTCATTGCTGCCACTCTCCGGGGCTGCGTGCACCCGATCTAAGGGGCAAGAAGGGGGGGAAGAAGGGAATATAACCCCTGTCTGAAAAATAGAGCTTTCTCAAGCAGGCCTCCCAGGCAGGGTTCAGCTTGCACCGCACCTCACCTTGCCCCACCACTCACTTTCCCCCACCCCTCACCTTGCCCCACCCCTCATTGCTCACCTTGCCTCACCTTGCCCCACCCCTCACCTTGCTCCACCCCTCACCTTGCCTTGCCCAACCCCTTAGCTCGCCCCATCTTGCCTCACCTTGCCGCGCTTGCCGTATCCCTCTTCATAGAGATACTGTGGGATCTGAGTCGTCTTGCCCGACCCCGTCTCTCCCACAATCACCAGCACCTGCACTCACACACAGAAGCAGGCCGCATACAAAAACGGCACTTATTTCAGCTGTGAATACTAAAATATAAATACAATACGAGATCCTATTATTCTCTGTTACACACATGGTGACGCATGTGCCTGGTGATTGCTGAGGCACCTCCCAACCGCACCAGCAGCACCTACGGGTGGACATTGATAGCTTGCAGCAGCTCCTCCCTGTATCGGTACATGGGAAGGTTCTTCCTCTCCGCCTGTATCCTGTGAGAGACGGCCGACAACTCATGTACACCTGGTGATTTCTGGCTTGTAATCCCCTGTACCCACCTGGTGGTCGTTGATGGCTTGCAGCAGCTCTTCCCTGTATCGGTACATGGGCAGGTTCTTCCTCTCTGCCTGTATTCTGTCAAACGCTGACTTGGCCTTTGATACCTCCACCTGCCGCTCCCTCTCCTCCTCGTCCTCTGAACCCTCCTGCACCCATTCACAGCGCATCAGACAGCAGGATACCCCATTAGCACCGCAGTCAACCACAGAGGGTGAGCCAGTTTCACCACAAAACCACTTCCATTAGATTAGACTATATTCTACATCCTCACCAAATATTACTATTACCATTAACACTACCACTATCATTACCATTACCACTACCCCTACCATTACCGTTACCATTACCGTTACCATTATCATTATCGTTACCATTACCATTAACACTACCATTACCATTACTAATACCACTACCATTATCACTACCACTACCATTTCCATTACCATTACCATTATTATTACCATCACTACTATCATTACCACTACCATTACCATTACCACTACCACGCGGCGTTACCATTACGCCGCGTTGCCATTACGCGGCGTTACCATTACACGGCGTTACCATTACGCGGAGTTACCATTACCATTACCATTATGAGGCGGCGTTACCATTACGCGGCGGCGTTGCCATTACGCGGCGTTACCATTACCATTACGCAGCATTACCATTACGCGGCACTACCATTATGCGGCAGTACCATTAAGCGGCATTACCATTACGGGGCATTACATTACGCGGCATTACCATTACGCCGGCATTACCATTACGCGACATTACCATTACGCGGCATTACCATTACGCGGCGTTACCATTACGCGGCATTACCATTACCATTACGCGGCATTACCATTACGCGGCATTACCATTACGCGGCATTACCATTATGCGGCATTACCATTACGCGGCATTACCATTACCATTACGCGACATTACCATTACGCGGCATTACCATTACGCGTCGTTACCATTACGCGGCATTACCATTACGCGGCTTTACTATTATGCAGCGTCACCATTACGCGACGTTACCATCACAACTACTATTACCATTACCACTACCATTATGATTACCACTACCATTACCACCACCATCACCACTACCATTACCAGCAATGGAAAACGTACACAAAAAGCCAGCCATCTCCCGATACAGCACTGTAGTACTCACCCTGTCACTGCAAGCTTTCCTGGGGTACTTTCCTGACATTGCAAGCTACTGTGAGAGCACTCACCCTGTCATCCCCAGCCATGATGGTATCTTTAATGAAGTCGATCTGATCCTCAAACACATACTCGTACTGCTCTGCCTCCACCTTGCGATCCTTTGACCCAAAGTTCACCGTCGCCTTGCCTGCCACACACGATGCACGCGATACAGAGGCAGGAGACGAGACACATGGCACATAAGATCAACGCGCATGACGCACGGTCCATGGTCCATGGCACAAAGGACTATCTTAGCAGCAGATCCTACTCCATCCACTGTCCGTCAAGCTGGCGTTATGGTCCATGGAACACAACATGCTTGAGAGGGTGAAAGTCCTCCCGCGCAAGTACCCTCCCGCGGGAGGGTGTGTCCTTCTCATTCTCCCATTCTCCCATTCTCCCACTCCCACCTATTTGATGATTCTCCCATGCCTCTTGCTCTGCCCGTGGAGTCACCTTGTCATCTCCTTCCACATCCCTACACATAGCGTGGGATGGACAGAGGAACAGAGGGGCAGCGCGAGATGAGGAGGGGAGGGGGACGAATAATGAGAGAAGAAGAGGGATGTTGAAGACTGCACAACACAGCACATCAGAACACACACATTTTCTTCGCCTGTTCAATGAATGTCGTTCATAACATACGACACGATGTATGGAACATGATTACACAACACAACATGCATTCACTCTCTGCGCACACACCCACATCCCTCTCCACCGCACTCACTGGTATCGCTTCATGGCCACGGCGAACCTCTTGTCCTGCTGCACCTTCTCCTCCTTGTCGTACGCCTCTGGTAGATGGTACTGCATTGATGGGTGGCCGAGGGGGGGAGTCGAGTTGAGACACAACAATGAAGTAAGTAGATGCACCTCACAAGGCCTCTTGCTCTGCTGCACCTTCTCCTCCTTGTCATACGCCTCTGGCAGGTGGTACTGCCACAGGGAGCATGAGAGGGAAAGGATGCTGACTGAGACATCAGCATGCGCTTCATGCGTCGGTGTCTTGTCCTGCTGCACCCGATATTCCTTGTCATACGCCTCTGGCAGGTGATGCAGGGCCGTAATGCAGAGGAAGGCGCATGTGATATCGCACGTGCACTCACCTCGGGCACCTTCCCCACGTCCTCCAGTTGCTGCTTGGCCAGCGCGACCTCCTTGCGCTTGTGGGGGGTACACATGATTCTGCATGCGGTGACGCATGTGGCGGTGCATGTTATTACGCATATTTGTGTGCAGCTGCACTCACCTCCAGCACCTTCCCCACGTCCTCCACTTGCTGCTTGGCCAGCGCCAGCACCTTGCGCTTGTACCGCTGCTCCGCCTGCTCCCTCTCCGTCAGCTTCACATCGGAAAACAAATACTCCTCGTCCACCAGCTCGTCCCTGCGATACAAGCACAATGCAGAGAAGCACCACACAAAGTCACATGGACTAGTGTCACAATCTACAGCACACATGCACTTGCTCAGAAACAGAGTTGTGTGCTAAGATAGCTGCAAGTTGCAACAGCGAGATATGGCACAGAGCACAGAGAGAGCGGTGTTTACTCGAGCTCCTGCAGCTTCTTGGCTTCTCTCTTTGCAAGGTACTCCTGCCTTCGGATCTCCCTCAGACTCGGCATGAGGTCATTCGAGTTGCACGCCAAGATATGACACAGGCAGGGAAGATAAACGGTATGACCCGGACAGCACAGCACAACACTTACTCGAGATCCTGCAGCTTCTTGGCTTCGCGCTTTGCGAGGTACTCCTGCCTTGAGATCTCCCTCAGACTCGGCATAAGCTCCCTCTGCTGCCCTATTTCTATGACACCTAAAGTTATAGCACAGAACGAGCAATTCTTACTCGAGCTCCTGCAGCTTCTTGGCTTCGCGCTTTGCGAGGTACTCCTGCCTTGAGATCTCCCTCAGACTCGGCATCAGCTCCCGCTGCTGCTCCGCCTCCTGCCTCCTCCTCAACGCCTCTGATGGGTTTGTGCACACATGACATTGCACAGCATGGGAGTGTACGGTATGGCACGGAGGGGGAGGGAAGGGAGGGGAAAAGGGGGAAGAGGAAAAGAAGAAGAGGGAAGAACAGGCAGGGGAAACCAGGTAGCAGAAACGAGAGTGGTGAAGATAATGGACAAGAGGGTGGACATGTGAAATAACGGTGAGTGAAAAGCAGGAATATGAAGAACGTAGAATAAACGAATGGGAAGCAGGGAGGGGGTGCGGAAGGGGCAGGAGGGGAAGGAAGCCTGTCATGGTGCAAGGTGGATGAATGGATGGAGAGCCAAGCAGCGGTGATGGTGGCACATGTCACGTGCATGTGAAGCATGACAGGTGACAAATGGCGTTGTGAGGCTGACGTTGAGAGTGTGACACGTGGCAGCACGCGACTGACTGACCTTGCTCCTTCTTGGAGAGCTTCGGCTCTAGTTTCTGCGAGCAGAAAGAAAGGGATGTGGAGGGATGGGGAGGGATGGGGAGGGATTGTGAGGGGAAACGAATGGGAGGGAGAGGAAAATGAATGCAAGTTACTGGGAAGAGCAAGAGGAGGTGAGGGGGGAAGGCGATGAGGGTGGCGGAAGGGGGAAGATGAGGAGCAAGGGAAAGTGGAATGGGGTAAAATTGAGGCGAATAAAGCAGGGAAGATGGGGGGTGAGGCGCCGAAGCAGCAAGATACTGACGAGAGAAGCGAGAGAAGCGAAAAAAGAAAGGGCTGGTCGCTCCTCAAACTCCTCACCCCACCTTGGTGCGTTCCTCATCACGCTGTTTTAGCCTTTCCTCAAACTCCTCCCTCTCCAGCTGGTCGCGCTCCCTCTCCACCTCCCTCTGCCTCTCCAATGCTGCCTGCCAACACACAGCAGCACCCAGCAGCACCCAGCAGCACCCAGCAGCACCCAGCAGCACCCAGCAGCACCCAGCAGCACCCAGCAGCACCCAGCAGCACCCAGCAGCACCCAGCAGCACCCAGCAGCACCCAGCAGCACCCAGCAGCACCCAGCAGCACCCAGCAGCACCCAGCAGCACCCAGCAGCACCCAGCAGCACCCAGCAGCACCCAGCAGCACCCAGCAGCACCCAGCAGCACCCAGCAGCACCCAGCAGCACCCAGCAGCACCCAGCAGCGCACAGCGCACAGCAGCACCCAGCAGCACCCAGCAGCACCCAGCAGCACCCAGCAGCACCCAGCAGCACCCAGCAGCACCCAGCAGCACCCAGCAGCACCCAGCAGCACCCAGCAGCACCCAGCAGCACCCAGCAGCGCACAGCAGCACACAGCAGCACCCAGCAGCACCCAGCAGCACCCAGCAGCACCCAGCAGCACCCAGCAGCACCCAGCAGCACCCAGCAGCACAGCGCCCAAAAGCGCCCAGAGCAATCAAGAGCACACAAGAGCACACAACCGCAGTCAACAGATAGATGAAGCCCGTTGTCAGTTGTAGATTGCAGGGGAAGTGCTGAATCGAGGGAGCATGGATGGCAACCCATAACAGAACAAGACACATCAAATCTTGAATGCATGTCGCGTACAATGCATCAATCAGGGCACCCGTGCACAGCTCTGCATGCAACGCCTCCTATCCTACTCCATACCCCCAACAATCCACTCTCTTACCTCTTCATCCTCCTCCTCCTCCGCCTCTCCCTTCCGTCGCCCACTCCTGTGCTCGCCTTGTCGACCTTTCTTGCGCTGAAACTCTGCCAGGGCCTGGGGTGGGAGAGGGCAGGGGCATGAGGAAGAGGAAGCTAGTTTTGAGGCGCCTCAAAACTACGTTCCTGTGCTCGCCTTGCCGACCTTTCTTGCGCTGAAACTCTGCCAGGGCCTAGGGGAGGGGGAGGGCAGGGGCATGAGGAAGAGGAAGCTAGTTTTGAGGCGCCTCAAGACTATGCTCCTGTGCTCGCCTTGTCGACCTTTCTTGCGCTGATACTCTGCCAGGGCCTGGGGGGTGAACAGGCAGAGGCATAAAGGGTCAAGAAAGGGAGGCAGAAGCTAAATTACCGCATGAAAAGGTGAGAGAAACCCTCAACAAGCACGGGAAACGAGTGCAGGAAGTCAACAGGCACTACCACGCTACCTGAGCAGTGGCATCATCATCCGCATCATCCCCACCGTCCATCTCATCCCTCCTCCTCCTCAACCGCCTCCTCTTCTTCCCCTCCTTCCCCCCCTCCCCCTCCCCTGCTCCCCCTCGCCCATCCCTTTCCCTCTCTTCCTCCTTCCTCTCCCTCTCCTCCCGCTCCCTCCCCCTCTGCCTCTCCCGCTCCCGCTCCTCTTCCTCCTCCTCATCATCTGCGTCTAGCAAGGCGTACTGCTGCTGCCGGCGAGCAAACTCAATGGCTGCTTTCTCCTCCGTTTTGTATGCCTGCCATAGGTTGCAGCGGATCACAAGATAGTAGTGAGTGAGCAAGGAAAACGGGTCACAAGCAGGGAGAATTCGGGGAAATAATGCGTCTGAATAATATGCAAACTCAATGGCTTCCTTTTCCTCCTTCTTGTACGCCTGCCATAGGTTGCACCAGCGGACAGGATAGGGGTGAGCGAGGAGGAGGGAGAAACGGTGAATGGAACGAGTCACGGCACAGCGGGGTGAGGAGAAACGCCACTTTTGAGTGCAACGGGGAAGAACGCTACTCCTTGAACTGTCTATTCTGAACTTAGAACGCGGCACTTGTGCAGGAAGCTTATGCGGGAGTGCATGGGAGTGCATCCATGGCTTACAGCTGAATGCGAAAGTGTATCTTAACCTCCCCACCGCGATCCTATCCTGAGCAAGACATACCGAAGGACCTTTCTTGGCGCTCGGTATTCTCGAGGCCAGCTGGCTGGCAAAGGCTGACGTGGCGGGCGACGCCGGAAGGCCATTGGACGAGAGGCTGGATGTGAGAGCGCTCACGCTGGACGATCTCTTGGCTGCGGAGTGGACACGTGGCACGAGTGGGACAGGAAGTAAGGCAGAGATATGAAGGGCGGAATTAGTTTCTCGCTTGAACGGAATTAGTTTCTCGCTTGAACGGATAGCGAGTCGCGACCATATACACACGCTCTGCAGAATATTCACTACCTTTCAACAGAATTCGATTGGATTCGCTATAAGCGACGCACCTAACGCGATAACGAAGGTAACGAGGCTGGACTCGGAGTAGCCAAGGATTTGATACAGTTGATCCGACACCCACGTCTTTAACTCCTTCTCGTCCGCCATTCCTCGATATTGCCGCTAAGAGACGCCAGGTAATGATGGAAGGTGACGCGTCCGCGACTGTGGTGCAGAAAAAAGCCTACAGGTAGACTAGAAACGAGCCTCGCCACCTCTCTAAATCTATAAGGTCTAAGAGACTGGCAGAAGGTGGTGTTATCTAAGTATTCTAAAGCCAAGCCAAACGTTGTAGTGAGCTTGACGTTTACGAAACGAAGCAAAACTGTTATAAACCTTCTAGGAGGACCTGATGTCCTAATCCCGATAATGACAGATTCGCTTTGAGGACTCGCCTCTGTTGAAGTGAATTTACACTGTCGATGCTGTACAGTATCCGGAATAAAACATTTTGCTGAAAGATTTTGAACCCAAATGAAAGCCACTCCCAGGGGTTCTCTTAGAACCCTGGGTTTGCGACTCGTACAGTAAGATTCCATTCTCCGATACTCGATGCTTGGTCAGTGTCGAGTGAATTATGAATACTACTCAATTGCTTCTCATTCTGATCACCTGCTAGTCTGATCATCCGCTTGTTAGCTGTTAGGGTTTGATCGTCTGATCATCCCTCTTCGTGCAATACGGCTTCCCGTGGTTTTGATACACTTGCCTGTTGAAAGCATTCGTTCTTTGTTCTTTGGGGTTTCGATTCCGAACCGTCGTGTCTTCGATTCGCTGCCTGAAGAGTCAGTAGGAATGGCGGACGCAGCGCAGATTGACGAGGCGCTAAAGCAGTTGACGGCGATCCAAGACGAACTAGACAAGGTGCAGACAACGTTAAGATCCGACGGATTCCGTCCTTTATCTTTCGCATTTTCTACGGAAGCACGTGAAGCTGCTTTCATCAGAACATCCCGAGCCCGGTGTCCGCCTCTATCATTCCTCCACGGTCTTTTCCACCACAGCTAACACCGTAGAGCTCAACCCTTTCTCTCCTTCCAATCCCTCTTTCCTTCTCTCTCTCCGTTCTTGCCTGGTCGTACAGCTCGTTCTTATCGTACTCTCCTGTCTCCTCATAACCGAAGTATAACAAGTTAGAGATTAAGTCTACTATTCCTTCCCCTCCCCATCGTGCTCTCCTCATACCCTCTTCGTTCTCCCTCGCTCGATTTAGGTCAACGAGGAGGCGAGTGACAAGGTGTTGGAAGTAGAACAGAAGTACAACAAGCTAAAGCGGCCCATTTACGAGCGACGCCAGCAATTAATATCGGAAGTTAACGACTTCTGGATGACAGTGGTACGCGGTTGTTCTTCTGAGTCGACTCAGCCTGTTGAGTCGGCTCAGCGAGTTTTTCCACCCATGTGGTCTCTCCTTTCGTCGGTTCTGTTACGTTTTCCACGTTCCTGTTTCCCCGTTCTTCCCAACTGACTATTTCGCGCATTGTGTCTACGTTAACTTCTGTGTTTTGTTGATCGCAGCTTCTCAATCACAATCTTCTTCACGCGTTTTTCACAGAAGAGGATAGACAGGTGAGGGAAGATATAGAACCAACAAGTCAGAATATGCTCACTGGAAACTCTTGAATGCCACCCGGTTATTGTGCCTCGCCTCACCTATTCTTCGCCTGGGTGCGCGGACTGTCTTCTTCGTTCCGTCAAGTTCTAGGCCGTCATATTTGTCTTTTCCATTCTCTCCTCCATTCGTCCTCGCATACCACTCACCATGTCATTCGTATCGCTCCCTCACTTCCCAAACCCCCGTACTACGCTATAACCCCCTTGTTACGCTCACCCCTCCCTCCTGTGCTACCCCCGCTCCCTCCTCCCCTGCGCGCCACCATGCAGGCACTGGAGTATCTGAGGGGGTTAGACGTGGAGGACTATAAAGACATCAAGTCGGGCTACAGCATCACCTTTGTACGTTCTTAAAAAGCTCTTACAATCCCCTTAATCAGTACTCTATTTTCTCCAATGATCCACCGGCTCCACTCGCTTCCCGGTACTAATCCACGTGTCAGCTTGTCAGGCTTTGAAGCAAAGGGTTCACGTGTCTAGGGTAGTATTTGCCCCCGGCGTGACTGTCCCTCCAAAAAGCCCTGAATCTCATTAAGGGGAACCGACATCCAGGTGTAATAGGCTCGCCTTTATTAGGTGAATTTTTGAGAATATTAGTCACTGTAAATCTTTGAATGATGCAATCATTTGTTTATCTCTCTATCATCCACATCACACTTTCATTTTCGTCACCCCTGTTTGGTCGGACTGGCAGACATTCGCGGAGAACCCATACTTTAAGAATAAGGAGCTGACCAAGAGCTACAAGTACACGGAGGAGGGCACTGCCAACGTGGAGGAGAGGCGATTGGTTGTCTTGTCTCTCACTCGTCTTCATCATCCTTTCATTTCCTTCAACCCTGACAGACGTTCGCGGAGAACCCATACTTTTCGAATAAGGAGCTGACCAAGAGCTACAAGTACATGGAGGAGGGCACTGCCAACGTGGAGGGCACCAAGATCGAATGGAAGGAAGGCATGGTGAGATCAGTGGGAGGGGGGCATGGTGAGATCAGTGGGAGGGGGGCATGGTGAGATCAGTGGGAGGGAGTGGTGGTGTGGTGGTGGTATGCTTGATTTGCACTCGAGGTGTCCCTTAGGGTGGCTCAGCACACGGAGGAGGGCACTGCCAACGTGAAAGGCACCAAGATCGAGTGGAAGGAGGGCATGGTGAGATAAGCGGAAGGAGGGCATGGTGAGATAAGTCTCAGTCATATTCTTATCCAGATTGTTGCGTTGATCCACTCTCTTTTCTCCACCACCTCCCCCACCCCACCCCCCTGTGTTCACTCCCCACCCCCCACTCTCTTTTCACCCATTCTCATCATCTACGCGCTCCACCTTACATCCATCTTCGTCCACTCCCTCTCTCCAATCCGCTCTAACTTTCACCATCGACCCTTGCTCCCACCATCTGCACCCGCTCACATCCCATCGTCTGCCCCATCTCCCACCATCCACCCTCTCTCCCATCATCCACTCCTTCTCACTCCCTTGTGCTGTTCTCTCGGACCTGACGGCACCAAAGCCCAAGCAGGACAATGCAGGTACGCAGAGAGCCCACTGAAAACCCCTCTCTCTTATTTTCCTGCCCCTCTCCCACCTTCCTGCCCCTCTCCCATCGTGGTTTGCACCGCTCTGCAGGACCTGACGGCACCAAATCCCAAGCAGGACAAGCCAGGGAAGAAGAGACCACTGGAGAAGCAGGAGAGGTGAGATGGTTTGACCTTCACCTGAGATCTACTGCTCTCTCACTCACTGTTCTTCACTCGCTGCTGCCATTCATTGCGCTCTGACTGTTCCCCCTGCCCCCCTTACCCTCCCCCCCCCCACCCCCCCCTCTCCCCCCCCCCTCCCTTCCCCCCTCTTTCCTTACCATGCATCTGTTCGAAGTGGTTTGAAGCTGATTTCTCCCCTTTCCCTCCCCGTTCACCCACCCCCCCCCACCCTCCGTCCACCCTTGTGCACGCACCCTACACCTTTTTCCATAACTTTGAAGTGGTTGAACACATTGGTTTTCTCCGTTTTCCCCCATCCTCCACCTTCCCCTCCCCTTCCGCCTTTGTGCCCGCACCTTGCAGCTTCTTTAAGTGGTTTGAGGTGGACGAAGCCACTCAGGGCACCTCATCACCCGATGATGTGAGTCAGAGCGGTGGGGGTAGTGGGGGTAGTGGAATGAAGATGAAGGATTTTGTGGGTCGGAGCAATGGGGGTAGCAGTGGAGGGAGGTTTTGAGTCGATTCAGAAGTCTTCAAGTGGTTTGAAGTGGACGAAGCCACTCAGAGCACATACCACCTGATGATGTGAGTCAGGGCCGGTGGGAAGAGAGGATGATGTGAGTCAGAGTGGTGGGAGGGGGGATGATGATGTGAGTCAGAGCGGTGGGAGGGGAAATGATGAGTCATAGCGACGGTGATAGATATGAAGGATGATCAGGATTTTTCCCCACTCCCTTCTCTGCCAATCGTACCATCACTCTTCCTCACTGCTCCATCCATGGCAGTCGCAAGTATTTTTTTCAAGGCACCTGGAAGAATAGAAATAAACGTTCTCACTGCTCTTTGCCGCTCCGCTCTGCCCCTCTGCCTCCCTGTCCTTCCACACGAATGTGCCGCTGTGCCTCTTCCCCGCTGTGCCTCTTCTCCGCCGTGCCTCTTCTCCGCCGTGCCTCTCCTCCGCCGTGCCTCTTCTCCGCCGTGCCTCTTCTCCGCCGTGCCTCTCCTCCGCCGTGCCTCTCCTCCGCCGTGCCTCTCCTCCGCCGTGCCTCTTCTCCGCCGTGCCTCTTCTCCGCCGTGCCTCTCCTCCGCCGTGCCTCTTCTCCGCCGTGCCTCTCCTCCGCCGTGCCTCTCCTCCGCCGTGCCTCTCCTCCGCCGTGCCTCTCCTCCGCCGTGCCTCTTCTCCGCCGTGCCTCTTCTCCGCCGTGCCTCTCCTCCGCCGTGCCTCTCCTCCGCCGTGCCTCTTCTCCGCCTTGCCTCTCCTCCGCCTTGCCTCTCCTCCGCCGTGCCTCTTCTCCGCCGTGCCTCTCCTCCGCCGTGCCTCTCCTCCGCCGTGCCTCTCCTCCGCCGTGCCTCTCCTCCGCCGTGCCTCTTCTCCGCCGTGCCTCTTCTCCGCCGTGCCTCTCCTCCGCCGTGCCTCTCCTCCGCCGTGCCTCTCCTCCGCCGTGCCTCTCCTCCGCCGTGCCTCTTCTCCGCCGTGCCTCTTCTCCGCCATGCCTCTTCTCCGCCGTGCCTCTCCTCCGCCGTGCCTCTCCTCCGCCGTGCCTCTTCTCCGCCGTGCCTCTTCTCCGCCGTGCCTCTCCTCCGCCGTGCCTCTCCTCCGCCGTGCCTCTTCTCCGCTGTGCCTCTCCTCCGCCGTGCCTCTTCTCCGCCGTGCCTCTTCTCCGCCGTGCCTCTCCTCCGCCGTGCCTCTTCTCCGCCGTGCCTCTCCTCCGCCGTGCCTCTCCTCCGCCGTGCCTCTTCTCCGCCGTGCCTCTCCTCCGCCGTGCCTCTCCTCCGCCGTGCCTCTTCTCCGCCGTGCCTCTCCTCTGCCGTGCCTCTCCTCCGCCGTGCCTCTCCTCCGCCGTGCCTCTCCTCCGCCGTGCCTCTTCTCCGCTGTAGCAGGTGGCGCAGTTGATCAAGGAAGATGTGTGGGTCGACGCGCTGAATCACTACCTGCAGGTGGGAGGGGAATTGGGGTGGGGTGGGGTTGGCGCGGGTTTGTGGGGTTGGCGCGGGTGGGGGGGTGGCGCAGGTGGGGGGTTGGCGCGGGTGGGGGGTTGGGGTTGGGAGGGCTGCTGTGGCAGGTGGCAGGGTTGATCAAAGACGATGTGTGGGTCAACGCGCTGCAGCACTACCTGCAGGTGCGAGGGGGTGGAAGGGAGGGGGGGGGGGGGGGGGGGGGGGGGGGGGGGGGCAGGGGGGGAACTGCGGTGAATGGGGAGGAAAGGGTGCGTGAGGGAGGGAGGGACGAGGTATTGAGGTGGCAGAGCTGATCAAGGACGGCGTGTGGGTCAACGCACTGCAGCACTACCTGCAGATGGGAGGGCGCGGGTGGAGGGGACGGGTGGTTGGAGGGGGCGGGTGGGTGGGCCGGTGGGCGGGTGCATGGGCAGGTATTGTGGTGAATGGGGAGGGAAGGGTGAATGGTGGCAGAATTGATCAAAGACGACGTGTGGACCAACAGTGCAGGTCAGAATAGTGAGTGAGTGTGCATGAGCTGGGTGGGTGGGGGAGAGAATCCCTCTCTGTGCGGAGTTAGCAGCATCAAGGCAGTCTGCGTTATCTCGTCGTGGTTGTTCTCTCTCCCTCTTTTGCATGGCATTGCAGGAAGAGGAGGAACTTGAGGGAGATGAGGATGAGGATGAAGAGGAGGGGGAAGAGGGGGAGGAAGGGGAGGACGACGATGAAGATGGCGATGGGGAGGAGGTGAGTTTTCCATACATTCACGTTACATTTCAAAGATTGGTTATTTTTAGCGTATTGAGCTTCAGGCTTGCTACAGTGAGCTGTTCATGTTTATGACTCATGACTCATGAAGCAAAGCTTAGTAGGTAAGCAACGTATGATTCATCATCTCTCATCCCTGCTGTCCATTGCAGGAGGCGGAGGAAGATGAGGGATGAAGGCTGAAAGCCTTGTCGCCTTTCTTGTCACTCTCAGGTCAGGTTCTGGTTCTTTTTCCCCAGCGGGAATCTAATAGAAATACGGTAGGGTTCAATAGGCGGCTGCCATTTCAATAGAAGTCTTAGATAATGGAAATGGCACCTTCTACTCTCGATAGTGCACTCTCCGCACCTACCTACCCACCTTTCACCCTGCCATTCCCGTAGAAGGTGCTATGCCACGTGCCAGTGCATAGGGGGGGACCAAGTAGCATTGTGCTGCAATGGATGTCTTAGATCGAGGCATCTGCTTCATGGCAAGCTGCCATGAAGAATGGGGCTACACTGGCTACAGGTTCATCTGTGGATTCAAAGAATGCACTAATGCAGTAATGTTTCAACATCTGGCTGACTGTGCAATGCCATCACATCATCCTAGGCTGTAATTTGTACATTGTGAAGAGGAGATATGACACCACTCCAATCTACCGGTACTACCAGTTCTTCCACACCCCCCAGCCCAGGGGAACCTTGGCAAATTGCCCTCTAGCAACCCCTGCGAGCAGGCTAGCAGAGGAAGCAACAGCATAGAAGTTCTTAGGTGTAGCAGCAATGGACTCAAACACCGCCTTGTAGCTCTTCCCATTGGCTGCTATCAGGCCACTCACGTTCAGCCACGTGCCATTGAAGCTGTAGGTGTAGACAGGCACGGCGACAGGCTTGGCGCCAGCCCCGAACCTCCTTGCACCCTGCCCCCAGGCGTTCCCTGTTGCGATGGCTCCAACAGTGCCAGTGATGTTGATCCACGTGGCAGAAGATGAGAGGTCGAGCACGACAGGGCCTGATGTCCTGGCTGCGCCGCTGTTGATGGTAACTGTGGTTGGGATCTCTGGCGAAGAAACCTGGATGGTTACGTTGTAACGGACATCAAAAGTGGAGGTGTTGGTTTTGATGAGGGCGAGGCTGACGCGAGCAGCAGAGTTAACGTCGCCGGTAACTTGGCCGGTCTGGTTGACGATATTGACGCCCAGAAGAACCGCCTCTACTGCGCCTGCAATCTTGGGTGGGAAATTGTACTTGGCGCTGTTATTGTTGGGTTTCTGGCAGGCGACTTGCGAAATGGCAAGGATGGATAGAAGGACGACAGACAGGGCAGTCTTGCTGAAACCCATGGCTAGGAAACACGGTAGGTAAGAGTAAGCGGAGCTTTCAAGGTTGTGTTTGCTGTAGATAGCTAAGGTTGCGGGATGTGAGAATCTGCTACTTGTGTTGATCGGGATTGAATGATCTGCTGAGTTTGCTGCTACTTGTGTTGTGTAGCTGTGATATGTGGTGGTTTCAAATTTATGCATGTGCTGGTTCCCACAGGGAGCAATTTCCGTTCCGAGTCGGCCTGTTGAAAGCCCGCGCCGCATGAAGGTGTGGGCAATATGGGACAACGCACCGTCTGCGAGAGGGCGATTTGTTGACGGTGACGCGGTATCTTTGGACGGAAACTGGTTTCGCAGTGGTATGCGAGGCTCGCAGGCCACTCGTGCAGATTGTCGCGACGTCATAACGACAAGATGGTGGCTCCCGTTTCCGGGTTGCCGGCGGTCGGTCTGTGTCGCACCTAGGCTCCAACGTTGGTGCTGGATTCTTCGCTCGGTGCCGTCAAGCCAGTTGAGCGAGGTCTAGGGTAACTTCGCAAATAACCTCGTTTTTGCCATCTTCGTAATCTGACCTTGTTACTGTAACAACCTCGCAAGGCAACAGTCATCGGATGTCATACGTGGCGTGGTGTTATCGTTTCGGATCCCCAAACCACTATCATTGGCCGGTATTGAATCCAGATGTCCGATAGTGGATGGATAAACTTCGCTTCAACTGCGATCCCGAAATGGTGTAACTAAATGCATCGCGTGCTTCGCAATCTCAATGGGCGTCCTGCCTTGCGACCTTCGCATATGTGCGACCTGTGTAACGTATTATTTCGAGTGAAGATGCGAAACCTAGGCAAACCAAAAATATTCCAAACCCCCATTTGCCAAGGCAGCCCGCGGATGCCTCTTCTCTGCCACACGTACGGCTTGAGGTTGTCGTCAGGCCAATCAACTTTTGGGAGTCACTTCTGCCGAACCTCAACCAGCCAAACTTGAGTCATAATTAGCCTCTGGTCTCCTCAAACCACTTCCGGACGTATGGTTTTGACCCGGATCACACATCGCCGTACCTCATTCGCGGCCATTTTGACTGTGAATGTCCGAGCCGAGCCTCATCAGTCAGTCAGTCACAGCAAAAGAGCTGCTCTTTTCCTCTCTCCTCATGAGAGACCATGATAGGTAAGTAGCGGTTTAAAGCGGTAAATAGTTTTGCCGCTTTAAAAAGCACAGCATCGTACTCAACCATTGTCTCGAACCCGATCGTTTGCCTGACTTGTTTGTCACTTTATTAGCAGGCTTGTTCTTCTCCCTTTCGCAGTCTCCTGGTCCCCCAGCATACCAGCAGCAAGCTCGGGAGTGTCGCCTTGTGTGGCTCTTATTCCCGAGTCTCCCGTGCCGATCGCGCTTAGGCAGCTGATCGGTTTTTTTCTTCACACTGCAAAAACGTTCTGAATTGCCCGACATAACGTAGCAGTGTGCAGCAATTCCTCCTTCAGCGCCGCTGTTCATCCTCGTTGTAAGGCTCAGGGATCGTCGTATCCTATTGACCTAATAAACGAAATCTTAATCAACGGTCAGGATGGTTGGGATGCAGATCGACGAGCTCCTGGCCTCAGACGAGCATGCCGTCGCCAAGACTAAGATCATCTGCACGCTCGGGCCGCGATCCCGGGAAGTCCCTATTCTGGAGAAGCTGCTTCGCGCGGGAATGAGCGTCGCGCGCTTTAATTTCTCCCACGGGTCGCACGAGTATCACCAGGAGACCCTGGACAATCTTCGCACCGCGTCCGCCAATACCGGCATCATGTGCGCCGTGCTGCTGGATACCAAGGTAAATAGAAGGTAATCGTTAGGTAATTAACTCCTATGTATATATAGCCACCCTCTTTCATAGTTCACCAGAATCTTCTCTCTATAATGCGTTTCAGCAGAATATGTTCATTGATTTTTTTGCTCTCTGTCAAGGGTGTATCGGTATGCTATCCGGACAGTTTGCTTTTTCGATTGGCTTTAACCAGCTGTGGTCCTTTCTATAGATTGTTTTTTAAGCCGTTACTTACTCCGGCTGCGATTGCGTTCCGCGGCTGGACTAGGAGTGACATTTGTACATCGCCATTGCTCCCGAAAATTGTCATCTCCTTAGACGCTTCAATCATAATTGCCATTCTATCTGCAAAATCGTGGGCTCTGGTCCGCGTGCCGTAAGGACGGAGACTCGTGTAGCTGTGCACGTGGCTCGTCCAGAATAGCATAACTGCGTAGCGAACGTGACCCACACACGAACCCTATCCCCTCGCAACCCCATTCGCATCCCCCCCTCCGCCTCTCCCCCCTCCCTCTTCGCCCATCCTTACCCCCATCCCGGGTCCTGAGAACATTTAACGTAAACTTCCAATCCCCCTCCCCTTCCCGTTTTCCCCGCTCCCTCCCTCTCTTCCGCCCTCCCTAGGGTCCGGAGATCCGCACGGGGTTCCTGAAGGACGGCAAGCCGGTGCAGCTGGTGAAGGGGAACGAGGTGACGATAACGACGGACTACGAGGCACTGGGCGACCAGACCACGATCGCCATGAGCTACAAGAGCCTTCCCAGCGACGTCAAGCCGGGCGGACAGATTCTCTGCGCCGACGGCTCCATCACTCTCAGCGTGCTGTCTTGCAACCCCGCGGAAGGGTGAGTGAAAGAAGGTGGTGCTACTCGTGGGGAATAGTGGGGGATGTATAGGGGCATCATCGCCATAGGAGCTGGGCGACGAGAACACCATCGCCATGAGCTACAAGAGCCTGCGCAGCGACGTCAAGCTCGGCGGTTCAATCACGCTCGGCGTGCTCTCGTGCGTGCAACCCCGCCGAAGGGTGAGTAAGAAGCTGGTGCTACGTTTGAATGGGAGATTTCAGAAAATCGCTTCAGAAAAATGTTTTGAAACGCCTCAGGCAGTGGAGGTCGAGCCGGGGAACAGATTCTGTGTGCCGGCGTACTGGGTAAGAAGGAATGGTAGCTTCGTCTTGCTGTTCCCTAAGGGGCATTGCTGGGCAAGCGGAAAAACGCGTGGCTGCGCCCAAGGTGGTCACGCTTCTCCCCAGTGCGATTCCCTTCTGCCGCCATACCCCTTCTCTCCCGCTCCTTTCAGCTAACAATTGTACCTGCTGCCCTCGTCCCCACCTTCGTTCCATTCAATCACCGACAGCACGGTGCGGTGCCGGTGTGAGAACACGGGATTGCTGGGCGAGCGCAAGAACGTGATTGCGTTGCGTTGTGCCCCTTCCTCCCCCATTCCCCGTCCCGCCCTTCCTTCCCCCCCACATCTGGCTGACAGCACGGTGCGGTGCCGGTTTGAGAACACGGCGGTGCTGGGCGAGCGCAAGAACGTGAACCTCCGCTGGGTGATACCTGTCCGCCCTCTTATCCCGGTCCCTTCCGCCCCCGTCTCTCTGCCCCATCTCCCTTCTCCTACTAACAATTGGCAGCACGGTGCGGTGCCGGTGTGAGAACACAGCCGTGCTGGGCGAGCGCAAGAACGTGAACCTGCCGGGCGTGATAGTGGACCTGCCCACCATCACCAGCAAGGACGAGGCGGACATCATGGGGTGGGGCGTGCCCAACCGCATCGACTTTATTGCCGCCTCCTTCGTGCGGAAGGGGTCGGACCTTGGGATTATCCGGAAGCTGCTGGGGCCGAAATTCAGCAAGTCCATCCAGATCATCTCCAAGGTGAGATGACACGCAGGCACAGGAGAGAGTAGGGTAAGGCAATTCGGATGTGAGATGTACGGGAACTTGGCTTCACTATAGAATGTCTCATGAAGTCAGAAGTCGTGCAGAAGGGTTTGCGGATTGGAGGGATGTGAGTGATTGGAGGGGTCGAGTGTTCACAACATTCTGCAGAAATGAAATGGCATAATGCTGAACACACGACACATTGCCTTGTGTGTCTCACGTCCCAAACAGGTGGAGAATCACGAGGGGCTGGTGAACTTTGACGACATTCTGCGGGAATCTTGCGACGTCATGGTGAACTCGGCATCACGGCATCAGATATATTGTTTTGTGCCTTTGTTACCCTGTGTGCTGTTTCTTAACTCCCTTTGAGCAGGTGGAGAATCAGGAGGGGCTGGTGAACTTTGATGACATTCTGCGCGAGTCAGATGGCATCATGGTAGCTCGAGGCGACCTGGGCATGGAAATTCCCATTGAGAAGATCTTCCTCGCACAGAAGATGATGATCCACAAGTGCAACGCTGCAGGTGAGACGGGGGCTTGTATTGATTTCTACTCCAAAGAGGTGTTTAGTGTAGCATATGGAGATCCTTGTTGAGAAGATCTTCCTCGCACAGAAGATGATGATCCACAAGTGCAACGCTGCAGGTGAGCGATATGCTTGTATTGAATTGTACTCTAAGGTGGTGTTTGGTGTAGAATATGGAAATTTCCATCGAGACGTCCCCCACTCTTCCTAACCCCGCCCTCTGACCCCCCTCCCGTCCCTGTCCAGGAAAGCCGGTGGTGACAGCGACGCAGATGCTCGAGTTGATGACCAAGTCCCCCCGCCCCACACCACCCACTCACGTGCACCACCTCCCCATCCCCTCTCTGTCCAGGCAAGCCTGTGGTGACAGCAACCCAGATGACCAAGTCCCCCGCCCCACGCGTGCCGAGGCGATGGACGTGGCGAATGCAGTGCTGGACGGCAGCCGGCGCATGGCCCGTGGAGGCAGTGACCGTCATGGCATGGCACGCATCTTTCAGCCGACTCAAGCTGCACTCCCGCCTTCCACACTCTCCTCCCGCTCTCTCCCTTCCCTCCCCCCCTCCCTCCCCACCTTCTCCAGGCAAGCCCGTGGTGACAGCCACGCAGATGCTGGAGTCGATGACCAAGTCTCCCCACCCCACGCGTGCCGAGGCAACGGACGTGGCGAATGCAGTGCTGGACGGCACCGACTCAAAGCACTTTTACAACCCTGTCCCGCCTCCCCTTCCCCCCCCCAACTCCAGGCAAGCCGGTGGTAACCGCCACTCAGATGCTGGAATCGATGACCAAGTCCCCCCGCCCCACGCGTGCCGAGGCAACGGACGTGGCGAATGCAGTGCTGGACGGCACCGACGCCGTCATGCTGTCGGGGGAGACGGCGGCCGGCGCATGGCCTGTGGAGGCCGTGACTGTCATGGCACGCATCTGCCGAGAGGCCGAGGCATCGCTGGACTACCACTCCATCTTCAAGACCATCATGGCCGAGGCCGCCATGCCCATGAGCCCTCTGGAGAGTCTGGCTTCGTCTGCCGTGCGCACTGCCAACAAGGTGAGCCTTCTTTCATGTTGTTGTGTTGTAAAGGCGCCGCTAATGGGTGTGTGGGCAGTGGAGGCGGTGACAGGGGGGCATCGCTGGACTACCACTCCATCTTCAAGACCATCATGGCCGAGGCCGCCATGCCCATGAGCCCGCTCGAGAGTCTGGCTTTTTTCTGCTGTTCGCACCGCCAACAAGGTGAGATTCGTTTCATGGTTTCTCTCACCTGTCAGACATCCCCATCCTCCGTCTCCCCACCCTACTGCTTGTTGCCTTCTCCCTCGCTCTTCCAGTGCCTCCCCCTCCCTGTCCTCCATCCACCCCTCTCTCCCTCAACCACCCCCCCCCCCCCCCCTCACCCTCCCCTGGCCAAGTTGACTCAATGCCAAACTCCACCCTTTTCCACCCTCGTCCTTACCCCTTGCCATGATGCCATGCCCTCCAGGCGCGTGCGGTGCTGATCATTGTGCTCACCAGGGGAGGCTCCACCGCCAAGCTAGTGGCCAAGTACCGCCCGCCCATGCCCATCCTCTCTGTAGCCGTCCCCGTTATGACGTCCGACGACCTCACGTGGTCTATCAGTGACGAGTCTCCCGCGAGGCATGCGCTGGTGTGTCGCGGTCTCGTCCCGTTGCTGGCGGAAGGGGCTGCCAGAGCCACGGATTCGGATACGACTGATGAGCTTATCTCAGCGGCGTTGAGAGCGGCCAAGGCGAGGGGGTTCTGCCGTGAAGGAGAGTCGGTGGTTGCACTTCATCGCATTGGGAATGCGGCTGTGATTAAAATCATTTCGGTGAAGTGATGTGAAAGAGGTGAATGATAATACTAGCTATTTTCTTGCCCTCATGTACTACCGATACCTCCGGAATCTAGTCCGGAAGTTTGTAGTTTCTTGCCAATCATGCCTGCTTGAGTTTGGAAACATTGGAACAAAGATCCAGCTGTTTCCCTTTATGCTTGATGCTTAATGCTTAATGCTTGCTTGTAGAGGATTTCCTAGTTTCGAGTGTGACGGCTATTGGTTGACGAGACAGTTACATGCGAGCGTCAATTTGTAATTCCTTAGGCAAACGTGCGCCCGCTCCACCCCCCAACTTTTCGTCAATTCGCATGCACGATTCTTGTCTCACCTTACGACCGGGTGGCGACTCGTATCGACAAATCCGACAGGGGAGGCAAAACAATCTCGAAGCACCGACCTTTTCAGACAAGCAGCGAGAAATCACACGCCCACAACATCGTATGCGAAAGCAACTTACCTTTTTCGCAAATTTGTCACACCCATCCCTCCTCCCCAAGTCTATCCGCGAAAACATCACCAGAAATTCCGCCAAAGCAAAAAGCGGAGCGCGTGATGTGACGCAACCAATCTAGCGCGATTCGATAAATTCATCGCCACCCACACCCATCCCCATCATAGAATTCCAAAATCCAACTCCATCTGCAGGAACGTTTCCATGGTTCTGCGGAAGTCCGCGTCAACTTTTCCTAACTCCATCTGCAGGAACGTTTCCATAGTTCTGCGGAAGTCCGCGTCAAATTTTCCTTTTTTTTGCCGAAGTCAACGTCAGAATTTATAGGATTATTCGTTTTGACTCTCATACGTCTCCTAAATGCGGCATCCAAGCATGGTAATCGCGAGACGGACACTGTTAGGCATCGTCATTCTCCTCCTGCTTTCAGGTACCTGAAACACTGCCTAGACGCAACTCGCGAATGGTGCTGAAAAATGATTCCGCGATTACCGCTGCTCGTGCTCTGTAGCTCTCTCACTTGTTGATACACCAGTTATTCATGCAGGCGCTTTAGCTAAAGGAATCGGTGTTGGCGGTGGGAAGGGGAAACGCAGTGGGAATGGTAATCCGGGCGGTGGAGGCAAGGGAGCAGGGAAGAGCAAGGGCGGCAAACTGTTTGGATTCTTGGGCGGCCGGACCCGCGTTCTCGGTGAGTAAATTTGTCGTTTTCGTGAACAGCCTGTACGCTGGGGTGAGATTGCCTTGGTGTGATGCTTGTTGGAAAGATTGCATCTAGCAGTGTTGTTTTCGCAAGCAAGTGTAAACCGTTCACGACGTGGTTACGCGCGCGCAGGCTCGGTGCAAGCGAAGCTACAAGGAAAATTCGTGGTGGACGATATGGGCGCCAACGCGGGTGCTCGCAACGCGATTGGCACACTGAATTTGGTTTCACTCAGGTACGAGCGAGATTGTGTGTCGTCTCTCGCGCTTCTTTGAATCGACTCGAAAATCAATGGTTCTGGTTTCACTCAACTACGGCAGAGATTTGAGCGATTCGTGTCGACTGCCGCACAGCTGTTGTCACTGCCTTAGATTTGGTGCTTAGTCAGTGACGGACACTTGATTGACGAGGGATGGACGCCTGACAAGACGCCGGATCACCGCTTCTCGCGCCCAACCACTCTTCTCCTTTCACTCTGTCCCCTCGCTTCCCTCTCCCCTCCCTCTCTCCTCTTTCTCGCCTCCTTTTTCCCTCCCTCTGCCATCCCTCACCCTTCTCCTCGCTTCCCTCCTCCAGCAACGGAACCATCACGTTTTCAGCGCGTCTTGAAATGGCCTTACCCGACCTCCCTTCCCCAACCTCCCATCGCAAACTCACCTCCCTCTGCTCTCTCTCTCTCCCCCTTCACCTCCCTCACCTCCTTCGCGCCAACGGTACCGTCATGTTCTTGGCACGTTTTGAAATGACCCAGCCCGAACTCCCTCCTCCGTCTCCATCAACCCCGCCACGTTCTGAGTCGACGCAAAACTCACCTCCCTCACCTCCTTTCCCTGCCCCTCTACTCCTTCCTCCAGCAACGGAACAATCACATTCTCTGCGTGTCTTGAAATGGCCCAGCCCGACCTCCCTTCCTCCATCTCCATCAACGCAGCCCGAGCGTCTTGAGTCAGAGTCCAAACTCACCTCCATCTCCTCTCCCTCACCCACTTGACCTCCCTCCTCCAGCAACGGAACCATCACATTCACAGCGCGTCTTGAGCTCGCCCAACCCGAGCTCCCGTCCTCCATATCCATCAACACCGCCGCCAAGGGCGCCACGGGCGACGTCCTCATCGACCTCTCATCTGACGCCACATGGCAGAACGTTACTGACATGGTCATTATAGCGAAAATGGCGAGGCCTGGTTTTGGTTTGGAGCGGCCGGATCCGAATCCGTATGTGTATGTTTTTAAAGGTTCGTGGAAAGATGCAGCAGCCTTGACTACCACAGATGGGTCGACTTATGAAGAGGTGTTTGATGAGATAAGCAAGACGCCAGCGGCTTTCTATGCGACTGTAGAGACTGAGAGATTTATTTACGGTGCTGCACGCGGGCAGTTTGCTAAGCCTAACCGTGGGTTGGGCATCTTCAAAAAGGCCCGCAATTGAAGAGAGTGAAAGCTTGTTGTAGGTTAATTGGCATGCGAGCATGGTGCTTCTGCCTTGTAATTAAGATAACCATGTTCCTTGTCAAATTGGTGCCTGTTACTATTGTGTAGCTCTCCTCCATGGTATTTGTTATGAGTTGTGAAAGAAGAGAGTGCGCAGAACTCAATAATGCGGAAGTGATTACAACGTCTGCATGAACAACGAGGCCTAGGCACAATATAGCAAGTCCTAGCTAGGCCGAGGTCGCGGGGTCGCGAGATGGTTGGGTGCAGGTTCGGGGTTGGAAAACCCGAAGGCGACGCGGTGGTGGCTCGGAAGGCGAGGTCGGCGGACCGAGCCTGGTTTTCCGAAAGTCGGGGTTGTACGCGTACGGAGTGACCCAGTAAGGAATCCGAAAAATTCCTTACACTACCCCCCCCTTTAAGAAAGGTGGTGAATATCCGAGACACCTCGGCGGGCCAGGTAAGCATCCACAACCGGATGTCCCAGTAGCGAGTCCGCGTTGACGTACGTGTCGTCCTCGCTCGTGCGTTCTTTCCAGCGAAGCAGGAACTTGACCGAGCGGCCGGCGGCGGTCACCTCCACACGATGGTTGAGAATCTTCCAAGGTTCCAGCGTGGGCTCTGCCACGGGGCGTGTGGTCGGCGCGAGGGATGGCCGAGCAACAGCTGGCGACTGCGGCTGTTCGTAATGACGCAGTAGGCTGACGTGGAATGCGTCATGGATTTTCCAGTCATCGGGTAGCAGCAGCTTCGCGGTGACAGGTGTCACCATCTGGATGATACGAAAGGGTCCCACGTATCGGGGCCGTAATTTCGCGGGCTGCGGCAGCAGGAGATTTTTGGTGTCGAGTAGCACAACCTGCCCTGCGCGGAAGGGTAAGTTCCGTCGATGCTTGTCCGCCAGGTGGCTGGCTGTGGTATTAGCCCGTCGAATAAAATCAGCTGCTTTCGTGCGGGCGGTCTGCAGCTCCGTGACAAATTGTTGTGATCGTGGTACCGGGTTGTCCACAGTCGTTGAAGAGGGTACCACGGGGTCTATCCCGTAATTTAGGAAGAACGGTGACTGTCGAGTCGTGGCCGAAGGGGCGTTGTTGTACGCAAATTCCAGCATCGGCAGCGAATCCTCCCACTTGCGGATGTCGGGGCAGTTGGTGCGAATCAGTTGCTCCATGGTCTGATTTGTCCGTTCCGTCTGTCCGTCGGTTTGCGGGTGGTATGACGACGAAAACTGCAGGCGGGTACCGTACTGTGCCCACGTCTCCTGCCAGAACTTCGACGTAAATTTCGGATCTCGATCGCTGATGATCGCCGAAGGTAACCCGTGTAAGCGTACGACGGTGGAGATGAACAGTTTAGCTGTATCTTCGGCTGTGATCGTCGTGCGGCATGGGGCGAAATGCGCCATTTTCGTTAGGCGATCGACGACGACCATTACCGAGTCGTTGCCACTCGCGCCAGCTGGTAGCCCCGTGACGAAATCCATCGTCACCTGTTGCCATGGTCGTTCGGGTGGCTCGAGGGGTTGCAGCAGTCCGGCTGGCCTTTGTCGCGACGACTTCATTGCTTGGCAGGTCGGGCAGGTTGACACGTAGCGCTGCACATCGGTTAACATGTCCGGCCAGTAATAATTCCGCTGCAGCAGCTTCAGTGTTTTGTCGGTGCCGAAGTGCCCGGAAAGGTTGGAGTCGTGAACCTCCTGCGTCAGCAGCTCCCGTAAAGGCTGGTATGCTGGTACCCAAATCCGGTTAGTACCGGCTTTTAGGTAGTACTTGCCGTGCGGCGTAGCAGCCTGTTGTTGCGGGTTCCGAAAAAACCTGTCGATCTTGTAGCCGTGGGTGAATAGTCCCGTCAGCATCGGGTTGGTGTGGGCGATTAGCACCGCCGCGTTTTGCATGGATGGTCGGGTGAGGGCGTCGGCGATGTTGTTGGCGCCCTTTTTGTACGTGATGTTGTACCGAAAGTTGGACTCAAGAAAGTCCAGCCACCGGATTTGTCGCGGGTTGAGTGTCGGTTGCGTGCGCATGTACTGTAGCGATTTGTGGTCGGTTCGAATAGTCACGTCGGCTCCCGTGAGGTAGCAGCGCCAGACGCGGAATGCATGGACGATGGCCAGCATCTCCTTGTCGTGGACTGGGTAGTTGCGCTCGGGTGGGTGCATCTTGCGTGATTCGTAGGCGATGGGTTGCAGCCCTTTGCCGAAGTCCTGTAGCAGGACGGCGCCGACGGCGAAATCGCTGGCGTCCGTGACGACTTCGAACGGTCGAGATGGGTCGGCGAGGCGGAGGACAGGGGGTGACTTCAAAATGTTTTTGAGGGCGTCGAAGGCGGACTGCTCCCTCTCCCCCCACCGAAAATCACTGTCGTGGTGCAGCAGGTCGGTTAGCGGCTTGGTTATCCCTGCCATATTAGGTACAAAACGACGAACGTAGTTAACAAACCCCAAAAAACTTTGCAACTCAGGGATATTAGTAGGCGGCTTCCACTTAGCGATGGCGTCCACTTGACGCGGGTCGATTTTAATCCCTTCGCCAGAAACCACGTGCCCCAAAAACTCTAACTCCGGCTTTAAGAACTCGCACTTAGACCCTTTCGTAATGAGCCGATGCCCCTGTAAACGCCGGAACACCTCCTCTAAATCCCGCAGATGGTCTTCCTTTGTCGCGCTGTACACCATAATGTCGTCCAGATACACAATGACTTTCTTGTCCAGCATGTCTCGAAATATCCCGTTCATGGTGAGCTGGAACGTCGAGGGCGCGTTTGTCAGACCGAACGGCATCACTGTGAACTCATAACTGCTGTAACGTGTGCGAAAAGCGGTCTTCAGGCAGTCGTCGGCGAACACGCGAATTTGGTGGTAGCCTCCTCGCAAGTCGATCTTCGAAAAATACCGAGCTCCGCGAAGTTGATCCAGCAGATCGTCAGTTCGCGGGATCGGGTAACGCGATTTTATCGTGACCCGATTCAGCGCCCGATAATCAATACACATTCTTAGGCCCCCGTCCTTCTTCGGCGTGAACAGTATCGGCGCTGCATACGGCGACGTGCTTGGCCGGATGAAGCCCTTGGCGAACAGATAATCCAACTGTGCCCGCAACTCGGCGAGCTCTGGTTGGCTGAGCCGCCACTGTGACCGTACAGTAGGTTGCGCTCCCGGCTCCAGCTGGATCCGATGATCCTCAGGTCGTTGGGGGGGCAAGCCATCCGGGAGGTCATCCCCGAAAATTTCGGGATACTTCCGAATGATGCTCGCCAATTCCTCGGGGACTGCTGCGCAGAGGGTGTCGATGTCCGCGATTTTCTCGGAAGCTGCCACCTCGTACAGGTGCACCAAGAAGGTCTGAGCTCCGCTGTTCATCGCACGCTGCATGTTGACCGCGTTGACACGTGTCGTCACCGGCTCCGGCTCCGTCCATTTCGGAAGCGTCGTCTTCCCTCCGTATCCTCGCACGACGCACGCCCCAGTCGTCCAGTCGATCGTCGGATTGAATCGCTGTAGCCAATCCCTCCCCAGCAGCACATCGCAGCCGTCCAATGTCGTCGCCAACATTTTCATGCCAAACCCGAAATTGTCGCCGCACTTTATCCGAATTTGTCGCGCCTCATCTCGGATGGCCAGCGGTGTCCCATCCACCAGCCTTGCATCGATCTCCGGCAGACACCTGGTCAGCTTCACCCCTATTTTTTTGGCCGTTGCCAGGTTGACGAGACTGTGGCTCGCCCCACCGTCAACGAATATTTTTATTTTATAACCGTTAACCCTCCCCACCACCAGCACAGGGTAGTCCACGTGTTCACCCACGTTATTCGTCCGGTTCTGGTCGATAGCTCTGATCGGTACCACGACCCGGTGTGGATGGTGATTGTCGGGCGACAGGGTCTCGTCAGTAGGTGGCCCTTCTGCTACTGACTCACATCTTTTCCCGACCCTTCTCCGTCGTTCTTCTTCCCCTGCTTAAGCTTCGGGCAGTCTTTCTTCAGGTGACCCAGCTGGTTGCATTGAAAGCACGGCCCAAGGGCTCGGCTCGGTGCATCCACGCCGTTGATCGTGGGCTGCTGCGGCGGTCTACGAAATCGAGGGCCCTCCCGAGAGCTCGATCTCGCCCACTGCACCAGCGCATCCGTTGACTCGGCTTCCCGGACGGCGTCGTTGAAGCTGCGTGGCCGGGTTCGTCGGACCTCGTACTGTATCTCGTATTTCAGGCCCGCCACGTAGCGATCCAACCGCTCTGCATCGCTCATATCGTCCACTTGGTCCGCCAAGTTGCAGAATTTGCTGGTGTAGTCTTGGACCGACGCCAGCTGCTTCCAGGTACGCAGCTGCATGCGAGCAGAATCCGAGGCGGATATGTGCTCGAATCTGGTTCGCAAGGCGGCGCCCCACTCCTTCCATGTGCGTATCGTGGCCGTCCCGAAAATTGATGTTGCCTGATGCGTGACAGGTGTCGAAGTCCCGTCGTTCGCACGTGCTATTCCTGCCGAAGTCCCTTCGTGCTGCAGCGTTCGCCTCCACCACTCCAGCGCAGGCCCTCGCAACAGTGAAACTGCGAAATTAATGCGGGTGGCATCGTCATAAATCATGGCAGCATTAAAAAACACCTCCACGCCGAACAACCATGCAGAAACAGTGACGAACTTGTCGGTTGGGTTAAACGGGGGCGGGTTTGTCGGCTTGATTTTGACGAAAGCCGTTGTTGCCATCGGAGCCGTTGGCATCGCTGCTGGCGTCGCCGTCGTTGTCGCTGCTGCATGTGTCGGTGCTGCACGCGACTGTTGCGGTGACTGTTGCTGCTGCGCCTGCCTCGCTTCATCCGCACTTATATCGCCTTCCAGGTCGTTCCAGAGCCGCTCCTCCGGTGCAGTGCTGCTACTTGCGTCGTCCACGACAGGCGACTCCTGGCGCGCTTCACCACGCGCCTGGTGTAGTTCGGCGTTTTCCTTCTGGAGACGCTCCATTTCTGCAGACATGGTCCGCATGGTGGCCTGCATCTCCCGGAACTGTTGCATGAACTCGTTGAACTCCGCCTGGTCCATGTGTCGCAGGCTTCGTCTAACGGGCAGGGGGTGGTTCGCGATTTTTCTGACTTCGGTGAAGGCGTTAATGCTATCGTAGTCGGAGTGGAATAATCGGATCTATTCCACGGGCCGACCGCTTAACAGCCCACCAAGTCTATCGCTCCCCTTCTACAAACTACCCCGGAAACGCGAGGGTAACCTAGGACTTTAGGCTCTGATACCAAGTGTTATGAGTTGTGAAAGAAGAGAGTGCGCAGAACTCAATAATGCGGAAGTGATTACAACGTCTGCATGAACAACGAGGCCTAGGCACAATATAGCAAGTCCTAGCTAGGCCGAGGTCGCGGGGTCGCGAGATGGTTGGGTGCAGGTTCGGGGTTGGAAAACCCGAAGGCGACGCGGTGGTGGCTCGGAAGGCGAGGTCGGCGGACCGAGCCTGGTTTTCCGAAAGTCGGGGTTGTACGCGTACGGAGTGACCCAGTAAGGAATCCGAAAAATTCCTTACAATATTGCACCTTTAGTCAATTGAAAGAAAGTATTTCTCTTGAAATTGATATTTCTGCCGTCCTTGCGAGTACAACAATTTCCAGTTGTAAAGCTTGTTCCAACAATCTTTACAAGGTGCGTAGTTTCTTTCAAGGTAGGGAGGATGTTCTGAATGAACTTGCAGAGTGCGCAGTAAAACGAATAACGAGAATGATTGACTACTGAATCACGATACAAGGAAGTGACGGGAATTTATAAGGGGAATCCTAGCTAGGCGAAGGGTTCGGTCTAGGGTGGCTCGGGAAGTGTTGCGATTGGAGCGGTGGCGACTCGGAAGTGGTTCGGGGCGGAAAAGTAGGCCGAACCAGGCTGACGCGTGGTGTTCGGATTGTACTCGCTAAAATGCGAGTACAGTAAGGAATTTCTAATTCCTTACAGAGGATATTGCAGATTTGTGTGTTGAAATGTTACTTCTATATTTGTTGTCGTGCTTACTTTCTCGTAAGACTGAGTACACAGACACACTGGCAGCCCAGGTTGCCGTGTGCGTTTGTGGGGGACCCGCTAAGTGCGACCAGAGCCCTCGTGGTGGTTGAGCTTGAGGGTGGGTGAACCATCGGCAGCAGCTTTACCTACAGAATTTCGTGATCAAATCCGGCATTTCTCGTACGGAATCACAGATACGGATTGTAGGGCAGGAACCTGTTCCAGTTCAAGGCGCAGAAGCAATCACTTACAAAATTGCAGCGCTCAGTGCGGTACCTACACCTGCACAGTACTTAGGGTAATTTTTAAACAGTTCAAGTTAGCACTTCCTACAGTACAAGCCACGGCGCTCAGGTGATCAAAACAAGGGGTAGCTGCATTTGTTGAGCGCAGAAGAACGTGGAATCAATCTGATGTCCCCATGTTTTCTTATTCTGGCAACATTTTACGCCTGAACTCTCAAAATGCTGCTCGCTCCAGCCACATTTCTGCACGCGTGCCCCTCCTCACCTCACCCGATGAGCCCAACCCAACATGTCCTCGTGCACGTTGCTGCTCGGTGAGCGCATTGCTTCTCTGATGCCCACCACTACCGTTCAATCCGTGGGATAACTTGCTGGCGATTGCTGGTCTCTTTCGCACAGAACACCTTCTTGGAAGTCCGCACCGCAATAACAATTGGCCACAGTCGATGGAGCATGCCGTTGTAGGACTGTTCAACATCAGTGGATCAACAACGCAACATCAGTGGATCAACAACGCAACGCCGTAAGATAAGGTGATTTCACAGCGCTGTACCATAGTCATAGGAAATAGGAGGGGAAATTATATGGGAGGTCACAACAATGCCCGTTTTATCACGTTTGGGCACAGGGGTATCACGAACAGTCACAGTACAGTAGATTGCAATCGCGGGTGATCACAGTGCTATCACGGATGGTCACACCTCGCCCCGAAAAGCTATCACGTTTGGTCACTCGATGAAACAATCATAATTAATTTGAAACCACGAATGTAACAGTAGAAATTTTGGGGAATCCCAACCTTGATTGCTTGTTACCACGCGCATTATTCTAGCCCTGACAATTAGGGAACCGAAGAGAAAATATAAACCCCTATTGGATGGCACGTCCTTCGGGAGGCATCAACCCTAAACACATGCGACAAGGTGTTTAGGGTTGATGCTCCTGAATTAAATCCCATCCGAATGGGTTTTAGTTTTTGTATTGGAAACAAAAATAAACTTTAGAGTTTCACCCGTCTAAAAGTGATATTCTTAGGGACATTATGCATCGATCGAACAGTGGACAATCGAAGAGTAAGAAAAAAATGCGATATTTTTATCGAGTTACCGAGAGTTGTCGCGAAACAATTTCGTCATACTACGGACAAAACGGCACGCGCGATAAAATTTACCCTGAATCCCTACAGTGACTCGATTAGTTACATTTTTCGATTGGGCGTTTCATCTGTGACCAAACGTGATAGACTTGCGGGGCAAGGTGTGACTACCCGTGATAGCACTGTGATCACACGCGTTAGAAAACTACTGTACTGTGACTGTTCGTGATACCCCCGTGACCAAACGTGATAGACCGGGCCTAATTGTGACTACCCGTATAATTTCCCAAATAGGAGACATATTCACGGAGTTGCTGTGCTGGTGTGTCGTTACACGCGGGTTGGTGGCTCCTAAAGTTTTTACAAACCAATCGTTTTTTGCCACTGCGATGGCATACCGCATCAGCTTGCAGCATCTTGAAGATTCTGTGCTGACCGGCCGGCCAGGATGAACAGTGTGGGCCCGACTAGGAGACGAAGGCGGCCAAACAAAGCTGCTTCCTTCGTGACAAAAGGTGTTGAGGCGAGCCCTTCGTTTTGTCGGTGCCAGCCTGGCAGTCGCAAGGGCGCGTGGGAAGTGGATCGCTCGTGCAAGGACACCAGAAAAGGAGCAAAAAATCGTGTTCCTCCGCACGACATTTTTTTTTGTCGGTCTTTGTTTCCTTGCAACAAACTACCGACAAACCTCTCCATATCCCCTGGCGTGCGCCGACGAACGCGCATTACGCGGCGGACGAGTGTAATCGGCGTGGAAGCTCTCTCACCTCAACCCAGCCGCTCCTTCCTTGCGCAAGCCGCGAATGGCGAAGGCCAGTCTCTCTGTTTGCAATGCATCATCGTCGAAGCACACTCAACAATCGCGTCGCGAACCGACCCTTCAGGGCCAAGATGGCATCGGGAGGGGAGGACGGACGGCGTAATGCTAGTACTCGCCAGAAAAAAGCACATTGCAAATTTCAATGTCAACCCGATAAGCGTTCAGGTCGCACCACGTTGCTGCTCGTGAGCTTCAAACCACAATCTGGTCTCTGGATTTGGCTGCATTGTACCGCTTTCCTGGCAGCTTCAACATTGATTAGCAAAGCAGAAAATGCGGCGCGTCAATGACCTCAACAAGTCACGATGACAGCGTCACAAGCGAGGAAGGCGGCGTGAGTGGTGAAGGGATAAGTTCCGCTTTTTTTAGTATTAGCTCGAGCTTGCCGCAGAGGTCAAAATTTTAGCTCATGGCTGCTTGGACAATCTCCTCTAATACCAAGCATCTCTTTCCCCGCGGTGTTGCCGCATTTTTTTCTTGAAACAGCTACCAGCACAATGGGTTCCGATGATAGTGATGCTCAGGCGAAGGAGAAACTCGCTGCTGGACGAAATCTAAAAAACGCGTCAGGTCGTTTCGCCACGGCTGCGAATTCGTTAGACGAAATTAGCAGGAGATTTCGCGACTCACAGCAATCATCCCCAAGATCGTCCCACACGGGTTCCCGAGAAAGAACGGAAATACGTCCCAGATGGGGCTCGATAGGTTTAGGAGCGCGAGGATGCAAACATCCAGCTTCCAGTCCGGCGAAGGATAGTAGCTATCCCGCAGTTTGCGGCGATGAAAGCGGCTCACTCAGAGCCGCCGCATTTGGACGTCGAGGAACGTCGTCACTGACGGACGAACTGAAGACTGTGACGGACGAGCTGAACGCAATCCTGCATTCAGCTCCCAACCAACGTGACGGAATCGGAAACACGGGTTTTGCGAACTTGCGAAGCACGGCGGAAGTCGCAGGCTGTTTTCGCGAAGGCGATCAGGAAGTGGTAACCCAGCAGCTCCAGTCGCAACAACATGCTCTGCAGCGCCAGCAGCAGCAGCAGCAGCAGCAGGCAGGAGCGGGAGGAACAAGCCCAGCTGCTTGGCGAGCTAGCGAAAAGCTACTACCCACTTGGTAACTCGTATCCAACGGCTCAGCTGCGAGAAGTTCACGAAAATCGCCCTCTGCTTGTCCGAACGCTGGGGAAGCACAACCGCGAGGATGATACTAGAAATCGCGGTGTGGAGACGAGCAAAAGGACGAAATGGAGTCCATCGGACGGTGGAAAAACTCCAGATTGGGGTCGTTGGTCCAATGTTTCAAATGACCCAAGTGTACAGCAGCCCGGGCGCTTGACGAGGCAGCCAATACCGCGGACAGCTCCGCAGCCAAACCAGCAGATGGAGCTGCCAAATGTGCTCCCACAGCCAAACCAGCTTGTGTCTGCACTTCCGCCGCAACTACCCAGTAACGAGGATAGTGTGTGCAGTGTGACTACTAGACCGCTTGATTCTTTACAGCCAGATGCAGAGAAGTTGCAAGGGGAGGGGGAAAAAACAGATGGGTTGTTAAGCCAAGCACAAATACAGCAGCTGCTGCTAGCCGCGCTAATGGATGAAACTCCCTTTCCTCCACCAGACGAGGAAGCCGCCTTTTTATTCGACTCTTGTCCTCGAGGTCCTGTCAATCCCAATGCCCGTACACTAGATGCCATGTCGCATCCTCCTGCTAGAGCTGCTGCATCTGTTCCTGCTCCCCTCCTTGCTGGTGGTGACAATGGCGATGCCATTGGTCCTGTCACAAGTGTCTCTCGTGCTGCCGCTGTTGGTGGTACTACTTTTGGTACAGTAAGTCTCCGTGTTTCTGCAGCAAGGCTGGAGGCTACTGTTGCAGCTGAGGGCACTGGTGTTGCCGGTGTGAGCACGGGTGGGGCTGCTACAAGCATGAGTGGTGCTGCTAAACGCACGCATGTTGCTGTTACAAACACGCGTGTTGTGGCGACAAGCATGGGTGGTGCTGCCGCAGGCACCCCAATTGCTGCTGCAAGCACGGTACTTCCAAGGGGTGACACAACCGCTGGGGGGGAAGCAGAGAGGAGCTTGCTGCGTGAGGCGTCTCAAACCACAGCATCCAAGTCAGGGAGCGACGGCAGTGACAGGGGGGCCTTGGGGAATGTGGGCCGGAGGTTGCTGCGCGAGACACCTCAACCCACAGCGTCCCAGTCAGGGAGCGATGGGACTGGACTGGGTGCTCTCGGAAGCTCAGGGAGAAGGTCGCTGCACCCCCGGGCTGCAAGGGACAGGGAGAGGAGAAGACAGATGGCGTAAGTGGCGTTGTGGGTAGAAACTCTGTTGTCACGTGACCTCAGGATCGCTCCTTGCTGTTGACTTTTAGAAGTTTGCTTTGTCCTCTCAGAAGCTACCCTTCCAGGGGGCTTGACGCTCTCAACAGTGACGATATTGGAACTCATGGTACCTTCTGGCTCTTGTTGCTGTGGTTCCCATTTCCCGATGTGTGTGCTGCAGTGAAGCACTTCAGTCGCTCCGGGCCATCCTGCCAGCTAGCATCCTTGGGGGGCAGCAAGACTTTGGCTCCGTCATCAATGCTGCAGCTCAATATATAAGAAGCTTGGAGGTGAGGGTACGGTACATGTAATTTCAGATGATACACTTGTAATAGAGGCAATGCATTTTCGCTCTCATTATGCTACATGCTCCAGATTTCCGCGGGTTCCCCTGCAAGCTGTTGATGTGCACATGGTCGTTGCCCGAGGCAGCTACTGATGCGGCTGCATTGCTTGCCGCTTCGTGGTCGCATTGCCTTTCTGTAACTCTCTCTCCATGTGCGCAGGCGCGAGTGCAAGGACTGGAAGCCAATGCGCGGAACCAGAGCACGCCTCCACACGGCCATTAATATGTTTGTACATAGAAATGTGTTGCTGGCCATGGTGTTGTATAATAACTTACGTGTAACATATACCGTACCTTGACCCTCTTCGCACATTTTGAGTTGCAATGATCTGGATGTACACCACATACGCCAACTGGTGGTAGTCGTAGTAAAGCCTCTCGCCCTTTGGCGACACGAGGTGCCTCAAGAATCACTAATGCAGTCATTCAAAGTGCATACATAGTGGGACACTCATGCACCTGCCAGTTGTAGTCGTAGTACCGTAAAGCCTATCGCGCTTGGCGATGTGTGTAGTGGCAATCAGCAGAGCCCGGTCCTCCCCATTCACAAATTGCTTCTGCAATCATTCAAAGTGCATGGTGGGATACTCATGCACGAGCCGGTTGTAATCGTAGTAAAGCCTCTCCCCCTTGGTGACTCGAGGTGCTATGAAAAAGAGTCCCTTTTGCAGTCATTCGAAGTGCATGGTGGGGTATTCATGCACCAACCGGTTGTAATCGTAGTAAAGCCTCTCGCCCTTGGCAATTCGCCTCGTGGCAATCAGCAGAGCCCGCGCCTCCCCATTCACACTGAAGCGCACACAGCGCAGGTTGATCTTCCTGCGACCCTCCCTGGAGGAACAGGGGAGGGGAAAGGGGGCAGAAGTGCAAAAAGTGCGAATAACCGTGGCAATGAGCAGAGCCCGGGCCTCCCCATTCACTCTGAAGCGCACACAGCGTAGGTTGATCTTCCTGCGACCCTCTCTAGAAGAACAGGGTAGGGGGCAGTGGCAGGGAGCAGGAGAGAAACGGAGTGCGTGCAAGTGTGAGGTGATGCTTTTATAGGTAGCGGTGAGCAGACCAAGGGTCTGCCCATTCACACAGGGTTACACACACTTCAGATCTTTCTCTGGAAGAACAGGGGGGGGAGGGGTAAGGGGTCCAGAATGAGGGAAAGATTGGGAGGGTGTAGGAGGCAATAACGAGGTGCAGCAGCACAGGACTGTGCTTGGAGGGTGGGGGTTTTGAGAGGCAGTAGACACAAGGGAATGGGAGTGATGACAGCAGACTGACACACCGACAACAGGGAAATCCAGCCACTGTTGTCGGCGTGTGAGTCTGCTGACCCCACAAGATAGCATAACCCGGTTACTCAGTTCCACACCAGGGCATGCTATGTTCTTTTGAGGCGCCTCAAAATTTTTGAGGCGCCTTTTGAGGCGACCTTTAAGGCGCCTCAAAAGTGTGAGTCTGCTGACCTCACAAGATAGCATAACCCGGTTACTCAGTTCCACACCAGGGCATGGTATCTTCGCACACTCTGCATTTGCCGGTGCCGCTTATGGATTGCATGAAGCCAGTTTGGCCTGGGATGTCAGTTAGTGGTATAATCCAAACATTTGATCAGACCCGTTTTATCGTTCTCTTCTAGACAACTCACTTGGTGTGGTTGTTGATTCCCGAGATGAACCGTGCAAAGTTTGCCGCCTCATCCGGGCAGATGACAAGATCCGTCTTATCCCGCCCCGTGAACAGTAACCCCATCATGGCATCGCATGGATCGTGTCGCCTCCGCGCCATGCTGTCAACCACCCCCCCATACTCCGTGACGATTGTCCGATCCGCTATAGGCGCATCCGCTTCCACTACAAAACTGCAAGAAGGGACGGGCGGGGGGAGTGGAAACGGAGGTGAGGCTTGGGCCAGGGGTGTGGAGAATACTTATTTTTGGCCCACTTACTATTTATAGCAGACTTACCCTTGGCAAGGGTCGTGCTTGACAATCAGTGGTGGAGGCGCCCCACTCCTCCACATCTCTTTGCACCGCTCCAAAACACCCACGTTCTCCCGGCTCAGCACCTGCATCCCCCCCACCTCCCTTCCCGGCTCGTTCATACCCCTAGGCACGGCTTTAAAGGGGTATTCCAACCCATCCACGAACCGCGCCCCAATAGCTGTCAGTGCGGTGGCTAGGGATCTCAGTTGCTCAAGTCGCCTCCCTGGATCCGGGTCGGGCCGATGGGGGAACAGCTTTCTGCTCAGCTTCACTCGGGTTTGCCTCTTCCTCCTGCCGCTGCTGCCACTGCTCGGGGCTTTCTTTTTCCCGCTGCTGTTGCTGGCGTGGAAAGCAATGCTGCCGCTACCTGTGTTAGTAGTTAACCCGTTGCCTGTGTTAGCAGTTAACCTACAGCCGTCAATGTCTGTAATCATGCTCTCGTTCCCACTCCCGCCGTTATCACTACCCCCACCAGCTGTTGCGCTTCTGCTGGCAGTGCTGCTGCGCTTCGTTCTGCACAGACCGCCATTGCAGGCACTCAAACCGCTATTCGCAGGAGCGCCTGCGTTACTAGAGCTACTGGCACCTGCGTGTCTAGGGTTAGCACCTACGTTTCTAGTTCTACCGCCTACATTAATCCTAGCAGCAGCTACGCTGCGAGTCTTACCAGCTCCTACGCTCCTAGAGTCAGCGTCTAAGCTGCCGCTGATTCCATTCCTACCATCCTCAGCCGCTGAAACACCAGCACCTAGTACGACACCGCTTGATGCTTGTCGGCTGTGCTCCGATCGCCGTGTGGTAACTCCGCTGCTCTGCGCGCTGCCATCTCCCTCGCTGCTCACGGCCACGACAGGTTTCTTTCCGAGTGTCCTACTTGCAGGGGGTTCATCGGGTTTGGCGGCGCTTCCGCCGGCCGCGGCAGGTGTTTTCTCAGGTGAGGGGCCAGGGGGGCGCTGAATGCGGAAGAAGTCGGCGATTGAGCTCTGCACCAGGGGGAATTCTGGGACCGCGGAGGACGGTTTTGAGGGAGGCGGAGCGGCGGGAGAGGGGGACGTTAGAGAGGAGGATAGGATTGAGTAGGGGAGGGAGAGAAGGGGTGGGGAAGGGTTGAGAGGAGTGGGTGAGTGAGACGGGGGACTAATGGGGAGGCGAGAGCATGCAAGACTAGACTGAGAGTACGGGTGTGATGCGGGCGGGTTACTAGAAGAAGCGTCAATTATTGTACGAAGCAGCCCGTACCTCTGGCTTCGGTTCGAATCCCGTACCTCTGATTTTGGCTGGACGGCGACAGTCGGGGCAGAACCATTGGCCGAGAGGCACGGCGACGAGGATTGGTCGCAGGCACCAGAGGTGGTAACCACGGTTGCACCGACGTCCGTCGCACACAAGCATTTCGTCTTCGCCGTCTTCCCGGCCGCACACGTGGCACTTCAGATCGTCCAGCCCAGCGTCTGCAGGCGGCTCAGAGCGTTCGCTTCTGTGAAGCTGCTGCTTCTCCCCTCGCACCTTTCCTTCCACAACCGTCACCTCCTCCACATCCTCCTCGATTTCATCGTCAGAGCCCCCCTCGTTCTGATCGTCGCTGTTATCCTCGTTTTCATCGTCGGTGTCCTTGTCGTCCTGCGACGATCCGGCTTCTCTGATCGCATGCAGGTCGTGTAACTCGGTAACATCGTCTGCATCTTCGTACAGCTCGTCGTCATCTTCTGCCAGTTCCACCACTCGCTGTTCTCCGGCGTCGTTTGCGGATCCACGGTTGTTCCTACTCGCCCTCTCACGTGCCTCCGAAGCGGGTCTGAACGTCCACGTCGTCTTGTCGCCAAGCCCTCCTCTTTCTATAGCAAGTCGCGTCTGTGCAATTCCGCGTCCGGCGCCATTCCCGTTGCAATTCTCGCTTGATTTCACGGGAATGCTGCCTGACGAGTTTCTATAATCTGTCTGTTTCTTGGCTGCGTGGCTTACAGCCCGAGCAGACAACGGTTTCGTGACGGTAAGCAGCGAGTGGATATCGACGCATTTCTTCTTCCTCGCGCCGTCGACGCTCGCGAATGCGATGTTGCCTGCATGGCCTCGCTTGTTACCAGTCACCGCCATTTCGCGGCTAGGCTTGAGTTAATTGGAAACCATCGAGAGCAGTCTAATCCGACGCGGCATACTAGCAATAGCTGAGACACAATTGGGCAAACGCGAGAGGACGTGCAACAGCTTCTCGCAATGCGCTGGTAATTGGTCTATGGGACGAGGCTGAAAAAACCACCACGTATCTGCTGCCAGACAAGCCTATTTCACCAATTACCTTAGAAACTGCTCCAGTGAGGAAAGCAGAAACGAGGAAGAAAGGCATTTTCGAGGCCCACAGTGGTTCGCGCGGTGCACGAAGGGGAATATGCCCACAGAAGCATGAATGGCAACGAGCAATTCTGCAGGAGCACATCCCTTCCCATCCCATCCCAAGGGCCTGAAAAGTGCTACATTTCCGCGCCAAACCAGCAATCCCTCCGCCAGGGCGTTTTGTGCGGGCGCATGGATCGGACCTGAGCGTGACGGCGATTCGATGTGGTTGCGGCGGCGTGCCACCAACTTCCCTCTGCGCTTGCGCCAAATATATGCGTGAGCCACGCGCAACGGCTTCCCATCACCATTCAGCCGTTGACACAATAAATAAAGTCGTATAGAGCATTTAATGTCAATCACGCACATTTACAAAAGCACTGATAGCGCGTACATAAGCAGTCACCCGCAGCCGCGTTGTCTCATCATCCACGTGGCAGCTTCTGACAGTTCCTCCATCCCCTTTCCCCATCCATGACATGGCATCCAGGGATTCGGGCGCCTCCTTGGCGATTGCGATTGTATGAACTCCAGGGCCGCGTTCTGCGGCCGCATTAGCCCGCATCAATGTACATTGCAATTTTTTTTCGATGTTCCAGGAGCCTTCCGTGATAACCAGCTGAAAGATTATCAAGGCTCGCGATAAGCGCTTGGCTGCCGAGGCAAACCAAGCCCGAATGCCTGCAGAACGGTCTTTTTGGCAACCACGAATTTTCATGTCGCCGCTTTCCGAGAAACTTTTTGTCCTAGCAAATCGACGCATACTTGATGCGCGCATGATGCAACGCAGGGAACGCGCATCAAACCGAATTGGGCAATTGAGATTCGAAATTAGGGGTGTGGGGAAGGCGTCAGGTGCGTTCTTCCCTGCTTCAAAGAACCTTCCGCACCCTGGAATACCTCGGAAATTCGAGATCGAAAATTGACATGCCCGAAATTCGAAATCTCCATTTTCCGATTTCCCGAACCTCAATCTCCATTTTCCAAACCTCTATTTTTCAATTTCAAATTCCTCATTCCCGAACCTCAATTTGTCAATGTTCAAATCAGGCCGAGCCTAGGGCGCATCAGAGCTGATGCGCCCGCAGAACGCAGCCCAGGAAATAGCTTGAAACGAGTCATCATCACATCACCTGAGCCAAAAGTTAACTAGGCAGCGAGTGGCTGGGAGAATCCCGAGGCATGAAGCTTCGAGTTTTTCCACCATACCGCATGCTTTTTGAAACGCTCACGATTCCTCCTCACCGTACTGGAAAATTATTTCCAAGCACTGACCTCTGATTTTGCTACCTTCTTATCTGCTTCATTGCTCATTCCTCTGCCTCTCTTCTTTGTTTCGCCTAGCGAACGTCGTTGGGTTGCTGCTGGGAACGGTATCACACATCCCTAATCGCCTCGTACAGTACTCTGTAGTGCCTTAACAGGCTAAGAATATTCCGTTCCTCGTCCGTCCCTTGTAGTCCCGACTGGAAGGGAAGTTGACAGGCATGGAGTCGCTCCTCCTAAAAGGAAGCACAACACGGCCGCTTCCGAGCTTTCAAGGCCTCCGTGCCACGCAAACACCTTTTCGCCAGAGCTTTTCCGCCACGTCGTTGCCAGCTCAGCAATGGCGCAGCGCGTCGAGCAAAACCCTAGTCCGTGCAGCAGCAGCAGAGCCGGCCGATGCTACCCCCAGCAGGGGCTCCGGCGGAAGCGTTTTCGGTCGGGAGGTCGAACTCTCCGGCGTTCCCAGCGTCGTTAAGAGCATGCCGACGCCGGTTAGATACGCCGTTTGCGGCGCAATTATCGTCGGTTCTGCCGGCGTGGGGTTCGCGGCCGGCAGCAAGTTTCAGCCGCCTGTGGGACAGGTGGCTGGTGCCGTGGTGCTCGGCGCGCTTGGTGCGGGAGCCGCGCACGTGGTGAACTCGGCGAGTAAGGAGGTCGCTGCGGCGGACTTGCACAATACGCTTGTGCGTTTATCGGATCCTCTTCAACTGAGACGAGGCGAGGCTGCGGATATTGCAAATAAGTGAGCTGGGATTCGAAGCGTCTTTCCTGTTTCATCCCAATCCGTCGTACCTGCGAAGCAATGTCTTTTTACTGTACGCGGTTTCTATGAATTATTGCAAAAAATCTCAACATTCCAAACTTCGTGACTTTGTTTGTCTCCGTGTGTTTGCAGGTATGGCGTGAGTCTGGAGGACGAGAGGTACCGGGCGGAAATGAAGGATCTCTACGAAAAGTAAGCATCTCCTTTCCTCACTCCTTCCCACCCTTTCTCCACTTGGCCGGCTACCCCCCTTCCCTTCCCTTTGTCCCTTTTTTTCTCACAACAAACAAAGTTAGACTTACGGGAACAAATCGTACTAGTACGGAGGCTTCTGGGGCCCATGCTGTGTGATTTTTCGTGTCGAGTCACTGAGACGCGTTCCGGTCCTCACTTTTCTTTCCCTCCCCTCTCCCTGCGCTGCAGATTTGTGTCGTCTGTGATTCCGCCCGGCAACGAGCCGCTGAGGGGCGACGAGTCGGATCTGATTTCGCGCTTCAAGGCGTCGATGGGCATCGAGGACGAGGATGCCGCTGCGGCTCATATCGAGGTACGGGATTGCGTATACCGAGTACTTGTCTTACTGTTTGTACCTCGACTGCCTATAACGAGGTATTCAGCCTGCTCTTTTTATGTTGAGCTGCCAACATTGTCCGTATCGAGTTCACAGCGGTTTCTTTTAACGAGCACTGCTGCTTATATCGAGCTAACAGCATATCGAGCTGACGTTCTTCTTATCCAGCTAGCATCACTCTTCATGGCAATCCAACGGTGCTTACCGCATGAATCAAGCACAGCTACAGCACCGCACGCCGATAGGCGCTCGTGCGTGTGTTAGCACTCAAGGACCGACCGCTTGTGAACATGTGCGTGTTTTTATGTTACCTTGTGCATGGTTGTGTACGTGGATGGATGTGTATGCTTGGATGTGTATGCATATGTGTGCGTGTGTGCATCTATGCATCTGTGCGTGTGTGTGGTACATGCGTGTGTGAATGTCTGCGCATGCGTGTGTGAATGTATGCGCATGCGTGCTGCAAATGGGTGCATGGTGTGCGAGCATGTGCAGGTGGGGCGGCGCATCTTCCGCCAGAGGCTGGAGACGGGCGACAAGGAGGCCGCCTTCGAGGAGCGACAGGTAGGCGATTGTTCACGAGATGGGGGAAGGATTGCGAGGCGGGGGAGGGTTGATAGGATTGAGAGTTGGGAGGAGGAGCGAGGGGTGAGCGAAGGGGCGAGAGGCTTGCGGAGGAGCAAGTGGCTTTGTAGGACTGGAAGGGGTAGACTCATAGAGCTGTTACGTGTGGCTGGTAGACTTGTTAGCGGGTAAATGGTAGGTGGCGAGTAAGTGGCGTCGCCGAGAGGTGATTGACAGCTGGCAGTACGTGAGTCCTCGCATGTGGTGGTGGTCCACTTTAAGATGATTTGATACTTCAGACGTATTCAGATGGACGTGTCGTGCGAGGGTTCGGGGTTTAAGCGTCGGACTATGTCCTGGCGCCACCTTGAGATCTTCGTTCTCGCCTGCCCGCGCCTCCTCCGTTCCCCTCACCTCCCTTCCCTTTCCTGACGCCCTCGCCTCGTCCCGGCCACTGCCCTTCAGTAGCTGGTGTTTTGGGACAAATCCAATCTCCTGCTGCCGTAAAGGCCCATTACTAGGCGCCTAAAACCCCCTCCCCCCTCTTCCCTTCCCACCTCCCTCCCCATCCGCCACTCCTTCCCTCCCTATCACTGTTCGCAACCGCAGGCGTTTCAGAAGCTGGTGTACGTGTCGAATCTGGTGTTTGGCGAGAAGTCCAAGTTCCTGCTGCCGTGGAAGCGCATCTTCAAAGTGAGCGATGCGCAGGTCGACATCGCCGTGCGCAACAACTCGCAGGCGCTGCTGCAGGCGCAGCTCGACGCCACCAAAGGAGGTGAGAGAGACCGTGCTTGCTCCAACTTTCATCCTGTATATAAAGCGCCTCTTAATTCGTGCTCTGCTTTTAGGCGCCTCAATTCCTTCTTAATGTGCATCTTTTCACAAAGCCCCCAAGCCCCCACCCCCCATCTTCCCTCCCCGCTCCTCCCGCCCTGATTGGTACTGCTAAAACATCCAGCGGATAATGCGTCTTTCGTTTTCAATTCTGTAAGATATGAAACAAAAACGCTATAACTGACTTGTTCAGTCACTGACGACGACTCCGTCAATCACTGCTTTGTGCGGTTACCAACTTGTGTGTTGCTGCTGCTCTCCTCCACCAATCAGATTTCACCGTGGAGAATCTCAAGGAGCTCCGCGCGATGCAAAAGAAGTACAAGCTCTCGGACGATGTGAGTGACTCGTTACAGAGATTTCTCGTTATAAGAACCCTTGTAACAGCGCTGTTAACCAGTGGTATCCACTCAATTTTGTCCACTGCGTTTATTTAGAAAGGAAACTGAATGCAATAATGATTCGGATTGTATTGTGAACTCAACTCACACTTCTGCCACACACTCTCGTTCCCCTCCGCCCTCCGAACCTCTCAGCTTGCTGCGGACATGGTTCGGGCAGAGGCTCGGAAGCGAGTGGAGGAGTACATCAACGAGGCACTAGAGGTGCTCAAGGCGCGCACACGCGTCAAGTGAGTGTGGCTGCCGTGGGGTTAGGGGGTCACATGGGGAGGGGGGTGTGTGTGTGTGTGTTTAAATCAGTTTGGACAAGGCTTGGAAGCGAGTGGAGTGGAGGAGTGCATCAACGAGGCGCTGGAGGTGCTCAAGGCGCGCACACACGTCAAGTGAGTGTGATTGCCAAGCGGGGAGGGAGAACTGGGGTTGAGTGTGATGTCAGGGTGGAGCGTGGCATACATGGTAAGGAGTGCAATAATGAGGCGCTAGATTGTGACTGCAATGGATGAGGGGGGAGTGGGGGGGGGGTGGGAGGAGAGGAGGGGGTGGGAGAAGCTAAAGGCGCTTATACGTGTCAAGTGAATGTGACTGCAAGGGAGGGCTGGGCGAAGGGCTGTGTGAATGTTAGACCCCCTCAAACCGCCCCACCAACGTACCCATGCTCCCCTTCCCTCTCCTCCCCCTGCCCCTCCCCCCTATCATCCCTGGGACACGACCTTGACGCCATGAGGGCATACAACGCGCATCTGGCTGCCCTCGCCTAGGCCGATGCTCCCATGAGGGGCCAGACCTCCTCACGAAGCCTCACCCACGCACCCATGCTCCCCTTCCTTCTTCCTCCCCCCACCCATTCCCCCCTCCACCGTCCACTCCCATCACCGCAGGGACACGGCCAAGGTAATGGACGATCTGGACGCCAAGAGGCCGTACAACGCACATCTGGCTGTCATGAGGTTATGTCAGATTTTTTCAAGACGCTTCACCCACGTGTCCATGCATTCCCACCTTTCCTCCTCTCCTCCACCCCTCATTATCACCCCAGGGACACGGCCAAGGTGGTGGATGATCTGGACGCCATGAGGGCGTACAACGCGCATCTGGCTGCCCTTGCCAAGGCTGCTGGTCCTGCTCCTGCCCGGCATCGGCCCTGTCTCTGTCTTCGGTGGGCCTCTCTGCGCTGCCTGCCTGCTCTGCTTCCCCCTCTTCCCCCTCTTCCCCCGACCCCACCTTCCTTACCCCCCTTCCCCCGACCCCCCCTTCCCCACCTTTTTATTTCCTTTTTGTACCTGTTATTGAGTCTTCACGAGAAGCAGAAGGTTTAGTATTATACCTGTTAGTGCATTGCTGTTCGGTTGCTGGATGAAGCATTAGCTCATAATATTTCACTACACCACATTGCATTCCATTTGCATCCCATCGCGTCTTACTGAATGGCATCTCATCGCATCCATCCCCACCGCACTGCACCAGGTGGCGGGTACGATTCGGACAGGCAGATGGACGATCTGAAGCTGCTCTACAAGACGTACCTCGCTGAGGCCCTCAATGCTCCGCGCCTCACCTCCGCCCAGGTGCGTCTCAGTTGCACTCGGTACATGCACTGTATTGCATTGCATCCATCTCCACCGTACAGCACCGCACCACGCCTGGCCGATGGTCGATCTGAAGCTGCTCTACAAGGCGTACCTCTCTGAGGCGCTTAATGCTCCGTGCCTCACCTCCGCCCAGGTGGGTCTTGGTAGCACGTAAACCACGCATTGCATCCATCCCCACCGCACTGCACCACACCACACCAGGCAGATGGACGATCTGAAGCTGCTCTACAAGGCGTACCTCTCTGCTGTCCCCCACTGTCCCTCTTTTCCCCATGCAGACAGAGGCCCTAGCACAGTTTAGGAATACCTTTGGGTTGGGCAAGAGGGAGGAGGAGGAGGCATCAGATGAGGTCCCATAGATGTGTGATGTGGTGTAACTGACTCACCCGTGCCGTTACGTTCCGTCCATACTCTTCCATACAGACTGAAGCGCTAGCAGAGCTGAGGAACACCTTTGGGATGGGCAAGAGGGAGGCGGAGGAGGCATCAGACGAGGTGACCCGCAAGGTGTACCGCCGCAAGCTCGCGAACCTCGTCTCTCCTCACACACCCTTTACCTGTTCCCTCCCTCTCTCTTCCCCCCTCCTCTTCTCCCCTCCATTCCCCCCCCCCCCCCACCCCTTCCTCCCACTCTCTCCTTCCTCCTCCCCCCTGCTCCACTTCCCAACTACGCAGACTGAAGCACTGGCAGAGCTGAGGAATACCTTTGGGATGGGCAAGAGGGAGGCGGAGGAGGCGTCAGACGAGGTGACGCGCAAGGTGTACCGCCGCAAGCTGGCGAACCTCGTGACCGGCGGCGAACTGGACCGGGCGGCCAGCAAGGCGGAGGTGCTGCAGGAGCTCTGCGACTCCATGAAGTTCGACCCTGAGAAGGCTGCCCAGATTCATGAAGGTATGGAATGCGGTGCTGTGCGGTGGAAACATACGTTGTTGTAGTCGGTTTGGAGCGGTATGATGCGGTGAAGTGTGAGTCTGGTGGCAAGCAAGGCGGAGGTGCTGCAGGAGCTCTGCGACTCGATGAAGTTTGATCCTGAGAAGGCGGCTCAGATTCACGAAGGTATGGAATGCGGTGCTGTGCGGTGGAAACATATGTTGTTGCGGTTTGGTGCGGTATGACGCGGTGAAGAGTGAGTGGTGGCCAGCAAGGCGGAGGTGCTGCAGGAGCTCTGCGACTCGATGAAGTTTGACCCTGAGAAGGCCGCCCAGATTCATGAAGGTATGAAATGCGGTGCTGTGCGGTGGAAACGTATGTTGTTGCGGTTTGGAGCGGTATGATGCGGTGAAGTGTGAGTCTGGTGGGAGTGCTGCAGGAGCTCTGCGACTCGATGAAGTTTGACCCTGAAAAGGCGGCTCAGATCCACGAAGGTATGGAGTGCGGTGCTGTGCGGTTGATAGGTTTTTAGTGCAGTGTAAAATGGTGCATTCTGGACGTCTCTTGAACAACCCCAATCCACCCCATCCCAACTCATCCCACCACCCCATCTCACTGGCAGAAGCCGCAGCTGTGCCTGGCGAACAAGGCTGTGTAGAGGTATTTAAGAAGCGATTAACCGCATTACACCGCATTCCACCCCATTCTGCCTGACTCCTCTCTCCCCGCAGAGATCTACCGGCAGAAGCTGCAGCAGTGTCTGGCGGACAAGTCTCTGAGCGACGACGATGTAGCAGCACTCAACAGGCTGCGCGTGCTGCTGTGCGTGCCCAAGGCGGCAGTGGACCAGGCGCATGGGGACATCTGTGGAGGTATCTTCACCAAGGTGGTGGACGATGCCATCGGCGCCGGCATCGACGGCTATGATGGCGACATGAGGGATGCTGTCAGGGCCGCTGTCAAGGGGCTGCGCCTGCCTCTACAGTCTGCTTTGGATATCGCTACCAAAGCGGTGAGTGCTGGGTGTGATAGGGTCTGATAGGGAGCAACTGAGGGGTGCTGTGAGTGGTGCTGCTGTGCGTGCCCAAGGCGGCAGTCGACCAGGCGCATGGGGACATCTGTGGAGGCATCTTCACCAAGGTGGTTGACGATGCCATCGGCGCCGGCATTGATGGCTACGATGGCGACATGCGCGATGCTGTCAGGGCTGCTGTCAAGGGGCTGCGGCTGCCTCTCCAGTCCGCTCTTGATATCGCTACCAAGGCGGTGAGTGCATGGCGGTTGAGTGGTTGCAGGTATAGGGCTGTGAGGGAGAGCCGGTATCGACGGCTACGTGGCGACATGCGGGATGCTGTCAGGGCTGCTGTCAAGGGGCTGCGGCTGCCCCTGCAGTCTGCTTTGGATATCGCCACCAAGGCAGTGAGTGTACTGGGTGGGTGGGGAGCAGTGGGTGTGGCTGGGTTTGGTTGGGTTTGGATGGAGCAACTGAGGGATGCTGTGATGGCTGTTGTGAGCTGTGAGCGGTGCGAGCTGTGTTCCCGATGTACATCAAGCGCGCCTGCTGCATAATGAGCCGCGCAGAGGGCGCGAGGGAGATCAAGCAGATGTATTTTTCTCCAACCTCACCGTCTTTTTTCCCCTTCTGCAAGGAAGCTGAAGAAGATGGCCATATTTTCCAATTTCACCGTCTCCCAACTGCTCCGTTTCCTCCCTCTCTCCCTCTGTCCAACCCTGTCAGGTGCGGGCCGTCTTCCTCACCTACATCAAACGCACCCGCGGCACGATGAGCCGTGCAGAGGGTGCGAGGGAGCTGAAGAAGATGGTCATATTTTCCAACCTCACCGTCTCCCAACTGCTCCGTTTCCTCCCTCTCTCCCTCCCTAATGCCGCCCTCCCACTGTCCAACCCTGTCAGGTCCGAGCTGTGTTCCTCACCTACATCAAACGCGCCCGCGGCACCATGAGCCGTGCAGAGGGAGCGAGGGAGCTGAAGAAGATGGTCATCTTCTCCAACCTCACCGTCTCCCAACTGCTCGACGACATCCGAGGCAAGACCGACGAGCCTGCCGCCAAGCCTGCAGGCTCGGCAGCCACCGGCGAAGGCTCGGGCCCAGCCGTGACAGCCGAGGCAGATAAGGAGGAGGAGAAGGAGGCAGAGGAGGAGTATGATGATGAGATGCCTCTGCTGCAGTCTATGCGCAAGACGAAGGGGAAGCAGAAGGAGGGCAAGGCTCAGAAGGAAGTGTCTGTGAAAGAGGACTTAGATCTGAGGGAACGGCTTGACCTATACAAGTCTTTCCTGCTGTTCTGCCTGCAAGGGGATACCACCGGCATGCCCATGGGAACAAGCCTCACTGTCCAGAGGGACACTTCGGATTTTATCCGCCTGTCTCAGCTGGGGGATATTCTCGGGTTGACCCCTCAGGAGGTGTCGTCTGTGCATCAGGGGTTGGCAGAGCAGGCGTTTAAGGTGCAAGCACAGACGCTGCTGGCCGATGGGCAGCTGACCAAGGCCCGTGCGGAACAGCTTAAGATCATGCAGCGGGAATTAGGTCTCCCGGACGCTGCTGCGCAGAAGGTGGTGCAGTCTATAACGAGTACGAAGATGGCGGGCGCGATCGACGCGGCGATCAAAGCCGGGCGGCTGAGCGTGGACGAAGTGAAGCAGCTGAAGGAGTCCGGGGTGGATATTGGCAGCATGGTGGCTGAAAAGGTTCGCCTGCAGATGTATACCAAGCTCGTGCAGAAGGAGTTTGACAAGGGCTCGGGGGAGTTTGATGAGAAGGAGCTGCTGGAGAAGCTGCCTGGGGATCTGGGGTTGGATGAGGAGGTGGCGCGGAAGACGGTGAAGGAGATTGCGAGGGAGCGGCTCAAGGGGTCGCTGGTGCTGGCCGTTTCGAACCTCCGGCAGAAGAAGCCCGACCTAGTTGTGAGTGCTTGGGGGCAGTGGGATGGGGAATGGTGGGATGGGGTTGGGATAAGTGGGGTTTGACCAGGGCAAGGGGGCGCTCGTGCTGGCCGTGTCGAACCTCCGGCAGAAGAAGCCCGACCTCGTGGTGCGTGGCTGGGGGTAGTGGGATGGGTGGGATGGGGATGGTGGGAAATTGGTGGTCGGATTGTGGGATGGGGGGGCTGGGAGATGGTGGGGTGGTGAGATGGGGGTTGGCGGGATGGGGTTTGACGGATGGGGCTGGTGTGGAATGGAGGGATGGTTGTGTGGCCTGCTCGTATTCCCACTGTTTCAAAGCCCTTTTTTCCGACCCTCGTTATCATTCCCCCCCGTACAAGCTTTTGTCCCATCCCCCGTGTCCCATTCACATTGCTCGATTGCTACCTGCTTCCCAAATCGCTGTGCTGAACAACAACGCTTGTTTGGTGATTTTCCCACGCACCCTCCCCTCACTCAGGTGGCGGTGTTGAACAACATGCTGGCGTGCGATAAACCAGGCGCTGCTTTGGAGTCCTTACTACCCTCTGCTGTCTCACTCACAATGCTTGGTTGGCTAACCCCTCCCCTCCACCCCCTTCCCCCTCTCTCCCGCCTCCCACCTCCAATCCCCCAGGTGGCGGTGTTGAACAACATGTTGGCGTGTGACAAGGCAGACTCGGCAACGGAGGCGCTGAAATGGTCAGTGAAGGAGGAGCTGCTGGACCTCTACTCGCTCTTCCTCAGCAAGCATGATGCTCAGAGCAGCGCTGCCGCCCGCATGCGAGAGCTCCTCGGGATTGACGATGCCACGGCTGCTTCGCTCTCGGAGATTGTGTCCAAGGGAGGGTTCAACCTGGACTTGGACTCTTCTGTGGAGGAGAACTTTGTGTTTTAGACTGGGATGGGAGTTGGTTAGCTATGAGTTGGGTTGGAAGTGCATGAACTAGGACTGATGCTGGAAAATAATGAAAACAGGTCGTACGTTATGAGATAATGGTAGAATTGTTTAATTCCCAACAGGCCACTAATACCAAAACATCTACTCAGGGTGCATCCCTGGTTCGTGGCAGGGCAACTGTTCACATCGAGTTGGTGGCAAGTGTACCCAAAAATTCAGTGTGCTGGAAAATGCGCTTGCCACCAACAGTTGCCTTGCCACCAACTCAGGGATGCACCCTCACGTTGTTGCTGTTGTGTGTGTGTGTGTGTGTGTGTGTTTATTGTTACGATTTTTGCTGAATCGTTTTTGTGAGTTTTCACAATATTACAGGCAATTTTATGTTTCTGTTTTAGTCTCGAAAAAGCTCTCCAGATACTATCTATTTCATCTCGTCCAATGAGCTATAACTGACAAGGGGGTTTTGGGCCGTCTCATTGTCGAGCCGCAAGTCGGGCCGCAAGGCGGCTGAACTCTTCACTCTGATTGGAGGCCCCTAAGGTTCGGTACCTGGTGCGGTTGTGGAAGCCAAATCCAAATCGTTCAGTTTCGCAAAGATTGATAACAGTTCGGCAATATCGTCGTCAGAGAATGAACGAAGCTCAAAATGTTCACCGAATTTGACTTCGCACGGGGAAAGGTGTGAACGTACATGAGTAACACCAGTAACACCCTGATTGACTTGATTGAACAGGTCCCAGCCTGGCCTGTCCCCCAACTCATCAACACACACCACCCGTTCCCCAACTATCCATTTCTGTGATTTGTGCATATCCTCGCCCCGCTCCCAGCGCAATGGCTCCTCCACAGGCCTCCACGAGCCTCCGCTGCTACCGTCATTCCGCACTGCTTCTCGCGCTTCTACTGCCGCTGCTAGCTCCGCCACGGGGGGCGAATGCGGCGACGCGCGTCGTGATTGCGCCGATGCGCGGCGGACCCAAGGAGCGATTGGAGGTGTTCAAGCTGTCGGAGAACCTCTGGTTCGCCGGAACCGCGCAGCTGCCGCCGGCGTCCGACGGCGCGGCGAGCAAAAACCGCAGCGACAGCGGCAGTGGGAACAACAACAGCGTGAATCGGAGCGAGCGGAAGCTGCAGGCTGCCACTGCAAGCGCACCCGCGCCCGCTGTGGATCCCATGGTAGGCATGACGGTATCATATAACGGGTACTTTAGTAAAGCAATGTGAATCAAGATTTGTTTTAAGACGTCTCAAAGCGCACCCGCGCCCACTGTGAGTCCCAAGGTAGGCGCAAACACAGGGGGGCTTTCGAGTCGACTCAAGGTCGCCCGATGTGGATCCGTAGGCTTCAAGTGCGGCCCATCCTTCCGAAAATGTGCAAAGTTCAATGCTTCAGGCGCTCATCCGGAAAGGGTTTAGATTGAAAAGCGGGGACCGAGCGCCTCAATGCTTCAGGAACAGGTTCAAACTTCTGAGGCGGCTCATAAATTGTCCCATGACTTGCGGTTTTGAGGCACCTCAAGAATAAGCGCCTCAGGCACGTTCAAACTTCAGGCGCTCATTCGGTCTACGATCTTCGAATCTCTTGCTATGGTCTCTCGAATCACTAGCTGGGTGCAGGGCGAGATGACGCGTTACATAACGTTACGTTACACTTGCGCGGACACGCGGCGCCGTCTCTTGCAAAAACGGAACAAGGTTCTGTTTCGCAACAAGTGCTTTTTTTCTTGCTTTCTTTCTTTCGTTCATTTTTTTCTGCGGTATCACGAAAGGCTTGATTCCGCTCTTTTTCCGCAAACAGGCGCAGCGATTGGCGGAGGTGGGGGAATTCGCGGCGCGCACGACGGAGCTGAAACAAGTGGTGAAGCGAAAACCGGCGGTTGGGTTTCCCGGTATAAACCAGTACAGCGAGGTGAACTGCGGTACACCGCCAAAGTACAACAATACAGTGGTAAGAACATTATCCTAACCAGTGCACCTCTATATTCGCAACGGCATGTTCTTCCTCTTTTGATCAGCATCAACCGTGCACTAATGTCGTTCCTTGTTACGTTTCAGATCTATCAGAGCCCTCCTGACGTCGCTCTATGTGTGGGCAATGGCTACATCCTTCAGACTGTTAACATTGGTAAGCCTTTCTTTCACCTCTTTCCCCTTTCACTCACATCTTTGTGGCCAACAGACACATTCTTCAGGCTGTCAATATTGGTAAGCGGCGTTCCTTGCACCTGCTTCTTTTCTCTCCTCAGCGGATGCTCCTTCGCTCTTCTCGCACCACTCCTAGCCGTTTCTCCTTCCCTAACCACACCCTCTACCTCTCCATATACTCCTCTCCACTCCTGCGCTTCTCCCCCCTTTGGCAACGATGGTTGTGTACGACAAGCAAGGGAAGCAGCTCACTCGCATCATCACACAAAACGAGGCAAGTTTCTCAGAGAGTGTGGTGCACGCATGACGAGTGTTTCCTCCTCTCTCTCACTCCCCCCCATTCCTTCGCTCCCCCCTCTCATTTCCTCCTCTCGCTCTCTCCCTCTCATTTCCTCTCACTCACTCCCTTTTTCTCTCACTCTCTCCCTCTCCGCCTTTCCTCTTCTCTGGCATGATGCATGCCTCTTTCCAATATCGCCCCCGCTCCCTCTGTCACCATCCCTCCGCCTCTCCTCCCCATCCCCGCACCTCGCCCCTTGGTGGTCCTCTTATGAACCTTCGAGAGCCCACTATCCACCCACGTTTCCCAACCCTCATGCCCGACCCTCATGCCCTACCCTCATGCCCAACCCTCATGCCCAACCCTCATGCCCAACCCTCATGCCCAACCCTCATGCCCAACCCTCATGCCCAACCCTCATGCCCAACCCTCATGCCCAACCCTCATGCCCAACCCTCATGCCCAACCCTCATGCCCAACCCTCATGCCCAACCCTCATGCCCAACCCTCATGCCCAACCCTCATGCCCAACCCTCATGCCCAACCCTCATGCCCAACCCTCATGCCCAACCCTCATGCCCAACCCTCATGCCCAACCCTCATGCCCAACCCTCATGCCCAACCCTCATGCCCAACCCTCATGCCCAATCCTCATGCCCAACCCTCATGCCCAACCCTCATGCCCAACCCTCATGCCCAACCCTCATGCCCAACCCTCATGCCCAACCCTCATGCCCAACCCTCATGCCCAACCCTCATGCCCAACCCTCATGCCCAACCCTCATGCCCAACCCTCATGCCCAACCCTCATGCCCAACCCTCATGCCCAACCCTCATGCCCAACCCTCATGCCAGTTCTTTGGGGTGCTGCCGGCATATTCTAAGGATGCGTCCAACAAGACAGTACCAGGAGACTCCATCGGCGACATGACCTGCACGTATGACCGCCAGGCTAAACGCTTCTACCTCGCTGCGTACTGGAAGGTGAGTTGGTGATGGGGAGGAGAGTGTGGTGCTGCTGGGTGATGCTGGGTGCTGCTGGGTGCTGCTGGGTGCTGCTGGGTGCTGCTGGGTGCTGCTGTGGGGTGATGCGACTTGGAAGGTGAGTCAGTTCGGTGGTAGCTTTTGAGGCGCCTCAAGAGTCGTACGACCGCCAGGCTAGGCGTTTCCCTCCATTTGCCCTCTCGTTTCCTTCCCTCTCGGGTTCCTCTCTCCTGTTTTCCGCCCTCTCGTTTCGGCCCTCTTGTTCTACTCGAGCTCATGACATCCTCTCTTAACGCCCTCACTCCCATTCCCTCCCTCCCATTCCCATACACCCCCACGGGCAGTCAGGGGAAGCCAACAACACGTATGACAAGTTTGGGCAGACGAGGAGGAGGGGCAACGTGACAGTGGGGTCAGGGCTGATAGTGGCAGCAACAACCACAGACGACCCCACCCAGCCCTGGAACGTCTTCTTCATCCCCGGCTCGTATGTGCTCCTCCCTTTGCTCAGCTTCTCACACATTCCCCCTCATTCTCACCAAGGACTGGAACGTCTTCTTCATTCCCGGCTCGTGCGCCCTCCTCCTCTTGCTCACCCTTTCGCACACGCTTTCGCACACGCTCACGCTTTCCTCACCTTTCATTCCCACCCGGAACGTCTTCTTCATCCCTGGCTCGTACGCTCGCCTTCTCTATTCTCATCTTATTATTCTCACCGTTGCTCACACGTTCTCAACTTCATGCCTCACGATCTTGCACCGTTTCTCGTGGTCTCACCGCGTCTCACCCTCCCACCTTTTCTCACTTCTCCTCACCATTCCTCACTCTCTCGTGCTTCTCTCTTCATATCCCCACCTTTCCTGCTCTGTTTTGCTTTCCTTGCTCCCAACTTCCTGCCTTCTCTCCGCCTCCCCAACCTCCATCTTCTCCTCCCCACTGTTTCCTCCCTCTCCCTCCCTCTCCCAGCAACGATGGCATCAACTCCAATCCGGACTGGAGGACACCTCTCCACTTCGAGACAAATCGACTCACCACCTTGCGTACGTTAGATGATGGGGCGAGTTTTGAGTCGACTCAAAAGTAGACGAATAGACTCACCACTTTTCGTACGTTAGATGATGGCGCATGTGATAGCATGGATGATGGTGATGGTGGGGATGATGGAGATGATATGGGCGATGGTGATGGTGATGGTGATGGTGATGGTGGTGGTGATGGTGATGGTGATGGTGATGAACATGGTTCCCTGTACCTGTCACTTTCCTGTCTTCGTTGTTGCCCACTTGTGCTGTCATTCATCTGTTAGAGAGGCGGCTCCTTTTCCTCTCTTGTCCTGCTCCTCCTCCCTTTCTTCTATTCCCTCCCTCCCTTCTTTTCCCTCCCCCATCAAGTGGACTACCCTCAGATCGGCACCGATGCCTATGGTACGTCCACTCATGCCCATGCCATGCACCAATGCCTATGGTATGCTTTTATGGCATTGATAGGTCGCAATTCCAAGTTTGTAGTTTTACTTCTCATCGAGCGTACAACCCCAATCCACCCATACGTGATTGCACACGATCCTTAAAGCGCCATGGCACAGTGGTGGCAGTCAAAATCTGCCCATTTCTGTTCCACCCATTCCATTTTTTAGCTCCACGGATCAATAAACGAAATCATAATAATAATTCAAAAATGCTTAATTTCATGCTTAATTTCATGGCTTGATTTTGTAAATGCTTAATTTCATGCTTCCTATCACACACACGGATCTCAATCTTGAATACCCCATTCAATGCTATCTTCACTTTCCTTAGTGAAACCCTTTGTTTTCTCGCATGTACTTTCCGCCCTTGCGTATACCCCCAATTTATGGCCAGGACTTTACGTTTCGGTATTCCATATCGCATTGGAGGCTGCCGCATCCTATGGAGCAGGCATATAGTGAGTATATTGTGTAATGTCTCCCAAACGCATCTAAAAAGGTAAAAAAGCAGGCCCTTGCCGGCTTGGTATTGCATTGTCAGGCTTGGTATGCATTGTCAGGTAAGGAACCAGCCCTCGGCCCTCGGTCCTCGGCCCTTGGCGTACGCCATGTCAGTTCCTGCTCCTTGCTGGTTCTCACAACAACTCCTAACCATGGCACACTCATGTGTGCCCTCCTCCCCCACCAGTGCAATCGCCAAGCCGCAGCTCCAAGCACCTCAGAACGCCACCATTCTGCGCCTGGCCATGCCGTGGCAGTCCATTTTCACACAAGCAGCCTTCCACTCCTGCTCCTCCCCTTGCCAACCCCCTCCCCACCAGTGCAATCGCCAAGCCACAGCTCCAAAGGCCAGAAAATGCCACCATTCTGCGCCTGGCCATGCCGTGGCAGTCCATTTTCACCCAAGCAGCGTCCGTTGGCCTCAGAAGGTGGCAGCCGATGGGGACTGCGACTACCACCACGGCGGCACCATGTGGTTCGGCTTCGCGGGAATGACCCCCAACCCCGGCGCTCCCGATGAGACCGTGCTTGTATACAACTACACCACAGTGGGAGCCTTTGCTATAACGGGTACAAGTGCCCTGGGGACGCCTGAAGCAGAGAGAATGGTGGAGCCACACTGTGCTGCTGTCAACTCGCCCCCGTACTTCCTTCCCGGGCCTGTGGAGCAGAAACCCGGACCTGTTCCCTTGGCTTGGAAGATGAACACTACCGTAACACCCATCAACCCTTCATATATTGATGCTAGAGGCGTTGTGGTGTTCCCACGCAAGAGGCACATGTGGTTGACGTTTATGTCCGCCTTTGGCAAGGATATGAGTGCCTCTGCTGTGGTCGCGAGGCTTCGCTTGTCTTTGAGGCCCAACCGCAAGTGGCGCACGCTCCGGGTGTTTCTGGAGCGGTTCAAAGCGGTGGGGGTGGGCGGAGGGAACAGTTTCATCCAACCGTCGATTGCTCTCAACAGGTGAGAGAGAGGGGAGTGAAGGGCCAAGGGGAGGGAGGTAGGGGGAATGAGAAGAAGTAGGTTGAAATAGTTACTTTACTACAAGTCATGGGAAAAGAGCGACAGCAATTTTCTCCAAGGCAAGGTGTGGCAGTTGACTTGCCTTGTCTTCTTTCCCTCGGGACGAGTAAGTGAGTGAGTGGGTGGGCTTTTAAGTCGCAAGAAACTGTTCGAGATGCACTCACATAGCAACATCACATACTCTACCGCTGCCTTTTCTGCTTTCCTTTCTTGCATTCACTCCAACCTGCAGGCACGGCTACGGAATCATAGCAGCATCGCTGGCAGGGCGATCCTTCTACCCCTCAGCTGCCTATGGCACTCTCAACGCCAATGTGGATGTCGGCCGCATCAACGTTGCTGGCCCGGGGAAAGCGCCCCTCGACGACTACGTGGGTGCGTTTGTTCTTCACCTGACAGCCCACCTGACAGCCCACCTGACAGCCCACCTGACAGCCCACCTGACAGCCCACCTGACAGCCCACCTGACAGCCCACCTGACAGCTCGTCTGACAGCTCGCCTGACAGTCCACACCCTACTCACCCACCCCTCTCTCCTCCCCACACACAAACACACACAAACACACACAAACACACACCCCTCTCTCCTCCCCTCGCACTCACCCCTACCCACACACCCCCACCCCTCTCACTCCTGTAGCGTATGCAACCAATTCATCCCTGCGCTACAACGATTACATGATGGCAACTCTTGAGTCGTCTCAACAACCAACCCCACCCCTCCATCCTCTCACACACACCCCCACCCCTCCATCCGCTCACACACACCCCCACCCCTCCATCCTCTCACACACAACCCCACCCCTCCATCCTCTCACACACACCCCCACCCCTCTCACCCCGCTCTCTTGCTCAGGGTATGCGACCAACACATCCCTGCGCTACGGCTACTACATGACGGCAACAATCGACGAGGAGGGCAACGCGTGGGCGGCAGTGCAGTATGTTGCGGGGCATCCTCGCACCGAGTGGAGCAACTGGGCCACCTTCGTCTTTAAAGTCCACCTGCCGGGGGGGGAGGACGGGGGGAACAAGGGGGTTGGGGGGGTTGGGGGAAATGGGGATAATGGGGGGAATGGGGATAATGGGGGAAATGGGGACGGGGAGAATGGAGACAACGGGGGAGACTGAGATCATGGGGGGAATGGTGATAATGGGGTTATCGAGGGGGTTGGGGGTCACGGTGGGCGTTAGGAGACTGGTGGGAGGAGGGGAACTGGGACAAGGGTGGACAAGGAGGGTAGGCTTGGGCAGCAGAGCAGTATGTGGCAGGACAGCCACAAATTTATGTGGCAGGACAGCCACAAATTTATCGGAGCAACTGGGCTAACTCTGTCTCTGAATACCCCCCTGCAGGGGGGGTGGGTGACGGGGGGAATGGGGAAATAAAGTGGGGAATGGGGACAATAAGGATCTAGGGGAGAAGGATGCATCGATAGGGTACCATGACATGGTTTTTTAGTAAAAGTTTTGCTGTTCAATTGGTCAATAGTTGGAAGGGAGCTGAGAGTTACTGGAGCTAGATTGCTGATACCGTATCTTTGTCCATGGTTGCACCTTTTTTCCATGCTAATTATTACCAGTAGTTCTTGCATGTAAAACAAACCTGGCAGTTCATAGCGACGATATGTGCTACTGTATCAAGACTCTATTCAGCAGCAATTGGCATTCTTCCCTTCGGTTCGATACAGTACACCGCCGCCAATATGGATCGCCTCCAATTCCCCCATTGTCGAGCCGCACGGCGGCGGAAACCCCTATACAAGGCATCCACTATCGGGTATTGTCATTTGCGGCTTGGTGGGCAGGGCAACATCCAAGCTATCAGTGCGGGGTTTCGGGTACGTGTTTCCTTCAGGTGCACGACTTGTACCCGGCACTTTGCCCTGCGGCGCGCACAGTAGCAAGCATAAATGTCAAGCAGCACCCCGCAAACTTCCCCACCGAGCAATGCTTACTCCACGTGTTGTCTGGTGTCGTTCTCGCATGCTCGGCGCGCACCCACGCACCCACACACACAAACAAAGTCAACAGCGGATGCTTCTCTAAGCCGCCCCTACCACACACGCATCAAAGCTGTGTTTACTTCTGAGTAGTTCGAGCGCAATGGCTCCTCACGACGGCTCCCCGCCGCGCCTCTGCTATCACGCCGCACTGCTGCTCGCGCTTTTATTGTTGTTAGCTCCGCCGCGGGGAGCGAATGCGGCGACGCGCGTCGTGATTGCGCCGATGCGCGGATCGAACGACCGCGTGGAGGTGTTCAAGCTGTCGGAGAACCTCTGGTTCGCCGGAACCGCGCAGCTGCCGCCGTTTGAAGACTCTGGAAACGGTGGGAACAGTGGCGGAGATAATAGCGGCGGAGATAACAGCGGCGGAGATAACAGCGGCGGAGATAACAGCGGCGGAGATAACAGCGGCGGAGATAACAGCGGCGGAGATAACAGCGGAAACCACGGCAACGGTAATGACAACAGCGGAGGCGACTCGAGCGCGGGGTTCGCCGCGGACGGCCCGCGCGACTTTATGGAGTCGCGCAAGGAGGAGCTGCTGGCGCGGCTTCGCCGCGGCGGCAGTATCAACGAGAAGTCGCGCGAGGCGCTGGCGAAAGCCGCAAACGGCGGCGGCGCGCGAGGGAGCTCCGCGTCTGCGCCCGCCGCAGCCCCCGCGAGCGCGCCGGCTCCCGCTGTCGATCCACTGGAGCTACAGCTGGTAAGTTCGCGGGTCGCGACTGGCGCGTTGTTTTTCCCCGGCTTCAGCACCTTGAATGTCAGAGTCGGTAGCATTTACCGACGAGTCGTCGTGTCGAGTCACTCCCCGCGATGGCGGGATTTCTAAGGTTTCCTCCCGCGTTCCCCACAACAGGAGCAGCGATTGGCGGAGGTGGGGGAATTCTCGGCGCGTACGACGGAGCTGAAACAAGTGGTGAAGCGGAAACCAACGGTTGGGTTTCCCGGTATAAGCCAGTACAGTGGTGTGAACTGCGGTACACCGCCTAAGTACAACAATTCAGTGGTAGGAAACACGTTATAAGTGAGCACTTCAGTTTTGCGCATGAACACTTACATTTTCTTTGGTTCGCAACATCTTCCTTGCACTGAATCTGTTTTTTGTTACGTTTCAGGTCCGTGTCACCCCTCCTGACGTCGCTCTTTGTGTGGGAAATGGATACGTCCTTCACACTGTCAACATTGGTAATCCTTCCTCTCACCTGCTTCCCCCTCCCATCCACTGCTGCTCCGTTCTATTTTACCACTTTCACCCCACCTCCCACTCCCCCCTCCTCACCCCTCCCTCCTCCTCCCCTCCTCCCCTCCTCCCTCCATCTCTCTCCCTTTTCAGCGATGGTTGTGTACGATAAGCAAGGGAAGCAGCTCACTCGCATCATCACACAAAACGAGGCAAGTTCAGTTCAGTTTAGAGTGCGGTGCAAACACGGCAAGTGCGGTGCAAACACGGCAAGTGCGCGCACAAAACTTTCACGACCACTCGCTTCACATGGGTATGCCATACTTGAGCGCCGATCCACCATCCCACCATCGCACCATCCCACACACCCACCATCCCACGCACCCACCACCCAACCATCCCAATCTCCCCCCGTCACACCATTCGCTCTCTTCCCCAATCCGCATGCCAGTTCTTTGGCCTGCTGCCAGCAGTGGTGGAGAGAAGAGACCCGTTCAACACATCAGTGTTTGGAGACAACATCGGTGACATGTCATGCACGTATGATCGCCAGACCAAGCGTTTCTACCTCTCCACCTACTGGACTGTGAGTGCTGTTGAGGGTGCGCTAGATACTGCGGTGCTGGTGGGTGCTGCTCGTTGCTGCTGGGTGTTGCTAGGTGCTGGATGAAGCCGGCAAACCAGCAGTGCTTGGAGACAACATCGGTGACATGTCATGCACTTATGAGGCCCGACGCTTCTACCTTTCCACCTACTGGACTGTGAGTGGTGATGGGGGTGCACTAGAGCGTGCGGAGCTGTGCGGTGCTGCTGGGTGCTGTTGGGTGCTGTTGGGTGCTGGAAGTGTTTAGCGACAGCATCAGCGGTATGACATGCACATATGACCGCCAGGCCAGGCGCTTCTATCTCTCCACCTACTGGACTGTGAGTGGTTATGATGGCGGTACGTGTGATGGTGCGTATGATGGCATTGGTTCTGCCAAGCCATTGGTTCCTCCTTCCCTCCCTCCCTTGATTCCTCCCTCCTCGTGCCCTTCACCCAAGCACCGCTACCTCTACCCTCCTCTTAAGGCCCTCTCCTCTTCCGCCCCATCTTGTTCTCCTCCCCAATTCTCTTCCCCCTCATTGTCCTCCTTCTCGTGATACTTTTTCTCATTGCCCTCGCTCCACGTGCAGTCTGGGGGAGCCAACAACACGTATGACAAGTTTGGGCAGACGAGGAGGAGGGGCAACGTGACAGTGGGGTCAGGGCTGATAGTGGCAGCGACAACCACAGACGACCCCACCCAGCCCTGGAACGTCTTCTTCATCCCCGGCTCGTACGCTCGCCTCCTTACTTCTCACTTTACCTCACGCGTTATTTATTTGTATATAATATATATATAAATATTTATGTATATAATATATTACTTGCATGGTTTTCCCTATGACTCGCGGCTTCTCACGTTTCCTTCATTTCCTTTCATTTGCTCATGTGTCTCATATTTTCTCACCTTCTCACAAATCTCCTCATCGTTTCTCTCCGCTTGTTTCTTCCATCCATTTCTCTCTGCATGCCCCTTCAGCAACAGCAGCGCGATTCCAGACCAATCCCATGTTCTCCTTGCTCCTCAACTTCCCATCTTCTCCTCCCCACTGTTTCCTCCCTCCTCCCCCCCCCTCTCAGCAACGATGGCATCAACTCCAATCCGGACTGGAGGGCGCCTCTCCACTTCAACACATCTCGACTCACCACTTTCTGTATGTTGGGCGTATGATGGTGGTGCATACGATGGTGGTGCATACGATGGTGGTGCATATGATGGTGGTGCGTATGATGGTGGTGCATATGATGGTGGTGCGTATGATGGTGGTGCGTATGATGGTGGTGCGTATGATGGTGGTGCATTGGTGCATATGATGGTGGTGCAAATTTTGGTGGTGCGTATGATTGTCTGCCTCTATTGTTGCCCACTTGTGCTGTCACCTGTCTGACTAAAAAGCCTCCCTCTCCCCTCATGCCCTACTCCCCACCTCTCTCCCATCTGTTCCCTCCCATCCTTTCCCTCCCCCATAAGTGGACTACCCTCAGATCGGCACCGATGCCTATGGTACGTGAGTTAGAGAAAATACGCAATCCTCTGTCCATCTCGGAAAATTTGAGCATAGCGTCTGCTCCATACAGACAAAGCCTGCTTTCACTCTCTCTTCATTAGCAAAGCCCATTGGTTGTGTCGTATTCACGTATCCCCCTTCCCCCCTCACCAGGATTTTACTTGTCGATAAACCAATTCTCCTTGGAGACTAACGACTTCTATGGCTCTTGCATATAGTGAGTGTTCTTGCATACAGTGAGTGTTCTTGCATTTAGTGAGTGTTCTTGCATACAGTGAGTGTTCTTGCATATAGTGAGTGTTCTTGCATACAGTGAGTGTTCTTGCATTTAGTGAGTGTTCTTGCATACAGTGAGTGTTCTTGCATATAGTGAGTGTTCTTGCATATAATGAGTCTGTTGTCTTCGAGCACACTATAAGCACAACAAGTATTTGTGGGACCAGCTTACCTCCTTCCCTACCTTCTCCCCAACCAGTGCAATCGCCAAGCCACAGCTCCAAACACCCGGGAATGCCACCATTCTGCGCTTCGTCGTCCCTTACACAGCCAACCTCACCAATCCAGCCTACACCAATCCAAACCCCCTCCTCCCCTCTCCTCTCCCCTGCAGTGCAATTTCTAAGTCGCAACTCCAAAGGCCAGAGAACACCACCATTCTCCGCTTCGTCGTCCCTTACACAACAAACGTCACCTATCCAGCCTACACCATCTCCTCCCCTCCCCTCCCCTCCCCTCCCCTCCCCTCCCCTCCCCTCCCCTCCCCTCCCCTCCCCTCCCCTGTAGTGCAATTTCCAAGCCGCAGCTCCAACGACCAGAGAACACCACCATTCTCCGCTTCGTCGTCCCTTACACAACAAACGTCACCAATCCAGCCTACACCATCTCCTCCCCTCCCCTCCCCTCCCCTCCCCTCCCCTCCCCTCCCCTCCCCTCCCCTCCCCTCCCCTCCCCTCCCCTGTAGTGCAATTTCCAAGCCGCAGCTCCAACGACCAGAGAACACCACCATTCTCCGCTTCGTCGTCCCTTACACAACAAACATCACCAATCCAGCCTACACAATCTTCCCTCAGAAGGTCGCAGCAGATGGGGACTACGACTATCGCCACGGCGGCACCATGTGGTTCGGCTGGACGGGAATCAATTACAACCCCAGTGCCCCTAACGAAACCGTGCTTGTCGGTAATTATAGCACAATCGGAGCCTTTGCTATAACGGGTACAAGTGCTCTGGGGACATCAGAAGCAGATCTCTTGGTTGAGCCGCACTGTGCTGCCGTCACCACTCCCCCGTTCTTCGATCCACAGCCCGTAGACCAGAAACCTGGGCCTGTTCCGTTGGCCTGGAAAATGAACAGGACAATCACACCCATCGGCCCTTCCACTGTAGACATGCGAGGTGTGGTGGTATCTCCTGGGAAGAGGCGCATGTGGGTGACGTTTATGTCTGCCTTTGGCAAGGACATGAGTGCCTCTGCTGTGGTCGCGAGGCTTCGATTGTCGCTCCGGCCCAACCGCAAGTGGCGGCCGTTTCGGGTGTTTCTGGAGCGGTTCAAAGCGGTGGGGGTGGGCGGAGGGAACAGCCTCATTCATCCGAGCATTGCTCTCAACAGGTGGGAGGGAGAGACAATGTTACTTTTATGTGTCGACTTTTCATAGGCGCGAGCATTTGACATGAGAATGTATATAGGTGCTTCGCATGCAGCATGCAGAGCAGAGCGCGCGTATGTAACTCGTATGTGATATGCAAGTGCGTCCCTTTGAGCATAAAAAGATATGCACAGCAGCATTCAGCCCGTATTCTCTCCCTCCTCCAACTCTCTCTTCGGCCAAAGATACACTCTCTTTCCCTCCTCACTCCCCCCACCCATGCACGGCTACGCAATCATAGCAGCATCAAATCCATGATCTTCCTCTCTTGCCCATCCCCGCACTCCCCCGTGGCAGCCAAGGCGAGGGAATCATAGCAGCATCGCTGGCAGGGCGATCCTTCTACCCCTCAGCTGCCTATGGCACTCTCAACGCCAATGTGGATGTCGGCCGCATCAACGTTGCTGGCCCGGGGAAAGCGCCCCTCGATGATTTCTATGGTGAGTCCGCTCCTTTATAATCGTTAGTCTTTCAGTGCCTACAAGAGTCCCCGTGGGGTGTGTTTTGAGGCTAAGGTGAGGAACACCACGGGCGACTCGATGGCAGCTCCCTCCCTCCTCCTCCCCCACACACCACTGCACCCACCGCGTCACCCCTCTCTCTTCCCCCAAATTACCGGGCCGGTGCAACGGAGCATCGGTACGGCGACTACATGACACCGCCTGTTGAATCGAATCAAGAGCCACTGCCACCTGTCTCATTTCCACACCCACCCATCTCTTGCTCTTCCACCCCCAGGGTACCGCGGTGATGCAACGGAGCATCGGTACGGCGACTACATGACGGCAACGATTGATGAGGAAGGCAACGCGTGGGCGGCGGTGCAGTATGTGGCGGGACAGCCGAGAACTGAGTGGAGCAACTGGGCTACCTTCGTGTTTAAAGTCGCCCTGCAGGGGGTAGAGGACGGGGGGAACGGGGGAAATGGGGATAATGGGGGAAATGGGGACAGCAAGGGGAATGGTGGTCACGAGAGGAATTAGGACAGTGGGAGGGGAGAGAATGGGGATTAAGGGAATAGGGAAAATGGGCAGAAATTTAGGGGTGCTTGTGTGCTAGGGGGCGAATACGAGGAGAACATGAGGGGAATTAGGACAGTGGGAGGGGAGAGAATGGGGATTAAGGGAATAGGGAAAATGGGCAGAAATTTAGGGGTGCTTGTGTGCTAGGGGGCGAATACGAGGAGAACATGAGGGGAGGGGAGGAAATAAGGAGAAGGGGGGGTAAGGGGAAGTAGAGAGAGGATGGCAGCTGATGGAAGGCAGAGCAATGAGCCTGTGAGTGGGAGAGTTTAAGGTGTGGCGGCAGCTGTGGCATTTGCTGGTGAATGGAGGAAGGCAAGAGCAGGGGAAGAGGGGGGGTTGGATGGGGTGGGTGGGAACGATGCTGCAGGTCGGTAACTGAGCCATGCCTACGCATGAGGTAAATCGCCTGAGGAGGTTCCTTTGTTTGTTTGTTTGTTGTTTTCTTCTTTTTTTTTTCGGATTCACCTCAACGAGTGGTGATGAGAGCCGTGCCTCATCTGCACACATGATGCGGACCGGTGGTGGTGATGAAACCACCAGCAACAGTGATGCACACAGCAGCAGCAACAGCAGAACCAACAGCAGCAGCAGCATCCACAATAACAGTGGTAGAGGCAATGGAAATGGCAATGGTAGCAGCCGTGGTGGAAGTTATAGGAGCTAGAATGGGCATGTGTCGTGCTAATGTGTTGCTACCTCAGCAGCACTGTTTCTTGAACTCCCGCATATCATCACATCATATTTCTCTATTACGTGCTGCTTGATCGGTGCATAATTGTTGTTTGTTTACAGATTGCGGCTGCTGCTCGTATTTATGCTATCTCCATAGTCATTTATGGAGGGAAAATTACTTGAGTAAGCATGTGAAATTACCGAATTTGATTGGTGGTTCACGTTTTAGTGATTCCTTGTTATCGAGTACCTTGTAGACGGATTTTTTTATGTTTCTTTGGTGATACGCTATTCAGTCACAATATTTCTGCCTCTATGCACAACCGAATCGCCTCGCCTCTCGTATCCCATTGTCGAGCCGCACGGCGGCGGAAAACAGCCATCACGACATTTCACCCCTTGTTGAGTTGATTCACTCCTTGGGCATATGGTGCAGAATCTTGGTGTTCAAGAAAACACTTCACCAGCAACAACGGGAAAACAGTGCACTGACCAGTCATTGTGGGGAGCAAAATCCACCAACATGCGGGAAAACAGAACGCGAAACCACAAAACCACCCTGTTTCACCAAAAGTTTCAGCTGGGCAGTGCGGCTGTGGGGTGTTCGTTCGCTCGCCCACCCGCATGAAAGCAGAATGATGATCATGTACCGTACTGGGGTATTCAGTTGATCACGCACCCTTACTGAAAATTTACGCCAAAAGCGCAATACTGTAGCTTCAGGCGCAGGGTTTCTGCCAGTTTCTCGCTCATCGCGCAGTATTAGCTCCTTTCAATGCAGCTCGATGGTCAATGGGCCACATGTTCGAAAGTTAGGGGCCAATTGGTTTTACTGTTAGTGAGAACAGTAAATATCCAGTCATGTTTTTACCTGCGCGGAAAAATGAATAACCCATGGAAAAAGAGCATAAATCCTAAACACCCAATTTATGGTGTTTAGGGTTGATGACCCCTCGATGCTTGCCATCGAAAATTAATAATCATCACGAACAATAAAACCGATGATTTATTGCATCAACCCTAAACTCTTCCGCATTGTGTTTAGGGTTGATGCCTCCCTAAACAACATGCCATCCAATAGGGGTTTATATTTTTGTCTGCCCGAAATGCAGGTGTAGGGGGTTCGCTGGCCGTCAATTTAAGCGGAGTTGTCGGTCCGTCCATATTTTGGCCAATCATGAATGAAATGCGTTGAAAGGAGCTAATACTGCGCGATGAGCGAAAAACTGGAAGAAACCATGCGCCAGAAGCTACAGTGCTGCGCTTTTGGCGCATAGTTTCAGTAAGTGTGCGTGATCAACTGAAAACCCACCGTACTGCTCACAACACAAAAAGCTGTGTGTTTGTTTGCTCAGTGTGTTCATTTTCTCGTAAGTGCCCCTTCCGTCATGGCTCCTCTACAGGCCTCCCCGCGCCTTTGCTACCACGCAGCGCTGCTGCTCACGCTTCTACTGTTGCTAGCTCCGCCACGGGGAACGAATGCGGCGTCGCGCGTCGTGATTGCGCCGATGCGCGGATCGAACGACCGCGTGGAGGTGTTCAAGCTGTCGGAGAAACTCTGGTTCGCCGGAACCGCGCAGCTGCCGCCGTTTGAAAACTCCGGCGACGGTGGATCTTCAAGCACTGACGGAGATAGCAGCGGGAACCACGGCGACAGCACGGATCGTAACATCGCGGCTGGGGATGGCCCGCGCGGCGACTCGATGGAGTCGCGCAGGGAGGCGCTGCTGGCGCGGATCCGCGGCGGCGGAATGGATGAGAAGACGCGCGACGCGCTGTTGGCCGCTGGAGAGAGCTCCGCGTCTGCGCCCGCCGCAGCCCCCGCGAGCGCGCCAGCTCCCGCGAGCGCGCCAGCTCCCGCGAGCGCGCCGGCTCCCGCTGTGGATCCGCTGGAGCAACAGATGGTAGGCTCGCAATTGATGAGGTCTTTATATCTAATAAGCGATTGATGAAGTAAGCCTTTAAATTCTAACAAGCGATTGGGGTGCGATTCTCGAATAGGAGCTTTCCTTGGTCCTCAAAGGATGCGCGGTAGTTTCGGAGGGAATACTATTCATGTGAGTGAACATTTTCTCATGAAATTTCTCATGATAAGGGTGAAAATAACATTTTCCCCTGGAGTAGTATTCAACTTAGCTACATTGTTGACCCCAATTGGAATATTTTGTTAATTTAACCATTATTTTTTGCTGCAGTTATCGGCAAAAATCCTCGTCCGAGTATATTCCGTGTCAGTTAGTCGGTAACATCTACCTCCATTGTGCCTCTCCCCATGAGGCGCAGGCCTAGAACGCGACGCCTTCATATAGGCCTCTAAGACCGACGACCCTACTTTTACCTTCCGCACCCATCGACTGGGCTCTCTAAATCAGACATTGTTTCTGTTTCGAGTTACACGCCTTCCTCAGTGGAGTCCCAAGGTTTCCTTCCTTCCCGTTTTTCCCATGAGCAGGCGCAGCGAGTGGCGGAGGTTGGGGAATTCGCGGCGCGCACGACAGAGCTGAAACAAGTGGTGAAGCGGAAACCGGCGGTTGGGTTTCCCGGTATAAACATTTACGACATAGTTCACAGCGGTACACCGCCTAAATACAATGATTCAGTGGTAATACACGTGTTTGATTAAACAGTGCACATTTTGGATGTGCATGAACACTTTCATTTCCTTTGGTTTACAGCATCTTTCTTCCACTAAAGTGGTTTTTTTTACGTTTCAGGACGATGTGACCCCGCCTGACGTCGTTCTTTGCGTAGGAAATGGATATGTCCTTCACACTGTCAACATCGGTAAGCCTTTCCTTTAACCTGTTCACTGCCATTCACTGCCGCTCCGTTCCTTTAACCTGTTTCACTCACCCCACCCACTCCACCCCTCCTTGTCTCCCCCTTGGCAGCGATGGCTGTGTACGACAAGCAAGGGAAGCAGCTCACTCGCACCATCACACACAACGAGGCAAGTGCACATGCAGCAAGGCAATAGCCCCCACACACAGCACAGCACATGATCGCTTGCTTGCAAGGAAGATGTGGCTGCAGTTACAAACCGGGCTGTGGGTTCCCATCCAGGTGGAAGCAATCCCGAGGCAATCCAGTTCCTTGGTTGCTTCCGCCAGTGCTGGCAGGCTTGGTACTTCGAACCCTCCCTCCCCAACCCTCATGCCAGTTCTTCGGGTTGCTGCCACAAGTGGTGGAGTGGAGGAAGCCGACCAACACATCAGTGATCCAACTAACAAACTGATGCCATCCCACCTCCCACCGTCCCACCATTCCACCTCCCACACCTCCCACCGTCCCACCATCCACCCCGCTCCCCAATGCCCACGCCAGTTCTTCGGGTTGCTGCCACAAGTGGTGGAGTGGAGGAAGCCGACCAACACATCAGTGTTTGGGGACGCCCTCGGGGACATGTCATGCACGTATGACCGCCAGGCGAACCGATTCTTCCTTTCTGCTTACTGGATGGTGAGTGTTGATCGGGGTGCGCTAGAGAGTGCGGTGCTGCTGGGTGCTGCTGGGTGCTGGATGAAGCCAGCATATCATCTGTGTTTGGGGACGCCCTTGGTGAGATGTCATGCACTTTTGACCGCCGCGCCAACCGTTTCTACCTCCTACTGGATGGTGAGTCATGGTGCTGGGGGTGCACTCAAACGAGCGGTGCTGCCAGGTGCTGCCAGGTGCTGCCAGGTGCTGCCAGGTGCTGCTAGGTGCTGCTAGGTGCTGCTAGGTGCTGCTAGGTGCTGCTAGGTGCTGCTAGGTGCTGCTAGGTGCTGCTAGGTGCTGCTAGGGTGCTGCCAGGTGCTAGACCAAGCAGTGTTTGGCGACATATCATGCACATACGACCGCCACGCCAACCGTTTCTTCCTCTCCTCCTACTGGATGGTGAGTCATGGTGGCGGGGATGCACTAGAGTGTGCGGTGCTGCTCGGTGCTTCTTGCGTGTGTTTCTCCTTCGTTTTCTTCCCTCTCATTACCCTGCCTCTCATGACACTCCCTCTCATTTTCTTCCCTCTCGTTTCTCTCCCTTTGCCGCCCCGTTTTCCTGCCTCCCATCGCCCTTGCTCCCACTCCCATATCTCTCCACGTGCAGTCGGGGGGAGCCAACAACACGTATGACAAGTTTGGGCAGACGAGGAGGAGGGGCAACGTGACAGTGGGGTCAGGGCTGATAGTGGCAGCGACAACCACAGACGACCCCACCCAGCCCTGGAACGTCTTCTTCATCCCCGGCTCGTACGCTCGCCCTCCATTATTCCCATCTAATTATTCTTGTCATTCCTCACCCTTTCTCACCCTTTCTCACCCTTTCTCACCCTTTCTCACCCTTTCTCACCCTTTCTCACCCTTTCTCACCCTTTCTCACCCTTTCTCACCCTTTCTCACCCTTTCTCACCCTTGCTCGATGACCCCACCAAGGACTGGAACGACTTCTTCATCTCCAGCTCGTACGCTCGCCTTCCTTTTTGTTCTCACCCTTTCTCACATTCCTCGCCTTCCTTCACCCTTTTGCACTGTGCCTTTTTGCCTCGCTATTCGTCATGGTTTCTCACGTTTTCTCAACCTTCCCACTGTTTCCTCCCTTAACTCTCCCTCTCCCAGCAACGATGGCATCAACTCCAATCCGGACTGGAGGGCGCCTCTGCACTTCAACACGTCTCGACTTACCACTCTTAGTAGGCTGAACGAAATGTGGGTGATGGTGTGGGTGGTGCGGGTGGCGATGGGTGCTCGATGGCACTTACGGATGATTTAATTAAAATGTTGATTGTAATGAAATGATGTGGTTACGGAATTCTTACTTTGCTTTGACCATTCTCTGTTGGTCACAACATAGCAGTGCACACACAGTTCTTTTATCGCCTCAAAGACCATTCTCACTCTCCCATCTGGCCCTACTCCCATCCCCTCCCCTCTTTTGCCTCCCCATCAGTGGACTACCCTCAGATCGGCACCGATGCCTATGGTATGTGCACTCATGCCTATGCCATGCACCGATGCCTATGGTCTGTGTCTCAGAAATTGATTTCAGCTTTGAGTCGACTCACAGTCTGGCACCGGCGCTAATGGTAGTTAGTCAGAAATAACTTGTGCTTTTGACTCAAAAGTTGGCACTGAAGCCTATGGTATGTGTCTCAGAGTTGACTTTTGAGCCACCTCGATAGTCATGGTCACCTTGGAATGTGTGCGTGTCAGAGATAGGTTGCAATCCTATGTCCAACTCAAAACTTTGGAGCTTCCCTAGTTAATCTAGTCACTCTTCCCCACCCTGCACCCCCCCTTTCCCGCTCGTCAGGGTTTTACGTTTCAACAAACGAATTCGCGTTCGAAACTAGCGACTACTTTGGTTCGTCCATATAGTGAGTGCTCCTACATGTATGTGACGCGCCTCAAAAGCCCGGCGCCTCAAAATTCCGCCGCCTCAAAAGTCCCGCGATCCCATCCCATGAGAGGCGTGTACCCTTTGGCAACCTCTCCCATCCCATCCCATCCCATCAGAGTCAAAGCTGACTCATGGCACGCATGGGCCTGCGCTTGCAAGCACGCTCGTTAAATGTGCGTGCACGCAAGCACGCATGCACACATGCACGCAAGCACACATGCATGCAAGCACACATGCACGCAAGCACGCATTCATGCAAGCACACATCCCCACCCCTGCACCTTCTCTTCCCCATACCTCCTCCCAAACCTCCTCCCCTGACCCTTCCACCGAACCACCTCCCCCCAACCCCCTCCCCATGCCAGTGCAATTTCCAAGTCACAGCTCCAAACACCCGAGAACGCCACCATTCTCCGCATCGTCGTACCTTACACAGACAGCCCCATCAGTCCAGCCTTCACCATCTGGCCTCAGAAGGTCGCAGCAGATGGGGACTACGACTACCACCACGGCGGCACCATGTATTTCGGCTGGACAGCAGTCAACTCCAATCCCGGCGCACCCAACGAAACCGTGCTTGTCGGTAACTATACTACAATCGGAGCCTTTGCTTTAACGGGCACAAGTGCTCTGGGGACAGCGGACGCGGAGAGAAAGGTTGAGCCACACTGTGCGGCTGTCAGCACTCCGCCGTTCTTCGACCCCCAGCCTGTGAAGCAGAAACCCGGACCTGTTCCCTTGGCCTGGAAAATGAACACCACGATTAAACCCATCTCCCCTGCCTTTTCAAGTGTGAGAGGCGTGGTGGTGTTCCCAGAGAGCAGGCACATGTGGGTGACGTTTATGTCCGCCTTTGGCAAGGACATGAGTGCCTCTGCTGTGGTCGCGAGGCTTCGATTGTCCCTCCGGCTCAAGCGCAAGTGGCGGCCGTTTCAAGTGTTTCTGGAGCGGTTCAAAGTGGTGGGGGTGGGCGGAGGGAACAGCCTGATTCAGCCCACCATCGCTCTCAACAGGTGGGGGAGAGAACGGAGGGGGTGAATGGCATTGGGGGGGAGAGGAATTTGGAGGAAACAGGAGAGTGAGGAAAATATTTCCATGATGGGTTAGTTATTTATGTTTTCCCAGCTAATAATCGATGGGTAGAAGTGCTTGGCAGGTAATTCCCACGAGCACATAATATTCTGCACAGCGTGAGTACCATAGCAGCATCAATCAAACCCGTATTCTTCCTCTCTTGCCCATCCCCGCACTCCCCCGTGGCAGCCAAGGCGAGGGAATCATAGCAGCATCGCTGGCAGGGCGATCCTTCTACCCCTCAGCTGCCTATGGCACTCTCAACGCCAATGTGGATGTCGGCCGCATCAACGTTGCTGGCCCGGGGAAAGCGCCTCTTGATGACTTCTTTGGTAAGTCCTCTTATGCTCTCTGTTTATCTTCTAGTCTTTCAGTGCCTAAAATAGTCTCTGTGGGGTGTTTGAGCCTCTCGTTCCCGGCCCGGGGAAGGCGCCTCTGGATGACTTCTTTGGTGGGTCCTCTTATGCTCTTTGTTGTTTTCCAAGACGTCTCAGCAGTTGTCCTCTTATGCTGCTTGTTGCTCCGTGGTTTGTTGCTTCAATGTTTCTTGCTCCACACACACCTCTCCCTCCTGCGCACAAACCTCCTTCCCGCCTCACACACCCCGATCCTTCTCTCTCTCGCCCTTACCGGCTACCTCTATGCGGACGTGCTGCGATACGGTGACTATATGACGGCGACAATTGACGAGGAGGGGAACGCATGACAGCAAATCAAAGGCCACTTCTGTCCCTCTCTCTCTCGCCCTTCCAGGGTACCTCTATGGGGATGCAATGCGGTACGGCGACTACATGACGGCGACGGTGGACGAGGAGGGCAACGCGTGGGCGGCAGTGCAGTATGTGGCGGGGCATCCTCGCACTGAGAAGAGCAACTGGGCTACCTTCGTCTTTAAAGTGGACCTTCAGGGGAATGGGGGGAATGGGGATGGGGGGAATGGGGGCAGCGGGGGAAGTGGGGATAATGGAGGGAGTGATGATAACGGGGGGAATGGGGGTCACGAGGGGAAGTAGGAAAACGGGGGGAAGGGGGAGTGTGGGTTGGGAGGTGGGTGGGGGGAGAAGGTGGGGAATGAGGAGGGGAGGGAGGGTGAGAGTGCGACCGCAATAAATTGGTGTTGTGTTTGAAATGGGGCAACCGGGGTAGCTACAGATGGGTAGTGGCAGTGGCAGTGGCAGTGGCAGTGGCAGTGGCAGTGGTAGTGGCAAGGTCGTAGGCATGGGGCCATGGGCGGCAGCAGCAGCAGTCATGGCAATAAAGCAGTTGTGGTAGCAGCTACGATACAAGTGGGCGTGAGCGCATGGGGATGACTGACAGGATGGCATCATGGCACTCGTGTGTTGCTTCCTCAGCAGCACAGGTTGCCTCCTGTAACAACACCAGCATATCAGCCCGTCACATGCCATTCACATGCGTGTGTTGCTCCCTCAGCAACATGGCCTGTTTCTTTGCATCCCCTGCCGTTTCTGACATCAGAACAGATGCCATTTAATATCTGCATCACTGCATACCATTCAATGCCGCTCACATTGTTTTGCGCTCTTGAGAAATCGCATGCAGCTTCAAGTGGGAGTATTGCCACACAAGTTACCGTGGAATCACACATGAGATTCGAGCGACTCAAAAGTCACATAGAACACCCGTAACTTAGAGAGTACAGAGAGCATTCCCGTAATTTGGACTACTACACTACAGTTACAATATCGTCACTCGGTTGTGCCATCTTTGTCATTGGCTACTGCAATGCCATGGACAACAATCCGAGCTTGCCTTCTCAACATACCATACCTAGTACAAGCTTTAGCTCCAAAATAGGTGATACAAGCTCCACAGTTCTACCAATATGCTTACTTCTACACCCTGAACGCCACATGCAACTCAGTCACCTATCACTATCCACAGCACAGCACCCTTTCCAACTTGTGCTGTGCACGTATTGTTTTTCCAGGCGTGGAAAGCAACATGTAAACTTCGCTTGCAGGGGGCGGCAGAGCAGAAGCTGTGTGAGACAGTGTGAGTGTGGACTCCAGGCAGGCAGCCATGTGGCCTTTGACTCGACTCAACAGACAGTGTGACTCTGCGAGCGTGGAAACAAAGCAGCCATATTGTTGCCATAAGCATTGCACCAAACCACAGTTGAATCTGGATAGTTAACCTGTATCACTTCCTTGGACTCCTTTTGCTTGCGATAAGGGCCTCCAATCAGCCATTCGTCGAGTCGACTCAAAAAGCCATTGCAGTCAAGCCCTACACTTCACCCTCCTTGGGCTTCTTTCCCTTGCTTTGAGGCGCCTCGAAAAAACACAGCAGGTCTAAACTCACTCTCCCACCCACGCACGTCCTCGCCGATAAGGCCATTCAGATGTACAGCGCGGTACTGTACGGTAATCCAAATAATTTCTCAGAAGAATGATGTGCCCAGCTGTTCCGAGAATTTCTCGGTCCTCCCAGGATGTACAGCGCGGTACTGTACGGTAATCCGAATCTCAGAGGGACCGTGGGGATACAAGTAGGGCCCAGTTGCTTCAGTAGGTTCTGGGCCTCCCTAGCATGTGCAGCGCAGCACCACAACCCCAAATCACAGTGGCACCTTGAAGATATAGGTAGCCCAGTTGCTCCAGTGGGTTCTGGGGCTCCCCGGCACATACTGCACCGCACAGCACTCCTGGTGGTGCCTTCTGCACCACACATACTGAACCCGCCATGAACGTTTACAAGGAGACTTTGAAGATATAGGTACCCCAGTTGGTCCAGTGGGTTCTGGGCCTCCCCGGCACATACTGCACCGCACCGCACAGCACCCCTGATGCTGCCCTCTGCACCCCTCAAGAGCGTTTACAGAGGCACCTTGAAGATATAGGTACCCCAATTGGTCCAGTGGGTTCTTGGGCTCCCCGGCACATACTGCACCGCACCCCACGCGTTCCCCTGCTCGTCGATGCCAGCTGTCATGTAGTCGCCGTATCGCACTGCATCAGCAAACCCCATGTACCCTGTGGGAGAGGGGAGGGGAGGGAGAGGGAGAGGGAGAGGGTGGGGGTTTTGGGAAAGGGAGAGAGGGCATTGGGGCGAGGAGGGGGGAAGGAGAGGGGGGGACTGTGGGTTCTGCATGCCCTGCTTGTCCACCCCTGCTGTCGTGTAGTCGCCATATCGCACTGCCTCAGCAAACCCCATGTATCCTGTGGGAGAGGGGGAGAGGGGGGGGAGATGGGCGGTTGGGGGAGGAGGGGAGTGGACGCGTGGCGTGGGGTTCGGAGAAAACGAGTCCCATGCATTCCCCTGCTCGTCTATGCCTGCTGTCATGTAGTCGCAATATCGCACTGCATCAGCAAACCCCATGTACCCTTGGGATGGGGAAGGGGAGGGGGAGGGTGGGGGAGGAGGAGGATGGGAGGGGACGGTTTGAGAAAACGAGCCCCTTTTCCCTCCACAAGGGGGGAAACGGTTTGCCCCTGACACAGCAGTGCCAGCAAGGGAGTAAGAATCACCACAGCCTCTCCTGCTCAAGCCACATCTCTCACTCACCCGAGTAATCATCCAAAGCTGCGCCGCCTGCAGCAGCAACCACCACATCTCCCACCGCTGTCTCCCCATTCACAGTGGTATACGCAGCAGAGGGGAAATACGACGGTCCTGCCAAAGACACAGCCATGATCCCCCTCCCTCGTCTGTTCAGCGCTATACTCGGCTGGATCAACCCATTCCCCTTCACCCCAACCGTCCTGAACCGCTCTAGAACCACCCGAAACGGCTGCCACCGCCGCGTCGGAACCAGCAGCATGCGCAGGCGTGCTATCACAACGTAAGGCCCCTGGTCCTGGGATGTGGAACTGCCTGTCATAAAGGTAAGCCACATCTGTTTCTTCACAGGTGCCACTACCACTCCTCGCACGTCTGTGCTTGACGGGTCTATAGGCTTGATTGTTGTCCCGTATTCCCATGCCAAGGGAACGGGGCTCCATTTTTGGGTGACATAGCCCGTGGTGAAATATTCCGGGCAGGTTGTGGCGGAGTAGAAGGTTTGTATGCGGGAGAGGGCCAATTTTGTGCCCAGGAAGCTTGTCCCCGTTATAAGCAGCGCCCCTATGCGGTTCAAGACGGAGGTTGTGAACATTTGTGGGTCTTGGTTATATCCGAAATACATTGTACCGCCGTTGGTGTAGTCGAATGGTGTATCTGCTGCTACTTTTTGCGGCCAGACGGTGTAGTCGGGTACGGAGGGGTTGTCGGTAGTGGGGATGGCTATACGGAGGATGAAAGTGTTTGCGGGACGAGATAGTTGCACTTTGGATATGGCACTGGGGGAATGGGGGGGATGGGTGGGGGAATGGGGTGGAGGAAATGGGAGGTTGGGGGGGTTTTGAGTCGACTCAAAAATAAGATGATAGTGTTGGTGGGAAGAGATAGTTGCACTTTGGATATGGCACTGGGGTGATGGCGGGGATGGGTGGGGGGATGGGGTGGAGGAATTCGGGGGGAGGGAATGGGGGATGGGGGGATGTGGGGGGTTGAGGGGAATGGGGGGAGTGGGTGGATGGGGAGAATGTGAGGGGGTGACAATGATTGGTTAGGGCCCAGCCTACAGTGTGTTGGAACAACGAGACAAGGGGTTGAACGAAGTTAAAAGGGGTTGAGAGTAGTGTAGCGTGGGCGCACTCACAAGATGCTGACTCCAAAGAAACCATCATCCTCGTATGAGAAGTGGTTGGCAGACAGATAGAAACCTGCTTGGCATGCATGCATGGACGCATGGAGGCATGGAGGTATGGAGGTATGGAGGTATGGAGGTATGGAGGTATGGAGGTATGGCAGGCATGGCAGGCATGGGCATGCAAATAGACATGTGTATATGTCATGCGGCGCGTGTATGGTATGCAGGTATAAAATGCAGGTACGGTTTGCAGGTTTGGTGTGCAGATATGACATATCACATAGCCGAGCACTCCGCACACCCTACTGGACCCACTCTGGACCGCTCTTTACCAATGCAAAAAGCGCAGCAGAGCACAGCACCGCACTACACCTCTGCATCTTACCGTATCCGTCTGTGCCTATCTGAGGGTAGTCCACTGCAATAAAGTGGGAGAGGAAGGGGCGCAGATGGGGAGGGAAAGGGGGAAGGTTGCGAAGGAGGCAACGGGGGCTGAAGGGGAACAGAAGGGGTAGAAGGTCCCTTAGCACACGCATTTAGGCACAGAACAGAAGAGAGGAAGCTTACACAGGAGCAACTGGTGACACAGAAGGTTATAGTTAAAAGAGATGCTGGAAGGGAACGTGACTTACTGAAAGTGATCAGACGTTTGGTTGGGAAGTTGAGAGGAGGGCGAAAATCAGCGTTTGAGTTCTTCCCATCGTTGCTGTGCCATGCCATGCCATCCCATACCATTCCGCCATGCCGTGCCATGCCATACCATGCCATGCCATGCCATGCCATGCCATACCATGCCATACCATGCCATGCCATGCCATGCCATACCATGCCATACCATGCCATACCATGCCATACCATGCCATGCCATGCCACACCGTGCGATGCCATGCCATGCCGCACAGAGACAGAGGATGTCCGCAGGGATAGAGACGAGGACTCGGGTATGGTGGCGGTAGCTAGCAACCAGCACAGCAAGAAACCCCGTGTACTGAAACTATAAGCTGCGGTAACACAACGTGCATGGTATGGTAACCATATCATAATGTGCCAACAGTGCACATGGTAACCAGTCATAATAGGTTCTTACGATGAGGGGATGAAGAAGAGATTCCACGGTTTGGTGGGGTCGGGAGTGGTGGAGGCAGCAACCAGCAGCCCAGTCCCCACTGTTGTCCCGTCCGCCCGATACCTTGTCTGCCCAAACCTGTCGTATGCATTCTTGCCCCCACCCGACTGGGGAGGGGTGGAGAGAAGCAGGGAAGGAGGGGATGAGGGGGCATCTTAAAGCTCGATACCTTTTCTTTCCAAACCTGTCATACGCATTCTTGCTAACCTGGACTGAAATCAAGGTGAAAGGAGGGAAGGAGGATGGGAGGAGGGGAGTTTTGAGGCGCTTCAATAGCAGCCCAGTCCCCACTGTTGTGCCGTCCGCCCGATACCTCGTCTGCCCAAACCTGTCGTATGCATTCTTGCCCCCACCCGACTGGAGCGGGAGGGTGAGGAGGGAGGGAGAGAAGGAGGGAGGGAGGGTTGAGGACGCATCTCCAAAGCTCGATACCTCGTCTGGCCAAAGCTCGATGCCTAGTCTGGCCAAGCCTGCCATACGCGTTCTTGCCGCCCCAGAGTGACGAAAGGGAGGGGGCAAGGGAGACACTAAGCACCACCCAGCAGCACCACCCAGCAGCACCACCCAGCAGCACCACCCAGCAGCACCACCCAGCAGCACCACCCAGCAGCACCACCCAGCAGCACCACCACAGCAGCACCACCCAGCAGCACCACCCAGCAGCACCACCCAGCAGCACCACCCAGCAGCACCACCCAGCAGCACCACCCAGCAGCACCACCCAGCAGCACCACCCAGCAGCACCACCCAGCAGCACCACCCAGCAGCACCACCCAGCAGCACCACCCAGCAGCACCACCCAGCAGCACCACCCAGCAGCACCACCCAGCAGCACCACCCAGCAGCACCACCCAGCAGCACCACCCAGCAGCACCACCCAGCAGCACCACCCAGCAGCACCACCCAGCAGCACCACCCAGCAGCACCACCCAGCAGCACCACCCAGCAGCACCACCCAGCAGCACCACCCAGCAGCACCACCCAGCAGCACCACCCAGCAGCACCACCCAGCAGCACCACCCAGCAGCACCACCCAGCAGCACCACCCAGCAGCACCACCCAGCAGCACCACCCAGCAGCACCACCCAGCAGCACCACCCAGCAGCACCACCCAGCAGCACCACCCAGCAGCACCACCCAGCAGCACCACCCAGCAGCACCACCCAGCAGCACCACCCAGCAGCACCACCCAGCAGCACCACCCAGCAGCACCACCCAGCAGCACCACCCAGCAGCACCACCCAGCAGCACCACCCAGCAGCACCACCCAGCAGCACCACCCAGCAGCACCACCCAGCAGCACCACCCAGCAGCACCACCCAGCAGCACCACCCAGCAGCACCACCCAGCAGCACCACCCAGCAGCACCACCCAGCAGCACCACCCAGCAGCACCACCCAGCAGCACCACCCAGCAGCACCACCCAGCAGCACCACCCAGCAGCACCACCCAGCAGCACCACCCAGCAGCACCACCCAGCAGCACCACCCAGCAGCACCACCCAGCAGCACCACCCAGCAGCACCACCCAGCAGCACCACCCAGCAGCACCACCCAGCAGCACCACCCAGCAGCACCACCCAGCAGCACCACCCAGCAGCACCACCCAGCAGCACCACCCAGCAGCACCACCCAGCAGCACCACCCAGCAGCACCACCCAGCAGCACCACCCAGCAGCACCACCCAGCAGCACCACCCAGCAGCACCACCCAGCAGCACCACCCAGCAGCACCACCCAGCAGCACCACCCAGCAGCACCACCCAGCAGCACCACCCAGCAGCACCACCCAGCAGCACCACCCAGCAGCACCACCCAGCAGCACCACCCAGCACCACCCAGCAGCACCACCCAGCAGCACCACCCAGCAGCACCACCCAGCAGCACCACCCAGCAGCACCACCCAGCACCACCCAGCAGCACCACCCAGCAGCACCACCCAGCAGCACCACCCAGCAGCACCACCCAGCAGCACCCAGCAGCACCCAGCAGCACCCAGCAGCACCCAGCAGCACCCAGCAGCACCCAGCAGCACCACCCAGCACCACCCAGCAGCACCACCCAGCAGCACCACCCAGCAGCACCACCCAGCAGCACCACCCAGCAGCACCACCCAGCAGCACCACCCAGCAGCACCACCCAGCAGCACCACCCAGCAGCACCACCCAGCAGCACCACCCAGCAGCACCACCCAGCAGCACCACCCAGCAGCACCACCCAGCAGCACCACCCAGCAGCACCACCCAGCAGCACCACCCAGCAGCACCACCCAGCAGCACCACCCAGCAGCACCACCCAGCAGCACCACCCAGCAGCACCACCCAGCAGCACCACCCAGCACCACCCAGCAGCACCACCCACCAGCACCACCCAGCAGCACCACCCAGCAGCACCACCCAGCAGCACCACCCAGCAGCACCACCCAGCAGCACCACCCAGCACCACCACCCAGCAGCACCACCCAGCAGCACCACCCAGCAGCACCACCCAGCAGCACCACCCAGCAGCACCACCCAGCAGCACCACCCAGCAGCACCACCCAGCAGCACCACCCAGCAGCACCACCCAGCAGCACCACCCAGCAGCACCACCCAGCAGCACCCAGCAGCACCACCCAGCACCACCCAGCAGCACCACCCAGCAGCACCACCCAGCAGCACCACCCAGCAGCACCACCCAGCAGCACCACCCAGCAGCACCACCCAGCAGCACCACCCAGCAGCACCACCCAGCAGCACCACCCAGCAGCACCACCCAGACACTCTACTGCATCCCCATCCAATCACAGTAGGCTCATGTGCTAGCTTCAACCACGCACCCAGCACCACCCAGCAGCACCGCTTTCGCTCACAGTCCAGAAGGTAGCGAGGTAGAAGCGCCGCAAGCAGTGGTCGTACGTGCATGTCATGTCGCCAATGGCGTCTCTGCTAATGTGCTGGCTTCAACCAGCACCTAGCCACACCTGGCAGCACCCAGCAGCACCGCACTCTCCATCCACTCACGGTCCAGTAGGTGGCGAGGTAGAAGCGTTTGGAGCGGTGGTCATACGTGCATGTCATGTCTCCAATGGCGTCTCCCTTGGGTGCGCCCTCGTATGTCCCCATGTTGCGCGGCAGCGCGTTGAAGAACTGCCGTGGGGAGGGAGGGGGAAGGGGGATGGAAAGACAGGCAGGCAGGCAGGCAGGCAGGCAGGCAGGGAGGGTGTGCAATGGCGTCTCCCTTGGGCGCGCCCTCGTATGATCCCATGTTGCGTGGCAGGCAGCGCGTTGAAGAACTGGCACAGGGAGGGCGTGGGATGGCGCAGCAGGGGAGGAGGGTGGGAGGGAGGGGGTGGGAAAGGCAGGCAGGCAGGCAGGCAGGCAGGGAGGGTGTGCAATGGCGTCTCCCTTGGGCGCGCCCTCGTATGATCCCATGTTGCGTGGCAGGCAGCGCGTTGAAGAACTGGCACAGGGAGGGCGTGGGATGGCGCAGCAGGGGAGGAGGGTGGGAGGGAGGGGGTGGGAAAGGCAGGCAGGCAGGCAGGCAGGCAGGGAGGGTGTGCAATGGCGTCTCCCTTGGGCGCGCCCTCGTATGATCCCATGTTGCGTGGCAGGCAGCGCGTTGAAGAACTGGCACAGGGAGGGCGTGGGACGGCGCAGCAGGGGAGGAGGGTGGGAGGGAGGGGGTGGGAAAGGCAGGCAGGCAGGCAGGCAGGCAGGGAGGGTGTGCAATGGCGTCTCCCTTGGGCGCGCCCTCGTATGATCCCATGTTGCGTGGCAGGCAGCGCGTTGAAGAACTGGCACAGGGAGGGCGTGGGATGGCGCAGCAGGGGAGGAGGGTGGGAGGGAGGGGGTGGGAAAGGCAGGCAGGCAGGCAGGCAGGCAGGGAGGGTGTGCAATGGCGTCTCCCTTGGGCGCGCCCTCGTATGTCCCCATGTTCTGCGGTAGGGCGTTGAAAAACTGCCGTGGGGAGGGAGGGGGGCGGGGGAAGGGGGAGTTAGGCTGGGTGGAAAGTTTAAAAACCGTGGAGTGGAAGGGGGGGAGTGGGGAGCATTCCTAACGAGCCAGTCTGCCTGGTGGGCGGCAGTGTGTTACAGGACAGCCTCTCATATGAACTGATACCCTCGCTTCAAATAAACGGTTTAGATTCGCTCCCTGAAGCCCCCCTCCTAGCTCTCCCATCCCTCCCTTCCCTCCACTCCCTTCTCCCCACCCCTTCTCTCCCCACCGCACCTCGCGTTGTGGCGTGATGGCTGTCAGCTGCTGTCCCTTAGTGTTATACACCACCATAGCGGAGGGGGTTCAGATCCCTAATCTAAACTCTTCTTGCTCTCCCACGCTCCCCCTCCTCCCCCCACCCACCGCACCTCGTTGTGTGGCGTGATGGCTGTCAGTTGCTGTCCCTTTGGTCGCTGGCTTGATACAGCTTTACGACCTTTGGTACTCCGGCAGCCTACATACCTGAGAGATTCTTTGTCGCTGCTTCTTCATTTGGAGAAGACCCCGTTCCCGAAAAACAATCTCCTGCTCGCTACTTACGATGTTCAGGCGCTCTACCCTTCAATTCCTCTTCGGGAGGGTGTCGATGTCGTCAGATCTTTTTTAGAACGCGACCCTCTGCACTTCCCGAACGCACCTGTCATTATGGCGTTGCTGGAATGGGTGATGTTCAATTCGTACGTGGATTTTAACGGGAGACTGTTTCGGCAGATACAGGGAACGGCAATGGGAACCTCGGTGGCTGTTTGCTTCGCTATCCTTTACATGAGCAGACTGGACGAGCTGTTACGAGCGCGTATGGGGAACAAACTTCCTCTGCTTCATCTCCGGTACATCGATGACGGCTTCATCTGCTGGGAAGGGAGTAAGGAAGGGCTTGAGGAGTACCTCGCTACTTTCAATACGCTTCGACCGTCCATTAAGCTCACCTGGACCGTCTCGGAAATTTCTGTAGATTTCCTTGACATAGTCGTCCGCAAAGGGCAGCGCTACAGAAGCACCGGTATACTGGATATCGCTACTTATCAGAAGCCGAACAACACTTATCTCTACTTACCATTTTCGTCATTTCACCCGCGGCATTGCAAGGAGGGGTTTATTCGCTCGGAGCTGAGACGTTATCTACTGCGAAGCTCAAGTTTCGACGACTTCTGCAGTATGAAGCAAGCCTTTTTCCAGAGGCTACGCTCCAGGGGATATCCGCCTAATTTTCTGCTACCGCTCTTTGCGGCCGTGACATTCATTCAACGAGAAGAGCTTCTTCAACGAGCTCGAGAACGACAATTGCTTCAAGCTTCATCTACAGGACCAGATCTGAGATCTCACGGACCCTTGGTGTTGAAGACCAACTACACCCCCTTCAGTAAAGGTCTACCCCTTGGGTTCGTTTTGAGACGTCTCAAAACACTTCTTCAAACACGTGGCTATTCTTCTGGTTCCTGTAGATTTTTGTTGGCGTGGAAATTACCTTCCCGCTTACGTCGAAGACTGATTCAATCGAGGCTGCGACCTGTTGCAGCGAACCTCTCGCGCGACACAAGTGGTTACCCCACCTCTTCGGTTCCAGATTCCAACCACTCCGAGGATTCCAATTCTGGTTCCTAGAGATTGGACCGAAGCTGTCTGCTCCTCTCGTCGCCTCTTTCACATTCGATCTTCATTCCCGTCATGTCCTGGTTAGCCTAGCCTGAGCGAAGAGTATTTTAGCTAGTTTTCTTCATTTCTGATCTTTAGTTTCAGGCTTGTACTGATGAAGGCTTGCAAAAGCCGAAACTAGTTTGCAATGTCTCTGATTCTTTAGTGAAGATTTGTTTTAAACTGGCTCTCTCAACAACGTTTTCAAGCTAAGCACACCAGGCTCCTTCCGCCATTTCTCATGGAGTTTGTTTCGTTGTACTAAACAACACGAGTTGATGGAAGTAAGGCCTCCGCAGCCCACCTGTCCTCTTTTGACAGCTGCTGTCCCTTAGTGTTATACACCACCATAGCGGAGGGGGTTCAGATCCCTAATCTAAACTCTTCTTGCTCTCCCACGCTCCCCCTCCTCCCCCCACCCACCGCACCTCGTTGTGTGGCGTGATGGCTGTCAGTTGCTGTCCCTTAGTGTTATACACCACCATAGCTGTGTGGGTGGTTGAGAATGAACGAGATTGTACACGAAGAGAGGAAGTAACAACCGTTCTTGAGAATGTATGGTTCCAATCTAGCGACGTGTGTGCGGGTGTCAGGTGAGGAAGGTTGGGAGGGTGGAAATGTACAGTGCTTAGCGTACAATACACGTCTGGAAGGTGGAATGCAGTGACGACGTACCGGAGTTGACTGTATGGAGGATAAACCCGTTCCCCACACACATGAAAACATCTGGAGGTGTGACTTTGATCTGTTACAGGAAATGTCGAGGGAAGATTGTGGAGAAAGGGGGGGGGGTAGGGGAAGGGGAGACGGTGGGGGGAGGGGGGATGGGGGATGGGGAATGTGAGGAAGAGAGGGAGGGTGGGAAGGGAAAGGGTGAAGGGCGGGAAGGGTGAAAACTGGATTATCTCGGGTCCTCAATGCATGTGCTGATATCCGATGAAAAAACTCTCCTCTATCTGGGCGGCACCGCTCACCATGCTTCGGTTGTATCTGGGCGGGGTGCCGCTGTTAATCAGCGTCTTCTGGTTGATCCCGGGGAACCCCACCACAGGCTTCCGCACCACCACCCGTTTTAACTCCACCGCCGCCGCCGCAGTCCCCGCCCCTGCCCCTGTCCTTCCCCCTCCCCCTCCTGGTGCCCCTGCACCTGCCGCCCTGCCTTTTCCGCGTTCCCCCTGCCTGCTGACCGCCCCGTGCTGCGCTACCCCCTCCGCGAACCCTTTCTCCGCCCACAACCGCCGCAACTCGGGATTCCGCGGCCATCTGCGCCGCGCGCCAGGAGCTACCTCTTCCGCCTCCGCGGCGATTTGCGGACGCGCCCTGGCTTCGGCGCGGAGAGACCTTCCCGCTGGTGACCCGCGGAGCAGCGTCAGGCGGAAGATCCGCCAATATCTCCGCGGGAACCGCAGCGGCTGCGCTTTCAGCGGTAGTGTGGATATCGTCAGCGGAAACGGCGGAGAAGGAAGTTTCCGCTACGTGAGCGCCAGGCGCAGCGCTCCCTCTCCGCAATGGCGCAATCTTCCCCGTTCCCGCGTATAGCAGCCGTTCTGTCAGCTTGTGGATGGTGACGGCTGCGCGGGAGGTTCCCGCCTGTCCGTTCGCGGAAGACTTCCGCCAAGGCTGCGCGGTTGCCGTCAGCGGCGCGGAGGAAAGCAGTAGCACAAGCGCGAAGTACGCGCAGAGAGAGACTCTGGGTCGACGGAAATTAGAAAGCTTCCGCCGTGCCGGCGGTGCGCGAAATCGCAGCGACTCCATTGCCGTGGGTAGCGAAGGTAGGATTAACTACAGAAATCAAACGGTACAGATCGGTAGGTAGCGCTCAGCCTAGCCAGACTCAAGTTGGCAAGTTATGTCAAAAGCTCGTTGCGGACATGTCGTCTCGTGCAAGCTGCATCCAGGAACACGGGTCGACGCATGCTGTTTGGAAGAAGCCTGAAGTTCCAGCCCATTTCACTGGTGCTGACATTGTTTGGCATGATGCAGTAAGATACAGTATGGTTCAGTAAGTTGAATGTTCAGATACATATGTTCAGAACCATTCTTTCCGTATACAGTAATTGTTTAATTGTTTTCAGTGCACCATGCCGGATGCTTTTAGTTCGTTAGAATGCGGCCCAATTAGGTGCCTCCGACCTGGTTCCTTGTGGGGAGACGCGGTGCCAGACCTCTTGGTTTGTGCTTTTGTGCGCCCACGTTTGGGCGCTCCGTTCTTCAAGCGGTGTGCGGTGCACGCAATCGGGTGCAAATATCCCGGATCGGACGGTTGACAGGCTCTCGATCACTCTAACGTTCGGTAATTTTGAAGGTCGTCGCTGAGTCATCCCGAGTCAACGTGAGACGCGGTGAGAGGAAAATCGATTTTCGCTAAAAGAGGAACTATCTACTCACTAGCCGCAGGTAAATTTCTCGGATCAACACAGCGTTTTGACTGTCGCGAAATTTTCCCAGACGGAAAGATACTGTACTCCTTGCGTGGCAGAATCTAGGAAGCTCCGAACCGTCGAGTAAGGGGCTGATGCGTGGACTTGCCAGCTCAGCTAACTGAACTGGCAGCTCGGCGCGGAGAGCGGGTAGTTCTTCGATGATGTCAAGGGAGCACCCATTCCCACCATTCCTCGAACTCTCCATTGCATCGCTTTCGAGTTTCCGCATTTCACACTGAATTCAGCCATGGCCATCACTTTCTCGCTCTAGTTCTGAACGTTGATCGTTCTGTTTCTTTCCGGAACGAGGTGCTGTGGTCGGCTATTGAACGGCTTGAACGCCTGGCTAGCACCAGATTCCTTCACCGTCCGAACTATGGCTTCGACGCTTCAATCTTCAGTTCCAACCTCCGTTCGCGTCACGCGTCGAGCTTGCCACCACCCAGCCAGCCAGATCATCCCACCGGGCACAGCATTACCCATCCCACTCGTCATTCATAGACGCCGCCGCGGCGATCCTCCTCGTCTCACGAGTTCCCGTCTCACGAGCTCCTTCTGGACCAATCCCGCGAATGGATTCGTTAGAACAGCAGGAGCTCTCAAGGGTGGGTGCGCGTCGGCAGGATCGAGGGTCGGCGCGGCGGGTTCAGGGAGGAAGAGGCGGGCGGCGCGGGGAGCGCCGAGAGCGGAGGCGGTGGACCCGGTGGTGCAATTCTCGCCGGACGACTTTTCCGTTGAGCGACTGCTGGGTACCCTCGACTTCATGAACGTCTCCAGGTGGGTACACGTGTCGGCTTTTGAATGGCCTCAAAATGGGTTCAGGGAGGAAGATGCGTGTGGGTGGGGCAGCGAGAGCGGAGAGCGGTGGACCCGGTGGTTCAATTCTCGCCGGACGACTTTTCTGTTGAGCGACTGCTCGGTACTCTCGACTTCATGAACGTCTCCAGGTGGGTACGCGTGTCGGCTTTTGAGAATTCTTAAAGGCTTGTATTCGGCCTGAAACAGAACGATGAAATCCACGTCACCCTCTCCTTAAAGCCACTCCTTGCAGGCACCTTCGTTGTCACTGTATCTTTCCATATATCCTATCCACACGCACCTCTCATTTTTCCGCCACTCTGCCTTCCCCCGCACAATCCCCGACCTCTATGTCCCTCCAGCTACTCCATGCCGCCCGGGTCATCCTCGTCCACGTCATCACTGTCATCGCTGACGTGGCCGGGGTCCCGCGAGGACACGGCAGCAGGGCTGAGCGAGAGGGACATCAACCAGCTGGCGGGCGGCGGGCAGGAGGTGGGGCGAGGCGGAGTGCAGATCAGGTAGGAAACGCCAGGCGAGAATGTGCTACAACCTTCAATTACCTCAGGTTGGTAGGGAAAGGCTGATCTGTAGCACACTCTCGCATGGCGTGAACAACTTTACCATGTAGATTTGGTAGGGAAAGGCTGGATGCGTAGTGGTGTATGGGCGAGAGGGACATCAACCAGCTGGCGGGCGGCGGGCAGGAGGTGGGGCGAGGGGGCGTGCAGATCAGGTAGGATGTGCCAGGCAAGCATGTGTATTGGACTTCAATAACCTCACTTCACCTTGTAAATCAGGCGCCTAGGGCTCTCCTCACTCCTCCATCTCTTCCGCTCCCCCCCCACCCTCTCCCCTTCCCTTCTCCCCCTTCCCTTCCCCCTCCCCATCCCCCCTCCTCTTCCCCCTCCCCTTCCCCCTCCAATCCCCCCTCCTCTTCCCCCTCCCCATCCCCCTCCCCCCTGAGCCCGCAGAATGTACCGTGGGCGCATGGTGACGCCAGGGGAGCGCCTGGGCACGCGGGTGCTGTTCAAGGCGTATCCGGGCAGAGAGGCCGCCGCCAAGGCTGTTGACGTGGACGCCATGGCCGCCAATGAGCTCGTGACACATGTCGCCCTGCAGGAGCCCCAGGTGGGTTGCTGACTGGGGGTGAGGGGGTTGGGAGCTGGGTTTTTTGAAGAGTGGGAGGAAGAGATTTCTGCGGTGTGTAGCTGGTATGCGGGTGTGTGGTGTTGACGTGGACGCCATGGCCGCCAATGAGCTCGTGACACATGTCGCCCTGCAGGAGGCCCAGGTGGGTCCTTGGTAGAGGGTGAAGGGGTTGAGGGGGGTTTGTGGGGAATCGGGGTGGTTTGGGGGGAAGGGGAATGGGGGAGGTTGTGTGATGTGTGAATGGGGTGCTATGTGCGCATGACGCGTATCGCGTGCGTGAGTGTTCTCGTGGTGCTTTTGAATTCTTGTGTGCTTTGTTGTGGCATTCTCCTTGTGAACTTGCTTGCCCTCCTGCCATGCGCAGGACGAGGCACAGGAGGACGAGGTGGATGTGTCACGCAACGTGCTCGTGCTGCTGGGGGGGGATATACCTCTCTGTTCCGTTTGACATGCTCTGTTTGCATGTTCTGTTGTGTTAACATGCTCTGTGGGCGTGCAGGACGAGGCACAGGAGGACGAGGTGGATGTGTCACGCAACGTGCTCGTGCTGCTGGGGGGGGATATACCTCTCTGTTCCGTTTGACATGCTCGGTTTGACATGCTCTGTTTGCATGTTCTGTTGTGTTAACATGCTCTGTGGGCGTGCAGGAGGAGGCACAGGAGGACGAGGTGGATGTGTCACGCAACGTGCTCGTGCTGCTGGGCGGCTTTGAGACGAGCTCAGGCGAGAAGGTGGGTGCGAGAGCGCTGACCGACTGGGCTCTCAGAACACACATTTACAGCAGCAAGGTGCATGCTCGTTCCTCCCTACCATTGGATTAGGCGCCTCTAGCAACGTGCTCGTGCTGCTGAGTGGCTTTGAGACGAGCTCGGGAGAGAAGGTGCGTGAATGGGTGCTGCCTGGGAAGTCACAGAGCATGCTTAGAGCAGCAAGGTGCATGCTCTGTACCCGCTTACCATCCCAATCTCCCATTCCCACTGACCATCCCCACCTTCCATCCCCCAAACCATCCCTCGTCTCCCCCCTATCCCCACACCGTCCACCAGAGCAGTGGTTGGTGATGCGGGACGACGGCTACATCACCGCAACAACCATCCCCACCATCTACTCCCAATCCCCCCCCCTCCCCCCTCCTCCCGCCCACCCTCCCCCCCACCCCACCAGAGCAGTGGTTGGTGATGCGGGACGACGGCTACATCACCGCAGCAGGGTGGAGATTCTGGGAGCTCTGAGCAACTCCGCATCCCCACCACCCATTCCCACCACCCATCCCCATCATCCATCCCCACCATCCATCCCCACCACCCATTCCCACCAACCATCCCCACCACCCATTCCCACCAACCATCCCCATCATCCATCCCTAACTCCCCCCTTCCCGCCCCACCCGCCCACCAGAGCAGTGGTTGGTGATGCGAGACGATGGCTACATCACCGCAGCAGACTACGCCAAGGCTGCCTCCGAAGCTACCGCCGAGGCTCGGGCCGTGGGGGACTTTGAGGTCTGGGACCGGTTCGACCCTGCCAAGCCTCTGTTTCGGCGGGAGATCTTCATCCGGAAGCTTCTGAGAGGGTTCCTGCAGGGGCTGTCGTATATGCACTCCAAGGGGCGGCTGCACCAGTCCATTGGGCCAGCATCGGTTGTACTCAAGTAAGATATGATAAGCTTTTGTTTTTGTTTTTTTTTTCTTCCTTGTCGTCTTACCTACACATCATCTCGATTCTCGAATTACCATCATACCCATTCCAACTGCATTCTCTCCTGGCCCTCGCTCCCCTGTTTCTCTTTCTCCCTCTGTCTCTTCCACACCCCACAGCACGATCAACGAGGTGGATGTGCGATACCTTGTACCTTGTGCCTCGCCTTCGAAACCAACTTTTAATGGACGCAAAAAGGTGACCTTTGATGTGACTCAAAAGTCCCTTCTCTCCCTTATCTTCCCCCCCCCACCCCACAGCACGACCAACGAGACGGATGTGCGATACCTTGTGCCGCGGCTCCGCGACTTTGCCTTCGCCATTGACATCAGGTGGGTTGACTCGCAATTGTGTTCTCAAAAACGCCTAGAACACACCCATTCACGTTGGGTGAATGGAACTGAATGTGTCTGTGGGATTTTAGCTCTTCCTCCTAGCGAGTTCAGTATCAGCATCAGTATCAGCATCAGCATCAGCATCAGCATCAGCAACAGCATGTGCATCAGCATCAGCATCAACATATACATCAGCATCAGCATCAGCAACAGCATCAGCATCAGCATCAGCATCAGCATGTGCATCAGCATCAGCATCAGCATCAGCATCAGCATCAGCATCAGCATCAGCAACAGCATCAGCATCAGCATCAGCAACAGCATCAGCATCAGCATCAGCATCAGCAACAGCATCAGCATCAGCATGTGCATCAGCATCAGCATCAGCATGTGCATCAGCATCAGCATCAGCATCAGCATCAGCAACAGCATCAGCATCAGCATCAGCATCAGCATCAGCATGTGCATCAGCATCAGCATCAGCATCAGCATGTGCATCAGCATCAGCATCAGCATCAGCATCAGCATCAGCATGTGCATCAGCATCAGCATCAGCATCAGCATGTGCATCAGCATCAGCATCAGCATCAGCATCAGCATCAACATCAGCATCATCAGCATCAGCATCAGCATCAGCAACAGCATCAGCAACAGCATCAGCATCAGCATCAGCATCAGCAACAGCATCAGCATCAGCATCAGCATCAGCATCAGCATCAGCATCAGCAACAGCATCAGCATCAGCATCAGCATCAGCATTGGCATCGCATCAGCTACAGCTCACATCAGCATCAGCATCGCATCAGCATCAGCAATAGCATCAGCAATAGCATCAGCATCAGCATCAGCATCAGCATCAGCATCAGCATCAGCATCAGCATCAGCAACAGCATGTGCATCAGCATCAGCAACAGCATGTGCATCAGCATCAGCATCAGCATGTGCATCAGCATCAGCATCAGCATCAGCATGTGCATCAGCATCAGCATCAGCATCAGCAGCATCAGCATCAGCATCAGCAACAGCATCAGCATCAGCATCAGCAACAGCATCAGCATCAGCATCAGCATCAGCATCAGCATCAGCAACAGCATCAGCATCAGCATCAGCATCAGCATCAGCATCAGCAACAGCATCAGCATCAGCATCAGCAACAGCATCAGCATCAGCATCAGCAACAGCATCAGCATCAGCATCAGCATCAGCATCAGCATCAGCATGTGCATCAGCATCAGCATCAGCATCAGCATCAACATCAGCATCAGCAACAGCATCAGCATCAGCATCAGCATCAGCAACAGCATCAGCATCAGCATCAGCATCAGCAACAGCATCAGCATCAGCATCAGCAACAGCATCAGCATCAGCATCAGCATCAGCATCAGCATGTGCATCAGCATCAGCATCAGCATCAGCATCAGCATCAGCATCAGCAACAGCATCAGCATCAGCATCAGCATGTGCATCAGCATCAGCATCAGCATGAGCATCAGCATCAGCATCAGCATCAGCAACAGCATCAGCATCAGCATCAGCATCAGCAACAGCATCAGCATCAGCATCAGCATCAGCATCAGCATCAGCATCAGCATCAGCATCAGCAACAGCATCAGCATCAGCATCAGCATCAGCATCAGCATCAGCAACAGCATCAGCATCAGCATCAGCATCAGCATCAGCATCAGCATGAGCATCAGCATGTGCATCAGCATCAGCATCAGCATCAGCACCAGCATCAAAATCAGCATCAGCATCAGCAACAGCATCAGCATCAGCATCAGCATCAGCATCAGCATCAGCAACAGCATCAGCATCAGCATCAGCATCAGCATCAGCATCAGCAACAGCATCAGCATCAGCATCAGCATCAGCAACAGCATCAGCATCAGCATCAGCATCAGCAACAGCATCAGCATCAGCATCAGCATGTGCATCAGCATCAGCATCAGCATCAGCACCAGCATCAAAATCAGCATCAGCATCAGCAACAGCATCAGCAACAGCATCAGCATCAGCATCAGCATCAGCATCAGCATCAGCAACAGCATCAGCATCAGCATCAGCATCAGCCTCAGCAACAGCATCAGCATCAGCATCAGCAACAGCATCAGCATCAGCATCAGCATCAGCGTCAGCAACAGCGTCAGCAACAGCATCAGCATCAGCATCAGCAACAGCATCAGCATCAGCATCAGCATCAGCAACAGCATCAGCATCAGCATCAGCAACAGCATCAGCATCAGCATCAGCATCAGTATCAGCATCAGCATCAGCATCAGCATCAGCATGTGCATCAGCATCAGCATCAGCATCAACATCAGCATCAGCAACAGCATCAGCATCAGCATCAGCATCAGCAACAGCATCAGCATCAGCATCAGCATCAGCAACAGCATCAGCATCAGCATCAGCAACAGCATCAGCATCAGCATCAGCATCAGCATGTGCATCAGCATCAGCATCAGCATCAGCATCAGCAACAGCATCAGCATCAGCATCAGCATGTGCATCAGCATCAGCATCAGCATCAGCATCAGCAACAGCATCAGCATCAGCATCAGCATCAGCAACAGCATCAGCATCAGCATCAGCATCAGCATCAGCAACAGCATCAGCATCAGCATCAGCATCAGCATCAGCATCAGCATCAGCATCAGCAACAGCATCAGCATCAGCATCAGCATCAGCATCAGCAACAGCATCAGCATCAGCATCAGCATCAGCAACAGCATCAGCATCAGCATCAGCATCAGCAACAGCATCAGCATCAGCATCAGCATGTGCATCAGCATCAGCATCAGCATCAGCACCAGCATCAAAATCAGCATCAGCATCAGCAACAGCATCAGCAACAGCATCAGCATCAGCATCAGCATCAGCATCAGCATCAGCAACAGCATCAGCATCAGCATCAGCATCAGCCTCAGCAACAGCATCAGCATCAGCATCAGCAACAGCATCAGCATCAGCATCAGCATCAGCGTCAGCAACAGCGTCAGCAACAGCATCAGCATCAGCATCAGCAACAGCATCAGCATCAGCATCAGCATCAGCAACAGCATCAGCATCAGCATCAGCAACAGCATCAGCATCAGCATCAGCATCAGTATCAGCATCAGCATCAGCATCAGCATCAGCATGTGCATCAGCATCAGCATCAGCATCAACATCAGCATCAGCAACAGCATCAGCATCAGCATCAGCAACAGCATCAGCATCAGCATCAGCATCAGCAACAGCATCAGCATCAGCATCAGCAACAGCATCAGCATCAGCATCAGCATCAGCATGTGCATCAGCATCAGCATCAGCATCAGCATCAGCAACAGCATCAGCATCAGCATCAGCATGTGCATCAGCATCAGCATCAGCATCAGCAACAGCATCAGCATCAGCATCAGCATCAGCAACAGCATCAGCATCAGCATCAGCATCAGCAACAGCATCAGCATCAGCATCAGCATCAGCATCAGCATCAGCATCAGCATCAGCAACAGCATCAGCATCAGCATCAGCATCAGCATCAGCATCAGCATGAGCATCAGCATGTGCATCAGCATCAGCATCAGCATCAGCACCAGCATCAAAATCAGCATCAGCATCAGCAACAGCATCAGCATCAGCATCAGCATCAGCATCAGCATCAGCATCAGCAACAGCATCAGCATCAGCATCAGCAACAGCATCAGCATCAGCATCAGCATCAGCAACAGCATCAGCATCAGCATCAGCAACAGCATCAGCATCAGCATCAGCATGTGCATCAGCATCAGCATCAGCATCAGCACCAGCATCAAAATCAGCATCAGCATCAGCAACAGCATCAGCAACAGCATCAGCATCAGCATCAGCATCAGCATCAGCATCAGCAACAGCATCAGCATCAGCATCAGCATCAGCCTCAGCAACAGCATCAGCATCAGCATCAGCAACAGCATCAGCATCAGCATCAGCATCAGCGTCAGCAACAGCGTCAGCAACAGCATCAGCATCAGCATCAGCAACAGCATCAGCATCAGCATCAGCATCAGCAACAGCATCAGCATCAGCATCAGCATCAGCATCAGCATCAGCAACAGCATCAGCATCAGCATCAGCATCAGCAACAGCATCAGCATCAGCATCAGCATCAGCATCAGCAACAGCATCAGCATCAGCATCAGCATCAGCATGTGCATCAGCATCAGCATCAGCATCAGCACATCAGCATCATCAGCATCAGCATCAGCATCAGCATCAGCAACAGCATCAGCATCAGCATCAGCATCTGCATCAGCATCAGCATCAGCATCTGCATCAGCATCAGCATATCAGCATCAGCATGTGCATCAGCATCAGCATCAGCATCAGCATCAACATCAGCATCAGCAACAGCATCAGCATCAGCATCAGCATCAGCATCAGCATCAGCATCAGCATCAGCAACAGCATCAGCAACAGCATCAGCATCAGCATCTGCATCAGCATCAGCATCAGCATCTGCATCAGCATCAGCATATCAGCATCAGCATATCAGCATCAGCATCAGCATCAGCATCAGCATCAGCATCAGCATCAGCATCAGCATGAGCATGTGCATCAGCATTAGCATCAGCATCAGCATCAGCATCAGCATCAGCATCACCATCAGCATCAGCAACAGCATCAGCATCAGCAACAGCATCAGCATCAGCATCAGCATCTGCATCAGCATCAGCATGTGCATCAGCATCAGCATCAGCATCAGCATGAGCATCAGCATGAGCATCAGCATGTGCATCAGCATCAGCATCAGCATCAGCATCAGCATGTGCATCAGCATCAGCATCAGCAACAGCATCAGCATCAGCATCAGCATCAGCATCAGCATGTGCATCAGCATCAGCATCAGCATCAGCATCAGTATCAGCATCAGCATCAGAATCAGCATCAGCATCAGCATCAGCATCAGCATCAGCATCAGCATCAGCATCAGCACATCAGCATCAGCATCAGCATCAGCGTCAGCATCAGCAACTCCTCAGTGCTCCCAGCGGGGGTGGGCAGCGCCTTTAACGCCGTTGGCGAGGCCAAGGACAGCCTCTGGCGCTCATTGTCTTTCAGCTACACCCACAGCAGCCTGTCACAACCAATTGCACCCCTGCACCCGCTTCCCCCACAGCAGGAGTAAGGAGCGCCTTTGACGCCGTGGGGGAGGTGAAGGACAGCCTCTGGCGCCCCTTGCACTCCCCACGCTCCCTGCAACACACCCACACACCTTCTCCTTGCCCTCCGTGCCTCACAGCAACCCAGCAGTGCTCTCAGCAAGCATGGGCAGCTCATTCGATGCAGTGGACCAGGTCAAGGACAGCCTCTGGCGCCTTTTGCAATCCCGAACCTATCTCCCCGCACCCCCACCTCCCCTCACAGCAACCCTTCGGTGCTTTCAGCAAGCGTGGGCAGCTCATTTGACGCAGTGGGCGAGGTCAAGTACAGCCTCTGGCGCCCCTTTCACTCCCACGGCCACTCTCGATGTACCAACTCCCTCCTTGTACCTCCTCCCCTCACAGCAACCCAGCAGTGCTCTCAGCAAGCGTGGGCAGCTCATTCGATGCAGTGGATGAGGTGAAGGACAGCCTCTGGCGCCGCGCCGCCTCTGCTGGCGCCAAGTCCTTTCTGGAGCGCCGCTCCTTTGGCCTTGCGGATGACATGTGAGTGCGGGGGATATAGGGCGGTTGTGGGAGGTTGTGTGGGGTTGTGGGGGGTCGTGGGTGGTGTGGTGTGGTGTGGTGTGGGTGGGGTGGTGTCATGACGCCCTTGCTGCTTCACTGCTGGCGCCAAGTCCTTTCTGGAGCGCCGCTCCTTTGGCCTTGCGGATGACATGTGAGCGTGGGGGGTGTTGGGGGGTTGTGGGGGTTGTGGGGGGTTCTGTGGGGTTGTGGGGGGGGTCGTGGGTGGGGTGGTGTCATGACGCCCTTGCTGCTTCACTGCCGGCGCCAAGTCTTTCCTCGAGCGCCGCTCCTTTGGCCTTGCGGATGACATGTGAGTGCGGTGCAAGTGGGGTATGTGGTTGTTTGTGAGGGATGTGAGGCGGTGTGTGGGGTTTTCTCCCTCTGCCGGCGCCAAGTCCTTTCTTGAGTGCTGCTCCTTTGGTCTTGAGTGGGGTATGTGGGGGTTTGTATCCCTTTTTCCTGCACTCTCCTCCTTCCGCACCACCCCCCACCACTCTCCACCCCTTTCCAGCTATGCAGCAGGGCTGCCAGTGGCGTACATGGCATTCGTGCCTCTCTGTGTGTCTCGGCTCGGCCACTCATCCCCTTCCCCATTCCTACCCTTTCCCGCACCCCAACCACCCCCCACCACTCTCCACCCCTCCCCAGCTATGCAGCAGGGCTGCTAGTGGCGTACATGGCATTCGTGCCTCTCTGTGCTCCGGGGGCCATCGACGGCCCATCACTGCAGGTGAGGGCGTTGTGCATCTGAGCTCTGCAAATTTGAATAACAGTTTTTTGAGAATTCTCAAAATCTGTTTTTCTGAGAAGTTTCCAGAAACAGGGGCCATCGACGGCCCGTCACTGCAGGTGAGGGTGTTGTGCATCTGAGTTCTGGAGGCTTTAATTGAATGACAGTTGGCCCGCGAGGCTGGACCGGTGAGTTCTTGCTTTTAAATCCTGTGTGGACCCAAATCAAAGATGACAGATGCCATAAAGTCATGATGCCATACATGCCATACATGCCATACATGCCATACATGCCATGCATGCATACAACATGATATTCATGTCTATCCATACGCACTTCGTGCCTTCTGTTCCTCTTTCTCTGCTGCTCTGACGCACTGTCCCCCGCAACCCACTTTCTCCACCTTCCCATTCCCTCACCTTCCCATTTGCCAGAGACTCCTCGAGACAACTTTCTCCCTCAACATCCCAGCAGCACGAGAGTAAGCACCCTCTGAAACCCCTCCCTGACGTTCTCTAAAACCTCTCATTCAGAGGCACTGTTTGCAAACTCTCCCTCAAAAGGCGCTTTTCGAAAGTAACCTCCCTCGTTGCTCTCCCAGTGATTCACCCCTGCCTTGCCCCGGTCTCACCCCTGGCTTGCTATATGCTTGCTTCCTCTGCACTGCTCCCTACAGATATTGCTCTGCTGACGATCGGTGGAGCAATGCAGTGGCGTTTTTGGATCGGAGAGACAGTGCTGGCTGGGAGCTGGTGCAGGTGAGGGCGAGCAGGGCAGGGGGTGTCGGGTGTAGGGTGTAGGGTGTAGGGTGTAGGGTGTGGGGGGCAGTGGTGTGGCATTGGTCTAAGGTGCCGTGGCGTTTTTGGATCGCAGAGACGGTGCTGGCTGGGAGCTGCTGCAGGTGAGGGCGAGCAGGGCATGGGGAGTTTGGGGTGCATGGGTTGTGATGTGGTGTGTGTGGCATTGTATGTGGCATTGTGGGAGTGCATAATGCATGTGATGGGTTGCAACATGCAAGTCGTGTATGAGTGGTAGAGGCCACTCTCTGCACGTGTGGTGAGCGAATGTGGACACAAGGAGCATGTCATGTTCATGCTATTTCTGCATTCCTGCTGCATGTATCAATACGTCATACTCTTCCCTGCGAGGGGGTTTACCAGCCTGTTCAGATTCTGTCTGCTGGTAATCTTCCCCTCACTTACCTCTCTCCTCCGCCGCTCCTTGCACCGCTCATCTCACATGTTCCTGGCATCTCACTGCATCTCACTCTGTCCCCTCCCTTCCCCCCCATGCAGGCCGTGCTGAGCCCAGACTATCTCCAGCGGCCTTCAGCAGACTCCGATTCACAGCTCCGCTTCTTATATTCCCCTGAATCTCCCTACATCTCACATAATCCCCCTGCATCTCCCTGCACCGGCATTTCACTCTTTCCTCTCCCATGCAGGCCATGCTGAACCCGGATTATCGCCAACGGCCTTCAGCAGTCTCTGCTCTGCAGCACCGCTTCTTTGACCTTCCATAACGATGGAGGTTGCAGGATACAGGCATACCTGGTGTATTATCTGCATATTTCCATGCACACCTTTAAGTAATGCACTCACTGTATCAAGCCGTGCGACTCACAAATTTATCAGACGAAAATGCCTTTTAAGTAACCTTACGTACCGGTATGGTATATGTGCATATACCATGAGTTCTGCTGTTGGCCCACATGAACGGCGTTTTATGCAAATCATAGCCGCTACCAATCGTTTAAGGATGTTCGACTATATGCTCTCCCGGTAAATATCACCTAGTGGAGGGTATTGCATACCCGGGAGGGAGCTGAACAAGAGGCTGGGCTGCCAAGCCAGTTCCTATACCCACTCACGGACTTGTACAGCATTTTTGTTGGCAATGGCATACACACATGCTATATAATTTGCATAAAATTTGCATAAAATTTCTTTCTGCTTAGGCAGCTGGAGCACTAAAATAAAACGTCAGAGGTGTATGCGTATTATACACGGCAGTGAGGTGTATAGAAGCTAGTGGGAGAGAGTGTCCGTACACGACACGAGCGAGTTGGTGTGTGTTATCACCATGTGACAATTTCCACCAATCAGGTATGTGTGGCTGGTAGGAACTTATCGTGCTGAATCATGCACGCCCATCGCGCTACGCGTCGCTGGTTTGACATCGAACAAAAGGGTTTGTAAAATGTTTCAGAACTCAAACCACGCGTTGCTGGTTCTTGTACAGTAACCCACATTCGTGCCACCGAGCCTTGAGCTAGTCTCCGATAGGTGGTGGAGTTTCCATAAATTGCTTTGAAACCCCAAATACAAGTTCAGTGAAATGGAACTAGACCCAAAAGGTTCACGCAACCAAGCTCAACACAGCATAGCCGTGACGTCAGTCTACTTGTCCGTAACTACCTCCTTTTTGTCCACTTCCAAAGCAGGATAGGGTTGGGGGTTTTGTCCCTTGACCTCCTTGTGCTGCATGTACAGTTCACTCTCCGGGCTGGCTGCGTTTGAACGCATCTGGCGAGGCGACGATGTCGGAGCCTTCGACATTTTTTATATGGCTCTGCCCAAACAACATGATTTTCGTAACCTTCATGGTGCCACTGTGGAGATATTCAAGGATCGTGAATTACAATGGGCAAAAGTTCTGGTACGTACAGTATACAGTTACTGGGACCGTCGGTTGGTCCGCGACGGAAGAGTCAGCGATCGCAGAGCCAGTTGTTCCTGTCTTTGATGCGCCAACGATACGGATCGCGCTTGACAATCGCCTTGCCAGGTGTGCACTGCCGCCTGTTTCTTGAGTGAGCCTGGCAAAGTGCTGTCGATTGTTGTTTGTTTCCCCTCTGCTGATCACGTGACGAGACCAAAGGCGCAGGCTCAAGGTTGTCTTGGTAAATGAATCGGATGCTGCTCTGCTAGGAAGCGACGCAAAATGCCAGGCTGTATGCTGTTGCTTCACCGACGGGGATCGTAAATTCCACAGAATTGCCAGTTTTCGGAAGCCTGTCATGCCTTTTGGACCCAGAAAAAAAATGGATGCGTTGCCAAAAACTAGAAAACTTCAGCTCCATTGCCCGTAACCTTCCCTTTTTCGCGCTACTCCCGCTTCGAGATTATTTTATTTTTTTTGGGGGGGGGATGTTTTGTCTCATTTTCGCGACTTTCATGATCCAGCTAGGCTTGCTTCAAGCACCATGACGAACACGCATGCTGGAGGAGGATCGTTCGGTCGGAACAAATATTCGCGAGTCGAAATTGGATGTGCGAAATTGGGCTTGTCTTGCGGGTGCAAAGCGGAAGGGGGCGAGCGGGAATGGAAAGAGCCCTCCGGCGACTCGGGGAATCAGGAGGGTGGGAGCGGAGGGAGGTTGGGGGGAGTAGAGGAGAGGAGAAAGGCGAAATGGAGAGAGTTTCCCGAAGGGGTCAGCGCTTCCGCTGGAGCTGATAGTGTCATTTTTGCTGCTTGGAATGTAAATAGCGCTGCAGTGCTCAATTCGACATACGGGAAGCCTTTTGCAATCTCACAGCTCAGTTTCGATTTCCCCGTCCCCCCACTCGCCTTTCTGTTCTCCTTCCCTCCCCTGCTAGGCGCTAGTTACCACAGGCGTCGCCCTAGCAACACTCCGCATCTCAATCACGTGATTGCTTCCTGATTTCCTCAACTGAGGGCGTCGTCTCCTTCTAAAAGTACAAACTTTCCTATTCGCGGTTTGCAGTTCCCGTCGGTTCCGAAACCATTCTTGCGATAGTTCAAGACCTGCTCATGACGAAGCGTCATTCGCAATCGACAATCTAGAGCTACTTCCTTTATTGTTTTCGAGACAACCGATGGCAGGCGTAGGCTCGTGGAATTTACGCTCGACTATCCCCACGCCGTATCTTCCGGCGCTAAACACGGAGATCGACTCTCCCGGCCCACTCGGCGGCTTCCTTTCGAGCTTGGACTCTCCAGGCGATAGCATTCCCGGTTTTCAGATAGCGCCCCTCTTGGAAGAGCAGCCGAAGCTTATTAAATCGTCGAGCTCCACTCGCTTCGCCTGCGATTCGACGATCTTCAGTCCCACAGCGGTTCCCGACGAGGCTGCATTCATGGCCGGCGAAGGGAACGAAATTTCGCAAACGGATCTCGACAACTTGGCGGAATGGATCCCGCGGCTCGCTGGCGGTGCCCCCGCCGCTGCCGGGCTGCCATCATCAATCGACGAGATTGCGGCGGAGCTACAGTCGCTCGACGCCAAGCAGTTTCTGCTACAGCAGCAGATGACGGCCGCGCGCGCAGCCGGCGGCGGCGGTTCCGCTGGCGATGGCGAGGCGGACTTGTACGCGGCGCTAGTGCAACAGCAGCTTGCTGCTGAGATGCACGCTACCAACGCTGCACCCGCCGCCGCCACTCACGGTCGAGACCTGGAGGAGTTTAGCGCGCTATCGCGGATGGCTGGTTTGCCGAACAGCCCGTTGGGAGGGGGAGAAGGCGGGGCCAATTCAATTGAGGCGAACGCTGCGCTTTTTGCGGCGACAGAACCGGCGGCGGCGCTCTCCGCGGCATTGGGGATGATCGCGAACGATCCCGCTGCTGCGCGCGGCGACGCACTGACGATCCGCCCTGCGGCTCCACCGCAATCCACGGCGCAATTCTCGCGCGCGGCTAGCCAACTCGCAGCGGGGAACGTCTTTGGAGCGCCAGCTCAGTGGCCGTCTGCCTGCGCCACCCCTCAAGCTTCCGCCGGAGTTCAGATCGGCGCAAATTGGCTTCAGAACCAGCCGCAGCCGCAGCCGCAGCCGCATTCGCAGCCTCAGACACAGCCGCAGCCGCGTGCAAATATGGAAACTGCTACGCCCGGGCCAGTGGCTGTGCCGCCTGTTTCTTCAGCGGACGAGCTTGAAGCGCTTTTTCAGCAGATTCCGCCGGAGCTTGCGCCCGAGGAGCGCATTGTGCTGGCGGCAGCGCTGATGGCGGAGATGCAGCGGAGCAACGCGGCGGCTGCAGGCAGTATGATTGGCCACTCGCAGCATCCGCAGCACTCTCAGCAACCGCAGCAATCTCAGCAACCGCAGCAATCTCAGCAACCGCAGCAATCTCAGCTGCACGTTTCTGGAGGAGCCATTGGTACCACTCGTGGCATCTCCTTTCCCTTGGCGCCCGTTTCAGGAAATCCTGTAGGGAATACTGCGGGTATACTTGGCGACCAGACCCCTGCCTTTGCAGCTGAGCCCCATCTGAGGCTCTCTGGCTCAAGACAGCGTCACGCCAGTGGAGCTGGTATCAATGCGCTGACTTCACACAGCGGACCTGCCTCATCTCGACAGAGGTTCCCCGAATTTCCATCTGATTTCCAGGATATTGCTCAATGTATGAGTGGACCTGTTAGCTCTGACGCGCTTGGCGTCTCGGACTCTAGCGCGGAGAGGGCGGCGTCAGCGCGTGCGGGTGGCGGGGGAGGGACTGGTGCGGGCAGAGGAGAAGGTGGGGGGGCTGGTAGTGGTGGAGCGGTTGGTGGTGCGAGTGGCGGGAACCCAGCGTTGAAAGCTGTTAGGCCAAGATCGGTGAAAGAGAGGAGGCGGAGAGAGAGGATAAGTGATTGTTTGAGGAGGCTGAAGACTGCTATTCCTCAGGAGATTCTTGGAGATAGGCAGGACCTCGGGTCCATGATTGAAAAATCTGTTAGTTATATACATAGCCTCCAGGCCCGACTTGATAGGCTTCAATCTAGTAGTACAGAAAAGGATAGCAAGGATAAGGGTCAGTAATGTAAAGATGTACCCTTTTTTATTCTCATTGGGTTGATAAGTCAAGTGCAGCTGATGTGAACAATGGCTGACTAGAAACATTGCAGCATTTGCTATTCCTCCAAAACATTGCATAACGAGGATATTTAGTGAAGCGGCCAGCTGGGACCTTTCCCCCTCCTTCCCGCCCCTCCCACAAAACTTCCCCCCTTTCCCCTCCCCCCTACCCACCCAGTCAGTTTTGTCAATCACAAGGCGTGATTCGGTGGATCGCAATTTGCGTCGCGTCCGTGAACTGTTCAAGCTTCGAATCGAAGGCGTCAGGAGAGGGGAAGCTTCTCACAAATCCTGGATAAAACAAAGGAGATCGTATAAAGACAGATCGTATAAGTGATGGGATGGGGTGGAATCGTATGGCTGTTCGAAACGCCAAGCAGGCGTCTGTGATCCGATTGTCGTTTTTTTGCAAGTTTATGCAAGTGACCTTGCCAATTTCGCGGAATGCAAGTGGCCTCCAACCAGTTCGCAGAAACGGTCGACTCTCATGCGTTGACGTCAGCAGATGACATATGTACACTGTACAACCCCGATTGCCAAACTTTGACTGCAAGTCTCTTTTCGGGACCGTAACACTGGAAACAGCAAACATGCCTTGTTCATACTTGGTGGACATAATTACCAAACCAACCAATAGTGCGCCCCTATATTTACAATCCATTCCAGCAATCAGTTGAATGGATCCGTATGTCCAGATGCCATAGCTTTAAGAGCACCCACAAAGGAGGAGAACTGCAGAACCCCTAGCAGTTCGGTCTTCATTCGATGATTTCGCACCCTCTTTTCCCCATCCGGCAGGCTTGTCACAAGCACGGTGCTGCTGACGTCCGGAGTGAGTAGTTCAGAAACTGCTTTGCTATCATCAAGTTCCTGCCTAGAAACGTGTTTGGAGACTCCATAATGAACCCCATCACCATCATTCATACCACATGATCTGTTGGCCTGCTCATGCCTGAACCCTGAACTTTCCACACCAGTACTCAGGTTGGATTCTTCTCTCTCCGACTCACTCGACTCACTGGTAACCATAAGGTCTGTACCAGTGGTAACGGTGGGATGCATCGTCTTTTTCTGTTCATGCTCAGCGCCTCTCACCGCGCTACTGCCGCCCCGCCGAATGATTCCGGGCGGCAATGTGGCCCACAGAGCCTCCAGCTTATGCCAGTAGGGATCAGATTCTCCTGAATTGATGAGCTGGCGGGCCAACTGCATGACGTGGCGGCGAGGTGACGGATCGTCATCGACAACGTTGATGATTGGACTGGGGAAGCCGGCGAAGAGAGGAAAAGAGGGGGGGGGGGGTGGGCGGGAGGGGGGGAGAGAGTGGAATACTTTTAAGCACTTCGTTAAAAAGGGCGGGGCGAGGGGATGGATCGTCATCGACAGTGTTGACGATTGCACTAAAGGAATGTGGGGGGGGGAGAGAGAGAGGTTAGGAGAAAAAAGGGCAAGAGAGTGGGAAAGGAGTGGTTGGAAAAGGGGAAGTGGATGGGAAGCATAGGGGTGGGACAGGGCAGCAAGGGAGAGGTCGAGCAAGGGCGTTAACAGATCATTAACATAGAATTCAACTGGTGCAAAAGCAGATGCAACCCCAACCACTAAATCCCCAACCCACAAACCCCCACTCCCCAAAGCCCCACCCCCTAACCCCCCTCCCTCCCTCCCTCCCTCCTCCACAACCCTCACCTGCTGCCACGGCCGTCCATGCTGGCACCAATGGCAGCGCAGATGTCTGCCACGTGGCACCGCGACGTGAACCGCTTCCTCTGCCTGCGCTCGCGGCTGCTGCTGCTCACAACCCCATTCCTGCTGCTGTCACCCCTACAGCTGCTGCTGTCACCCCTACAGCTGCTGCTCACAACCCCATTCCTGCTGCTGTCACCCCTACAGCTGCTGCTGCTGTCCGAATTGCTGCTGCTATTCTCAAGGATGCTACTATCCGGATTGTTGCTGCTGTCTCCACTGCTGCTGAGCTCTTGACTACTGATGCTGCTCGTTTCATCGCTGCTCTCCTCTCGCCTGCGTATCGTCGGTGGCGGCACCGTCCCTACTCCCATCTCTGCTGCTGCTGTATCAAGAGCACTTTTGTGAGAGGGGAAGAGGCGGGGATGGCGGAGGGAGAGGGGAATAAGGAAGATTAGAGGGGGGAACAGGGAAGATTAGAGAAGAGGAGTGATAGGCTTGGAATCAGGCTTGGGTACAAATACGATGAGAAGTGGGACAGGTGCGAAGAGAGGGAGGGAGAAAGGGTGGGGCGAGGAAGAAGGCACTGTCGTGAGTCCAACAGAGAGGCGCGACTTTTGAGAATTCTCAAAGGGTGAGGCGAGGAAGAAGGCACTGTAGTGAGCCCAACAGAGAGGTAGGCGGCGAGCAAGAAATTGAGAGACGGGAACAAGACAGGGGATTAAAAGTGGGTGCCATGGTGATACCTGCGAAAGGGCCCGTAAATCCCCCCAAGCCGGAATATGCGAACAGCAACAGCAGAGCCCTCGCCCTGGTTCTGATCCTCATGACTCCTGCCCTCCTGGTTCCGCTGGACTCCATCAGTTACCGCCTCGGTCTGCAAGAGTGCATCAGATACCACCCCCCCTAGCTGCGCCTGAAAGGCCAGCCACTCCCTCTCAGCAGCATAGCGAGCTACGGCCTTCGGGGCGAGTGGGCGCGGAGGGGAACTGGTGTGTGTGCGCATGGGGGGAATGGATTGTAGCAGGGGAATGGATGGATCAAGCAAGAAGCAGAGGAGATGTTTACTAGATGAGGGGTTAGTGCGGTGGAGAAAATTACACCACCCTATGTGCACGGTTGATGTTACTACAAAGAAATACATGAGCAAGAAAAAGGTCCTGGTTTTTATCACTCCTACTCACTCACTCACTCACTCACTCACCCACTCACTCACTCACTCTTCATCCACCCATTGGCCGTCCCAGTCACCATAGACGCCTGTGGAAGACAGGTACCCGATCCACCTGAGTTTATGCTTCCAATCCCTTGCTGCTTCCATTCAATCTCTCACTCTCACCCACTCATTCTTACCCACTCACTCACCCACTCACCCACTCAGTCACTCACTCACCCACTCATTCTTACCCACTCACTCACCCACTCACTCACTCACTCACTCACTCACTCACTCATTCACTCACTCTTCATCCACCCATTGGCCGTCCCAGTCACCATAGACGCCTGTGGAAGACAGGTACCCGATCCACCTGAGCCGATGCCTGGCACACTCCATCAGGTGCTGGCAACAGGAGGAAAGCACCTGAAGAAACACATGAGAAAAAAGAGGGTGAGAAAGGTGACTGAGCTGAAACGGAAAGAAGTAACAATATTAGCGGCAGCCACAGCAGGAGACGAGGGAGACTGCAGAGACAGCAATAGGAGGAAGAACGAAGGAGCAAAGAAGCTGGGCTATTAGGAAGGAAGCCATGTCTCTAAAGAACCTGATACGGACTGTTGACTGGAAGTATCTTTTGAGAATCACTCTTGAGAACCCTCAAAAGATGTCTCAAGAACCATCATCAGCACGTGGACCGACTGAAAGTACGTGTTGTGGGCTCACCATGTCGACGTGTTGTGGCGACGTGGGCCGAGGAGAGAGGAGAGGGGGGATGGAGACGAGTACGTGTGTGGCGGAGTGGAGGGCGGAGAGAGAGGCCTGGGGGAGGTGCAAGGGGCTGGATGGGAGGGGTGCAGAGAGCGAAAGAGTGTAGGGGGAAAGGGGGGGAGAAAGGGGGGGGGGGAAATGGAATGGAGGGGGCGGGAGGGGGAAATGCATGGGGGAAACTAGGAGATCTGGAGGAGAAATACACGCAGGTGGGAAGGTACGAAGGAGAGGGTGGCAAGGAGCGCAGAGCGGTTCCACGGAGGGCAGAGGGGTGTCAGAGAGGGCGAAGGGGTTCCAAGCAGGTCTGAGGAGGGAAAGACAGGGTGCTGGCCTGTCAGTGCCTTGGTCCTCCAGCAGGTGTGCTTGTAAGCCCATGTGACACAATCGGTGCCAGTCCTCCTCGCTCCTGCACGTGCCTGACACACGCCTGCCATGGGAGGGGTGAGAGCGAGAGAGGCGTGGGGGGGCGCATTTTAGATATCCTGTTTTGTATAGGAACAACCTTCTGGGTGTTGCTCAAATTACGAAGGTACACTCGTTTGTAGCAGTCTAAGAACACTCGATATTAGTACGCCTCGGCACTCTTTGCCGCTGAGAGGTGATTGCGCTAATCCCACCCCGCACGCCTCAGGCCCTACCTACCAGCCTCTCGATATAAGCACATCATACCAGCCTTTCGCTAGAAGCACATTCGACAGCGCCACTGCCACGTATCCCAGCCCGAAGCAGAAAAGATGCCGCTCGCCGCCGACAGGCGCCGCGTCGCCGCCAGGAGAGGCGGCGCAGTCTGCTGAGGCGGCGCCGCCAGCTGAGGCGCGCTGCGGCTCGACCGCTGCTGCGTCGCCGCCGGACGACGTGCCGCCGCCAGGAGAGGCGCGCTCCCCCGGCAATCCCGAGGCGGCGGGGGAGGTGGAAGCGGATGCGGCGGCGGGCGAAAATGAAGCGCATTTTGAAGCTCTGGAGGTAGATGGGGGCGACGCGGGGAAAGGACGCGGCAATCTTGAGGTGGAGGGGGAAGCGGAAGGAGAAATCGCAGCGGGCAAGGACGAGGCGGAAACTGCTCCGGGGAAAGACGGCAATCCCGAGGCTGAGGCGGAGAACGCGGGGGAAAATGCTCCCGCACGCCTTTCCGACCTCCCTAAGACGAAAAATGAGGCGGCTGAATGGGCGGGATAAACGAAATAAGCGCGATCACCGGAATAAGCGGGGGCGCTAGTGGAGGCGCCACGCTTGCAAGCAGCGAGCTGTTGGTGATGCGCGCTTCTCTCTATCAAGTGCGTGAGGAGCGGTCGCTGATTGGATCCGCGCACGATACAGGGGACTCGGTGCGGATAGTCGTTTATCTGGGGATGACTAAAGCGAGGATGAGGGGCAGCTGAAGATGTGCGCGTCGACTGCAGCGCAAGAGGCGGAGCAGCCATGGCTGCGGAGAGGAAAAATCACGGCGGGATTCTCCCCATCACATTTACAAACCTATCGCATTTCTTGATGAAACAGGTCCGCGTTTGCAGCTCTCCCGCCAGGAATGTACATTCCATAAGACTTCACTTATGAGCATATATGTTACACCCTTTCACAATTACATCCCAAAACACGTTGGCATCGGCGGTGGAATTGTCTTCAGTACCCTCGTGTCGTGGCTTCAACAAATCCAATGCTTCATCCTGCAAAAGCAATTCGCATTGCACAGCAGGAAAATCGTGAGCATTAACCAATATTAAGTGACCGGCGATGCTGGCTACAGACTCTCTCAATGCCACATAATGTAACACAATACGAAGTCACTACGACCGACCAACACACCCAGTTACCCCCGCCCGCACTTGACAATAAAAACCCCACTCGCTCATCACTCACCAGACACTCCTGGGGAAGACCGGCCTCAACAGCAAAACGTTGTAGTGCCTCCCTTGCAACAGCAAGCACTCCAGTACCAAGAAGCTCCGAGATGGGTGTGGGAGAAGGGAACGCAGGTGGTGGGTGATTGGAGGTGGGTGGTTGAAGGGTGGAGGGAGGGAGTGGTGCGGAGGTAGGGGCGGGGAGGGAGGCGGCATGGAGGGCGAAGAAGAGTGCAAGCTTGAGAGCGTTGGGATGCTCCACACGGTGTATTTGACTGCATACACAGAGGCACACACAGCGAGACAGAGAGAGACACAGAGACATGGCACAGAAACAACGAGACGGGGAGGAAGAGACAAACAGAAAGAAAGAGAGAGACGGAGAGACAGTGAGGTTGAGAGAGTTGGTGTGATCCACTCAGCGGATGTGACTGCATGCACACAGAGGGACAGAGAGAAATGAAATACAGAGAGACAGAGATGTGCGCGAGCGAGTGTCACACTCTCCCAACCCCTCTCCCTCACATGTATGCATCCATGCACAAAGTGCCACGCACACACATGGATGCAGCAGTGCATGCAATTGTGCAATCCTCCAGAGACTAACATGATTCTCTTCAAAGGTAAAAGCACTGGTGCACCTGTGGAGGAGATGCAATCAGAGTCTCGCTGCAGCATCTGCAGACCAGCAAAGGGGCAGAGCAGTAGAATAGCCTACAGGACACACACAGCACAAGGAACAACAAGAACGCACCTGCGGAGATGCTGGAAGGAGAGGATCACAGCTGCCACCCACCCCCCTGCCACTCCAACCTGCTGCAGCTTCTGCTGCAGAGCAGTAGCCTGCTGCACACACACGGAACAAGGACACAGGCTACTGACACAGCACGCCCCTGACACACCTGCGGAGGTGCTGGAAGCAGAGGATCACAGCTGCCACCCACGCCCCTGCCACCCCAACCTGCTGCGCCCTCCTTTCCTGCCCTTCCTCTGCCTCCTGTCCCTCCTCTCCCCCCTGCCACTCCCCTTCTTCCCTTTTCTCCCCCCTTTCCACCAGCACCAGCTTCCGAAACCACCTCTCCGCCATGTCAGCTTCCACATCAAGGCGCCACATCAGCGCCGCCCAACGGGTCCACACTGACCGCACAGCTTCCAGGAAATGAGGCTGCAAATGTGCGGATAACTTCCATTGCTTCTGAAGCCTAGTAAAGTTCTCCCCCCATTGCTCCAACCACGGTCCTGCTCGCTGCGTTGCCACCTCACACCAGGCGCGCTCCAGCTGGCGCCGCGTGGCGTCCTCGCTGGCGCCGTTGTAGATGGCCACGTCAGCGTGTGCCAGCCTGGCAGATGACGTCATCTGGGGTGGGGGATGGTGCGAGTGGGGAGTGAAAATCAAGATAAGAGGTTGAGGGAGAGAAAAGGAGGGATTCAGGAACGAAGCTGATAATAAAGAGGATAGAGGAAGAAAGGAAAGGAAGCGCAAGGGGTAAGAAGAGAAGGGTAAAGGCCGAGGATCGCAGACAGAAAGGAAACGCTGTCACAGGGGAAAAGGGAGCAGAGACGATTTGATGCACATAAGCACACACATCCCCCCAAACACATCCCCACACACACATCCCCACAAACATTTCCACAAACATCCCCCCTCCACACACGCATGAGAACAAAGCTTCAAACACCCATCCACCCGTCTACCTACAGCATTCACCCAACCAACCTGAGCAGCAATCCTTTTCCCAGCCTCCTCTTCAGTCACCCCATTCCGAGCCATCAACCGAGCCTTCGCCTCAGCCTCGGGGACGAACACCACCCAGACCTCGTCCACGGTTCGGTCCGAGCCTGCTTCGACCATCATTGCAGCCTCCACTATAAGCACATCCGCAGGGGGAGCAATGGACCGAATAGTGTACGCGCTTTCAAGTGTCTGAAAAAAAGATGCTTTTTTCACTCGACTCAGATGCTTTTTCAGCCGACTCCGAGGAGGTAGATGCTTTTATATCAGATGACGCAAGAGTCACTTCCCATTCGCCTGTCCCTGCAGCCTCCCTCTCCTCTTCCACTATCTGCCGCACCATTGGCCACACCACTCCCGTCAGGGCAGCCATTTTCTCCGGGCAGGAAAAGACTTGCGCTCCCAGTGCTGCCCGGTCAATCTGCCCATCTGGAAGGTGTGAGGAGATGCAAGAGAGAGAGGAGTTTAATGAAGCGTTGGGATGCGAAAGAGGATGAGAAGGAAAGCGACGCGTCGAGCAAGGAAGGAACAAGTCGAGAAACAAGTGAATACACATCCCACCAGCTGGCAGAAGCACCAACCTGCAGCGCGCACCACAGAGGGTCCAAAGAGGTCCACAATGCGGCGGTACGCAGGTGTGCCCGGCTCATATGCCCGATGGGCCAGCCGGTCACAGTCCACCGCGCCCACCCTCCACTGCCTCCCCTGCCCCTCCTCAGACTGCCACCCCTCCCTCACACCTTCCTTGCTCGCTCCTCGCTCAATTTGAGGGGCAGCATCGGGAGGAACAGCAACGGAAGCAGCAGCAGTAGCGGCAGGAGCAGAGGAGGAGGAAGAGGAGGAGGCGAGGGAGCAGAGCAGGCGAGCGACGGTGGACTTGCCAGAGGCGATGCCTCCTGTCAGCCCCACCAGGTACGGCCCTGCCTGCAGCCGCCCTTTGAGCTGCCTCCTCTGCCTCTGCTGCAACTTCTGCTGCTCGTTGCTGTGTTGAGACAAAACAGCAAGGGAGCGGAAGGGAGGGGAGTGCAAGGAAGAGAAGGGAAGAGAGGGGTCACAGGAATCATAGGTCACCACAACACACCACACCATGCCAGAATCGAGCAGTACATTTGCCAGAAGCAATGCCTCCTGTCAGCCCCACCAGGTACGGCCCTGCCTGCAGCCGCCCCCTGTGCTGCCGCCTCTGCCTCTGCTGCTTGCATCCTCCCTGCTGCTCCCTGCTGTGGTGAGACGAAAGAGGCAAAGCAAGCAGATAAGAGCGGAAGGCAGGAAAGAGAGGAGGGGAGTGCATGGAAGAAGAGAGAGGAGAGGGGTTATTGGATCTATGGGCTGCAGCCCCGTCTGCAGCCGCCCCCTGTGCAGCCGCCTCTGCCTCTGCTGCTGCTTCTGTTGCTCGCTGCTGTGGTGAGACGAAAGAGGCAAAGAACGAAGATAGGGGCAGTCAGGGGTGGGCATGGAAGAGAAGAGAGGAGAGGAGGTACTGGAATCATTGGCCACCACACCACACTCCACTTCGGAAGTAACGGTGGATTTGCCAGAGGCAATGCCTCCTGTCAGCCCCACCAGGGTTTGCCAGAGGCAATGCCCCCTGCCTGCAGCCGCCCCCTGTGCTGCCGCCTCTGCCTCTGCTGCTTGCCGTCACCCTGCCGCTCCCTGCTGAGGTGAGACGGCGGGGCAAAGCACGCAGGTGGGGGCAAAAGGAGGTGAGGGGAGCGCATGGGAGAGAAGAGACGAGATGGGTTGCTGGAAACATGGACCAAGACATAACGGGATAACAGGGCACAGGACAATGCCTCCTGTCAGCCCAACTAAGAATGGTCCCACGAGCAGGATCAGAAACAAGCAAGCAAACGTGAAAATCCCACGAGGCATTGAGGTGAGGAGAATGGATCTGAAGTTGAGAGTCGTGGGTACAGCGTGTGGCGGACTTGCCTTGGAAGGGGCAGGAAGGTTCCGAGACATTGCTCCCTGAGCAGGGAGGAGCTTAGCTTGCTGACGTCAGCCGCTCGGGTGGTGGTGGTGGGAGGGACAGGAAGAGCAGCGGTTGGCGGCGCCGGCACTGTCGAAGCCACGACTACCTGGTGGGTGGGACGGGCACATCAACAACACACAGTGGAGGGTGGGAAGGGTGTTCGTGAGCAGGGAGGAGCTTAGCTTGCTGACATCATCTGCTGGAGAGGTGACTGGAAGAGCAGCGATTAACGGCGCCGGCACTGTTGACGCAACGACTACCTGATGGGTGTGTTCACATGCACGCATGCGCGTAGTGATGCCGCACACAAAAGCGCGGGGAGAGAGAAAGCATGGTACACACGCTTTCAGAGGCCCCTCGAAAGTCGACGGGCGTGCGCATGCATGCACGCACGCACGGACATTACAGGGGAGAGAAAGCTTGTGACATGTGAACACGTGATTTCACGCGCATGTGATGAATAAATCCATTGCAGCTCAACAAGAATACGCCACGTGAAATGGTGTGCTGCCATGGAGAGAGGAACTGAAGAGCTGGGGGATGCGCAGGGTACAAACGAGACTAGACTCACAACGGGAATCGAACTACAGTACAAGAATGTTAAATGCACTTCACATTGACATATAACAATATTGAGGATAGTCGGATCGAACATACTAGTAGCAGGAACAACGATGCACTCACATGCAACGGAGCAATCTGATTGGCCGCTCTCTTCCTGTTCATAGCCGCAGCGCCTCCCAGTGTCTCCTCGCTAACCACAATGCAGTCCAGGCTCGGATTCGAACCTCCCCCGTCAGGTACGGGATCCCGGATCGGCACAAACTCCAGCCGAACCAGACCTGGCGCCTTGCCTTGTCGCTGTAGCTCCTCCTGCAGAAACTTCTCAGCAGCTTCCTTGCGCTCATTGTAGGGCCGGATCAACTGTGGGGAATGGGGATTCGATTCGGGGAACAGGGACTCGGGAAATGGGGATTCGGGAAACGGGGATTCGGGAAACGGGGATTCGGGAAACGGGGATTCGGGAAACGGGGATTCGGGAAACGGGGATTCGGGAAACGGGGATTCGGGAAACGGGGATTCGGGAAACGGGGATTCGGGAAACGGGGATTCGGGAAACGGGGATTCGGAGAACGAGGATTGGGGGAACGAGGATTTGGGGAACGGGGTTGAGGGGATGGGAATGAGGAAGGAAATTGGGGAAGGAGAGGGGGAGTGATTCACTGCACCTCACACCTCACTGCCATACTTCACCGCACCTCACACCTCACTGCCATACTTCACCGCACCTCACACCTCACTGCCATACTTCACCGCACCTCACACCTCACTGCCATACTTCATCGCACCTCACTGAGATACTTCTTGCTCAAAAGAGGTCCATCCGCAATCCCTACAACAATGCAGCTGCTGCCACCGCCGCCGCCGTCGCTGCTGCTGCTGGTGATGGTATCTCCCTCCCCCCGTTCTCGTGTCGCCGCCACCATCGCTACAGCCGCGCGCAGCAGCGCGCGATGGCCGTCGTGGAAGCGATCGAGCGTCCCTGCTACAACCACTCCGCGAAACCTGCCACGTGGCAGCACCTCACTGGACGACGGATCGAAGCGGGTCACCGATTCCATTTCCCCTGACGCAGCGTTCGCTTGTTCGGTTCCTCGAAAAGCACTTAAAGCTGGTGAACCTTCTAGATTTACTATCGAGTTCGTTTGTATCGGAGCATTCGCACTCTCCTCGTCGGCCATGCTACTGCCAGCGAGGACGTTCGATCCGTGGCGATGCTCGGTTTCCGAAGCGAAATCGCCTGTTTCCGGCGCTATTTCCTCGCGGAGAGGTTTCGCCGCGCGTGGAGTAACCAACCTCGGTATTCCCGAGGTTCTTTTCTGCTGGAACGGCAGGCAGCGACTGTCGAGCGAACCAGGAGCTACAGTGCGTCTTGCCTCCGCCTTTCCCTGACCACTCCGCAAAATCCTTTTCGAATATGGAATGAACAGCAGCGATATCGGCGGGCGATGCGCAAAGAACAGTACACCCGCCATGCACGCACCGCAAACGAGAATCTAGGCTTTCTTCACTGGTTTCTAGGTTTCTCGCATTGTCAATGGGATGTTTTGCAGGTTTTCCACAAAATGATATCCTCCCTAACAGCTGTTGCGTAGCACCTACACGATCCTCTGAAAACCGCATATGCCTTCTACAGTTACACAGCTCATAGGCTCCAATACTAATCATTATACTGTGCGTGCATTTGATAAACGGATATGCGCGCTCCTTAGGTCAGGATTACACTCCACGGCAGCCCAAACCTGCCCTACCTTTCACAACACACAACAGAAGAAAACCTTGACATCTGTCGTCCACACAAGGTCAAAAATATTTCGGGTGTTCAACACGACACGACAGGGAGTCCACAAAACGCTCGCTTTTGCTGACGCCACGTGAGAACATTTCAGCAAATTAGGAAAGAAAGGGATCAGATTTCATCGTGAGCACGCTGGAAAAGAGCACAATATCTTGAAAAATGGCCTTTTGAAAAGAGCACTGTTGCAAGAACGCGGCAGCAGGTTGGTTTCCTTCCTGAGGTCGGACCGCAATGCATTCTTCGCAACAACTGAAGAACAACTTCCCAAGAACGCATCTTGACAAAATATACCACCCCTTTCCTCCTGGCGAATTGCTGGAAACGTGTGCAAAACAGTACTTGTAAATATATCGGGTACAATTTCGTGTCAGCCTACCACGATGTTGGGTATTTCAGAAGCATTTCTCCTATATATGTTATGGAAAGGAGCCATACACTTGGTCTTTGTGTCAAGATATGTGGTTCGTTTGTGTTCTTTCGTGGTGTTGGGGCATCTCCACAAAAGCTTCAATGCCACCATAAATGTTCCGCGCCCGTGGTTTCAAAACCGCGGGTAATGTTTTCCAGCTGGCAGCAATTACGTTTTTCCAGCCACGGAAAGGAAACACTCGAGATTGGTGGATGGAGCCGCGTGCGCATAATGAGCTGCACAGCTGTAAAATGCCCCTGCCTCGACTCCCCGCTCCGTCCCTCCCATCCCAGCTGTTTCTTCCCTGTCATGTCACTCCCTCGCGATTTCGCCACTTGTGTACTTTGGAGGTTGTGGTGGGTAGGGCGTACTCGCACCTCGTAAGTGCTGCGTTGAACGTACGTCACTGCAAGAGAACGTGACATTGCGTGTCTCAGTCTCACGGTATACCGCGTGTTGCTACTGAAACTGTTAATGAAGCATATTCATTCAGATCACGAGCTTCCAGATAGGCCCTCGTGTGCTGAGCTGACCCCTCGGCCTGAAAGGATTGCTTCAATTCCAAAATTAGGGTACTCCAATTGTAGTTCTGTTATCCTCAGATCCTTCAATCAGCCAATGCCAAGCATATTCGTGTTTATTCTCATTGTCTAGTAGCTTTCGACGCTGCTTCTTCGAAGTAGTACGCTTTAGTAGTACTCTTATTCTTATTCTCAGTTTCACTGTCCCGATGTCCGCGCCAGCATTACACGCTGAGATGCTGAATTCTGCTTTTCCTGGCCATCCCGACGGACCATTCGAGCGATCATCAGACCAAATAATGCTTTCCAACGAAATTCGTTCGTCAAACGGGGCCCTCCACTGTACCTGGCTCAACTGCGACTGCCCACGCCAAAATTCCGGGCGACGCGGATGCGACAACGTCGCAGAAGCGGCCGATTCCTCTCCGACAAGTCCGCTGGAAGCTTCCAAAGCACCGAATCGCCCAACAACGGCGATTTTTTCCGGCGGTTCCTTTACTGAGAGAGAATTCTTCCAGCTCGCCCCAGCGCCAGTAACGCCGAGCATCGGTCCCCATGGGCGCCGCGGCTACTTGCCGCAAAGCGCCTCCCTCACCGCAACAAGCACTTCCGCCGCCGCGTGTCACGGCGGAAATGGAACGCCTGGAAATTCTTCTGACGTGGATGCTGCGAATTGGCGACGAAACAGCCGGATTAATTCCCGAAGTTGCGACAACACCAGCAGCATGTTTGGGAGTGGTCCCGTTATGGTCAGCCCTGTTACAAAATCAACAGATTGGACGTCAGTGTACTCTGATGTTGGTGTAATACATCCAACCCCATCAGCCAACCACCATGTTGGTCAGAAGAACCGATTGAGTTGCCATGCAGATTCCAAGTCTGCGGAGAACAAGCTCCTGACCTCGGCCGGAGGCTCGGCACCGCTACCTAAACTGTCCGTGCAGCCTCGGCGTCAGCTGGAGCGGCGAGTGTCAGAGTCAGCAGCAATGCCAGCACGACCGATGCCAAATACAGGAGGAAGCGCAGGAGCATGTGGAACGCCAAGAGCAGGAGGGAGCTTCAATTCAAGGCAGTCGGTATTTGAGTGGGCGACAGAGACAAGAATAAAACAGAGGCAGCAGAGGCAGATGGAGAAGGAGAGGGAGAAGATTTTAGAGCAGCTTGCAGAGGCTGCTCTGGTGACAATAGGGGCGCAGAAGAGATGATAGTGGGATAACGTTAACTAGCTCCTTCATCTACCATATCATCTGTTGTCCTTGTTAGCAGGATAGGCTATAGATAACCAATACTGTGTATCCTCCTTTTACCGTGACCTTATTTAACAATAAAGTGTTGCTTGGGTAACTGCTTGCGTAACATAGTCCTGTGTGAAGTAGAGTGTGACTACAGCAGCCAACAAGAGAAAATAGCAGCACCTTTGCAATATGTACATGAAAGCACAGACCATTCTGCTGCACAGTTTTAGAGAGCCACAGCTGTGTGCCGTGCACAGTGCACATGCAGTGCCATTGCAATGCAGTGCGATTATGCAAGGCGTGGTGGTTGTGGCGGTGGTGAAACCTGGATTCGCCACTACAGTGAAGTATGCATTCACCCCTCTGAGTACACACGAGCACATCCAATCCAACCACCTTAGTTCTGAGGCGCCTCAAAAGTGGAGTATGGTTAACCCCTCTATGACTCCACATGAGCACATCCAATCCCAACAACCTTCTGGGAAGGCATTTCGTGGCTCATGCTTTCAATGCTTTCACTAGGTTCCAGTTGGCTCGTGTTGCCATATCGGGAACATTTGAACCGGACAAACCTTTGACTAACATCCCCCCGTGTTGTTGTATTGTATACTCTCAAACGCTCCTTGCATTGAAACTCTCTCTCACTCTCCCCCCAGCTGATCACCTCAAGCAGTCAAGGCTTCTCATTACCAATCAGCAGCACATAACAAACGCCATGGCTGGCATGATCCAGCCACCCCTCACCCTAGCCCTACCTGCCCCCACTCCATTACACGCACTCACTCACTCCCCCGGTTGCGTCTCCTTATCAGTCAGTAGCACGTATCGCATGCCCATGGCTGACATGCTTCGACCAACCCCCACCACTCTACTGCCTCTCCCTCTACTCACTCACTCACTCACTCACTCACTCACTCACTCACTCCCTCCCCAGCTGCGTATCCTTGGCAGTCAGCGGCACGTAGCGCACGCCCATGGCTGACGTGCGAGTGACAGTGCCGTCTGCTGCCTTGTCTATCACCTCTAGGTCCTGTGGGGAAGCAAGGTAAGGTGACGGGGAGGGGGGGGGGGAAGCACTTCTGAGAATTCTCAAAACAGGGAAGGGGGGAAGCAGGGCACGTATCGCGCACCCATGGCTGTGGTGCGTGTGACAGTGCCGTCTGCTGCCTTGTCTATCACCTCTAGGTCCTGGGGGATAGCAAGGTAACGGAGGGGAGAGCAGGCCGGGGAGAGCAGGCCGGGGAGAGCAGGCCGGGGAGAGCTGGCAGAGGAGGGGAGAAGGAGGCGTTGGTTAGGATGCCATATGAGGCGCCTTAAAACGTGACACTGTTGTCTGCTGCCTTGTCAATCAAATCTAGGTCCCAAAGGGTGGCCACGTAAGGTGGGAGTAAGGAGGGATAGAATTAGTCTAGTTGAAACATAATTGGACGCACAATTCGGGGCGAGACATTATCTGGGACACAATTCGTTCCCCCAGCCCTCCCCTCCCCTCCCCCACTCCCCCACCCTCCCCTTCCCTCCCCACCCACACCACTCCCCTCCCTCCCTCCCCCCCCCCCTTTCATCTTCCTCCCTCTCCCCTCCCCTCCAACCCCCGTCTTCCCCCCCTAAGTCCGCCCTCCTACCTGCATGAAGCGGCCGACGGGAATCACCATTCTGCCGCCCGGCTTCAGCTGATCCACCAGAGCTTGGGGGAGCTCTGGCGGGGGGGAGGGGGGAAGGGGGAGGGGGGAGGGGGGAGGGGGGAGGGGAGAAGGGGCGGGGAAAGGGAGGCGTGGCGGGAAAGGAAAGGTAAAGCAGGGATTTGGCTTCAGCTGGTAAATCAGGGCCTGGAGGGGCTGTGGCGGAGAGGAAGTGAAGGGATGGGTAAGGGAAACGGAAAATGAAGGGTGAGGGAAAAGAAAAGGGAGAGGTAACGGAAAATGGTGTGGGTGGGCGAAAAAAATCAAGCAGGGGCCGGGAAGATCCTGGGGTAGCTTCGGTAGCAAGAAGAAACAAACAAGGTGGGGTAGGGGTGGGGGAGGTGGGGGGAGGAGGGGGTGTTGAGGGGACACATCATGCAAAGCGACAGAGCATGCAGAATGCAAGAGATTGCAGAGCGACAGAGCTGGCAAAGATTCCTACGTGGAAAGAGTCGCTGGCAAAGAGTCCTACCGGAGCAGCAGCACCCACGTGGATGGCATCATACGGGCCCGCCTCAGGTACCCCTCACGCCCATCCGAGTTGACTTTGATTCGACTCAAAAGTCATGCAGAGCGCAAGGCCAAGCAGAGCATGCGCAGTGCCAGCCAGAGCGAGCAGAGAGTCTTACCCGCAGCAGCAGCCCCCACGTGGATAGCATCATACGGGCCCGCCTCAGGGTACCCCTCCCGCCCATCCGCCTCTAGGAAGGAAGAGGGAGGAGGGATGGGTGCGATGGTACGAAGTGAGCGAGGGAGGCGAGAAGAAGGATGGGCGAAGTGGGATAGGAATGGGGTAAGATGGGGAATGACAGCAGAGCTGTGCTGAGACTAGAGGAAAGAGGTTGTGAGTGTGTGGAAGGGAGAAAGGTAGGGAAGAGGGGGACAAGGGCGAACGACAAGGGACGCTTTGACGAGCAGGAAGAACGTGACGTGGTAATTGGGGACGGGGAGGGTGGCACGGGTGTGAAAAAAACAGGGACGCAGCAACGGGACAAAGAAGAGGACCAAGACAGCAAAGGAGGAAAAAAAACAAGTAGTGCCGACTCCTTTCCCCCCTTCCCAACCCTCCCTTCCTCCCCCCAACTCCTTCCCCTTCTCCCAACCGACCCCCCTTTCCCCCCGTACATTCCCCCCTCAAATCCCCACCATGCCAACCGACCATGTATCGACAGCTGTCCGCCGTCCATCAGTTCCGCCGCCCGGCCCGCCTTCACTGCAGCCCGGGACCGCTCCACGAGCTGCGGGATGTGCTCCACGCCCACCGCCCGCCCCGTGGGGCCCACCAATAGCGCCATGACAGCTGTCAGGTAGCCCGAGCCCGACCCCACGTCCAGCACACGGTTACCGGGTCGCAGGTGATTCTCGAGAAAGGCCAGGCAGTAGCCGTGCTGTCAGTTGGAAACAAAGGCAGCGGAGGGGTGGGGGGAGAGGATCGGGAGAGGAGGCGGGGAGGGGTGGGAGGGGGTCACAGGAGAAAGGGGACGTTGAAGCATGTTTTCAGGTACCCGGACCCGGACCCCACGTCCAGCACGCGGTTACCGGGTTGCAGGTGATTCTCAAGAAAGGCCAGGCAGTAGCCGTGCTGGCAGGGGGGAGGAAGGGCCAGGGGCGGAGGGGATGGGTGGGAGGGGGGGAGGGAGGGAGAGGGGGAGCGGGAGGGGGTGGGGAATGGGGGATGGTGGGGGTTGGTGAAGAATGGTGAAGAATGGTGAAGAATGGTGAGAACGGGAAGTTGAAGAGGGAAGGGAGGAACGAATTTACTGGAAGCTGGTTCGATGGCACGTGGAGAAAAGCAAGGCAGTAACCGTGCTGGCAGAGCAACGGAAAGGCCAGGGGCGGATGGGGAGGGAGGGGACGGGGAGCGGGGGTGGGGTGGGGGATGGGGTTGGAGGAGGGATGGTGGCGTGTGATGGAATGGTGAGGAGTTTGTGTCAAAGAGGGGAGGGAGGAGTGTGTGGAAGGAAGGCGAGCATGGCTACGGTTACACAGCAGCATTCAGAATGGTTACGTACCATGTGAGGTGCCGATATGGTAACATTGAAACCTGCTCATGCATGGTGCATACCATCATGCCATGCCACATACCATGTCACATGTCACATGTCATGCCACATGACATGGCACAGTGCACATCCCATGTCAACATTGGCATGCAGTAATACCACGAATGGCATCGACAAACCATCACGCATGTAAGCCAGAGAGGATTTTAGAATGAACAAGCGGTAAACGACAAACGTAAAAGAGTGTGGAAAAAAATTGGGTGTCAAAGGTATGCAGTAACAAACGTCAGCCACCCCACGTCAGCCATACTGTACATGACACATGCATCCATACCGTACATGACACATGCATCCATACCGTACATGACACATGCATCCATACCGTACATGACACATGCATCCATACCGTACATGACACATGCATCCATACCGTACATGACACATGCATCCATACCGTACATGACACATGCATCCATACCGTACATGACACTCGCATTCATACCCCACATGCATCCAGTAATATAAAGCCCGTTTGATAAACTGTTCACCTATGGGTTGTGGGGAGTCGTCATAGGCCGTTGACTTGGTCAACACGTAGTCAGCGCGGTCAATCTGCTTCATGGCCTCCGCGATGCGCTCTGAATGGACGATTCCGCTACCTGGAAGGAAGCGCGGACAAGGAGAGGGAGGCGTGGTTGGGACAATGTTGGGGCGACGACAAGAGAAAGAGGGGGGAAAAAGGAGAGGACTGAGGGTTCTCTAGCATGAATGACGAACGTGAGCATGATTCTGTACACGAATTCCTGCCCGAGAGAGTCATGACTCTCTGCATGAATTCCTGCCCGAGAGAGTCATGACTCTCTGCATGAATTCCTGCCCGAGAGAGTCATGACTCTCTGCATGAATTCCTGCTCGAGAGAGTCATGACTCTCTGCATGAATTCCTGCACGAATGTGAAAACGAGGGTCTGTAAATTCCTGCTTATGATGTACGGAGGCTTCTCTCCAAAAGAACGAAATCGATGTTAGCACGACGTGGATGTGATCACAATACACGAACATGCATGGATGTTATCACTGTTATCACGACGTGGATGTGATCACAATACACGAACATGCATGGATGTTATCACTGTTATCACGACGTGGATGTGATCACAATACACGAACATGCATGGATGTTATCACTGTTATCACGACGTGGAACATGAATACATGCGTCCCAACCCATCCCACTATCCACGCACGGAGCAACTTATCGACCATCTCGCCGTTACTATCGCCATGGCACGTCCAGCTCATGCTTTCGCTCCGCCTCACACGCTCCCAGAACTCCGAATCCTTCGCTCCTCCGCCGTCTCTTGCGCCACTGCCACCCTCTCGTGTCGCGATCGCCGGCTCCGCCGCTTCCGTTCCCCCCGCGCCGCCACCCTTGCCAAGATTATAGTTGTCGCTATGCACCCCGCCTTTTGCGGTGCACGGGGAAGCGCGAACGAAGAGCGAGCGGTCTGATAAGAGAAAAGAGGCGACGGTGACGGCGAGCGCGGGTAGTGAGCGGAAGGAGCGGCGGAAATGGCGCCGGGAGATGCGGGAAGACGAAGCGACTGAAACTGTCGAAATCATTAAGAAAGTCGTCGTTGATTAAGAGTAGAGAATTCTACTTTAGACTCGACCACTAAGGAACTCTAGGTTCATCAAGAATCTAAGCTTGCCAAGAACGCAAAGCGCAAGTAAAATTCGAGGAGAACGATATTGTCAGAAACATGGATACGTGACAATGGCTGCAATGCCAAATCAAAGCAAGACCTCTAGGCGAGCTTTAAATTAGGACGTGTTCACGTACCTAAAGAAAAGAATCCCCTGTTCTGTTCTCGTGAAGCTTGGCTACTAGAAAGCCAATCAGACGAAACCACGGTACCCATAATTTCATTTTGAGACCCCCATTTCACTAATTTCAGAATGGGTTATTTCGCAGTGTGCGCTCCCTACACCATCGTGCCATGCACAAACAGCTGTGCAGCCAATAGCAGCGGCTAGGTGTGCAGAGCCCAGAGCCAATCACATGGACCCAACGCTTGACCCGCCTGCATGCTTCTTCTGCCCATCTCTCGCAACGAAATCAGGCTCGCACAGTTACAGCTGACGAAAGCATTTCATTGCAAGGGTCACAGTTACAGCTTCGTTCGTGCAAGGGTTCCAGATTTCGCTGGCCCTGGCAGGGTCATTAGCTCTGTGTGAGGGATTTCAGGAAATGGTTGAAGAGGAAGAAATGACTGCTGTTATGCCTGCCTGTCTTTTGAATGCCGTGCTCCGCAAGCTTCTTCATTCTGTCAGTTTCACGTTCTGGCGAGGAGTAAGGGCAAGAATGCCGGAGATTGTAGTCGCTACGTCGCTTGCATTTTGCTCTTAGTACAGACCCGTCCCGTCAGGCTCTGTCGGCTTTCTCCGGAATTTCTAATCTTGATAGTAGCTCAGACGATTTCCATCGCGAGAGCAGAATTACCTGGCGATCCACCCGACCTCCGACCGACTTACGCGGTCCAGTCATAAACAGGATCGCTCAGCCGACACCTCCCTTGATATCTGAGATTTAACATTTTAGTCGAAGAGCATCCGTAGAAATGGATCGGGCAAGTCGGGAAGACGTCACGATCCTTTAGCGGGTTTCGCCGACGGGATTCACGAAAGGCTTGGCGAAGATAGCGAAATGGAATTGGCGGAACCGACCGAACCGGACGATGGGGGAGCCGCAAGGGGCGGGGGAGAGGCGGAAGAGGCGCGAGGGGTGGCGCGAGAGGAGGGAGAGTTGGCGCAAGAGGAGGGAGTGTTGGCGCGAGAGGATCGAGAATTGGAACGAGCGGCGACGCGAGAGGTGCGAGAGGAGCGAGAGTTGGAGCGCGAGTTGCAAGAGTTGGAGCGCGAGGAGCGAGAGTTGGAACGAGAGTTGCGAGCTGTGGCTCGAGGGCAGCGAGATTTGGCGCGGGAGGCGCGAGAGAGGCGAGAGGCGACGCGAGAGGCGACGCGAGAGGCTACGCGAGAGGCGCGAGAGGCGGTTGGAGAGGCGCTAGCGGCGGTTACGGAAGGTGGTGCTCTATCGACAGAGGAGGTGGTGAACATGATCTACAGTGTCGTGGGCCCCTTGAGCGAGGATGATGATGATGATGACTCGTCGCTGGACGACCATGGCGATAGTGGCGACGACAGTGAGGAGGAGGACGGGGAGGCTAATAACGAGGATATAGAGGCTATGGAAGCGAGGGCTGCGAGGGATGCGAGGGATGCGGAGATGGCGGAGGATGGGGAGATTGTTATGACTGACGAGGTGGATATGTATGACGACTATACAGATGACGACGACGATGAAGATGACGATTCGGACGATGATAGCGAGGAGGATTATAACGAGGTCGAAGACCCGCACTATAACGAGCGGAGGAGGTCGGTGCAGAGGGTCGCGTCCGCGATAGCAGCAGCTCCGTTAGACGACTGGGGCGCGGTGAAGGGCGCGCAGGTGCACGAGGAGGCCAAATACCTGCTGGATAACGCCTGCTCCACATACCGCCTGCCCTCAGGGGTGTGTCACCACCAGTAAGCTCCTGAACTCATGTGCTTTTGTGAATTAGGTTGGAAATTCACCAAGGCGCGCAGCACAGGTGCACGAGGAGGCCAAGTATCTGGTGGATAACGCCTGCTCCACATATCGCCTGCCCCTCAGACGATTTTTGATGCGCCTCAAATATATCTGGTGGATAACGCCTGCTCCACATACCGCCTGCCCTCAGGGGTCAGCCACCACCAGTAAGCCCCTGACCCCGACTAGCAGCAGTAACCTCCTGAATTCTGACCTGACCTGACCTCCCGCAGTAAGCTTCTGACCTTAGTAACAGTGGGACCGTAATCTCATCCTAACCACCACCAATAAGCCCCTGACCCCGCCTCCGTTTCCCCATTACCCTTGCCTGCAGTGCCTCTCCCCTCCAGGTGCTGCGATGCTCTCGTGGCTAGCCCCAGCCCTGTAGCCACCATGTATGCTGTTGCTTCCCTTCTGACTGAACCCCTTCACCCGCATTCACCTGCCTCCGTTTCCCCTTTGCCCCTGCCTGCTGTGCCTCTCCGCTCCAGGTGCTGCGATACTCTGGTAGCTGGCTCCGGCCCTGTAGCCTACCCTCTGCTACCCTTCTGAACCTCTTCACACGCCTCCGTTTCCCCATCACCCCTGCCTGCCGTGTCTCTCTGTTCCAGGTGCTGCGACACTCTCGTGGCTGGCCCCGGCCCTGTTGCCTCTACATGTGCCGCACAAAGCTCTGCCCGGGACGATGCAGCACCAGCACCATCACCGGCATTAGCATCATTCCCGCAACGACCTCCTCCCCTCTCACCGCCACACTCCCACTCCTCCCCTTCCTCCTCCTCCGCCGGCCCCCCACCACCGTTTTCCCAAGAGATTATATGCACGGTGCAGCGCTTGGTGACGCTCTACAGCACGGCGCGGCGGGAAGTGGTGGCGGTGACGTCTCTGCCCTCGGAGCCCTACAGCATCGATAGATTCGGAGACGTTGTGGTGGCGGGGTGCTACGGCACTGTCTGCTTTTACCTCATTCGCAGGGAGCTCGTGAAAAAGACAGGTGCGTTCTCTGCCCTCACAGCGGCTGGTGGTGGCCATTGCGTCTCTGCCCTCAGAGCCCTACAGTGTCGACAGATTTGGAGATGTGGTGGTCGCGGGGTGCTACGGCACTGTCTGCTTCTACCTCATTCGCAGGGAGCTCGTCAAGAAGACTGGTATGTTCCATATCCCTTCTCTCTCCCTCCCTCCCTCCCTCCCTCCCTCCCTCCCTCCCTCCCTCCCTCCCTCCCTCCCTCCCTCCCTCCCTCCCTCCCTCCCTCCCTCCCTCCCTCCCTTCCTCCCTCCCTCCCTCCCTCCCTTTTCGGAGACAACCCCCCTTTTCCCACCTCAAAACCTCTCCTATTGTCGCCCCCCTCCCTTCTCCCCTCACCATCACCACAGCTGGTTGGACCAAGGACGGCGCCCCAGAGCGCACCACCGCATCCCACCCCGCCCATCACCATCACCACCACTACCAACCACAGCAGCCGCAGAGGGAGGGCAAGGGGCCAGCAGCAGCAGAGGAAGAGGAGGAGGAGAGGGTGTGGTTTGAGGCGGCAGGAATGGTGGGGGGGTTTGAGAGCAGTCTCATTGGCTCTTCCATGTGCAATTCCATTCGGTTCGGCACCGTTGGTAACTGGGTGAGTGTGGGAGAGTGGTTGGTGTGAGGAAAGCAAAGGCATGAATGGTGTGGGGGGGTTTGAGAGCAGCCTGATTGGCTCCTCCATGTGTAATTCCGTGCGGTTCGGCACGGTTGGCAACTGGGTGCGTGGGTTTGGGGTGGTTGGGGAATTTCGGGGCTGGGGGGAGCGTAGGAGAGGGGGCTGGTGGGAGGGATGCAAGGGCAAGGATGGTGGGGGGGGGTTTGAGAGCAGGCTGATTGGCTCCTCTCCGTGCAACTCTGTGCTGTTTGACACTGTTGGCCATTGGGTGCGTGGGTGGGGTGCCCGGCGGTGGGAAGAGGGAAAGGGGAGGCCGTTTGGGAGCACTGATTGGTTTTACCTATTGCTTTTTTTATTTTACCTTCTTTCTATATGGTTGCAAGAATAGCTGCCTTTGTGTCTCTATGCCATTTTTTTTTGGGGGGGTATAATCTTCAGCAATCTTGCCCTTTTTTTTCACTCCCCAACCCCGCCCTGTCTGATGCATCAACAGGTGCACATGCTATCTCTTCACACTGTTCCTTACTCTTACCGATTACCCCCTTCCCTCCCGCATTCCCCCCTCCTTCTGTCTCCCTCATTACCAGGTGCGCATGCTAGTGGCCCATCAGAACGGTTATCTCTACCTCTTCACACTGCCGCCGCCTTTCCAGCCCGGCACAGCCCGCCACGTGGGCCGATCTGATTGGGTGTTCGGCGCGCAGAGCCTCGAAGACGCCCGGCAGATGGCCCTGGAGGCCCGGTGCCGAACCTCCCAAGAAGGTTCGGAGAGCGGCGAGCCTGGGAAGGAGGCCGGGGAAGGAACGAGGCGTGTGGCTGCTGCTGGTGATGGTTCAAATTCTGCTGCTACAGCCGCTGCTGCTGCCTCTTCCACACCCGCTTCTGCTGCCGCTGCTGCTACAGCTGCTGCTGCCACAACCCCTGCCAGTGCCTATGGTGGGGGCAGTGCAGGACTGGATTTGAACATGGGTGCTGCAGAGGGGAGTGAAGGCAGAGCTGCTTCAGCCACGGCTGCTGCGGTGGCGTCGGCAGCAGCAGCTGCAGCGGTGCCGGCCCATTACCCTGCGGGATCAGTGCCTTTGAATGTGAAGCTCAACCTGAGAGACCTCACCACCGTTGACATGCCGTGAGTACAGGCAGTAATGAGTGGGGAGACATAAATTGAGTGGGAATGCTGTGAGTTGTGTCTGCTTGGCATGCCATCATGGCAGCAGCAGCAGCATTGCCGGCACACTACCCTGCGGGTTCGGTGCCCCTGAATGTGAAGCTCAACCTGAGAGACCTCACAACCGTTGACATGCTGTGAGTGGGCGGACAGGCCGTGAGTGGGCATAGTGTTGATGTTAATCCCCTTTTCTCGCTGACCCTATCCTTGCCTCGTTACTTCCTGATGGCCAGCATGCCCCGTTACACCCTTCCGAACACTCCCACGTTCTCCCAACCACCCCCCAGCACATCAGCGCCGGTGACCATTTGATCGGCCCTGTCAGACGGCTTGGTGCGCACCTCAACTCGCCTCGTCAGCGCTATTGGCCCCTTCCCCACTATGGCCCTATCACAGTTGTTCTTGCCATATCATTCCCCTGTTTGCTTGCACATCCCTCCCAACCCCCCAGCACATTGGCGCCGGTGACCATTCGATCGGCGCACGTCTGCTCGCCTCGTGAACGCAATTGGCCCCTTCCCCATGACCCCTCCCAACCCCTTCTCCATGTCCCCTTCCTTCCCAGCACATCAGCCCCGGTAACAATTCGCTCGGCCCCAGCAGGCGGGTTGGTGCGCACGTCTGCTCGCCTTATCAACGCCATTGGCCCCTTCCCCATGCCGCTCAACTTCGCCCTTGTTTCGCCCAACGGGGAGTGGATCGCTGTTGTTGGAGACCTTGCTGCTGTACGTGCCCCTCCCTGCCCCCCGCCCCACTTTCTCCTTCTCCCTACCATTTTTGTGAAGCTGTTATGGTGCTTTGGAGAACCCTCAAAAGTGATATCAGTGTGGAGCTTACTTTTGAGTCGACTCAAAAGTCATTTTTGGGAGCTGTTATTGTGCTTTGGAGAACCCTCAAAAGTGATGTCAGTGTGGAGCTTTCTGCGGTACACGCTCCTAATTCTTGAGTTGCTTCACAGCAGATTTCGAATTGCTTCTCCCCGCCGCCTCCCACCTCCTTCCTCGAATAACACCTGTGTCTTAACCTCCTGTTGCTGCCTTATACCTTTTCTCCTTCTCCATCCATGTTCCCTCAACCTCTTCACTGCACACCTGCCTCTTGAAACCTCTTGAAACCCCTTCAAACCTTTTGAAACTAATTCGGACCCCCCCCTTCTTCTCCCAGGTGTGTGTATTGGACCGAGCATCTGGGTTCAGCGTGAGTGGCATGGCCAGCAGGCGGATCCCAGTGGCTTCTAGGAGGGCCAGGGGCGCCACTCACGGATGCCAGGTCAGCTTATAACGTGTACACTCATAAGTCTTATTCAAAATCTTCTTTTTCTTCCTTCGCACCTAGTGTAGTAATGCATTCTCATCCGCTCACTCACCCGCTCTCTCTCTCTCTCCTCCCGACCCACCATTTGAATGCTTTCTTTCTCCCTTACAGTACCTGGCCTGGAACCCTTCATCCTCGTTACTAGCAGTCTCCAGTGACTCGCTTCAAGCCGTGTACGTGTGGGGCGTGTCCCGTACCTCCCAACCTGGTGCATCTGGAGCAGCAGAACCGTCACCATCAAAAGCACGCCCATTCACCAGAGCAGCAGCAACTGCAGCAGCCGCAGCCGCAGCAGCACAGCAGTTACCATCAGCGCCAGCAGCAGCACCATCAGCAGCAAGAGCAGCAGCAGGAGCAGGAGCAGCAGCACCATCAGCAGCGCCAGCAGTGCAGATGACCCCCCTGTTGAAGCTTGATCAAGCCTTTCAGTCACCGCCCCTTGCCCTGCAGTTTGACTGCTTCAACCCGCACCTGCTGCTGGTTGTAGAGCGGTGCAGTGCGGTGCACGCTGTGGATGTGCGAGCACCACATGCCAGGCAGCAGATTCAAGTGGTGAGCACCGTTTGTCTCCTCCTGTCGCTCTCTTCCTCTTTACCTCTTTCTCCTCGTGTGAGCACCCTCTATCCCCTCCTCCTCCTTTCTTACTTCTCCCTTTCTCTCCCGTCCTTCCCCCTCCTCCACTCTCTCCTCCCCTCTCCTCCTCCTCTCTGTCCTCTTTCGTCTCTCACCTTCTCACCTCTCTCCTTCTCCTGCCTCTCTCGTTGTGTCTCTCGTACGCAGCATCGCGAACCCTCATCAGAAGCAGAGCAGGAGAGGGAGCAGAGGGAGGAGGCAAGGGAGGATGGCCGCTGGGTCGTGGCGCTAGGGGGTCTTCCCCCCACCGCTGGGCCAGATGCTGCTGCTGCCGCTGCTGCTCGTGCTGCCGATGCTGCTGATGCGGCCACTGCCGCTGCTGCTCGTGCTGCTAACGCTGCTGATGCTGCTACTGCCGCCGCTGCTCGTGCTGCTAACGCTGCTGATGCTGCTACTGCCGCCGCTGCTCGTGCTGCTGCCGCCGCTGCTCGTGCTGCTCCTGCTGCTGACGGCACTCGTGCTGCTGCTGGTGCTGATGCCGCTGCTGCTGGTGCTGCGGCCGCCGTCGCTGGGGCTGTTTCCGCTGCTGTGGGTGCTGGCCGTGCTGCTGATGGTGCTGGTCGTGCTGCTGATGGTGCTGGTCGTGCTGCTGATGGTGCTGGCCGTGCTGCTGATGGTGCTGGCCGTGCTGCTGATGGTGCTGGCCGTGCTGCTGATGGTGCTGGCCGTGCTGCTGATGGTGCTGGCCGTGCTGCTGATGGTGCTGGTCGTGCTGCTGATGGTGCTGGTCGTGCTGCTGGGGCTGCTGTGACTGCTCGTGCGACAGTGGGGAGAGTGGTGGGGGGAGTGGTGGGGGGAGTGGTGGGGGGCATGGTGGACGCAGCACAGGACCAGCTGAGGCGGCAGCTGCAGCAGCTGGAGCAGCTGTTGCAGCGCCGCAACCAGCCACCAGTCAGCGAGGTCGTGGGATTGGCAGCTTACCACCACCCTGGGGTGCTCGTGTCCACCGAAACCACCGTCTTCCAGGTGAGTCTGAGCGTTGATGGGTTGCGTTGAGCGAACATGTCTTGAGTGGGATGCAGTGCAACCAGCAACGAGTCAGCGAGGTGGTGGGGCTGGCAGCGTACCATCACCCTGGTGTGCTCGTGTCAACAGAAACCACTGTTTTCCAGGTGAGCTGACTTCTGAGGCGCCTCCCCTTTGCTGGAAATCAGCTCAAAAGTGGACTACTGTTGATTAGGTGCGCTGACTTTTGAGGTGTCTCAAAAGTTGACCGCTGTCTTCCAGGTGAGTTGATGACGCCCAGCAAACGGGAGGTGCCTCCTTCTCACCACCTTGTAAAGCGCCTTGTGTGTAAAACTCCATCTATCTACCCTTACACAGAACCCCCCCATTCTCCCCCCCACCGCATGGAACCCCTTTGCTGCAGTATCCCCGCATGGGAGCCTGGTCACCTGCCTCTCACTTCCTCTATCCCAAGCGTTTCAAGGTGGGTGTGGTTTTGTGCTATGATGGTGATTGCGCCTGTCTCTCAGACTGATGGTCATGCATGCCTGTCTTGTGTGCACATTCAGCATGATTTTGTCCCCATCCGTCTGTACTTTAGTCCCAATCGCTAGCCCACTCTTCCCATTCGTCCATCGAAGAAACTTACTGTACTCTCCTGTGTGCACACCTCTCTACCCATCCGCACTCCTCGTCAACCAATCTGGACTACAGGAGGTGGTACGGCTGCTGCTGCTGGGTCACTATGCTACGGTTCAGTGGGATTCCAACGCGACTGACAGCCACAGCAGCCAGGCACAGTCTGACAGCAGGTGAGAGTGTGCTGGTTGTTGGGGGGCACAGGAGGTGATACGGCTATTGCCGATGGGTCATTACAGTACCGGGCAGTGGGATTGCAGTGCTGCTGCTGACAGCCACAGCAACTAGATGCTTCTTCGCTCAGGACGCGTCACAAGTAGAACATCGATCCTGCCTAGAATCGGTGTTTAGGTGGTTACACATTTTCGTTTATTTTCGCTAACGTACAGTTTTCCCTTCTAAGTCAGGCGATCGATGTGCCCCTGTCACACACGATCGTGCAATTTCGTCCACATCGGGCAATTTTGCCCCGTGTTTTTACGATCGTGTCACTTGAAACTTCAAAGCAGTCGTGACACACCGATATGGCGATCGGTTTGACAGGTTCGGTGAACAACCCTGATCCTTCCTCGATATTTTACTTGTGACGCGTCCTCAGGTTCGTGATATTGGCAGATCCTTCAGCTAGGTAGGTATCATTAATCATGCTTTAGCAACTGTTCATGCTTCAGCAACTGTTCATTCTTCAGCAACTGTTCTGCTGTGATTCAGAGTTGCTAGCTTTTGTGTGTTCCTTCTTTCTCTGTTTCCTATTGTACATGGTTCCCTGGTTCAGGTACCTATGGTTGCTTCCCCTAGAGGTGCTGCTTCAGATCATTGGACATGCAGCTACACCACTTTCTCTGTGGATCAGTGATGCATAAACTACGTTTCTAGAAGGATTCTTTGTGAAATGGGTTACCAACATTACATTAGCTCAGGTATGGTACCGTAATCACCCGGACATAACACCCGGGGGTATTATGATAACCACAGGGAAAAATGGGGGGGGTGCTCTCAACGGAAAATCCTATATAATACCCGGGTGGTTATATATGGCACTTTTTAGTGTAAGAAAAAAGTTCAATCAGACAATTTGGGTGTTTCAATACTCGTTTTAACATCACAGGTTGAGGCGAGAATTCGCGTTTTGGCGAGAATGTGAGTTTCACCTCTCGGGCCACGTGCAGCGGAAGATTCGCCAGCGTGGCGACAGCGAGATTGTGGAAGGGAGGGAATCTCGGTAGATTCGAAGTGAAAGTGCACGCGAAATTTCATTCAGGAAGCGATTTTCGTCATATACTTTCGTAAAAAATCTGACTCGATAACAGCTATAATAGGGTTTCGTAAGAAAAGGGGGGTGTTATAGAGAATCACCCCAAAAGGGGGGGTATAGTACAAACGAGGTCGGCTATAGCACCCCCCCCGCACAAGCTACCCGGGGGTGTACTATTACGGGGGGGTGTTTTGTCCGGGTGATTACGGTATGTACAGTAGGCGCAACAAGATGGTATGTACCGCACTAGTTGCATGCAATAATGCATAGCCTTTTCGACAAGCCCATTATGGAACAGCCTAGCACGCCAGGAAACCCCTTTCACGTGAGACGAAATGACAAAACTAGAAATTCCCTTAGCTACACACAATACACAGACATACCGTATCGCCCCGGATATAGGCGCCGTCCGATTAACGGCGCCGGCGCCTCTATCTGGAGCATGGCGCCTATGGCCGGAACTCGATTATAAGCGCACCCCCTAAAATTTCTATACTTATTATAAGCGCATCCGTTAACGTACATTGGAGGCATTACAAAAGATTTAACTAAACCTCATTTTTCATAGCAACTACATTAGCATGTTGCTAAACTACAACTAGTCTAGCCGGGGTACTCCTATCCGTAACATGCATCAGCCAGTACCCCTCCTACTCCTCCTCGTCGTCAGACTCGGGCTCCAGGCAGTTGTTGCCAAAGAAGCCATCGGCGATGATGTCGTCGTCGACATCCACCTCCGCTGTCAGCTGGGTCCGCCTGTGCGCCATGGCGAGGTTGTCCTCGCTGCCGTCGAGTGCGTTGCTGATGCCACAGGTGAGGAAGGCGCGCGTGATGAGGTCGGACGGCACTGCCCGCCAGGCCTGAGATATCCACCGCAGGACGACTTCAGGTGGAGGCTTCTTCAGATTCCCTGCAAAATACAGTAACAGGAGAACGGTGGACAGCCGTTAGTGCATAAAAAAAGGCGGGGGGGGGGGGGGGGGGGGGGGGGGGGGGGGGGGGGGGGAACTTCATAACAAAACCGTACACATGCCGTACCTGCCGCGGTCAGCTGCGCTTGCCCCTCTGCCTCGAACCACCTCTGGTACTGCTGGCGGACCGACGCCTTAAAACTTTTGTTGATGGAGACATCGAGCGGCTGTACCTCCGCCGTACAGCCCGACGGGATGACAGCCGGCACGCAGTTCATCTCGCGGAGCTTCTCCTTGACCTCCTCGGTGAGGTGACCGCGGTAAGAGTCCAGCACCAGCATCGAGCTCTTCGCGCATCTGTCGAACCGAGGCTTCAAGAAAGGCTTGACGCCCTCCTCAAGCCAGCGAACGACGCCCGCGGAGTCCATCCATCCGTTCTCGTGGCAAGCCACGACCACATCTGCACGAAACCCGAGCGTGTGGTTAGAACACGCACTCAGAACAGAACGCAAATACAGACGAGGGCAATTGTTTGCTTACCGGCAGGGAAATCGCCCTTCGGCAATGTTTTGCGCTTGAAGAACACCCACGGCTTCAGCTTCCGTCCGTCAGCCGCGCACGCCAGCATCACGGTCACTCGCTGCTTCTGATACCCCGCGCTCCTGATAGGCACCGAGCGAGCACCCGTTTCCTCCACGGTGCTGGTGGCGGGCATCTCCAGCCATAGCGGCGTCTGATCCGCGTTGATGATCCACGCGGTGTCGATGCCGCGCTCTCGACGCTTGTCACGCACGAACTGCCAGAACATGCGGCACAGCTCAGCGACACCTGCACGGCGGGAGAAGAGAGGACAAGCACACACAGAGGGTGTTAGTACATATGTACAAAACACACGTGGCACATAAACCGGGGTATCACTTACGCGCGGCGGTTTTCTGGGCAACCCGGGTCTTCATGCGGACGCTCAAATTCCAACGACGCTGGAACCGCGCCGACCACCTCTGGTTTCCTTTCCACTTCTTCTCCGGGTACAGCAGCCTCATGAACTCCCGCGACCACTCCTGCAGGCGGCCGACTGACACGGCAGTTCCCTTGCGGCGCCACTCGAGCAGCTTCTCGTACACCTTCAACTCCATCGGCCGGTACCACGACGACCGTCCGCGACCGTGCATGCGCTTCCGGGCGGAGTGAACTTCCTTGAGGAAATCCGCCGCCCGCTTCCAGTTGGTGAGGCACTTGCGGTGGATTCCGCTCTCGCGAGCCAAGGCGCGCACCGACACCGACCCATCGAGGCGACTTGCCCACTTCAACTTCTCCGCGGCGGTGTAACCTTGCCGCTTGTGCTCGGTGAGCTTGTGCCTGGGAGAGGGGGGGCGGGCATCACGGTTCTCAGAAGAGGGGTGGGGTCGCTTGCGATTAGTCGGAGGATACGTTGGTATGGGCAGTTTCTCAGGTAGCCCGTCGCGTGACCAGTACTCAACGCCGTCGTCGTCACCGTCGCCCGTAACGCCTTCTAGAAACACATCTTCAGCGGTGCCGCCCTCGGCGCCGCCCTCGTCGGAAGCCTCCGTGTCACCCTCGGCGCCGTCAGCGCCGCTCGCATCCTCAGCGTCAGCAACATCATCGTCGGCGCCGACTGCAGATTCGTCCCAAGGGCAATCTTCGGGCTGTCCCCAACGTCCTCCAGGCACGTGGTCCACTCGCACGTACACATCCGGCGCGTTGTTAGTCTCTGGTTCTGACAGGAACTCGTCGAACGCCGATGGAAGCAGCAGCGTGAGCACGGGCTGATTGGCAGCGTGTTGCGGTGACACATGACCCAGAGGCGAAGGAGGAAGAGGAGGCGCAGGAGGCGAAGGAGGAACAGGAGGCGAAGGAGGAGCAGGAGGTGCAGGAGGCGCAGGCGGCGCAGGAGGCTGTGGTGGCTCTGGTGGATCTGGCGGGATACGGGTGCACCACCCGTCAGCGTCTACTGTAAACGCGGGCCTTCGAGTAGGCTTTTTCTTGAACAAGAAGTGGGTGCCGCTGAATTCCGCCATGGCTTCCGCAGCCAGGCGGGAGTGAAGAAGAAACGGAACAAGAAACTGAGAGAAAAGGTGCACAAATGAGAGATTCAAAGGGACCCCTGCAGGTTTGCGCCTCGGGGTCCTCGTCGGGGCGAGACGGGTACCCCCTGTCTGAACCCGGAGAGGAGGGTATCGTGGCACGAACATGATGCGCTGGCAGGTCATTCCACCGCCTTCTCGATGGTTCGGGTGAAATGCAGCTGCCTGCCACCGTATGTTACCCTGATTGGACCGCATGGCAACATTCACGTCAGCGCTGGCAGATTCCCTGCTCCTGGACGGGGTTTGTGCGGTCGGGAATCGAAGCGCGATGGTTTTCGGCGGGATTTCATACATTACCTCACGCGCACGTTACACAAATGTGTTCGCCTTATTGCGGGCTTCGATTTGGTACTTTTCAATTACAAATTCATTTTTGACCATGATATAAGCGCCGGCGCTTATGGCCGTGACTCAATTACAAGCGCCCCCCCCTAAAAAAACCAGTTTTATTATAAGCGCACATGCGCCTATATCCGGGGTTATACGGTAAGTGACAAAAGGCAAAGCTTTAGCCCACCAGAAAATCATACACCTCAGCTATAGCCCCTCGCGCCATTACCAGCCATCTCCAGTAGCTGTCTGCAACAACCACACACTCGCTACTGTCCCTGTCCCAATGATTACTACTATCACCCACACGGTCACCACCGCCACTGCTGCTAGCGTCGTTGTCACCATTTTCGTCACTAGCAGCAGTGGCAGAAGAGGCACTGGCTGAGAGAGGATACATTAGAGGAGGGTGAGGCAGATAAACCAGGTCTTGCTGGGACTGCTGTGGAGGCTGAATGGTAGTTATTATGGGGCCTTGGGACCAGGCTCGTCTTGGCGCTACCTGGTTGGAGGGCAACGGAGCTGTAACCGTCCCAGATGAAACCGCGTGACATGAAACGCCGTCAGATGTAACGCCATGAGATGTGATGTGGTGGGGTGTAACCATGTGGTGGGGTGTAACCATGTGGTGGGTGCATTGAGAGGCGGTCCAGAGGGCAACGGCCCCATCGGCTCGCAGCACAACAGCAGTGGCAGTGGAGTGGGTGATGCAGGGCTGCTGGGAATCTAAGTGAAGCACCTCTGTGAATGGGGGATGGGCCTGGAGGGATTGTGGGGGGAGGGGAGGGGACGGAGGGAACGTTGTGGGAGTGCAAGTAAAAGAGCAGTGGCAGAGTGGGGGGCTATGCAGGGCTGTAGAGAGTCGAAGTGAAGCACCTCGGTGAATGGGGGATTGGTCTGGATGAGTTGGGGGGAGAGAGGGAAGGATGTGGGAGTGCAGGTAAAAGAGCGGTGGCAGAGGAGGGGGTGACGCAGGGCTGCTGGGAGTCAAAGTGAAGCACCTCTGTGAATGGAGGATGGGCCTGGAGGAGCAATGGGTGAGAGGGAGGTAGGGAACGATTTGGGAGTGCAGGCAAGAGAGAGGTGGCAAAGGAGGGGGTGACGCAGGGTTGCTGGGAATTCTGTGTGGCACCTTGGTGAACGAGGAAGGGCCCTGGAGGAATTGTGGTGGGGGAAAGGGAGGAGAATGTAGGAGTACAGGGTGCAAGCACATGACAATGGAGGTATGAGAGTGAAATGCACTGGAGAGCGGGAATGATGTAGGCATGAAATGCTGAAAAGTACGGGATGCACCTGGGGGAGGAGGGCGCACCTGGGGGAGGAGGGCGCACCTGGGGGAGGAGGGCGCACCTGGGGGAGGAGGGGGCACCTGGGGGAGGAGGGCGCACCTGGGGGAGGAGGGCGCACCTGGGGGAGGAGGGCGCACCTGGGGGAGGAGGGCGGCCTCATCAGCAGCATCGACGTCCCACACCCGAGCAAAGATGCCCTTGGGGACGTCATGGTGCGTGTCTGTCACAGTCTGTGGACGCGCGGGCGATGAGGAGACGACGGGAAGGTGACGGTGGGGAGGTGAAGGTGGGGGGGAGAACATAGTGGGGACAGTGAGAGTGGGGAGGGTAGGTTCATGCAGGGGCCCCATGCGCCATAGCATGGAGGGTGGGAATAGTGAGAGTGGTGGAGCCCAACGAGTATGGAGCAGCCTCATGCACCATAGAATGGCATGGCATGGCATGGCATGGCATGGCACAATGTGACATGCAACTTTCAATTGCGCTAACTGAAGTAGGCATGGTACGACCTCACTTTGCAAGAACTACTTCAGAATCATTCAGGATACTTATCACAAGGCAATTGTGAGGGCCCTGTCTTGTTGCTCAGCCTCCCACTTCAACCTCAGCTGATGTTGCAGTGTGTTTCTGAGAATTCTCAAAAACATCCTGCCACTTACTTCAAGCTCAGTTGACGTTCTCTTTCTGGTCCAGTCTTGAGCTGAGACAACCACCGTTTTAAGCCACCCTTGTATCTCTACCCTATCACCACCTATCTTCCATGTTCCCTAGCCTAAGAGATGTTCCGAAGACCTAAAAAAGCATGGAACGACATGAGCAGTGCATGTGAACAGAACACATGAACAGCGGACAAGAACAATAGGCAAGGACAACACACATGAACAGTGGATGCGTACAGTGAGGCAGAAGATTCGTTCGTTGAGGGAGAACTGCTGCATCTCCTCCCATGGATCCATTCTCAATGAAAGCAACGGCTGTCGGTTGCTCTCTCGTCCTCCCCTCATTCCTACTCCGCTTCCTCCTCCTCCCGCCCTTGCTCCTCTCCTCCTTCCACCCCCACCTTCCCCTCTTCCCGCCGCTCCTCTGTCCAAGTCATAAACAACGATTAACCCCTGACTCGTGCCAATCAGAAGCCGCCAGCTGTAGCGTTCTGAATGGCTGAAGGCAACATCTGAGACAGGATCATCCAGTTCACAAGGATGATAAATGTCCATCAGAGTGTGACGGGAGAGAATGTGCTGTAAACGAATGATGCATGGGGAGTGGCACACTCTTCTGCCTGACGCCGCAGCAGCAGGCGCAGCAGGTTCTAAAGCCTCAGCAGCGCGAGCAGTGCTCTCTGCTGCACCCTGTCGCTGCTGCTGTCTGCTCTGCTGCTCCCCTGCTGCACCTCCCCTGATGCTCCCGTATCCCCCCTGATTGACACCTCCTCCCCTGCTGCGAGGCTCCTCCCCTGCACACCACGTCGCTGCCGCCCACAGCGGGATCCGCCCAACGATCGTTGGACTGTCGAGATTTGCAAAGGGTGACAGTGAGGGTGACGATGACTCCGCACGCCCATGTGGATTCGCGCTGTGCTGATTGCCAGGCTGAAGCTCCGCTGGAGGGTGAGTGTGGGGCACTAGAGCAGCAATAACACCAGTCCACGGGTCAAAGGCCAAAGCACGAGAGTACACACACTGCATACAAGCACGAGAGTACACACACTGCATACAAGCACGAGAGTACACACACTGCATACAAGCACGAGAGTACACACACTGCATACAAGCACGAGAGTACACACACTGCATACAAGCACGAGAGTACACACACTGCATACAAGCACGAGAGTACACACACTGCATACAAGCACGAGAGTACACACACTGCATACAAGCACGAGAGTACACACACTGCATACAAGCACGAGAGTACACACACTGCATACAAGCACGAGAGTACACACACTGCATACAAGCACGAGAGTACACACACTGCATACAAGCACGAGAGTACACACACTGCATACAAGCACGAGAGTACACACACTGCATACAAGCACGAGAGTACACACACTGCATACAAGCACGAGAGTACACACACTGCATACAAGCACGAGAGTACACACACTGCATACAAGCACGAGAGTACACACACTGCATACAAGCACGAGAGTACACACACTGCATACTAGCCCATCCTGTGTCGTGCTGTGGCTGTGATATCCCTGTTGACTGCTGCTGACTGTGCTGTTGACCGTGCATTGACTGCTGTTGACCTTGCATTGACTGGCAAGCATCAGAGCCGAATTCCCACAGACACATGGTGTAGTCTCTGTCTCTCATGCCCCTCCGCTCCTCCACCAGCAAATACCGGGGCCTCGGGCATCCCATGTCCCCCTTGCGCTGGCTCACCTCTATACTGCCTCTCCTGATGAACGGGCAACGGCTTGGAATGATTCCCCTGGAACGGCTCGAGGTTTTTCCTTTCGAATGGCTCGTTCCCTCTCTGCCCCTCGCCCGCTCACCCTCCCACCACTCCCGTGGCCCTCTCTTGCCCCTCCTCGGCCTCCACCCCACCTGCTCCCCCTCTCCCTCCTCGCCCTCCCCTCCCTCTTCTCCCTCTGTACCCCCCTCGCCCCTTCCCACTCTCTCCAGGTCCTCCCACAGTTGCTGCTCCCCCATCCTTCCCTCCACAAACCAGAGCGACCAGCAAGGGGACATGGCAAGCAAGACGGCAACACATGTGCCTCCGATGCCCCACGGCTCTGGAGTGCTTCTTGCTGCCAGTGCCTCAGCCTCTTCTGCTTCTGTCTCCTCTTGTGACCAAGGTGGTATCACTTGGGACCCTTCTTGTATCACGTCCGGTCCTGCTTCTGACGGGTCTGAACCTGCTTGTAACGGTTCTGAACCTGCTGGTAACGGTTCCGAACCTTCTCGTAACGGTTCTGAACCTGGCTGTAACGGTTCCGAGACTGCTCGTAACAGTTCCGAACCTGCTTGTAATGCTTGTGGCAATGCACTATCCCGTCTTGGCCAGCGAGGCAGGCTCCACACACACACAGACCCGTCCTCTGCTGCACTCGCCACTAGCCTCCACCCATCCTCGTTACAAGCACACCTGCTGCCCTCGTTACAAGCACACCAGCCGTACTCGTTACAAGCACACCAGCCGCCCTCGTTACAGACACACCAGCCGTGCTCGATACAAGCACACCGGCCGGCCTCGTTACAAGCACACCAGCCGTGTTTGCTACAAGGCCTCCGGCTCCGGCCATGCTCGTTACAAACGCACCAGCTGTCCTCGTTATAACAACACCCAGTAACAACACGAGGACCCGGCTGCGGTTCCCCAGGAGGGTCACCGAGGCTCTCAGAGAGAGTGAGGCAGGTGAGGGGGCGGGGGAGGGGGTGGTGGAGCGAGGCAAGGAGGGAGTGGGAGGGGAGGTGCCACACCTGTAGCTGGCCGTGAGACGTGCCCAGGAGAAGAAGCGTGTCGTCCACTTTTATCACAGAAATGGTAACAGGTGCTGCTGATTCTGATGCTCCTGGTGGTTGTGCTGATGGTGTTGGTGGTGCTGCTGATGGTGCTGATGGTGTCGTTGGTGCCGCTGGTGGTGGTGGTGCTGCTGCTGGTCCTTGCTACATCTGCCACTGATGGTGCAGGGGCTCCTAGCATCGCATCTGCTGCTGCTGACTCTCTCTCCTTTTCCGCCTTCCTCCCTGCATTCCCGTTCCACCCCCGGCCCCACGCCTTTCCTTTCCCCCCATGAATCCCCCAAACATCGCACTTCCCCCTTTTCCAATTCCTCCCCGCCTCCACTCTCTCTCTATACCTCCTCTTCCACACACCGCACTCACTCAATCCCCTTCCCCCTCCCCCTCCGCCTACCGTTCCCCCTCCGCCTACCGTTCCCCCTACCCCTCCCCCTCCCCCTTCCCCTTCCCCTTCTCCTTCCTCTTCCCCTCCCCTCTCCCCTTCCGCGCAGGGTTGTTCCGCCCTGCTCCAGTGCGCAGCCCTTCCCCCAAACGTCCGGACAAACACCTTTTGCCAGAACGCCTCCCCCCCTGCGCCACCCATATCCCGCTCCTCCGCCACCACCGCATCCCGCCAGTCCCTGCGGAGGGGGAAATAGGCGGAAGGAGGAATCGGCGGAAGGCGGGGAAGACAGAGAAGAGGCGCAAGGGGGAAGAGGGGGCAGGTGGGGGGAGTTGCGCAACGGGCGTGAGAAACAGAAAGCGGGGGCAAGGGGAGGCGCGGAAGCGGAGCAAGGGGGAATTACGCCTACGGGGAGCATGTGGCGGAAAATCCGCTTGGCGTGCGCACCTGCATGTAAGCATGGCGCAGATTATTCCGCCAGGCCCTTCGGCCGGTAGGCGTTGGAATATGTCCATTAAAATGGTTCGCGGAAGTCTCGCAGCTTGATGGGGCGACGCGGAATCACGCATCGCCTTGTCTGGCGGCCCTTCAGCGTCCGCCATTTCCCCACGGTTGCAGCGACGCAGGGGTCAAATCCGCAATTTAGACCAACTTCTGCTGAACTGGGAACGGAGGATTTAAATTTCAGAGTGTGCACCAAGCGTACTCCTCAAAACGAATCAGTTTCTATTGTACTTTTGAAAATGGAAAAGATTCGGCTAGCGGATCTGACAACCGAAGGCGCGAAAGTTATCACCACTGGTCAGTTATCACCACTGGTCAAATTTTCGCCATTCGCTGATCCATTTTTCCTGGCGAACCTTTTTCGCAAACGCTACATATTTCTCGTCCAGCTTCGGATTGCCCGGGCTGACGCAACGGATGTAACCAGGCGGATCTGCCATTTCGCTGGCTACACCTACCCAGATGCTGCTTCATTGGGATTGTCATAAACCAATCTCGAGAAACAGGAAGCTAGTGAATGCCTGTGATGCTAGCTGATCCGATCTTCCCTTTTGCTGGTAGGAATCCAGGCTAGCTACTACTGATAGCAGGTGCTTTCCCTCTCGTTCGGTTGTATGATGAGTGAAAGCATCAGATCAGTACTGATTGCATGCTACGTTACGTGTGAGGAATTGGGCGGCTTCTGTGGTACTTGAATTTGTCTAACCTGACTGAACAGTGCTCGTCGCTGTGCATATATTCGTCCCTGTCACTCGCCGATATTCACGGTGTGACGGTGTGACATGGTGGCCGGCTAAGGATGGATCGGAGGGAGCTCATGACCGCCGGGAAGAAGCGGGTAATGCAAATTCGTCGTTCACTCAACGACGATCGTGCTTACATCGGTTCTCATGTGCTTCCGTTTCACCACATGATCTAAATGCTTCTTGAAGCCTAACAATGTGTATTCTTGTTCGTATATTCACATCAAGCCGTGTTTCCAATTGTTACTGTACGAGCAGCTTGAGGAGTATCGGAAGAAGCAACAAGCGAAATCGGGGGGAAGCTCTAAAGGAGGACAGCCAGACAAGGTGATTATGATGACTTTCGAAATCCTTCTATTACCTGTCTAGTCTCGGGCAAATTCGCTCATTTGATTTCTCGCGCCTGACAGATCGAGTGTCACATCCCCGATTACAGTTACCGAATCTCTGAATCGAGTCTTGACTTACTTGCTCTCTCAACCTTCCCCTTGACGAGCTCTCTCCAACGGCTTGCTCCGCACCCTTCCTCCCGCCGTCCATCTGGCAGGCGAAGATGCCATCAACGGCTCCCACGACTCCGCAGGGCTCATCCAATCAGAGCGCAGCACGGCAATCCCAAGGCCAGGCTTCAAGCAGCACAAATGACCTCCCCCAGCTGGGCCTGAGCGTGCAGATCCAACCCCGAGGCTCCACCACCGCCCAACAAAAAAAAACCGTACCAATCCAATCTCGGGATTCGCTCCAGAGCCAGCCTAGAGAATCCACTGGCGAGTCGTCAGCCTCTGCAGCCTCTGCAGCGACAGCAGCGACGGCTATGACTGCAGAATCCTCAGATTCAGCAGGAACCGCTATGGGGAGGACGATCAGCAGCAGCAGCGGCGGCGGGGACGGCGATTTCATGACGCCCACTGGGGGTAATACGCCGTCCAGCGCCACCAGCTACGGCTCGGATTCCTCCTCGGGGGGCTTCGTGCTGCGGCCTTTCGCTGCTGGCCCTCGGGAGTTCCGCACCATCGCCAAGGGCATTCTGAATAAGGTGAGGAGTTCGTCATGGAAATGGTTTGTGCTTCAGTCGTTACCGTCAGGGAATGGTAGGGTGATGAAGCCAGGTAAAGTTGAAGAGGGCCCAAATACCCAGGGATCGAGGATGGAGGGATGGTGGTAGAGAAGCGAAGAGGAGGGAAGGGGGAAGTTGAGTGCAGGAGGGATTTGCGCTTTGGCAGACGGATGGCCCAGCCAGCGAGCTGCTTCTGAGAGGCCTGCCTGACAACTGACAACCCGCCTCTGCCACCCACCCTGCCAATGCTCCACTCCAACTCGCATGGCAGGGCTCGGGAGCTGAAGGGAAGGGAGCGCGAGGGGAGGAAGCGCGAGGGGAGGGAGCACGAGGACAAAAAGCTCAAGGAGAGGAAGCAGGGGGGCTGAGAGCAGATGGAGAGGGAGCAGGCAGGCAGGGCGCTTCAGGGTTAGGAGCACGGGGACAGGGAGGAACAGAAGAGATGCGGAGACCATCCTCTACTGCACAATTGCATGAGACGACGCACGAGACTCGCGAGAGAGAGCACGATGCATCTTCCCCCAGCCACTCCACTCGGCCAACAACCGCCCCTCTTTCTCGTAGCCCCTCCACCTCCTCCCTCACCTCCTCCGTCCCCTGGTCTGCTAGCGGTGCTCTGGACAGCTCATTCGCTGCTGGCGTGAGGAGGTTCTCCCTTGAGACGGGGAGTGATGACGGGTCGCTGACAGAACGAGGGTCGGTGGTAACCACCACGCGGGAGAAGTATGTGGAGCGGCTGGAGCTGAAGGTGGTTGAGCTGAAGCGACGGCTGTCTGTTGTGATGGAGGAGAGGGAGAGAGGTGGCGCTGGTTTTGCTGCTTCTGGCGGTGCTGGCTCGGGCACTGCTGGTTTCGGTGGTTGTGGTGCTGGCGGTGGTGGTGCTGGCGGTGGTGGTGCTGGGTTGAGTGGGATGTGGAGGAGTGGGAGTGGAGGGGAGGTGCTGCTGAGAGAAGAGCTCAGGAAGAAGGCCAGCAGAGTGCATGCACTGGAAAGGGAGCTGGCGACACTGAAGAGCCTGGCTGTATCTAAGGCTGCGGCGTATGGTGCTGCTGGTGGCGTGGGTGGGGATATGGGGAGAAAATCTAGAAGTGCTGACGCCAGATTTGTTGATTTGATAGAGCGGCACGGGGCGGAGGTTGCTGAGCTAAAAGAGTTACTTAAGGAGAAGGAGGAGCGGCTGGTGTTCCTGGAAAGGGACAGGGAGGAGGTGATGGAGAGGGTCGCAGCACAGGTGCAGGCAGAGAAACGGGCAGAGACAGAACGGCTGGCGAAAATGCAAGCAGAAATGGAAGCAGCTGCGGAGCAGCTGAAACGGCAGGTGGCTTCTGCTATGGCTCGGTGGAAAGGGTTGGAGGAGGAGAAGGGGCGGTTAGCGGACCAGTTGCTTGAAAAGGAGGTGGTTATAGAGGGGGAGAGGGAGCGGAATGTGCGGGTTGGGGAGGAGTTGGCAGTGGTTCGGGGGCAGTATGAAACGATGATGGAGACTGTAGCAGCCTTGCAGGAGGAGAGGGGGAAGCAGGCCAGGGAGTCGCAGGGATTGAGAGAGGAGACGCAGAGACTCAGGGAGGAGTGTGAGAGAGTGAGGGAGGAGAGTGAGAGGATGAGGGAGGAGAGGGTGGGGCTTGAAAAGGAGCTGGAGAGGTTAAGGGAGCAGGTGCAGAGGCGGAGGCGGAGTGACATTGCAGCGGCTCTGGAAACTGGGGGCAGGGCCGAGGGTCCTAGGGGTGTTGAGAGACGGGTGAGTGAGGGAGATGGGGAGTCAGGGGAAGGTTGGGTGTGTGCAAAGTACGCGGGTTAAGAACAGGTTGATTGGCTGACTCTTGGTCATATCGATTTTTGAGTCGACTAAAAAATCGACTCATCACACGCTGGTTAAGAACAGGTTGATTGGCTGCCTCTTGGTGATATCGTTCTAGGTGATTAGCGTAACATACTTTGGTGACTCCGGTCATTTTCGTGCCCTCCTCCCTGGCTGCGTTGCCCTTCGTCCCCCTTGCCTTGCCATGTCACGGTCGCCAAGTGATGTGATGTTTTCCTTTTCTTCTTCTTCTTCTTTTCTTTCTTTTTTGAGATGAGCGGAAGGAATTTCAGTGGAAGCTGTTTCATCTCGTCTGCTCCCACTGTCTGCGTCCTTTCCTTCGCTCCCTGCACTCTACCCACCACGTTAACCTAAGTGGCGAGCATCAGGAGCTACTAGAGGAGGAGCTGGTGCAGCTGCAGGAGCTGGTGCAGCTGCAGGAGCTGCTCGTTTGGACCAGAGATGAGAAGGAGAGGCTCCGGGCCAGGATGCATGGAGCACAAACGGCATTCTCCTTCCTGCTTGCACTTCCGTTTCCTTGCTCCGTACCCAACAGGTGAACTTGAGTGGCGAGCAGCGGGAGCTGCTAGAGGAGGAGCTGGTGCAGCTGCAGGAGCTGCTCGTTCGCTCCCGAGACGAGGAGGAGAGGCTTCAAGCCAAGCTGCAGGGTGACAAATTGGCACTCTCTTCCCTGCGTGTACTTCTGTTTCGTTGCCCCATCCACCAGGTGAACTTGAGTGGCGAGCAGCGGGAGCTGCTAGAGGAGGAGCTGGTGCAGCTGCAGGAGCTGCTAGCTCGGTCGCGAGATGAAGAGGAGAGGCTTCGAGCCAAGCTGGTGGGCGACGAGCAGCAGTGGCAGCAGCAGCTGCGGGAATCAGCAGAGGCTCTAGCAGCCAAGGAGGAGGAAGTTAGGGTTCTGCTAGCTCGGGTGGAGGAGGGGGAGAGGGAGAGGGAGAGGCTTCGGGCTGAGGCGGATGCGGCGAAGCTTGAGGCGGCGAGTGCGGGTGAGAAGCTAGCTGCGACCAAGGATAAGCTGGGAGTGGCGATTAGGAAGGGGAAGGAGGTGGTACAGCAGCGGGAGGCGCTGAAGGGGACTCTGGCTGAGGAGACTGCGGTGCTGGAACGGTTAAGGGAGGAGCTGGAGCGAGAGAGGGAGGGGAGGAGGGAAGCGTTGAGGGCTGTGGAGGCGAAGGAAGGGGAAGTGGCGGAGGGTAGACGGAGGGTGGGAGAGCTGGAGGGTGAATTGGAGGTAGGGAGGAAGAGGGTGGAGGAGTTAGAAGCAGCAGTTGCTGTAGCAGAGGGGAAGGCAGCAGGGATGGCTGAGGAAGGCGGGGAGAAGGTTAGGGAGATGGAGGAGAGAGTGAGGGAGGCGGAAGAGAGGGTACGGGTGGCTGAAGAGAGGGCGCGGGTGGCTGAAGAGGAGGTGGGTGAGGTGAGAAGGCAGGTGGCGGAAGGGAGGGAGCGTGCTGTGGAGCTTCTAGGGCAGGTGGCGGAGAGAGATGCGCTGTTGGCGAGGAAAGGGGAGGAGTTGAGAGAGGTGGAGGGGCGTGAGAGGGAACTGGAGAGAAGGGTTGCGGAGGATATGGAGAGGAGGATTGAGGAGGGGAGGGAGGAGGGGAGGAGGGAAGTGGAGAGGGTGTGGGAGGGTAGGGTAGAGGAGGAGAGGAGTAAGGCGGAAGATGCACTGAAAGAGATGGAACGTTTGTCTAAGGAGGTGGAGCAGTTACAGGAGAGGGTTGCAGAGACAGAGGGACAGCTGGCTGCTTTGCAGACAGAACTTGCTGCAGCGAAGGGGGAGGTAGGGGAGAAGGAGGAGGTGGTGTCAGGGTTGGAGGTGAGTCTGAGTGGGGAGAGGGAGAGAGTGAGACAGCTGGAGGAGATGGTGGAGACGCTGCGAGGGGAGGTTCAGGAGGCGCAGAAGGCAGGTGGTTCGGAAGCAGGCGCGAGGGAAAGGGAGAGGGAAAGGGAGAGTGTGCTGACTCGAGAGCTGGAGTCCTTGCAAGCACAGAAAGAGGCTCTGGTGGGTGCTGTCGAGGATGAGAGGGCCATGAGGGAAGAGGCGGAAGAGGCTAAGAGGAGGGTGGAAGGAGAGAAGGGAGAGGTGGAGGAGAAGGCGAGGGAGCTGGAAGCAAGAGTGGAGGATTTACAGGGGAAGCTAGATGAGGTAAATTCACAGGTTAAGGGCTGGGAGGAGCAAGTGGAGGGGCTTAAAGCTGAAGTTGTGGATTGGGAGGCGAGGTTTGCTGGTCGGGAGCAGGAGTTTGCAGGTTCGGCTGCCGAAGCTGAGGCACGATTGGAAGAGGTTCGGCAGGAGCTGGAGGGGATGAGAGGGAGGGAGCGGGAGTGGGAAGGGAGGGTTGGGGAGGTGGAGGAGAGAGTGAGGGAGGGTGAGAGAGCGTTGCAGGAGAGTGAGAGGCTGTTGCAGGAGGAGAGGGAGAAAAGGGAGGGGCTTCAGAGGGAACGTAGGGAGATGGAAGTGAGAGCAAATGAGGCTCAAGAACGGTTAAAGGAGGCTGAAGAACGCGTTAAGGAAGCTGAAGTAAGAGTAGAGGAGGCTGAGAGGAGGAGGAAGGAAGAAGAGGCTAGATCGACTGAACTGTTGCTGCAAGTGGAAGAAGCGAAGAGGAGAGAGAGTGAGGTGAGAGAGGCGAGTGAGGTGAGTGAGGCGAGGGTTGGTGAGAGTGAGGTCGAGGCATGGAGGGCTGAGTGGAAGGCTGAAGAGGCGTTGCTGCTGCAGAGGCAGGCTGAGATCGAGGGGCTTTTGGTGGCAAAGGGACGGGAGTTTCTGGAGCTGAAGGGTGAGTGGGAGAAGGAGAGGGATGCTTGGGCAACTGAGAGGGGTGAATGGGAGAGAAAGGCGAAGGGATGGGCGATGGAGAAAGAGGAGTTGCTTGGGAGGCTGCAGGGGGAGAGGGAGAAGTGGGAGGAGGAGCAGGGGAGGGTGGAGGAGAGTGAGGGGCAGTTACAGGAGCAGGTGGAGGCGGAGAGGAGGAAAGTGGCTGGGTTGAGAGAGGAGAGGGATCAGCTTCGGAAGAGGGTGGGGGGACTGGAGGAGGAAGTGGGGCAGGTGCAGGAAGAGGTGGAAACAGAGAGGCGGAAGGTGGAGGAGTTGAGAGGGAGTTTGGAGGAGGAGGAGAGGCGGAGTGGGGAGATGCTGGGTGAGTTGCAGGCTGTGGCGGAGGGGAGGGAGGAGGAGAGGAGGCAAGTGGCGGGACTGACAGAGGAGAAAGAGCAGCTGCAAAAGAGGGTGGAGAGTTTGGAGGAGGAAGTGAGGCAGGTGCAGAGCAAGATGGTGGAGGTGGAGGAGGAGAAGGGGCAGCTGCAGAGGAGGGTGGAAGGGTTGGAAGAAGAGGTGGAGCAGCTGCAGCAGAAGGTACAGGCTGCAGAGCGAAAGGACGTGGTCACTTTGGTGAGTCCCCTCCACGCTGAAAGCTGTTGGCTTCCTGTGTGGCAGTAGTCTGCTTATGGTGTGATTGTTGTGGTGTTTGTGTCCCCTTTCGTTCTGGGCTGTTCACGATTGTTGCTTTCACACTTTCGTCTCCCTTCCTTTCAGGCAAAGGTAGCTGCCAGTGAGACAGCCGCAGAGGAAGCAACCAGGCAGCTGCAATCAGCACAATCTGCTCTCGAGGCAAAGCAAGCCGAGCTGGCTTCGCTGCGGCAGCAAGCAGAGGAGCTGGAAGAAACCCTAGAGCAGCGCGAGACAGAGCTCGAATCCCTCAAAACGGACATATCAGCACGAGAGATGATCTGGCGTGCGTCGCAAGATGCAGAGGCAAAGGCAGCAGCGGATGCTATTGCGGTGGAGGCAGCTGCTGCACGGGAGATGGCGGAGAGAGAGAGGGATCAGGTGAAGGAGGAAGCAGAGGCGGAAGCGGCGGCGTTGAGGAAGGTTCTGGGAATGCGGGAGTCGCAGCTGGAGAAGCTGCAGGCTCGGGTGGCTGAGGCTGAGGAGGTGGTTCGGGAGCTGGAGGAGGTTCGGGTGGAGCTCGAGAAAGCTAAGGGGGAGGTGGTTAAGGTTAGGGAGGAGATGGGGGGAGAGATGGAGCGAGTGAGGGAGAGTAGTGTGAGAGCAGAGGAGGAGGTGGAGAAGCTTAGGGCTGCTTTGGAGGGGTATAGAGAGGAGGTAGAGGAGAGAGAGAAGAAGGTGAGTGAGTGTGAGCGGATGCTAGAAGAGAGTGAGAAAGAGAGGAGGGCGGGTCTGGAGAAAATGGATTTGCTGCTTGGAGAGTTGATGGAGAAGAGTGAGGAGAATGATAGGGCGAGAGAGGAGAGCAATAGGTTGAAAGAGGAGGCTGGCCGGTTGAGAGAGGAGGCTAGAAGATTGGAGGAAGAGGTTAAAGGGCGTGACGAGGAGATCCGTAGGCTGAAAGAGGAGGAGGTTTCAAAGGGAAGGGGGACTGCTGGAGCTGATGGGGAGAGGGAGCGACTGGAGGAGGAGGTAGGGCGGCTTACGAGGGAAGTGGAGCAGAAGGGAGCGCTGCTGAAGGCCGCTGATGATGCAAGGGCAGCAGCAGAGGCGAAGAACACGAGTCTGGTGAAAAAGGCGAAGGAGAGAATCGAAGGCATGAAGCAGAAGGTTGCGGCTGAAGCACAGGCTGCTGCAGACGCGAGAGCTGAGGTTGATCGACTGAAGAAGCTTCTGGAAGGGGGAGAGGGCGGAGGGCGAGGAGGGGGGAGAGAGGGTGGAGAGGGAGGAGAGGAAGGGGCAGGGGAGAAAGGAGCAGAGGCGAAGGCTTCAGATGGCGGGGATGTGGCCGAGGTAGAGGGGCTTCGTGCTAAGGTCTCTCTCCTTGAAGCGGAGCTGTCTCAGTTGAAGCAAGGGGAGGGGAACGGGGCAGGAGCAGGGGGAGAAGGAGCAGCAGGGGCAGCACCAGCGGCAGCACCAGCGGCAGCATCTGCCACAGCAGCAGAGGCAGCAGCAGAGGGGGAGAGGTTGAGGGAGTCACTGAAGCAGGCACAGGAGCAGGTGGCGGCAGTGAGGGAGAAGCTGAGCAAGGCAGTGCGTAAGGGTAAGGCGATTGAACAGCAGAAGCTGAAGCTGGAGGCAGACCTCGCTGCTGGCCGGGCTGAGATAGACGCTCTCAAGGCGAGCACTGGGGTAGGAACAGGGGCAGGAGCAGGGACAGGGGCAGGAACTGGGGTAGGGGCAGCAGCAGCGGCAGCGGCAGGGGCGGCAGCAGGAGCAGCGGTAGAGGCAGGGGCAGCTGTAGTAGCAGGAGAGAAGGTAGACGAGCTGAGAGGATTGTTGGCGGAGGCAGAAGATGCGAGGAGGAAGGAGGGAGAGGCGAGGCAGAGAGAGGAGGAGGCGAGGAGGAGAGAGGAGGAGGCGAGAAGGAAGGCTGAGGAGAGGCTTAAAGAGACAGTGGCAATGATGGAAGGGGTGACAGATGCCCTTGCAGGGAGAGAAAAGGAGTGTGAGGAGCTAAGTAACGAACTTGCTGAGCTAAGAAAATCTCTTAGCAGCGCTCAGGAGGAGGTTGCTAGGCTGATGGGGGAGGTGGATAGGTTGGAGGAGGAGGGTGGGAGGGAGAGGGCGGAGGCAGAGGAGAGATTGGAGAAGGTGAAGAGGGAGAGTGAAGAGATGGAGGGTTTTAAGAATGGGAAAATAGCTGAGGTGGAAGAGATGTTGGCTATAGTAGAAACGGATCTTGCTGTAGCGAGGCGGAGAGTTGAGGAGCTGGAGGGGGAGAAAGGGGAGGTGGAGAGGGGGAGGGAGGAGAGGGAGAGGCGAGTGAGGGAGTTGGAAGAGGAGGTGGAGAGGTTGGGAGAGGAGAGGAGGGGATTGGGGTTGGAGCTAGAGAGAGTGAGGGAGGAAGTGAGGGAGTGGAGGGGAGTGGCTGAGGAGAGGGGTAGGGATGTGGAGGGGATGAGGAGGGAAGTGGAGGAGGCGAGAGAAGAGAGGGAGGAGAGAGGGAAGGTCCTGGTGGGACTTGAAGAGAGAGTGAGGGAGTTGCAGAAGGAGTTGGAGGAGGAGAGGAGGAGGCGGGAGGAAGAAGAGGCGAAGAGAGTGGAAGAGGAGAGGAGGAGGGAGGAGGAGGAGAAAGCGAGGACGAGCGAAGGGGAGGGGGAGAAAGAGGTTGGAGAGGCACAGGCACAGTTGATGGCGAAAGAGGAGCGGTTGAGAACGGTAGAGGGTCAGTTGAAGGAGATTCAGTCCCAGCTGACAGTGGTTAAAGAGCGGTTGGCAGTGGTACAGAGTGAGAAGGAAGCAGCAGAGGAGATAATACGAGGGCTGGAAACTGAGAGAGGCGTGAGGGAGGAGCGAGTGTGTGGATTAGAGGATGAGAAGGCAGGTTTGGCTAGGGAGTTAGAGCAGGAGAGGGAGAGGAGAGAGGAAGTGGATAGGAATCTGACGGAGGTACAGAGGCGGCTGGATGAGGAGAGGGAGGCGAGGAGAGGGGCAGAAGCTGAGCTGGATAGTGTACGTTCTGAGCTGGCAAGTGCTCGTGATGAGCTGGCGAGTGTCCGTGCTGAGCTGGCAGCGGCTGTTCGTGATGAGGGGAGGAAGGCTGAAGGTGTGACAGGAGGCAGTGGGGAGGATGAGGATTCAGTTGCTGTGAGGGAGAGAGTGAGGGAGCTGGAGGAGAGAGTGAGGGAGGAGGAGAAGAGAGTGAAGGAGGAGGGGGAGAGAGTGAGGTTGCAGGAGGAGAGAGTGAGGGAGAAAGAGGAGAGAGTGAAGGAGGAGGGGAAGAGAGCAAAGGATTTGGAAGTGAAGGTGGCAAAATTGGAGGGCGAACTAGCAGAACTGCAGTTACAGCTAGAAAAGGAAAGGGAGGAGTGGAATGTCGCAAAAGAGCAGCTTCAGGCAGATAAGGAACGGGCTTTCAACGAGGCTAAGGAGAATATGGAGCAGGTATCGCAACTGAGGACTGCTCTCTTGGTGCTTGAAACAGAGAGGGATGCGTGGGTGGTTGAAAGAGATGCTGTTGTTGCAGCAGAGCGGCAGGTGTTGTTGTTGCAGGAAGAGAAGCGGGGTTTGGAGGAGCAGGGAGCGGTGCTGAGGGGTCGGATTCAGGAGGTGGAGGCAGAGAGGGATGGGTTGCAGGCAGCTGTTGATCGGCTGGAGGGGGAGAAGGGGGGCTTGCAGGAAGCAGTGGGGCGTTTGGAAGGGGAGAGGGAGAGACTAGAGGTGGATAAGGAGAGACTAGAAGGGGAGAAGGAGAGACTAGAAGGGGAGAAGGAGAGACTAGAAGGGGAGAAGGAGAGACTAGAAGGGGAAAAGGAGCGTCTGAAAGGAGAGAGGGCTGGTTTGCTGGCGGAAGTTTCTCGTTTGGAAGCAGAAAAGGAGGGGGTCGAGAGGGAGGGAGAGCGGTTGCGAGAGGAATTGGAAGAAGAGAGGAGGAGAGGGGAGAGTGCGAGGGAGGAAGGTGAGGAGAAGGGGAGGAGGGTAGGTGAGCTGGAAAGAGTGGTTGAGGTCTTGAGGAGTGAGATGGATGAGATGAGAAGGGAGAGGGAGGAGGTGGAGGAGGTGGGTAGAAATGAAGCGGATAAGGTTGAGAAGGAGAGGAGAGTAGACGATTTGGAGCGAGCATTGCAAGAAAAGGAAGGAGAGTTGGAGAGACTGGCAAAGGAGGTGCGGGAGAAAGAGTTGGTGGTTGAGAAGTTGAGAGGGCAGGTTGGGGAGAGGGACGGGGAGATTGAGAGGCTGAGGAACGAGGTAGGGGAGAAGGGATCGATGTTGGAGGAGTTTGGAGGGCAAGTTGAGGAGAAGGAGAGGGAGATTGAGAGGTTGAGGAGTGAGCTTGGGGAGAGGGAAGGGGAGGTGGAGAGGCTGAGGCGGGAGGTGGGAGAGAAGGAATCGATTTTGGAGGAGCTTAGAGGGCAAGTTGAGGAGATTGATAAGTTGAGGAGTGAGCTTGGGGAGAGGGAAGGGGAGGTAGAGAGGCTGAGGCGGGAGGTTGGGGAGAAGGAGGCGGCAGTGGCGTCGCTGGCAGCGGCACGGAGCAAGGCAGTGGAGAAGCTGAAGATGATGGTCGATAAGCTCAAGGAGGTGCAAGCGCAGGTGGGTTCATCTACTTGGGTGCAAAAAATGCTGGTGAGTCAAACCATGCATTGTTGCTAACAGAGGTGATGTCTTGTAGCAAAGCAGTGGAGAAGCTGAAGATGATGGTTGATAAGCTCAAGGAGGTGCAAGCGCAGGTGGGTTGGTGGACTCATGCAAAAGGGGCTAATGGCGCAGGTGGGTGGGCTCAGGCGGAGATGGGTGGGCCCAGGCGGAGATGGGTGGGCTCAGGCGGAGATGGGTGGGCTCAGGCGGAGATGGGTGGGCCCAGGCGGAGATGGGTTGATCCGTTGGTGCACCGGCTAATGTCGCATTGCAGGCGCAGATGGGCTAATGTCGCATTGCAGGCGCAGATGGGCTAATGTCGCATTGCAGGCGCAGATGGGCTAATGTCGCATTGCAGGCGCAGATGGGCTAATGTCGCATTGCAGGCGCAGATGGGCTAATGTCGCATTGCAGGCGCAGATGGGCTAATGTCGCAGGTGGATTGATCCACTCAATGAACCACACTGATGTGGAAATAAAGTCTCTGACTAGGCTGGATATCCCTGTCGTTACGTGTGCTCTTATATCTGCTGCTTCTTCTATCCCTCCCCACCCTCCCATCCCTTACCCCCTGGATCCCCATTCCTTCTTACCCCATCCCTTTTCCCAGGATTGCGTGAGGAGCCAGAACCAGAAATAAGAGTGAAACTCCTTCTCCTTGCTTGTTCCTTCTTTCCTCTTCTGCTACCCTGCGTGCCCCCATCCCTTTCCCCTTTTACAGTCAGAGGCAGTGGTGCAGGAGGCAGAGATGAGACTGGAGGAGAAGGACCGGGAGATGGAGGAGCGATTGAGAGAGAAGGATGCAGAGCTGCAGGGGGTGTGGGACCGACTAAGATTGATGGAGGCTCAATCGGGAAGGATGGCAGATGGCAATGCTCCTGCTCCTGCTGCCGCTACTGCTGCCCCAACCGCTGCTACTTCTGGTTTCTCTGGCGATCAGGCAGAAGCAGCAGCTGCTGCTGCTACTGGTGCTGTTGCTGGTGCTAGCAGTGGTGCTGCTGTGAGTGGTGAGGGGGAAAGCATGGCGGATGGTGCAGCAGCCACGTGGCAGGAAGCTGTTGCTTTGGCACCGCAGCAGCAGAAGTCTGAGGCAGGCGCTGCTGCTCCGCCTGATGTGGCAGAGAAGGATGCTGAGCTGGCAAGGCTGCGCAATGAGGTGGCAGCGGCGGGAGAGGCAGTGAGGTTGCTGGAGGGGCAACTGGAGGCAGCAAGGAGAGAGGCAGATGACTTGGTGAGAGCACAAGGGGGGTATGGGTAGGGGATGTGTTGGCTGATGGGCTTGAGGGGTTGTGTCATTGGGAGTGGCGTGGCAGTGAGAGTGCTGGAGGGGCAACTGGAGGCAGCACGGAGAGAGGCAGACGACTTGGTGAGAGCACAAAATGGGGGAGGGGGGTGGGGTGGCTGGTTGGTGGGGATTGGAAGGGTTCGGATGGGAAGGGGGCGGTTGTGAGGTTGCTTAAAGGGCACTTTCCTTTCAGTCACCCTTCATAGAAGAGCCACACCTGGGTTCATTAACTGTGGTTGAGTCGACTCTAAAGCAGGTTCATAACCCTAAACCTCCGCTTGTGTTTCCTTGTAACCCCCCTCGCCCTGTCCTCATCAGAAACGCAAGGCAGTCCCCTCACCTCTGCTCTCTTCCTCCTCCTCGTCACAATTAGCCTCAGCGTCAGCATCAGCGTCCACGCTCCTACCAGTCACCACGCAGCGGAAGGCAGCACCTGGGGGAGGTACATCTGACACGTCAGCAGAGTACCTGCCTCTGCTGGCGCAGCAGCTCGCCATGTCATCGTCTGCCTCGCTGGCAGGCCACACGGCACTGCAGATTGCTGACTCGTACCCCGATGATGAAGGTGGGAAAGTGGGAAACAACAATTGGCATGTCGAGAGGCATGTGCTTGGGGGGTTGTAACCGAGGCTCATCTGTCCCTATAACCTCTTCACAATGCTGCAATGCCTGCAATGACTGCAATGGCTAACCCATCTCATCTCTTGTGGACCTGCATCTGCTTCTCTTCCATTCACTACTCTTGTTTCGCAGTACACGGGTTCAAGTCAATCGTCAGTGCCTTCCGCTTCCTGCCATCCTTCCTGCACCCAGCTGCCAAGGGCATCGATCGCCTGTGGTACGTGCCTGCCTCTTCCAGTCTCCCATGCTGGTTTCAGCCTTTCATGCTGTTTCTAGCCTCCCATGCTTACATGCTGTATCGGTTCCTTCCTCCTTTCAAACTCCCCCCCTCCTCCCCACCCCCCTCCCCTCCTCAACTCCCTTCCCTCCCAACACCCTTCACTCAACTGGCTTGCTGTTTTCATGATCTTCCCATACCCCCCTCCTTCCCCAGTGTGGCGGGAGGGCAGTCACTGATGGCACGACCCATGATGCGGCTGTTGCTCGTGTTCTACTGGATGGCCATGCATGCTGCCATGCTCGCCATGCGCACTACCTCCAAAGCCCCCATATCTCTACTACCTTCTCTACCCTCCCCTGCCCTTCTGCTGGCGGCTTCAACCGTCACTCAACTTGCTTCTTTACTTCCCGATTTCTCCTTTTTCTTCCTCCCCATTCGTCCTCCTCTCCTTCCCCCCCACTCCCCCCTCTCATTCCCAGTGTGGCTGGAGGGCAGTCACTGATGGCACGATCCATGATGCGCCTGCTGCCCCTCCCTCCCCTCTCATATTCCCCGCCTCCCCACCCCCCCCCCCCCCCACCCCGTTCCTCCCCCCCCCCACCCCCCTGCACCAGTGTGGCGGGAGGGCAGTCACTGATGGCACGACCCATGATGCGGCTGCTGCTCGTGCTCTACTGGATGGCCATGCATGCTGCCATGCTCGCCATGCTTGCCGCCCTCACCGTTACCTGATGCTGAACATGCAGCATGCATCATGCATCATGCATCATGCATCATGAACTGCGCATCATGCATTATGCATCTGCATGATGCATCATATGCACAGTACACGCAATTGATGAGATGCTTACAAATTTTGCCTGGATCAGGAGTTGGTCTTGTATTATTTTTTCCTCAGTCGCAGCAATGACACACCTGGTAGATACAATCCAATTGTGTGGCAGCTTTTTAATTTCATTATTTCTTTGCATCAAACAACAAATACGTTCTAGAATCTGTGCTCGTCGATCAATCGTCAGAGCCCATGGGTCATGAAATAGCATGACCTCGACAAATCACCAACGAGCCATCATGCCTCTTTGCTGAAATGCCCGCCCTCTAAACCCTAGATTGCCTATCCAATACTACCCGGCTTTGACATATGAATCAGCACGCCACGTGCAGGGAAGGCTGGAGATTCATGGAGGGGTGAGGGAGGATGAAGGCGGGGTGAGTGAGGAGGAAGGAGGAGTGAGTGAGGAGGAAGGTGGTGTGAGGGAGGAGGAAGGGGGAGTGAGGGAGGACGCCACAGCCTCCTCCACGTGAATGCCACACTCTGTCTTGTCCGACCCGTCTCTGTTCTTCAGCCCCTGGAACCGCCCCGACCGCTCTCCACCATACTCAAACCATTTGGCGCGCGGAACAGGCAAGGTGGTCTGTATGTCGCCAATCGACGGAAAACCATCCGCGTGAAGAGGGTGAGCTGGCACCTTGTGCCTCTCCAAATAATCAAAGCAATCCCTGGCGTAGGAGAAGAGGGGGGGGGGGGGGGGGGGGAGGAACGAAAGAGTGGTTTAGCAGCGCGGGGTGGTCTGGTCTGGAAGTCGCCAATGGAGGGGAAGCCGTTGGCATGGAGAGGGTGGGCTGGCACCCCATGCCTCTCCAGGTAGTCAAAGCAATCCCTGGTGGTGGTGGGGGCAAGGCAGGGGGCACACAGGAGTAAGGGTGAGGTTTTAAAAAGAGTGGAGGATTGGCAGAATGGTCTGCATGTGAATGATGGCGGGGATGCCTGCATGCGAGTAGAGAGATGGCACCTATATAGCATCAGCAACCCGTCACAGCCAGCCGATGCCATAAGCTTCAAGCATCAGCACCCCTTGTGGCAGGCATACGCATACCATCACCCCACAGCATCATATTCCAGCACCATGCAGCGCTCAGAACACAACAGGCATCACGCAGCAGGCATCAGCATCAGCATCAGCATCAGCAGCGGCAACAGCACCAGCATCAGCAGCAGCATCATCATCAGCATCAGTATCAGCATCAACATCAGCATCAGTATCAACATCAGCATCAGTATCAACATCAGCACCCCTCATGGCAGGCATACCATCAGGAAGCCAGGGACCACCTCCCCACAGCATCAGCATTACAGCATCAGCACCCCCTCTAGCACCATACCTGAACTCCCAGTAGGCGAGGGGCTGCACCTTCACTGGTGTGCCGTCCTCAAATAGCTGAGTGGTGGGGCGATGCATGGTGGGATGGGCGGCAGTGGAGAAAGGGAGAAGCACAGGAAGGGTGACGTGGCATGGTAATGATGGGACCACGTTTCATGGATCATGAAATGGTGCATGGAATGATGCATGTGGTATGCCATGAGATGCATTGTGCACATCATGGCACTATGTGGCATGGTAATCATGGGACCGCGTTTCATGGATCATGAAATGGTGCACGGAATGATGCACGTGGTATGCCATGAGATGCATTGTCCACATTATGGTTCTATGTGGCATGTGACATGTTGTATGTGGAACACAAAATTACAAGGATCACCGCCGGGTCTGCCCTCTCACCTCGAGGTGCGCCCGCTCAGCGCCGTGGTCTCTGCGCCGCCCATTGATCATGGCGTCCACATTGAGCGTCGTCAGCGCGCGGCTGAAGGGCTCCACCTTGCAGATCTGATCGTACTCGTCGATGTCCTGTCAGGTAGACGGTGAGGGGAAGGGGGGGAAGGAGGAGGGGGGGGTGGGGGGGGGTCGATTGAAGGGGATGGAGAAGAGGGTGGGGTTGGGGGCTGATGGGCTCCACCTTGCAAATCTGATCGTACTCGTCTATGTCCTGACAGGGTGGGGGTGATGAAGACGGCGAGTGGAGGGGTGGTGGGAAAGGGGGGAATTGGGGATAAAGGAGAATAAAATTACTGCGCTTGACCATGATAGTCATGGGGAAGGGGAGAAAAGAATCAGAAAGCGCAAACAAGGGTGGGGGAGTTTGTTGAGGGGTAAATGCTACTTTCGAACCCAAACATTCTTGTGAGAACTTCCGTGGCGCCTTGAAGCTTACCCGAATGAAGAGGTCGGAGCCATGCTTTTTGACATAGTCCTCCTTGGAGTTAAGCCCCGCCGCTTGAAACACCTCCGCCTTGAAGCCGAACCGCTCCTGCGCCACGGCGATAAGAGAACACGGACGGGAAGGTCTGTCAGCAACGCATGCGGGTGGAAATCTTTCGTTTTTTGGAATTCAAGCCCTTGGAGACCGCAAGCTAGTTACAAAATCGACTCATAGAACGCGTTCTGGTCGAAAGATTGCGCTCGTCTCGCAACTAATAACGGACTTTCGAAGGAAAGGCTCGTATGCCCGTATGTGAAAGTTGAAGATTCCTCCATGCCGCGTTCTTTCAGACACTCACGTTTGTCATTAAAACATTTCACATTTGGTATCACGTACCTCGCAGTCCTTGAGGAACTGGTACGTCTCCGGGAAGAGGTGGAAGGTGTCGATGAACACAACCTTCACCTTGGGATTGTCGCCCAGCGCGCCGAGCCGGTGCAGCAGGTGGAGGATCACCTGCCGGCGACGAGCGGGTGAATAAAACGAAGAGGAACGGGTGGATTAAACAAAGAGGAAAGTAATGCGATGCGAGATCACATTGCAAGGAACGCGAGGAAAAAACAAAAAAACACCAACATTAACTGTGTCAAAATGTTTCGATTGGAATTGCAGCAATGAGCGATACTGGTCAGATCGCTTTGGGGGTATTGTGTGAATGCTTACCACGTCGCCAGCGATTAGCGCGCACGGGAACGTGGGTCGCTCGAAGGAATCGATGGTCTTCTGAAGCGCGTCCAGAGCTTGGCCTTCCAGCTGCTCTTGCCGGACCAGCCGCGCCGCCTTGCTCCATTCCTCCACGTCAGCACTGGTCACTGCCGAGGCTCGAGCTGAACCGACTGCTGTCCTTCGGATTTTCGCGGTCTGGCGAACTTGAAGCGGTTCCTGAACGAATCTTACGGCGGTGGTATCGGTGAGAGTCCTTGCCCCGCGTGGGATAAAGGGGCTGGCTTGACAAGAGCTACCAGATTCGCCGAGGCGCGCTCGGCTGGAAGACGGCCGTCCAAGACTTGCGCGAGACGCGTGCTTCACAATGGTCGCCATTGCGAACTGACGAGACTAACGAGGGACGAGGGAGAGTGCGAGAGAGAGAGAGAAAAGCAGGCAAGGCAAGGAAGGAAGGGCGACGTTTATGCTAATCTGTATGGTGCGAGCGAGGAGTCACAATGGAGACGTCCACTCACAACCTAAATTCTCCTGTCTGGTCTAGATGCAAAGCAAGAAATCGGACTCGAGAAGAACAAGTCCCGCGGACAAATTTTCTCGGCGAGCGGGATGGATGAGTTGCGCGGGAAGGAACCTTGGGTTCTGCTTGTCGCCCACAGCCACAATCCGAGGTGGCACCTACTTTCACACCGCTTCAGAAAGGGCATCTTTTGCGTCCGCGAACGCGTCAGGCTGAAGGCGGTGATTGGTGGACCGGTCCAGCGAGGTCAGATATGCTGCAGAAAAGCCGACGAAGGTTGATTTTCCAGGCACTAGGCCTTGGGATTTGTTGATGACGTGCCCGAGGTTTGAGGAAGCAGCTTTGGAACTTTCTTGCCCACGTGGAACAACGTGACTCGGCAGAAATGCAAGGTTCAAATGAACCTATTCCACTTCCCTACTCTCAACCTCAATATAGACAATTGCCATGGATTGCACCCATGCGTTCTTGAAACGAACAGTTACTACACTCGCTGTGTATTACTTATTTTCTTATTTGCTAGAGGACCTTCAATTCAAGCCTGTCTCACCTCACTCACCACACCCTCGTACAACGCAACACCATCTCAACAGCTGCGTCCGTTCTTCCGTGATTCTTTTTTCCACGAATTCGGTTCCTCGCCCCTCACACCGATTTTCAGTAAAAGGATGGATTTACGTTCGACATCAGACATGGACGTCGATAGAGACGCTTCGCAGACCGGCGGACCTCGCTCATCCACCCACGCTCATCATCACCATCACCACCAGGATCGCAGCCATAATCACCAGACCGATTCATCCGCGCAAAATCAGCAACCGTCCCAGCACCCACACGAGCAACCAAACCTGCACGTTCCACCCTCTTCCTCCATGCCTCAATCCCGAACCTCTCCCAACCCTCCTCCGGACCAGTCCTCAAATCCCCTCCTGCCGATGCGTCAACTAACCCAGGACCAGCAGCAGCGACTGGAGCTTTTAGAATTAGAGGAGAAGCGCCTGCAGAACGCAGTTCGGCATCTTATACGCTCTAACGAGGAGCTCCAAGCCGCGGACGTCGCGGAGCCGGATCCCGTGTACCGGGAAGCGCTTATGGAAAATCAGGTGGTTGTTCAGAGCCTTCGGGAGAAAATTGCGTTGCTCCAGGCGGAAATTGCGGTGATGAAGGGAAGGGATTCGGGCATGGAGGAGAGGAGTGTAGAAGCAGGGAGAAGGGATCATGAGGGACTGGGTGGGGAGGTAGTGGGTGGTGCTGCTGATCCTGCAACGACGGCTGCTCCAGGACCAGAATCAGAAAATGGTTGGCTATGATATTTCTGAAATGTTCTGGTGTAAATGCAACGTGTCATCTGATAGGATGTATTGTTACAAGTGACGATTGTAGTCCCTCTCACTGTTACAGAAGTCCACTGTAAAGGCAGGAAATCTCTGTTGCAATGCCCCAAGCAATGGGTTTCAGGGGCATCAATATTATTGAGGGAAGGGAGACTTGAGCTTACAAAAGATAAGTACCTTCCCAAAAGCATTTTCAACCCTTTATGACCCCCATCTCTATCTCCCCATCATGATCCTCCACAAACCCTCTCCCATTCCCCGGACCTCCCCCATGCCCACCAACCCTACCCTCCCGACCCTCCCGAATCACGGGCAGGCCATGAGCAGGCGACCCAGAATTTCCCATCCGGGCAGGTGAAGAACCAGTAGGCCCCAGCCGGGCAGGTGAAGAACCAGTAGGCCCCAGCCGGGCAGGTGAACCAGAAGAATTACCCCGTGCAGGGGAGGCGGACGGTCCATGCCGGGCAGTATGAGGAGAATTATATGTGTGGGCAGGTGCGGCAGCAGTGGAGGAAGAAGAGGAGGAGGAGCGGTGGGTGGAGGGGATGAGAGTGCGCGTGTCGTCTTCGCTGTCTTCACTGTCTAGTTGGGTCACATGCATGTCGGATGATGCTGGTGACGACCCGTTCCAGTCATGCCGAATCATGTTGGCCAACTCCTGTGGCGTGGCACTGCAATGTGTGGGTAAGGGGGAGAATGAAAGGGGAGGACAAATGAGGGGAGCTGAGTCACATGCATGTCGGATGATGCTGGCGATGGCCCGTTCCAGTCACGCCGAATCATGTTGGCCAGTTCGTGCGGTGTTGCACTGCAAGGAGTGGAGAAGGAGGGGGGGGAAGAGAGAAGGGGGGGGAAAGAGGGAAGGGGGGGGAAGAGGGAAGGGGGGGGAAGAGGGGGGGTGGAGAAAGCGAGGTTTCACAGAAGGCAAATGAGTGTGCGTTATGGAGTTGCACAGATAGAGGGAAGGGTGTGCAGCGAGCAGCAGAGATGCGAACATGGGGACATGGGACATGGAGACTCACTGTTCCTGGCACCTCGACCTCCCAGCTTTCACTACATGACAGGTACAGCCCGCAACTCACTGGTCCTGCCGTCTGGTGCGCTCGACGAACCAAACCAAGGCAGCAATGGTGGCAAACCACCCCACCATGGCCCACAGGAACCCCACCTGCCACTCACTGCATTACAGCCTGCCACTCACTGCTTCTGCCATCCCATCCACCCAGCACTCACTGGTCCTGTCGTCTCGTGCGCTCAACGAACCAAACAAACGCAGCGATGGTGGCGAACCACCCCACCATGGCCCACAGGAACCCCAACCCGGCACTCAGTGCATCACAGCCTGCCACTCTCCCCCAACTTACTGGTCCTGTCTTCTTGTGCGCTCCACAAACCACACGAAGGCAGCAATGGTGGCGAACCACCCCACCATGGCCCACAGGAACCCGTCCACCGTGTAGTCATCTCCGCCCGTCTCCCCCAGCTCCATTATCCCCGTCAACAGCGCCACCCCTCCCACCAGCAGCGCCCCCCGGCCGAATAGACTGCAGGTTCAACGGTGGGAAATGGTGGGGAAAAAACTGATGAAACCCGTCCACCTGCAGTCGTCTCCGCCCGTCTCCACCAGCTCCATTATCCCCGTCAGCAGCGCCACTCCCCCCACCAACAGGGCGCCTCGACCAAATAATCTGCGCGGACAATGGATGTGAGATGGGGAGAATGGGGGAGTGGGTTTGGGGAGGAAAGTAAGCAGTCTACTGTGTAGTCCTCTCCCCCCGTCTCCCCCAACTCCATTATCCCCGTCAGGAGAGCCACTGCTCCTACCAGCAGCACCCCGCGGTCGAATAGACTGCACGCAAAACCAGTGATGGGAGATGTGGGAGAGGGTTGGAGGGGATTGGGGATGGTGGGGAGAGGTTGGGAGGTTGATTACACAATGAGACACATGAGGATCACATTATTCCATGTAAGATGCCTCACATCTGCATATGCATACATCTAAATTCCATGCACTCCACGTGTACGATCTGTCAGATGAGACGCACGCACATGTGCACCCACTGCCAGATGAAACGCACTCACATGTGCACCCACTGCCAGATGAAACGCACTCACATGTGCACCCACTGCCAGATGACCCGTTTCATTTGGGGCCTCTCTCCAGGCGATGGCTTGGGCGGGCGGAAGAATGCATTGATTGGCTGAAAGCAGCCCAGGGCGAATGTTGCCATTCCTATCTTGGCATGATTGGACGTTAGTTCGATGCTGCAAGGATAAGTAGGAGAGAGAAGGGGGGAGACGGGTGGGAGGGAAGGAGTGGGAGGGAAGGAGTGCGAAGGGGAAAGACGAGGAGAACGACTCATGGCGCCAGCTGCCGCTGGACAAGAAAATAGAGCAATATAGCTTCAAGAAGAAAAAGTCACAACGAAAAGCAAACATTGAACACGGACAGTGCTCGTGATAGAGTGGAGGGATGGAAGCTACAAGGAAGAAAGGAAGGCGAGGGATGCGAGAGGCTAGGCCGGTGGGAGGACGCACCCTCCAAGTTCACCAACGGCGAAGAGCAGCCCGAGCAGCATGAGAGCGAGGGCACTGTACTGTGTGTACTGGTGGATGCTGTTGGGGGATAGGGGTAGGGTGAGGGTGGGGAATTGCAATGTGGTACGAGACAGAGCGAGGTACACAGCCCGAGCAGCATGAGAGCGAGGGCACTGTACTGTGTGTACTGGTGGATGCTGTTGGGGGATAGGGGTAGGGTGAGGGTGGGGAATTGCAATGTGGTACGAGACAGAGCGAGGTACACAGCCCGAGCAGCATGAGAGCGAGGGCACTGTACTGTGTGTACTGGTGGATGCTGTTGGGGGGAGGAGGGGTGGGGTGAGGGTGAAAGAGAACAGGGAAGAATGGTAACCAGAGAACAGCTATTGGGGCTGCATACGCTGACCCAGAACTCTAGTGAAACGAAGAGAATGAAGAAGAAATGGAGACTCCCGATAGCCAGTCGTTGTGCTTTAGATAGCGAGCAGCCAAGACCCCAAAGGGCATGAGCACGGCCCACGCCATGGTCATCATGAAGCCATGCACCACAAACACCGGTTGCAGATGCTCCACCGTGCCCTCTCCCACCCCCCCGACTGCTGACGACGCTGACAAGCCATAGAGCTATCAGGTCGCAAGCATTTACGAGAACCAGTCGTGGTGCTTGAGGTATCTTGCCGCCAGCACCCCAAACGACACGAGCACGGCCCACGCCATGCCCTCGCCCGCCTTCTTGAATTCACAGCTGACAACGCGGACAAGCACCCCCTTGACTGCTGATGACACAATGCAGCCTTAGAGCCGTCAGGTCGCAAGCACTTACGAGAGCCAGTCGTTGTGCTTGAGGTATCTTGCCGCCAGCACCCCAAATGGCATGAGCACAGCCCAAGCCATGGTCATCATGAAGCCATGCACCACAAACACCCACTGGCTGGACTGCAAACGCCTTTCAGAACAATTGGGACCCACCCACTTACAAGAGCCAGTCGTTGTGCTTGAGATAGCGAGCGGCCAGCACTCCAAAGGGCATGAGAACAGCCCACGCCATGGTCATCATGAAGCCATGCACCACAAACACCGGCTAGCACCCCCTTGACTGCTGACGACGCGGAAAAGAGCCCTAAAGTGGTCAGGTAGCAAGCACTTACGAGATCCAGTCGTTGTGCTTCAAATATCTTGCGGCCAGCACCCCAAAGGGCATTAGAACAGCCCACGCCATGGTCATCATGAAGCCATGCACCAAAAACACCCAGTGGCTGGACTGCAGATGCCTTTGAAACAACTGGGTCCCACCCACTTACGAGAGCCAGTCGTTGTGCTTGAGGTATCTTGCCGCCAGCACCCCAAAGGGCATGAGCACAGCCCACGCCATGGTCATCATGAAGCCATGCACCACAAACACCGGCTGCAGATGCTCCACCGTGCCCTCTCCTGTTTCCAAGTCAAGGATGGTGACAGTGGTGCTCCATACCGTGTGCATGTTCATGTAGGACAGCTTGCCTGGGGGAAGGAGGAGGGGGGAAGGGGCATGACGCATGGGGCATGGGCCAATGGAGCGGAGTGTGATGCTCCACCGTGCATTGGCCCGTCTTGAGATCCAGGATGGTGACGGTGGTGCTCCACACGGTGTGCATGTTCATGTAGGACAGCTTGCCTGAGAGAGCGGTGAGGAAAGGGGCATGAGGCATGGGGCAGGGGCGTGGGGATAGGGGAGCGGGCAGGGGGGAGTAAGGGAGCTGAGTGTGGTGCTCCACTGGGTCTTGGCCCGTTTCCAGACGTACAGTATTGGTAATGGTAATGGTAATGGTAATGGTAATGGTAATGGTAATGGTAATGGTAATGGTATTGGTATTGGTAATGGTAATGGTAATGGTAATGGTATTGGTAATGGTAATGGTAATGGTAATGGTAATGGTAATGAAAATGAAAATGGTAATGGTAATGGTAGTGGTAATGGTAATGGTAGTGGTAATGGTAATGGTAATGGTAATGATAATGGTAATGATAATGGTAATGGTAGTGGTAATGGTAACGGTAGTTGTAATGGCCCGTCCCCTGATGGAATGGTGATGGTGATACTTTATATCATGTGCATGTTCATGTAGGACAGCTTGCCTGGTGGGCACAGAAGAAAGGAGAGGGGTTTGACGAAGCAGAATGAGGCACAAGGCTTTCAAAATCACTTTTGAGAAATCTCAAAAGATCACTCCTTGAGAATAACTAGCAAGGATTCTCAGAAGAGATTTCTTTTGATAATTCTCAAGAACAGGGGTTCACAAAGCAGAATGAAGCACAAGGCTGTGCAGTGCTGATCAAGGGGGGAGCACAAATCAAGAGGGTAAGGTCTAGGAGGGTCAATAGGCCCAGATGACTTTGAGGGGCTCTGAGCGGTCAATGACACTGCACTTGTCGTCACAGTCTAAATGCAAGGCAGCACCTCAACCACTCACCCAAACGAGAGTCAGTGCCTGAGGTCCAGGAGGGCAGTGCCTGCGGTCCAGGAGGGCAGTGCCTGCGGTCCAGGAGGGCAGTGCCTGCGGTCCAGAAGGGCAGTGCCTGAGGTCCAGTAGGGCCCTCAAAGCCACGTCAGCAGTACTTGAGGCCCAAGAAGGCCCGTAGGCCCAGATGACTTTAAGGGGCTCTGAGGGGTCGATCACGCTGCACTTGTCGCAGCAGTCTGCCTCGACTGCAGAGGAGCAGCAATATCTGACTTGCTACCAGTCGCAGTAAACCCACCTGAGGTCCACGAGGGCCCGTAGGCCCAGATGACTTTGAGGGGCTCTGAGGGGTCGATCACGCTGCACTTGTCATCGCAGTCGGAATCGGGCGGCTTGAGCGGACGGCTGAACTCAAACGTCAGCACCCCATCCACCTGCGCACCCATGCGGACAAGGGGATGTGTGGATGGGGAGGATGGAAGCATGGTTGCACATATACACACAGGGATGGATTGAGGCAAGCAAGGAAGCATGCAGGCCTGCACTGCGCAGCATGCCCCCCCAACCCCCTCCCCTTCCCCTTCCCCTCCTCCAAGCCGCACCTGCATGCACACCTGCTCATGTCAAGAGCGTCCCTAGCGGCGCCATGCACGCTACTGGCATCCTTGCCATCGATCCAGTAAGACGCCACCCGGCCCTCTCCGCCCTCATATGACACACAGCATGCACCCTGCCCCCATGATCACCCACCTGCATGCACTCGCTCATGTCAATCGCAGCGTGCCATGCACGGGGCCATGCACGCTACTGGCATCTTTGCCATCCATCCAGGACCCCAACATGCACCTGCCTGCACTGCATGCAAACATACCGAAACATGCGGCATGCACCCTGATCTCTTAATACCGCACCTGCATGCACTTGGTCATGTCTAGTGCCTCCTTGGTGGCATGCACGCTACTAGCGTCCTTGCCGTCAATCCAGTAAGACGCCACCCGCCCCTCCCCGCCCTCCACCCACCCCACATACGCCCACGAGTTCACCATGCCGCTGGGGGGGGGGACGGTGTGGGGGGGAGAGGGAGGAGGGAGAGAGGGGGTAGGGTGCATTGAGTGCAACTAAGGGAATGAGATGAGCCTGTTCGCCCATTGCTGCCCTCCACCCACCCCACATACGCCCACGAGTTCACCATGCCGCTGGAAGGGGGACGGTGGGGGAGAGGAGGAAGAGGGGGGAGAGTGGATGAATTGCAATCAAGGGAATGACATGAAACCATGCCTTTAGCGGGAGGGGGAGAGAAGGTGGAGACGTTCTAAAAACGATGGATCGGGGAGCTGGAAGGGACCCAAGGGGATCAGCTCTCGCCTCACCTGCCAAAGGCTATGGCAATGTAGCCAGACGGGTGCTCGCCCCTCACAGCCACGGATTTCGATGAAGCGGTGAGCGTCCCGAACATGGTGTCTAGCCTGTCTGCGAGCTGGAAGGGACCCAAGAGATCAACTCGCCTTACCTGCCAAAGGCGATGGCGATGTAACCCGACAGATGCTCGCCCCTCACAGCCACGGAGATGGAGGAGGCAGTGAGCGTCCAGAACATGGTGACGAGCCCGTCGGCGAGCTGGAGGCTGTGGTTGTACATGTCCCGTCCTTACAGCCTACCCCACCGGGTCCCAGCAATGGCCGTCACAACTGAATCTTACCTCCCAAAGGCGATGGCGATGTAACCCGATGGGTGCTCCCCCCTAACCGCAACAGAAATGGAGGAGGCGGTGAGCGTCCAGAACATGGTGACGAGCCCGTCGGCGAGCTGGAAGCTGTGGTTGTACATGTCTGATAAACCCCCGTCCACCACGTGGATTCGCCACCCCATCTTGGGCTCCGAGTAGCACTGAAGAGGGAGAGAAGGGAGAGGAGGGAGAGGAGGGAGAGGAGGGAGAGGAGGGAGAGGAGGGAGAGGAGGGAGAGGAGGGAGAGGAGGGAGAGGAGGGAGAGGAGGGAGAGGAGGGAGAGGAGGGAGAGGAGGGAGAGGAGGGAGAGGAGGGAGAGGAGCGAGGGCAGAGCGAAGTGGAAAAGCAAAGGAAAGGGGAAGGGAGGAGGTAGAAGCTGTGGTTTCAAAGGTCTGAAGTGGAACTAGTGGACTTCCACTGCAAGGTGTATGAGTCTGTATACTGGCACCAACACAAGTCATGTCCTGCCACCACCAGCCACTACCAGCCACCACCAGCCACTACCAGCCACTACCAGCCACTACCAGCCACCACCAGCCACCACCAGCCACCACCAGGTACCACCAGGTACCACCAGCCACCACCAGGTACCACCAGGTACCACCAGGTACCCAGTCATACATCCACGGTCTACCCAACACCCACCTGGTAGTAAACAAAACAAGGTCCGGGGTAGAGCTAGTGGGCTTCCACAGCAGGGTGTATGGACCCGCCGGCAGCACCAAGACAGGTCCCACCTGCTGCTAGCAGTCACCCAACCCATCCACTTACCTGATAATACACCAAGTCAGGGGTAGAGCTAGTGGGCTTCCACAGCAGGGTATACGGATCAGCCGGCACGCCATGAGCCTCCTCGCCGCCCGCATATATAATCTCCGACTTGTTAAACCGCCCGCCCACCGGATCCGATGTGATATACACCCCCAGATCATGCCCGGCTTGAATCGAAAACTGCACCGGAACTCCCCTCTCCACCTTGATTTCCGGTGCCTCGTGCCCGTTCACATAGAAGCTTTTGGTCGACGCTGGCGGGTTGGGATAATGCGTGCTTTTTCCCGATGTGACTGTGATGAGCGTGCCTCTATCGGCTACGACGACTTTCCCCCATCCGCTCCCCACCACCCCTCCCAACCCATCCTCATCATCATCCTCATCATCATCATCACTGCTCCCATCCACACCACCACCTCCTGCTCCTCCTCCTGCCCCTCCCCCTCCTCCCCCTGCATTTCCCACACCAAAAGCAGGGTTCAGGACACTCTGACAGTCGTCTACAGCCAGGCTTAACGTCAGCACCGCCACCCCAAAAAACGACCCCTGTGGGACCCCATGGTAGGATGCAAACAGGTGGGCGGGGGGTTCGTGCTGCCCCTGCCACCCCACCTACCACCGAGGGATTAGAGGTGGAGGAGGAGGAAGAGGAGGAGGATGAGGAGGGGGATGCGATGGGCTTTAACGAACCAAGCGCCCAGATCACGTTCATCTCGTCCTCTGCGTCGATATCGTGATCAAATCTTTTGTCCGGGCTCACGAGCGGGCGGCGGAAGCGGACGAAAGTGATGCCGTCCACGCGGTGCCCGTAGATCAGATCCACGTTGTTGAGAGACGAGTTGCCACCGCCCATAAGCTGGTCGGGGCACACTCCCTCTGGTGGTTTTTTTTCCAGATTGCATTCTCCGTATGATGTGATATAGTAATCTTCCACAAACGGTTTTGCCTGGTGAGAAAATTGGGTGTGGAAAAAGGGGGTTGAGAAGGGGTATTCATGGGATGGAGTCGGAGAGAAAAGGGTAGAATGGGTGGGAAGGGAGGAAAAAAGAACAAGTGTGGGATATGTTTTCCTCCCTTCTCTGAATCCGCTCTCTCCTCCCTCCCCTCTCATCCCTTTTGTAACCATTAGCTTTCTTCGCCCCCCTTCCCATTAACTCAACTCATCACTTCAACGAATCCCGCAATCACCACGTCAGCAAGCCCCATCAACTCGGCCACGCTCTCCAAATCTGCCCAACCAAATCCACCCCACACAGAATGTGGCACACTCCCAACAACCGCCTCGTCCCCCTCCCCTCCCCCTCCCCTCCCCCTCCTAACCCCCCATCAACTCACCACTTCATCGAATCCTGCAATCACCACATCAGAAAACCCCATAAACTTGGTCACGCTGTCCGGATCCGCCCAGCCAAACCCCAGGTAATGCGGCCCACTCCCCACAACCGCTTCCAACCCCACATCAACGAACCCTCTCGCCTCATCCAGCGTCCACCGCACCCTATACCGGTGACTCAGCTGCATACAGTTGTCAAACATCGTAGGCTGCCTCTGCCCCTGCTTCACCCTCAGCTTAGCAGGCGGCGGGGGTGACGGCAAAGGTGGGGACTGGGGAGGAAGTGCGTATGAGGGCTCTGAAGGGAGGGCGTGACCGGGGGAAAGGGTATCTAGGCCGGGAGTGAGGGGTTTGGACGGCTGAGGGGAGGAGGCTGAGGCGAGGGGGGAAGGGGAAGGTGCGGAGGCGGGGGCAGGGGAGGGCGCGGGGGAGGAGGAGGGCGCTGGGGATGGGGCGGGCGGGGGTGCTGGAGGCTCGATGATCTCGAGGGCTATGTGGCCGTAGTCTGATGCAGTGGTTCGCGACCACACTGAGAGGAGTTTAAAGTCGTTCCACGTCACGTTTGATGCCATACGCACCTGGTTCAGGGATTGAGGGAATGGGGGGAGGGATGGGAAAGGGAGGGTAAAGGAGTATTATGAAAGGTTGGTTGTCATTGGGGCTATATGGCCGTGGTCTGATGCAGTGGTTCGTGACCACACTGAGAGGATTTTAAAGTCGTTCCACGTCACGTTTGATGCGAGGCGCACCTGGTGCAGGAATGAGGCATGGGAGGGAAGGGAGTGGAAAGAGAGGGTAGGCGGGGTAGTTGTTGCTTGAGAGGGAAGGGACGGAAGGGAGCATAGCTACCAACCACGTGCGTCTGGCTGTTGAAGGTGCAAGAAGGGGGGCTGGCTTGGTACGGGTGCTGCTAGAGGACATTGGCAACAAGTACTGCTAATAGGTGCTGCTAAGGGGGCATTGCTAAGGGGTATTGCTGAGGGGCAGCGCTACTAACCACGACTGTCTGGCTGTTGAAGGTGCCGAGGAGGGGCTTGGGGGAGACGGGGAAGCCGTGCAGCAGGTCGTTAAGGGACGCGGACGCTGCTCCCCACCAGTACACGTCCTTCCCTGGCAGCATGTCAAACCGCGTCACCTGCGGATTCATGGTGCAGCAGAGAAGGGGAATGACATGGAATGTCAAACAGCGTCACCTGCAACGAAGATTCGAAGAACCATCTGGCAGAACAGAAGGGCTATAGCATGAAAATGCGCGACGAATTTACAAAACCAGCACAGCCAGCAGAGAACGACCAATCCTGATTTCAGACAATTCAGATCAGCGACTAAAATTTACAATTCAGCAGACATCACACGTCACAGATGCACGAATCGCGACAGGTACAACCAAGCCTCGAATACACGCCGCCAAGCCGTTACACTTCAGCGGCAGCAACAGTCTAGAAATTCATGAATGGCCAATTGTCGAAATCTCGACCTTCCGCGAAGCTGATGCCACAGCATGCAAAGATCGGCGATGAATCCTGCTTCGATAAAAGACTTCATAGAAAATACTTACTTTAAACGAACAATCATCTAAAATCTCGACGGTTCCGCGGAGCTGATGTTGTAGCATGCTGAGATCGGCGACAAATCCCACCCACTCGCTCTCCTTGCTGCACTGGTACCGCTCCTCCCCGGGTAACATCCCCTCCTCCTCTTGACCCTTCACTGCATAATTCGATACAAGAACGCTCGCTAAGAGGACAATTGCTAGCATTGATGAAGTCCATCCTGAATGAGTTAGTCGAATGTGATAGTAACGACGATGGGTAGGGAACTTTGTGCGATCTGTCTGCCCGCAGCGGAAATGCCGGGGTTGGTCTTGAGGTCCGCCGCATCGCATGTTAGCTTCGAGCCGCAGCCTACTCGAGGCCCGCACGTGGCTCCAGCCTAAGGAGCTACTACGCTCTCGTTTGAATCACATCCAGCATAGGCGGACTGGCATGGAAAAACTACCTACCGACTTTTAAGAAACCACCTAAGCTTTGACCATAGCCGTGCGAAGGCCCTCTATGTTCGGATTTCTAGACGCGTAAATGAGCTGCTTTAACGCATTCGCGTACATTAGCGCTATGGTACTAGAGGCACGAGGCTCAACACCCAAGAATAGCGAATTCAAGCCGTTCCCTCGACAATCGCAACGGCACTTCTCTAACCTTAAACAGAGACGCTACAAGGGCTGTAGAAACTCCGATCTGTCAAGCACTCACGACGGAAATACTCATTAGGCTACGACGCAACGCGATCAGCATTCAGAGATCGGTCATAGGCACTGGTAAAAGGAGCAGGCCACGAGCGTGCAACGAGATTCTAAAGAATTCGCCTTCAATTAGATGGTCAGCGTAAGGAGCAGCTGCGACTGATAGCCAGCAAGCCTAGAGAGTAATTACCGTTGGACGCGAGTACGCGAGTGCGAGGAACCAGATCCCGTATGGAGGAACCTAGGAAACATCCGCTGTAGTCTCTACTGATTTGAATCATAAGTTTCCTCACGGAGCGAGTGACACTATCGACGGAAAGATGTTCCCGAGGCTGTCAGTTTGTTCTTTTGTGCTGATGCGCGCCATTTTTGGTAAGCGTGCCAGAAATCTCGTTAGATGTAACAGCTGTATAACCGATATGTTGGTGTGCAAATATTTTCTTACAGATTCTCAAAAAATGAAGGGTTTTCCTCCATATGAGAGAGAATCATGTCTCCTATTTACCCCTGTTCTTGACCATTCAAGATGTCCGCTATCAGCATGTTATTAGGGCGACGTCAGGTTATACACTTCTCACGGGTTTACAGTTCTTTTATCGTGGTTCAGGACGGTCTAACACGGTGAAAAGCGGTTGTGGACGTTTACCGCTCTGCACCTTGTTGAAACGAAGTTACCCGCAGTGGGTGTACAAAAGGTTGTACAACCTGACGTCGCCCTTATACTAGGATGAATATCTACTGTTGCCTGGAAACATACTTTCACTCTATACAATTATATGGTCAGTGTCATCACCAGACCAGGTTGCGGAATTATGTGCAAAAACTCAGTATTAACGGCTATTTACAGTAAATAATAGTAGAGAAGCAATATGTTACCCCCTTGCCTTCAATCAAGCAATTTCAAGAGGGCCATAAATAATTCCCAGCGCCAACCTGCAGCCAATACCAGAAATAGAGCAGAGAAAATGAAATCCCACATAACACGGCCCATTTGATTAGGGAACCTCATCAACGCTGACTGAGCAACCAAAAAGAGGCCGAAAAGAGCAGGCAGAAGATTGACATGTAATCGCCAAAAAAAGGCACTCTCAAGCAACGGAAAATGCATTAAGAGCTTCCTATCAGTTGGCTGAAAAGCTCACTGTTGGCAATCCTTGGACAGGAGAAACAGACCATGAAAGCCATACTCCCGTGGCAGGAATGCCCAAAACACTTTGAAAGATGCATCTATTCTATCGATGCTCACTCAGGACTTCTTAAAGGGTTTTAAAAGGGTACGCATCGGCCTCGAAAGGCCTCATATACGTGTGACTTCATCACCGTGAGCGCCAAAATGTCACGAAATAGTCGTGGTGAAGAGGGTTGAGTAGCTTACCACGCTGAAGAGTTATGCAAACACTTCGGTCGGCGTTGTCCAACGAAAAGAGTCTTGTGTCAAACACAACATACAACAGGAAAGACAGCAAGTGCATTGTTAGAAAACAATAATCCTGGCTGGCGCCAGAAACGGGCGCTAACTAGGTAAACGTGAGTTAGCATCGCAACGCATTCAAGCGCAAATATGTTAACAAGAGGCGAAATGGGAATGCCGTCGAAAGAGGCGTGCATCACTTGACAAGAGAAGGAAGGTTTGGGGCTTAGTTAGACCCTAGAACGCAGAAGCGAGGAGAGGCGCCAGAATTGAGAGGGAGAAGTGCAGCTGTTATATACCGCTGCAGAAGCTTGCAGCTGGCGGTGAGGAAACGGTAGGGGAACAAATCATGGCTCGTTAGAAGCTGGCATCAATTTTCCTGTAGACCATTCATTTGAGTTGTGTACACTTCAGCTCATACGCAGTTTGTCTTTGCAGACCTCGAATTCTCGGCTCTGATTTTTGCAAGCCATGCCAGCTTCCAACCCCCTTGTCCATCGATGGTGTGTCGGGGTAATTCGCAAGAACCGTGAGGAACCCAACTTAACCGCATGCGACGTAAATTGACCACTCTCAGCTCAGGGCGTATTCCTGCACTTCGGGTCATCAGCACTTCGGGTCATCCGAAATTGTGGGATCCAATCGGAAGTTCGGAATCAAGAGATTGGGGTGTATTTCGATTTTCCGATTGGATCCCACAATCTCGAAGACCCGAAGTGCTGATGACCCTAAGTGCAGGAATACGCCCTCAGGAATGCCCTTCCGAGTCCTGCCTCCATAGAGGAAATTCTGACTAAATCGATGTCCAGCATTCACGAAGTGCGCTGCCACGGATTATTCGTGTCCTATGGTGTCTTTACAAGACCACACCGGTTAGCGACCCATTAGGCTCTCGCACGTTCTTTATCCACTCCTCTCGCTGCTCGATCTTTGAACCGAACTGCACCGTAACGGCTTATCAGCGTTCCCATCCCAGTGAAAAATAACTGACAGTCAGGGAACTGGCAAATCAGGTCAATGTTCGGCGGGGGGACGAGTCGGACGTACGGCGTTAAGTTTCAGGCGAGATGCATCGCGGCGCAGGCCGGCGAGAAGCACCACACGCGGTTCCTGGTCGGCACGTTGAGCCTGCGCGAGGAGAATGAGGTGCTGTGTAGGTGACGATGCCGTGGGATGTCAGTGGGAGTGGTGTAAGCAACTGGGAGTGGAACTGGGAAAAATGGAATTGGGAAGACTAGAACGTCTTACGATCCAAGACTCGCTTCCTCGTCGGCACGCTGAGCCTGCGCGAGGAGAATGAGGTGCTGCGTAGGTGACGATGCTGTGGGATGGGAAATGTGTGACTGCCTAGAGTATCTTCTAACCAACAGTCCATATCAAGGCCCATATGTCACTACAAAAGGCTGCACCAGGCACTGTGATTCGCCTCTTATTGTTCCCTTTTGTTGTTGCTGCCTCACCTCCCTCCCCCAGGTGCATCTGATTCAGCTGGCAGACGATGGCTCAGAGGTGACGTGTGAGGGGCTGTGTCTGCACTTGTTGAGGATCACACCGGACGCCATGTTTTGTCTCTTAGTGTCCCATTTTTCTGCTGCTGCTTCACTCCCCCTCACGACCCCAGGTGCATCTGATCCAGCTGGCAGACGATGGCTCAGAGGTGACCTGTGTCTGTACCTACACCAGCACGAGATCTGGGACCTTGTAGCTCGTACCCATATCCTTCCGATCTCCTATGTACTTGCTGCGGCTTCACCTCCCCCCCCAGGTGCATCTGATCCAGCTGGCAGACGATGGCTCAGAGGTGACCTGCGAGGGGCTGTACCTGCACCAGCACGAGATCTGGGATCTGGGATCTTGTGGCTTGTACCCTTATCCTCCCAATCTCGAATGTACTTGTTGCTGCCTCACCTCCCTCCCCCAGGTGCATCTGATTCAGCTGGCAGACGATGGCTCAGAGGTGACCTGCGAGGGGCTGTACCTGCATCAGCACGAGATCTGGGATCTTGCCACGTGTCCCTTTGACTCAGCGCTGCTCTCCACTGTGTACGCCTCCGCCGGCGAATACCACGCCGCCATCTGGCGGATACCCGACAAGGCGTTTTCGTACAGCACTGGCGCTCCCTCCTTGCAACTCGCTGCAGAACTCAAGGGACTCGAAGCCCCCGTGAAAAAGCAAGTACTTTTGTCTTGCACACTCTCTTTTCATTCTCCTTGTTGTAACGAGCTTTCACTTCCTCATTGCAGTGTATACCCTACTTTATTGTGGTGTGCATTGTCACGCTTATGCACCCTTTCTGTTCTTGGAGAGTGCTGTGGCACGGGGGGGATGTGGCGCTGCACAGAGTCATCACAATCGACGAGGAAATCATCTGTGCGTGGGACCTCGTGTGTGATGCTGATGCACCCGCTCTTCCATCTCTCTTCCCCTTCTCTTCCCTATCTGTGCCCGACAGAGTGCTGTGGTACGCGGGGGACGTGGCGCTGCACAGGGTGATCACCATAGACGAGGAGATAATCTGTGCATGGGACCTCAGAAGTTGTGACCATGCTGTATTGTACACTTCCTTTCTGTTCCTATCTGTGCCCGACAGGGTGCTATGGTATGCAGGTGATGTGGCGTTGCACAGAGTGATCACCATTGATGAGGAGATTATCTGTGCATGGGACCTCGCTTCCAGCACTCGAGCAGCGCAGTTCGCCACGGTAGGCTGTTGTTTACTGGTGACTCGTCTCCAATTTGTGACTCGAGTATTGCTTTGTATTTGAGTTGTCCTGTGACTCACCTGCTCCTGCCTTTCATTGTCCATCAATCAACAGGAAAAGCAGCGGGTGACAGCTTTTGAGTCGACTCAAAAGCAGACTGGTCTCCAATTTGTGACTCGAGTATTGCTTTGTAAGCTGAGTTGTCCTGTGACTCACCCGCTCCTTCCCTTCATTGTTGAATCAACAGGCCAAGCAGCGGGTGACGGGCAGCGGGCTGCAGAGGCTGCACACAGGGGCGTGGGACCCACACACTGTCCTTTCCCCAATCCCTGTGGTCGCCTCCTTTTACTCTAATCACTCCCCCGCCACTCTTGCATGATTCAACAGGTGAGTGACTGGCAGCTGCAGAGGTTGCACACAGGGGCGTGGGATGGGAGGGACCCACACACTGTCCTTTCCCCAATCCCTGTGGTCGCCTCCTTTTACTCTAATCACTCCCCCGCCACTCTTGCATGATTCAACAGGCGAGTGACAGGCAGCTGCAGAGGTTGCACACAGGGGCGTGGGATGGGAGGGACCCACACACTGTCCTTTCCCCAATCCCTGTGGTCGCCTTGTTTCGCTCTATTCACCCCCCCCATCTTGCATGAATGAACAGGCAAGGCAGCGGGTGACAGGCAGCGGGCTGCAGAGGCTGCACACAGGGGCGTGGGACCCACAAAATGGCCTTTTCCCAATTCTTGTGTCTGCCTCCTTTCCCTCTATTCACCCCGCCTCACTCCTCTTATAATCCATCAATCAACAGGCGAAGCAGCGGGTGACAGGCAGCGGGCTGCAGAGGCTGCACACAGGGTCGTGGGACCCACAACGCCCTTTTCCCTTGATTCACTCCCCGTCCTTCTCGCGTAACCCCTTCCCCATCTTTTATCAATCGGCAGGCCAAGCAGCGAGTGACAGGCAGCGGGCTGCAGAGGCTGCACACAGGGGCGTGGGACCCACATAATGCGGACACCATCGCCACCACGGCTGACACCTCCATTGCCTGCTGGGACCTCAGAGCTGCCATGTGAGTACTGTTTGCTCATTTGTTAACACCTCTCAACACCATTGCCACCACTGCCAACACCTCCATTGCCTGCTGGGATCTCAGAGCCGCCATGTGAGTAGCATGGTGCATTGTTTAGGTTAGGACAACACAACCACCACTGCTGACACCTCCACTGCAGATAAGGGACATAGACTTCAACCCCAACCATTCGCACATGTGTGACAGCAACATCTGTGCCCATCTCTCATTCCATCCCTCTCGCCACCCCTCCTATTCTCAGCAAAACAGCGAGCATAGAGGGAGCGCATCACCTGCAGATAAGGGACATAGACTTCAACCCCAACCACCCGCACATCCTCGCATCAGCGGGGGACGACTCGCGCATTCGTCTGTGGGACCTGCGCTCCACCAAGCAAGCTATTGTGGAGCTTCCAGGGCACTCGCACTGGTACGGCCACTCACACGGCCACTAGCACAGCCTCTCACACTAGTTCTGGCCTGCCCCACTGGCATGGCCACTACCACTGACGAATTCTGTTTATTTGTCTTGTGTTGCCTTTTGTCAGCTGCAGCCTTTGTTGCCTCACAGTTACCTAGTACGGTTTGCATTGTCTGTCCTGCATGCCTTTGTGTCCTCATATCCTAGAGAATGTATCGTTCCCATGTCTCTGCCTCCCCCTGCCCGCCTGCCTGCTCACCACCTGCCAGCCCGTCTGCCCGCCTGCGGTGATCTCTCTGAGCAGGACTTGCTGTGTCCGTTACAACCGATTTTACGATGAGCTCCTGCTGCTCATTCGCCTCAACACACACATGTGTCCTGTCCTCACATACTGTCTGTACCGTTACCCACCCCATGCCCCCGTGCGTGTGGTGATCCCTGAGCAGGACTTGCTGCGTCCGTTACAACCGATTCTACGATGAGCTTCTGCTCGTCATCCGCGTGAACACTCCCATGCGTCCTCACTTGCTGTTTGTATCTTTCCCCACCCCATGCCCCCGTGCCTGCGGTTATCGCTTCACAGGACGTGCTGTGTCCGCTACAACCGCTTCTACGACGAGCAACAGCCTGCTGGTCATACGCCTCAACGCACCCATGTGTCCTCACATTATGTTTGTACCATCCTCACATACTGTCTGTACCGTTCCCACCCCATGCCCCCTGCCTTCCATGATCTCTGAGCAGGACGTGCTGCGTCCGCTACAACCGATTCTACGATGAGCTTCTGCTGGTCAGTGCCGCTCCCTCTTGCTCCTCTAATTTCCCGATTGTTCCTCTTAGGTTTCTCTCCTGATCCTGCTGGTCAGTGCTGTGCCCTCTCCTGCCCCTCCAGTTTTCCACTCGCTTCTATTATTCTCTTTGCTTTGCTCCACCCTCACCTCCACCCCCTTCCTCCTTTCGCCTCTCCACGTCCAACCCCCAACAGAGCAGCGGCACCGACTCAGCAGTCAACTTATGGCACGTGCCGTCTGCTTCGGCAGCAGCCGTGGCTGACCACCTGCGTGCCGGACCTAACCCAGCAGGCTCGGGAAGAGCAGCGGCAGCAGCAGGGGGGTATCCCAGGGGGGGAGTGGATGAGCTGGCAGTCAGCTTCACAGACTATGAAGACAGCGTCTACGGTGGGTGCAGTGTGGTTCAGTGGGGTACCAGGCATTTTGTCTGTAAATTCACAGTTTCTCTGAATCACAGGAACGCCTGAGGTTTCTCAATCCACCATTAGGGACCATTCATAAGCCCTCCCTCTCTGTCACGTGAAGCGCCATTTACCCCTGGGGTGTACGCTTCTTTCTTGAAACTTCTCAATAGTGGAACCAATATGCCCCCCCCGTCCCCCCTTCACCAACCCACCGCCCCCTCACCAGGCGTTACATGGAGCACCATTGACCCATGGGTATTCGCCTCTCCCTCCTATAATGGCAGTATGAGTATTTCTTTTAGCTGACCAAAATAAGATCATCCTCTGATCCCCCCCTCACCAGGCGTCACTTGGAGCGCTATTGACCCATGGGTGTTCGCCTCCCTTTCCTATGATGGCCGCGTGAGTCCCACCCACCCACCAACCAACCAAACTCCCTGGTTTCTCTCAACTTTACCACGCAAGTTCAGCTTCCACTGCTTCTGGGATCTACTGCAGCCTCTACCTAGAATTCAGTGCTGCTTCTTCAAGTTCCCTGTGGTCTATTGTTCTGCCAGCCATTCATTTATCACGTGTGGTTGCATTCTGAATCCAACCACCCGATCCTCCGCTTTCCGATGGTTCCGATGGCGTTGGCAGGTGGTTGTTGACCTTGTTCCAACCGTTGTTCGCAGCAAATGCCGCCACTAACATTGCCACTGGTACTGTATATCTCACATATACGGTTCTGTGCAACGCATTTGGATTGGATCAGAGGAACGATGGTGGAATGCTACTGGCAGCAGCTGCTGTCATATATTATACCCAGTAACGTAATTCTGTTCCAGAACAGGATATGGTCATGGTTTCGGTGCAGCAGTTCAACCACAACATTGTTACCGCGTCGACATTGTCAGCAGTGTGTGAGGTAGAATTGGTACAACATGTTGAAGTAAATTTCCACACCACAGCTGATGCCTTGCATGGTGCTTTATCTCATTTGTTTGTAACTGAAGGACATGGATTGGAAGAATCCTGCTCCGAAGGCTTTGCTCGCAGTGTCTGCAACGGCAAATCAAGACATTGCAAGTGGTGGGCTGAGTGAATGAACGGTTCACCAAGGGAAATGCGGCAAAAACCCTAAGGCAGACCCAGGCCTGGAAACAGGGCTCACCACTAATATGCCGTTTCTTGCTGCGGTGCTCGTGAAGCATGTCAGAACCGGTGGTGCTGCTTCTCCTGCTCGTTGTACCACTGCACGTACCTGCATGCGTGCAGCAGTGATTGATGGGTGGGGTTAAACGGATCCATCAGTGAAAGAGAATGGATACAGGTGACAGAGAATGGATTAGGGATGTCAGCAGCGGTGGTGCTGCTTCTCCTGCTTGTTGTACCACAGCACGTACCTGCATGCACGCAGCAGCAGTGACGAGTGAGGTAAAAAGGATTGGGAATGAGTTAAATAAAGTAGGGGAGAGTTAATTCGGATTGAAAACGACATAAAATGGGTCAGATGAGGAATATAACGGACAGAGGTGAGAGCAGAGACGAGGGTATAAGCTGAATAAAAAGGGAGACACAGGCGTGGAAGGGCCCGTCGGCACTACGACGTTAGCAATCAAGAAAGTGGGGTTTGATAAAAAAACGAACACAGGAGCGAGAGCAAGATGAACGAGAAAGTCAACGATTCATGGGGCGGGAGGGAGAGACGGAGGCGAAAGACGTTGAGGATCTGGAGAGGCGACGCGGACCCTGAGAGGACTCCGATCGTAAAACGGCAGAGAGAGCGACGTCGCGAAGAAATAAACGGAAGGAACTGGTGACGCAACTTCTGATCGTGACGAGCGTAGAACAAGGACGGCCGTTGATAGAAAACGAGCAGAAGACGGCAACCCTCGTAGCGACGAACTCGCACTTGAAAGTGTCTTTCGAGGTCGTGTTCTATTCGACTAAAGTGTGATCTAATATCGCGTACCAGTAGGTGCCTGCGAGGGGTCCGACGCAGGTAGCTGCATCAAGCCAGTTGTTCTTGATCTTCTTGACCCACTCCTTGCCCATGTCCTTCCACAGCCCCGGCATGATCTTCTGCTCGAACGGCGACAGCGCGTACGTCACCTCCTTGAGACGCACGGGAACCCTCCCCACCATGGCTGCGGCGGCTCTGAACGGCTTCGCGTCGCGAACTAGGCGAGGATCTGACACGGACGGACCTACGAACAGAAGTAACGCGCGGCGGTGTAAGCAAGGGAATGGAGCAGATTGACAGGGAAGTATGCCGACACTAAGGTGGAAAAAAAGGTTGGGAGTTCTCAATCCGCATGACCGTAACAATGATTCGTAATGCAAATAATAAAAACTGTCATAGGTTAGTTTATAACGAGAAAAAAGCTTCAGTGCCCCCATTGGCTACCTTCCATGGCCAGCACCTGGGGATTGTCGGGTGTCGCGAAGTGTGGGATGGGGTGGGGTGTGGGGGAAATGGGGTTTCAATTGAATGCCGCACAAGTTCCGCCACCTTTCCCACTGGTGCAGAGAAGACCCGCTCGCACGCCATTCGCGCTCCACCAACCAGGGAGCGAGTCCCATCACACGCGCGCACCCACCACACCCCACCTACCAGCCAGCGCACGCGCCACAAACCCGACCGCCTTGGGAATCTCCTTTCCGCGTGAACCCAATTGCCGCAAATCTTCTTACCGCCTGCGCAACATCTGCGCCGCTGGCTGCAAATCCGCCCGCCCGCCACCCCCGCAACCGCAACACATCTGATCATCCTCCCGCTTCCACCCACCCACCGCTCCACTCTTCATTCTCCAATTTTCCGTTTCTTCCACTTCAGTTCAGGCATTCTTGGGACTGCATTTCTCGCATCCCTGAGCAGCCCAGTGCTTGTGGCATTCCTCGCGACAGGTCAGAACGATTGGACTGGTCTCCTAACCAGCCTCGAGAAAAGGCAGCCGCCGATTGACTGAGCTAATGCTTGGAGAAACACCACTGTATTCATAAATTTTAAATTACATCTGTCTACATTGCTCCGTTTCCTGGCATGAACACGTGATTTCCAAGCAATGGCGTCCACTGCTCCGGCCAGCGCCGCTCGCGGGCGACGCAACGCCAAGGCTGACGGTTTTCAGTGGGACAACCCCGGCGAAGAGCCAGTCTCTCCAAGCTCCCCCTCTCGCCGCCCTGCGTTTCTCCGCCTTTCCACCACCTCGACGATCCTCCTTCTCTCCGCGGTCTTCGTCGCCGCTCTCCTTTTCACCGGCTTCCGCAATTTCCGCGTCGAGGCTCCCGCACCGCGTTCCAGCGCGTCGCTAGGCTCCTTAGACGGCGATTACGGGACCGGCGACGATGACGGTTACGGCACAACAACCAATGCGGCAGGTTCCACGTGGCCGACTGGCAGCAAATCGTCAAAACTGACGACCACCGGAACGGGTTTGTCAGGATCGTTCGGGTCGACTGGCTTGACGGAAAACGCTGGAAAGAAGACGTCCTGGGACGAAATGTCGGAGGATGAGGATGACCTAGGAACTACTTCAGGCTCTAGCTGGCCGAGCAAGACTAGCTCCGCAATCGGCGGCGGGTTTGGCGGCGGACTCGGCGCTTCGTCGAGCTGGAAGAAGGGGGTCGCCGGCAGGGGAAGCACCGGGAGCTCGTGGGGTGGCGGCGGCGCGGATACGATGGATGATGACGTGGACGCGTTCTCGAGCAGCGTGAAAAGCGCGGGAAGGTTTGGCGGCGGCGCGATGGGCGATTCGGGTATGGGAGACGATGACGATGACGATGGGGGAGGTTTGTATCCCAAGGAGAAAGGCAGGGCGAGAGCAGGAGACCGGGAGACTGGGAGGGGTATGGAGCTTGAAGGGTATTCTAAGAGCACTGCTGCGGGGTTTGCGAAAGGCGCGGCGGGATATGGAAAAGGGACGACAGGGTATGGTAAGAGCGGAAGAGGCGGAGTCGTTTCGACGCGGAAAGGCGGTCGTGGTAATGATGAGGATGACGTGGATGAGGAGGAGGATGACGTGGACGAGGAGGATACTAGGAGCAGCAGAAAGAAGGGGAGGAAGGCGAAGAAAGGGAAGAGGAGCAAGAAGAAAATCGGAAAAAAGACCAAGACGAGGGGAAAGACGAAGAAGACTACCAAGCGCAAATCACGCAAGTACGGTAAAAAGAGCGGCGTTAAAAGCGGCAGCAAAACCAGAGATTCGGACTGGGAAGAAGACGAGGACAGGACGTTCGGTCCCCTGGGAAAATGGGGACGGAAGAAGAAGAGCCGACGGAGCAAGGCAGCTGACGAAGAGGAGGACGTTGACGGGGTAAGCGAAGACGATGACAGGGGTAGCAGCAGCAGCAGATATGGCAGCTCTGGTGGGTCGGGTTACTCGAAGAAGCGTTCTCGGGGAGCGGGAGGCTATGGGGACGCGGATACCGCTTCGTCGTACAGGCAGGGCGCGGACCGCTTGGGCGGAGGCCGCGGAGGGCGCGGGGGGCGCGGGTTTGATAAGGGCGGAGATGACCCGCTGGACCAGGCATGGGATGATCTGGGAGGCGGAAGGGCGACGAGGGGAGGGCGCGGGTTCGGCAGGGGAGAAGATGACGCGGAGGCGGAGATGGGGGGAGGCGGAGGCGTGGGCGCGCGGCAGCAACGGCAGGCGGGCGGACGAGGGGCGTTCAGCGGAAGAGCAGGACAGAGGGGTGCTGACGTGGATGATTACGGCGACGGCGGGCGGACTACAAGTGGGTGAGTGTGAATGAGTGAATGGTGAGGGGGAGCGTTGTTTCTACCATGACCCGCTCACTAATGAGTGAATGGTGAATGGTTGGGGTTTGGAATGTCGTGTGGCGATGGTTTGGTTTGCCATGTGGAGTGTGACACAACCGGAAGCAATTTTGCAGAGCAGGAGAAAGAGAAAGAGACGAAATATGTAAGGCAAAGAGAAGGAAAAGACACAACGAGAATTCTCAGGCGAGAATGGCTGGAAGCTTCTGTAGGGTCTTTGAGAGGAATGGCTGAGTCCCTGACTGACTTGTAGGCTCATATCCTGTTTCCTTCTCCTGTTTGCCTCCTCCCTTGGAGCAGCAAGTGGGCGCGAGGGGGCAGCGCGGGCAGTGACGCGGAGGACACGTGGCAAAGCGGAGGCAGGGGCAGCGGAAGGGGAGGATGGGGTGGGGGAGCGGCGCAGCAGCAGCCGCAGCAGCGGGGCATGGGGTGGGGAGGGGCGGACGCGGGGAGCAGCAGACTAGGAGGGTACGGAAAAGGGGGCGGTGGGGGCGTGGGAGGGATGGGCAGGATGGGAGCGGGAGCTGGGGGGGGGAGAGGAGCGGGTGGGATGACTGGGGTTAATGATGATGATGAGGATGCTTATGGCGCAGCAGCAGGGGGAGCAGCAGGGGGAGGCAGGACATTCGGGGGAGGTGTGGGGGAAGGTGCAGCCGCCTTTGGGGGAGGAGGCCGGAGCAGTGCTGGTGGCTTTGCGAGGGGGAGTCAGGGGGGTGCGACTGGGGGAAGGGGAGGTGCGGGGAGGGGTATGGGGGGCGGGCTTGGAGGGGGGTTGGGACAAGGGGCGGAATTAGACGGTGAGGACGACTTGGGTATGGCTGGTGGTGGTGCTGCTGGTGGTGGTGCAGGAAGCACTAGAATGGGTAACATGGGCGGAATGGGCGGAATGGGCGCAGGGGGTCTCCCTACAAGGGGGAGGAGCAGGCTAGGGGCCTCGAGCGCTGGGTTTGGCGGAATGGGGGGCATGGGGGGCATGGGGGGCATGGGGGGCGTGGGGGGAGCGGGGGGAGCAGGTAGGATGGGAGGGAGTGCCTCTGGTGCTGCTGGATCCAGTTTCGGTTCAGGCATGGGTGCTGGGATGGTGGGAGGGGCTGAAACGGATGAGGATTACGGACAGAGTGGCGGAGGTGGGTTGGGGGGAGTGGGAATGGGAGGCGTAGGAACAGCAGGGGCAGCAGGAGCAGCCAGAGGGGCGTTCCGGGGTGCTGCAGGGGCAGCAGCGGCTGGGAGAATGGGCGGTGGGGGGATGGGCGCAGGTGGGATGGGCGCAGGGGGGATGGGCGCAGGGGGGATGGGCGCAGGGGGGCTGACTGGGGAAGATGAGATGGGTGGGGCAGGTGAGGAGGCGGGGATGGCAGGCGCAGGTGTTGCTGGGAGGAGCGGGGTGAGGAGTGGGATGGCTGGTGGAATGGGTGGTGGAGTGGGCGGTGATATGGCTGGTGGCATGGCTGGTGGAATGGTCGGTGGTATGGCTGGCCGTTTGGGAGGCAGGACGGGAAGCCTCTGGCAGCAGCAGAAGACGCAGGTGCAGCAGAGGGGGCAGGCAGGTGGAGTGGGAGTAGGAGGGATGTTTGGAGCGAGAGCAGGTCAGCAGCGTCTGGGTCTTGGTGAAGATGAGGATTACTCTGCTGGCGCTGCTGGTGGTGCTGCTGCTGCTGGCACTGGTGGCTTTGGTGGCGTTGGTCGTGTTGCTGGCGCTGCTACTGCTGCCACAGATGATTACAGCGAAGGGGTAGCAGTTGATTCTGGCACTGGCATCAGCGGCACCAGCACCAGCAGCAGTACCAGCAGCAGCAGTGGAGCGAGTGGGCTGTTTGGGGCGAGAAGCAGAGCCGGGAGCAGCAGCTTTGGCACGGCCAGCAGCAGCTTCAGCAGGCGAGGTGGTGTGGCCGCAGCAGACCCGTACGGGGAGGAGCAGGGGGAAGGCACAGGCGGAAATGCAGCAGGAGGCGCCTCAGCAGGAGGGAACGCTTCAGGCATGGACGGTGGGGATGGCATGGATGATATGGCCGGTGCAGAGAGTGAGGGGCTGGGGGAGGAGGTGGATGAGGATGGAGGAGTGGGGTCTGGCAAGGCAGTGGTAGGATCCAAGACAGGGAAGGGCGAAGGCGGAGACGGCTCCTCTTCTTCTTCTTCTTCCTCTGGTGGTGGTGGTTTGTTTGGCTTTGTCTCTCGCATGTTTGGTGGTGGTGGGAGCAGTAAAGGGGCGGAAAAGGCGGCAGGGGAAGGGGCAGGGGAAGGAGGGGAGGCGGAGGGGTTTGAAGCGGGGAAGAGCACGGCAGAGTCTGCAGTGGAAGATGCGCTGAGAAGCACTGAGGAGGAGGGGGGAACTGGGGGAGGCTTATCCAGGAGCAGGTTCGGCAGCAGCAGCAGTGGGGGAGTGGGTGGGGAGGATGACTATGGTTCATCTTCTGCTACTGCCGCTGGCGATGGTGGTGCTGGTGATGGTGATGGTGATGGTGCTGATGTTGATGCTGGTGATGGTGATGATGCTGATGCAGACGCCGATGTTGCAGTTTCGACAGCGAAAGGTTTCAACAAGTCCCGGTTTGGCCGGGGTGCTGCTGGTGCTGCTGCTGCTGCTGCTGCTGCTGGTTCTGCTGCTGGTTCTGGTGCTGCTGGTATGGGAGGAGTGGGTGGGGATGATGATGATTCGGAATCTGCTACTACGCTTGGTGGTGTTGCAACTGGAGCTAGCAGTGGTGGTGCCTCAGAGTCATCTGACGCTTCTGACATGGACGAATCTGATTCGTCAGCTGCGACTTCTGGGTTTGGTGCTGCTGGTGGCTTTGGAGGGTCAAGGGCAGGGAAGGTTGGGCGGCTGAGTGGGAGATTTGGTGGGAGGTTGGGTGGTGCGGATGGTATGACAGGAAAAGCTGGTAGGCTGAGTGCGCGAGGAGCAGGAGCGAAGACAAGTGCGTTTGGCTTTGGCGCATCGGGATTGGAGGGATCTGAATCGGTTGCTGGGGGGGTTGGTGGTGGTGTTGATGGGGGATTGGGAGGGGAGAGTGGTGACCAGGATGGGACTGGAGAAGGGATGACTACCATCCGGGCTACTAAGAATTCGTTTTTGGGTAAAAGGCGGGTGAATGCTGGTGGTGTTAGTACGAGTTTGGGGGCAACCCAGGGTGTGGGGCTTGGAGGAGCGAGTCGGGTTGGCCGGGCAAGAAAGACGAGAATGGGAGGGATGGCATCACTAGGAAGAGCACCGGTGAAGGCTCCACAAGATGATGATGATGAGCTGTCGCTTTGAGATGAGGGATGGTAGTTTACCATGTTTGTCTCCATAGAGAATGGGTTGGGATAGTAGTGGTGCAGTTTATTTATGTGCTATGTATGCACCAATTTTTGCGTTATCTCTCTTCGTAGCACTTTGGGAATCCATACAAAGAAAATACTATATTTGAGTATAGTAAATGTTTCTTACCGTTATTGGGAGCTCCGCGCAAGGTTTGAGTTATTGAGGAGTCAGGCAGGCAGTTCCCGCAATTTTCCCCTCGGCGCGTCTGCGTCACTTTCCGCTTCCCCCTCTCCGCCACTTTCTCCCGCCACACCTTTAGGGTTGCTTGATCATAGTAGACAATTCATTCCCGCCAGCTCCGCTGCGTTTCCTGCAGCCGCGTTAGGGCGTCAGCGCGTCTACGGGCTGCTGTTTTTGCGCTGCCTTCCGTCGCGCCCGTCCATCTGTTCCTCTCGCGCGTCGGTTTCTTCTCCTTACTGCACGATATATACCACTTTCTACTACGCACGGCAATCACCCATTCTGTGCGAATCTTTACGTCTGTAACCATGTATCGCGTCGCCAAGGCATCGCCAGCGCGCCGTGCGTCACAGATCCTCTCCCGCTCCTTCACCCACTCCCCCCGATCCGCCACGTCCGCCACCCACTCCGCGCCAGCCCTCCGCCTTTCCGCCAATGACTCCCCCGCCGCTCCGCTTTCGCTCCTCCGCACGATCACCTCCGCCGCGTCCCTGCTGAAACCCGCGCCTTCCCCCACCGCGTCCGCGGGGGCCCCCGCGGCCGCGGCGCAGCCAGCGGAACCCGTCGCTCCGCCGCCTCCCCCGCCGGATCACATCGAAGTGTTCGTCGATGGGAAGGGCCTGCACGTTCCCAAGGGCTCTACGGTCCTGCAGGTCAGGCTTAGGTTATTGATAGATTCCTTCGAGTCGCATTTATCTCCTTCGCTCCCTCGCTCTCGCTCCCTCTCTCCCTCTCTCCCTCGTTCCTTCGCTCCCTCGCTCCCCCGCTCCCCCTCCGCATCACATCGAAGTGTTCGTGGATGGGAGGTGGTTGCACGTTTCCGAATGGCTCCGCAGTGCTGCAGGTGATCGTTGCGTGCGAATGAGGCAGTGAGGCGAGAGTGAAGAGTCAAGTCTTGGAAGTGAGATGCTTTTCTGTCAGATGGATCTCCCTCGCTCTTTCTCTCCATGGCTCCCTTATCGTTGGATATGCGCTCGTCAGCCGCTGTTCCCTCCCCCTCCTCCCCCCCCCCCCCCCTCTCCCTCCGATCCCTGAATCCATGCATTACATTCAAGCCTTCATTTCTGTTTTTTTTTTTTTTTTTTTTTTTTTTTTTATTTTATTTTAATCTCAAGTATCTCCCCATAGTTAAGAATCTGAACTTGTCTGCGAGCCTCCGTTTCTAGGCGAGGGATCTCTGCTGCTACGACCCGCGCATGCCCATCAGATTCCCCCACTTCCCTGGGTGTTTCTCCCCCTCCCTTTCACGCTTCCCACCCCTCCCCACCCCTTCTCCGCACCATTCCTACGCCCCTCTTCCCCCCGGCCGCCCTCCCCGCTCCCCCCGATCACGCCAGGCGTGCGACGCGGCGGGGATCGACATTCCGCGCTTCTGCTACCACCCGCGCCTCTCCATCGCGGGCAACTGCCGCATGTGTCTCGTCGAAATCGAAAAGGCGCCCAAACCCGTCGCGTCCTGCGCCATGCCGACCATGCCCGGCATGAAAATCAAAACCACCACGCCGCTCGTGAAAAAAGCGCGCGAAGGAGTCATGGAGTTTTTACTTCTTAACCACCCGCTCGACTGCCCGATCTGCGATCAAGGCGGCGAGTGTGACCTGCAGGATCAGTCCATGGAGTTCGGGAGCGATCGTGGGCGGTTCTACGGGTTTAAGCGGAGTGTAGAGGATAAGAACTTCGGTCCGCTGGTTAAGACGGTCATGACGCGCTGCATCCACTGCACGCGCTGCGTGCGATTCGCGAAGGAGGTAGCGGGGGTGGAGGACCTCGGGATGACGGGGCGCGGGCGCGACTCGGAGATTGGGACCTACGTGGAGCGCATGCTCACGAGCGAACTTTCCGGGAACGTGATCGACCTCTGCCCCGTCGGCGCTCTCACGTCGAAGCCGTTCGCGTTCACGGCGCGGTCGTGGGAACTGAAGGGGACGGAATCCGTCGACGTGTCAGACGCGATCGGCGCCGCGATCCGCGTGGATAGCCGCGGCGGGGAGGTGATGCGGGTCCTTCCGCGCCTCAACGAGGGGGTGAACGAGGAGTGGTTGACGGATAAGGGGAGGTTCGCGTATGACGGGTTGAAACGCCAACGGCTCTTTGCGCCTATGGTTCGCAGCGCGATTACCGGCCAATTAGAGGTCGCCAGCTGGCCCGAGGCGCTGGAGGCGGCGGCAAAGGCGCTGGTGGGGGTTAAGGGGGAGGAGGTGCAGGCGGTGGCAGGGCGGCTCGCGGACGCCGAGGCGCTAGTGGCTCTTAAAGACCTAATGAACCGGCTCGGGTGTGATAACCTCCGCGCGGACGACGGGGATTGGGTGGCGGGAGGCGCGGCGAACGCGGATCTGCGGTCGTCCTACGTGGCAAACACGGGATTGGCCGGCTTGGAGGACGCTGACGTGGTGCTGCTGATCGGGACGGACCCGCGCAGCGAAGCGCCACTCCTGAATCTCCGCCTGAGAAAGGCTGTGATTGGCCGACGCGCGAAAGTCGCCAACATAGGCCCTCCCCTGGATCTCACCTTCCCCAGCGAGGGTTTAGGGGAGGGAGCAGACGTGCTAGTGAAAATCGCGGAGGGCAAGCATCCGTTCTGTGAGGTGCTGAAACAGGCGAAGCAGCCGGCTGTGATTGTGGGCGCTGGAGTGATGAAGCGCGCCGATAGGGAGGCTGTAATGGCTGCCGTGCAGACGATTGTAGCGAATGTGAGTGTAACGAGGGGTGACTGTGGGGGATGTGGGTGTCTGGAGGGTGGGAGGAGGGCGTGATGGGAAGAGGGGATGGGGGTGTTGGTGGGGAATGGCAGGGTGCATGGAGGGATGTTGTGCTGTTACTTTCTTACTGTGTGCCCTTGTCCATCCCCTCTCCTCTCTCCCCATTCCTTCCAGTTTAGAGACTTCTCAAAGCCTTATAAGTTTTCCTGCGTGTTTCCCGCCCCTCTGCCTGCGCCCTCCCTTCTGCGCCCTCCCTTCTGCGCCCTCCCTTCTGCGCCCTCCCTTCTGCGCCCTCCCTTCTGCGCCCTCCCTTCTGCGCCCTCCCTTCTGCGCCCTCCCTTCTGCGCCCTCCCTTCTGCGCCCTCCCTTCTGCGCCCTCCCTTCTGCGCCCTCCCTTCTGCGCCCTCCCTTCTGCGCCCTCCCCTGCACCCAATCCGTCATGTGTCCTTTCGTCTTACGCACCCCTTCCGCATATGCCCCCCCCTACTACCCTCGTGTGAGCAGGGAGCACACGAGCAGGGAGGGATTGGAACGGATACCACGTGCTGCACCTCTCTGCTGGCCGCGTGACCTCTCTGGTCGTCTGATAACCCAATTTTCTCCTTCCCCCTACCCGTTTGCCGTCCCCTTCCCACCTGCTGCCCCCTTCCCTCTTGCGCATGTGTGTGTCATAACCGTGCGGGCAGGCGGGGGTGGTGAAGGAGGGGTGGAACGGATACAACGTGCTGCACCTCGCTGCCGGTCGTGTGGCCTCTCTGGACGTTGGCTTCGTGCCCGGGCCCAAAGCTGCTCTCTCCAGGTGAGTGGGTGTTTCCCCCCTCTCTGCCTGAGTGTGCTGTGCGTGCCAACTGCTCTGTGTGGCCTCTCTGGACGTTGGCTTTGTGCCTGCCCCTCAAGCTGCTCTTTCCAGGTGAGTACCCCTGTGTGTGTGTGCCCGGCCTCACGCGTCCCCGTCCCTAGTGAGTCTGTTCTGTGTGTGCCCGACCTTCTCTGCGTCAGTGTCCGCGCTGCACCTCTTTACCGGTCGCGTGGCTTCTCTGGACGTTGGCTTCGTGCCTGGCCCTCAAGCCGCGCCCTCCCCCAAGGTGGTGTATCTGCTGGGAGCAGACGACGTGGTAGAGGAGTCAGATATCCTAACAGCCCTGATCTGCCCCCACTCCTTCCGCCCACCTCCCGCCATCCTTCCCCCTCTGGCCCTCTCCCCTCCCCCCTCCCCTCCCCCCTCCCCACTCCCCCCCTCGCCAACAGCACGCCCCCCAAGGTGGTGTATCTGTTGGGAGCAGACGACGTGGCAGAGGCAGTCACATCCTTGACGTGTTTCCCCTCCTCTCATCCCCTCCCCCCCTGCTTTTCCCCACCGCCGCTCCTTCCCCCCTCTATGCAGCACGCCCCCCAAGGTGGTGTATCTGCTGGGGGCGGATGATTTTGCAGAGGCGGACATCCCTTCGGACGCCGTTGTGATCTACCAGGGCCACCATGGGGACCGCGGGGCCAGCCGCGCTGATATCGTGCTGCCGGGGGCTGCTTACACTGAGAAGGTGAGAGTTTTCTTCAGTCGACTCCGTGGTATTGCAGACACTGACATCCCAGCAGAGACAGGTATTCCAGCAGAGACAGGTATTCCAGCAGAGGCAGGTATTCCAGCAGAGGCAGGTATTCCAGCAGAGGCAGGTATTCCAGCAGAGGCAGGTATTCCAGCAGAGGCAGGTATTCCAGCAGAGGCAGGTATTCCAGCAGAGGCAGGTATTCCAGCAGAGGCAGGTATTCCAGCAGAGGCAGGTATTCCAGCAGAGGCAGGTATTCCAGCAGAGGCAGGTATTCCAGCAGAGGCAGGTATTCCAGCAGAGGCAGGTATTCCAGCAGAGGCAGGTATTCCAGCAGAGGCAGGTATTCCAGCAGAGGCAGGTATTCCAGCAGAGGCAGGTATTCCAGCAGAGGCAGGTATTCCAGCAGAGGCAGGTATTTCAGCAGGCGCGGTTGTGATCTACCAGGGCCACCATGGGGACCGCGGGGCCAGCCGCGCTGATATTGTGCTCCCAGGGGCTGCTTACACCGAGAAGGTGCGTGGATTTCTGAAGAGTGTGGGATCAATATGGAGTCTTTTACCAGAGGCGGTGGAATTCGTGTGCCAGAGGTGGACACCCCAGCAGGCGCGTGTGTGATCTACCAGGGCCATTATGATCTACCAGGGCCATTATGGGGACCATGGGGCTGTCCCGAGAAGGTGCGAGTGTCGGGGGGGGGGGGGGGGGGGGGGGGGGGGGGGGGGGGGGGGGGTAAGTGGTGAGGTGGTCTGGTCTGGATGGTGCACTGCACGCTGTACGCCGGGAAAGTGGGGTTATTTAGTTGACAGGCGGTGTGGGAGAGGAGAGGCAGAGGCAGGGATCCACACAGACATATTCTTGCTCTCCTACTCTCCTTTCACCTCTCCTTTGCACTGTGTGCATCCCCCACATCCTTTTCTCTCTTTTCTCTCCTCCTCTCATGCTCTTCACTTTCTTCTCAGTTGTCGGCACCGTACCCCCCATCTTCCCCACACAGTAAGCCACATACTTGAACACAGAGGGGCGGGTGCAGATGACACAGGCAGCGGTGCCGACGGTGGGGAGTGAAAGAAAGGGTGCTCGTGCTTTCCTCCTCTCCTCTCTCTCTTCTCTGTAATCCGTACCCTTCCTCCCTCCCCCCCTCCTTCCCCACTACAGGAAGCCACGTATGTGAACACGGAGGGGCGGGTGCAGATGACACGGGCAGCGGTGCCGACAGTGGGGAGTGCAAGGGACGACTGGAAGATCATTCGAGCCGTCTCTGAGGTGGCGGGCGTGGCTCTGCCTTATGACACTGTGGAGCAAGTCAGGGAAAGGCTGCGGGAGGTATGGGAGTTAGGAGCAGTGTCACTATGGCTGAAAGGTAGCCAGTGAAAGGTATGGTCTCGTGAGGTGTGAGGGACGACTGGAAGATCCTTCGCGCCGTGTCTGAAGTGGCAGGCGTGGCTCTGCCGTATGACACTGTGGAGCAAGACAGAGAGAGGCTGCGAGAGGTACGAGGGCGGCTTGGGGGTATTTCTATGAGGCAGTGTGATGAGGAGGGATCGGAATGTCTAAAGTGGCAGGCATGGCTCCGCCGTATGACACTGTGGAGCAAGTCAGAGAGGCCTCACTCTCCTCCCCCATTAGACACCCCTACCTGGCGCATATCGCTGAGGTGGCACTCCCACCCCCCCCTCCCGCTCAGCGCTCCAGCACTCGCTTCTCTCCATTCCACTCACTCACTCACTCACTCACTCACTCACTCACTCACTCACTCTCCCCCGGCCTCCTCCCCCCATCTCTCCACCCCTGTCTTGTCCCTGGCCCTCTCTCACCCCTGGCACTTCAACACCCACCTCATTGAGCCCTCACCATCCCTCCCCCCCCCCCCCCCCCCCCCCCCCCCCCCCCCCCCCCCCCCCCCCCCCCTTCCCTTACCAATATCAGGTGGGCCCCCATCTAGCGTGGATTGACGAGGTGGAGCCGCTCCTCACCGTCACCGCTCAAGCACTCGTTCCTTGCCAGCTCCAAGCTCACCACTCACCACTCGCCACTCGCCTCTCACCCTCACCTCTCCATTCCCAATCCCCCCTCCCCCATCAGGTGGCCCCTCATCTGGCGCGGATTGACGAGGTGGAGCCGCCTCTCACGCTCAGCGTTCAAGCAGGGGTGCACAGCACGGGTGGAGCTGTTCTTGCAGACCCCTTTGAGCTGCCGGTGAGTTTGAGTGGTCTCTTAGGTGACAGCCGGTGACGTCCAGTATTGGCGTATTAGAGCCTCGCCTCTCACGCTCACTGTTCAGGCAGGGGTGCAGCACACGCCTGGTGCTGTCTTCCCGGACCCCTGTGATCTCCCGGTGAGTTTGATTTGAGAGGTCCCTTAGATGACAGCCGGTGACGTCTCTAGTATTGGCGTATTAGAAGTCTCCTTTTGCTGTCACCGCTCATGCAGGGCTGCACTACGTGCCTGGTACTGCTCTCTACTCTTAAAGCCAGGGTCTCAAGTAAGAGATTCTGGCGTCAACTGCAAAGCAGTTGAAGCTCCGTTACTCTGTTTGCAGCAGGCGAGCTGACTGGTTGGCCTGGGAAGTAGTGTGCGACGCACCCCTGTTTTTGCCCCCACAAGAATTGCAAAACATTCGACTTTTTACTTGGGACTTTCGGGGCTTTCGGAAAGTTGCTGGCATTTCAGCTTCGGCCCACACCAACTTCCGTGGCTAAATGGTTCGGAAACAGTTCAACGATTTGTGTCCACTTCGCAACCCTCGCTTCACCCCTCCCCTAAACTTGGACCTCGCCAACCAATCCCAGTCGACCTCCTACCACCAACTGCAAAGCACTCGTACTACTTGAGACCCTGCCTTTAACCGCCCTTAACCCCTCTCACCTCCTCTGGTCACCCCCTTGCATCATTCGCTCTCTGGTGCCCAATTTCTATATGACAGATGCCATTTCAAAAGCGTCGGTGACCATGGCTAAATGCAGATCTTCTGTTGGACTTTACTTTACCATCTCTCTCAACCCTTCTCATCTCAACCCTCTTTCACCCCTCTCAACCCTCCTTCGCGTTGTTCCCACCAGGTGCCCAATTTCTACATGACGGATGCGATTTCACGGGCATCAGTGACCATGGCTAAGTGCAGATCTTCTGCTCGACCGTACTGCACCCTTCTCAACCCCTTTTCACCCCTCTCAACCCTCCTTCGCGTTGTTCCCACCAGGTGCTCAATTTCTACATGACGGATGCGATTTCACGGGCATCAGTGACCATGGCCAAGTGCACGTCTGCTAAAGCCAAGCAGGCGGCACAGCCGCTGCACTGAAGGGAGTTCTGAGGCAGCTTCGGAGGCATTTCAGAAGGGCATCAGTGACCATGGTTAAGTGCTAGTCTGCTCAGGCTAAGCAGGCAGCACAGCCGCTGCACTGAAGGGAGTTCTGAGGCAGCTTCGGAGGCATTTCAGAAGGGCATCAGTGACCATGGTTAAGTGCAAGTATGCTCGGGCTAAGCAGGCAGCACAGCCGCTGCACTGAAGTGAGCACAATTCATGAACAGGCGCCACTTTATTAGGCATTACTTGAACAGGCGTTCCATGGACAGGCATTACTGTGTGGTTCAAGCCGTGCGGTAACAGGGGCTGCAGTAACAGGCAGGAAATGCATTGGCAAGCATGCACTGTCATCACTGTTCAAGGCAGGCACTCATTGTTTGGTGTAGTTAGTCAGGGCATGGTATGCGCGATAATGGCCAGGTTCATGGGTTTGCTTCTTTTAGCCATCCTGGCATGTGAAATAATTGAGTACCTAGTTTTAACAGTTGTTCCTTCGTATAAGAGCTATGAACGGTACTGTATGTATAGAAGCTCTTACCGGAACGCGACCGCACCACATTTGCAAGCACATGTGACACGGCAATGATGCGTGTGCTGCAGCATGCCCAGATGACCAAATGCCCGAGACTGAATAACCTCTGAATATTTTCCACGGTTTTATCTCGTTACGGTTTGGTCCGAAAACGTCGCGCGGGGTCCGTTCGGACAGACGGACCAAACGGCATACTGTAAACCAGCTTGGTACTATCGCCGGTCTAAACGACACTATCGGTCGGTTTAGGCCAGGGCAGAGAAAACTAAATGTCCTAGGGAAAATGGATGCATTCTTTTGACGGATCAACCCTAGATTCTAGTGTCGACCAGAAACACCAGGATCAACCCTAGCACGCGACCCGCCTGATATGTATAATACCCAAGACCTCGGACTCGGACTAAGATGCGGGAGTACCCAGGCCCAGCGATCGTTACCGCAAAACCTCTCTTTATGCGTAGGTAAACCAGTGTTCATAAATCGCTACAAATCCTCACCCCATTCCGTCGGGTTGATCTCAATACTTCTTGCAGTAAGTACTTACCACATTCTTCAGGGGGACTCTGTACTATGGACCGAATTCAATTCCATTGGTCCGAAAGACTGTTCCCCTAGGTCTGGTCGGACCTGACCGTTGCCGTTTTTCACCTTGCCCAGGGCAGCGGGTCAGTTCGGACGAAACACCGCCAGGCTCGGAGCTACAAAACCGCCGAACCAAACCTGTACATGTTTGGCTCGGCGGTTAGTAGCTCAGGGATTATGAAACCCCAACCTGAAGAACTTCTGGTGAGCCCCCCGGTTGAGGCCACTTTGGCCTTTTGTACAATGCTTGCCCCTGGAGAACACTCATCGATTCCCTCGGGTATCATGTGCGTGCATCTGGCGAAAATGATGCTCCACCACCAATTTTGAGGCCACTATGGCCTTTTGATGCACCACTTTTGATACAAGTGGCGCTACATGCTGCAGTCTCATCCCAATCCACCGTGGCAGAATGGATGCCACACCTTTGAGAGATTCTGCTGCTTGTATAGCCAATGCCCGCGCACGAGCAAGCAAGATCCCACCCAATCCCAAAACAGCCGCAAAAACCGTCCAACTCTCTACCCCAAAACAGGCAACGCCGTATCACGATCACTGCTAGGCCTGTCAGCGGAACAGCGCCAGGGACGGTGATAGCTGTTATCAATTTGCGGCAGACAGCTCCAGTTGCTCCCCCCTTTCCTTTTCCCCCAGAGTTTCAGTGATCACGTCACGATACCATGGTCTGCTGGGTTTAGCAACTCCTCAGGAACGTTCCTAGGCTTCCCTAATGTCACAATCCTAATCTTCCCCTCACGTTGTACGATTGTTACAACTCATAAGTTATCTAACCAGAAGTCGCTTCCGAAGTGAAGACTTCATACCTCTGACTGGTGCGCCCACTTCGTCAACACACTGATTAATCATCTCAGCTTATAAGACAGCTTGTTGGCAATTCCATACACGTTCACAAATTGGCAATTGACAACTTGGGGATTCACTCCTTTGACGTTTTTTTAGAGTACCAGGGACAGCTTGAAGTTACCAGCTCATTTGACGGCATTGGTAACTGAGTTACCTGCAGAACAATGCCGCCCCAGGTGGAGGAGTCGGTTATCGATGCCGGCATGATGCAGGCGATCGTTCGTGCTGACGGATACATTTGGCTGAAATACGGTCAGAAGCATGTTCACGACACCTACATCACTCGGTAAGTTGGGTGCTTGCAACCGGGGAGCATCATTTTGTGGCATGACTTGGGTTCAAAACACAATTGTTCGAATCAATGGCTGCAATGGTCCAGGCAACTACTGGGTAACAAAATTACAGAGGCAATATGCCTCGTGAGGTAGTAATGATCATGACACCTGAATTATGATGGCATATGATGGCACTGCCTTCCCCATGACCCTTGTGCGGCAGGTGCTACTACAGATGCTCCTGCTCCAAAAGCCAGTCCTCCTGCAGAGCTAAGAAGACCGTTGAGTATGACCGGCGAAGAAACTACATGCTGTCTACAATTCACATCAACTACAGCAGCCCCCATCACAACCACCCGCCTCCTCTCGAGAAACGCATCTGCGAGGAGGAACCTAGTCCTCCTACCAGAATGCAGCCTGCTGCCAAGGAACCTGAGAAACAGACCAGGATACACCCATCCCAGGAGCACCACAATCATGACAATGCCTCCCCTGCTCCTGCTCCACCTTCGGCTACAGAAAGCGGCTGTTCTGCTTCCTGTAATGTCAACGCCAACCTTCATTCTGTTTCTGACCCACAGTCAGTGCAACATGATGATCATGTTGCTCCCACAGTGCTAACACCTCCTGCCGCTACTGCAGCCATCTCCGCCAGCAGCGCTGCCCTGGCTCCAGAGCACGCATCCGGCTCCTCTACGGTTTCTAATTATTTTCTCCAGGCGTGTCCTGCCCCAGCAAACAATGACGATGCTAAAGACGACTCCCAAACAGCTGCTGACGCCGCTGGTTGTTGTTCTTTGAAATGTGGATCCAGCTTGGAAGGTGCACGGATTGGTGAAGCTCCTTCCATTCAGCTCACTGGTGGCGGCACTCCTTTTGACGACAGCAGCAATACACCAGCAATCCGAAAGAGAGAATTCAGTGGTTTGCTTGACAGCACACCGTGTGCTAAAAGAGCTAGGCGCACAGAGTCCAATGAGAATCAGCTTCAGTTTTGTTCTGAGCTGGACGCCATTGCTGCTGACATTGATTTTCCTATCCTGCCTTCGGACTTCTTCGACCAAGATGTTACCGTTTTGATCCCTCCACGATTCGAGAATTGCGACGATATGTTTTGGGGAGAGAGTGAAACCCTGGATGGACTTACAGAGATGCACAATCATGTGGTTGACGTACGAACGTCAGGATGTGATCGCTGTGGGGATGATATGTTGAGCGAGTTCCTTGGATAGTAGTGGGTTGGCTGTACATTTTGTAGACTGATTGTGTCATGAAATGCTTAGTCTGCCCTATGATGTTGATGAATCCAAGTTTTGTCGATAGTACGTACATCCTTATCAAGCATGTTCCATCATGAAGGGAGGTGAGAACACCACTGTTCAAATATGTGAATTAGACAATGAAACCACTCATATTTATTCAACGCAAATGAGTGAGGAGGCTACGCGCACTCTATCGAGGCAAGCGTATTATTTTGCTAGTGACAGGAGGTGAGCATGGGCTGGCTGTGATAGCCATGGGCAAGCGTCAATAAGCATCACTTTGGAATGTGTTGCTTGATGTGTTCAGTGTAGATGGCTTGGCACGATTACGGTGATTTGCAAATGATTCCCTGGTCGTGCGAGGTGCCACCTTTCTCACTTCCATTTAAGAAAGGGCTAGGATTATTTTCATTTGAGCTCCACATCGGACCGTTTTTACTACATACATTGCATGGAACATCATAGCTGATTTAGCATGTGCCGTAATAATATGGCAAGCAATCCATTGAATCACCCAAGCCAAGGTAACTGCGCAGCTCACCCAGGTCTGTGCACGTGTGTCTTTTCTGCAGCTCCGACAACACCAGGGCGAGCCTCAGTGTCAGCAGTGGCAAAGACCAAGTCGTCGACGTACACGAGGATGTAGAACGGCGGCAGCGAAGTGTCGGTGCGCAGAAACAGCGACGGGTCAGTTGTCGAAGGCGCAAACCCAAGAGCCACAAGTGTAGTCCTCAGTGTGTCGTGCCACTCACGAGGCGCCTGGCGGAGACCGTAGACTGGCCGCCGGAGGCTCCACTGGGTACCAGGAGGGAACGACCCAGTGAAGCCAGGTGGGCGGCGCAGCCAGATCTCCTCGTGCAGGCTGCCCTGTAAGAAAGCTGTGCTGAAGTGCAGCGAGTGTAGCTCGTAGTCTCGCTGAGCGGCAACGTGCAGCAGTACCCTCTCACTATGAGCCTCACCCCTCCCTTGCGGCTGCTGCTGGCGCCAGCAGAGGTACCCCTCAAGCTAGCTCATTCAGGAGGCTCTCACTATGAGCCTCACCCCTCTCTTGCGCCTGCTGCTGGCGCCAACAGAGGTACCCCTCAAGCTCGCTCATTCAGGAGGCTCTCACTATGAGCCTCACCCCTCCCTTGCGCCTGCTGCTGGCGCCAGCAGAGGTACCCCGGTGATGGTACTAGTACTAAGAAGTATCTTTTATGTATTGTAGAAAGTGTTTTTAGTGTGTTACTTTCTCCTTATTCTTATACCATATTGTTCCGGCTAAAAGACCCGCCGATAAGAAGGTCCCCCTGGACTCTTAAATGGGTAGGGGGTCTCTTTTTGTGGCAGATATTGTGAGGACCCCCCTTTGGCCTCTAATCATCATAAGACCCCTTTTTATGTATAGAGTAGTTGTTATTGCTATTATGAGTCAGTTTTTACTGGCGAAAATTGAATTCTGACACTTTGATTGTGTCAGACTCGAATCCTGACAAAAAT